CCCCCCCCGTCTTCGCACGAATCCCTAAGTTTGAAAGGACTACAAAGCTAATTAGTTTAATGCAGGCTGGTGTCAACTTCTTCGACAAGACCTGGACTCAGGCTTCAAAGCCCGCGTTTAAGGCCAAACGCCAGGCTGTCAGCTATCCTACTACAGCCAAATTCACGTCGGCTGTCAACACTCTGATCAGCAGCCTTTCCACGTCAAACATGCAAACGAACCTCCAGGGGCTTACCGAGTTCAACAACCGCTACTACCGAGCCTCTACCGGTTCTCAAGCTGCTACCTGGCTCAAAAACCTTGTCGAATCCACCATCGATGCTGCTGGCGGTGGTGGCACTGTGGAGTTCTTCACCCACTCCTTTGCTCAATCGAGCATCATTGCCAGAGTTCCAGGCAAGAGTGATGCGACCATTGTCGTCGGCAGCCACTTCGATAGCATCAACCAGAACAACCCCAGCAGCGGCCGCGCCCCTGGCGCTGATGACGATGGAAGCGGCACTGTGACCAACCTCGAGATTCTCAAGGCCTACCTCGCCAGCAGTGCTGTCAGGAACGGCCAGGCCGAAAACACCGTCGAATTCCATTGGTACGCTGGTGAAGAGGGCGGTCTGCTTGGATCGCAAGCTATCTTCGATTCTTATGCTAGCGAGGGCCGCAATGTTATCGCCATGCTCAATTTCGACATGACTGGATATTCTGCCGGCATGACCAATGCTGGTCAGAGCAAGTCGCTGGCGGTTGTTACCGACTACGTGAACAACGCCCTCAGCACCTTCACCCGTCTCATGATCAGAACCTACACCACTCTCCCAATCACCACCAGCACCTGCGGCTACGCCTGGTAAGTTGAGATAAACTTAGTGACAATGCGGTCCACAGCTAACAAGATCCGTAGCTCTGATCACGCCTCGGCAACTGATGCTGGCTTCCCGTCGGCATACATCTTTGAGAGCCCTGATGCATACTCTTCCCCGTACATCCACACCGCCTCTGACACCATCAGTACCGTTGATTTCGGTCACGTCCTCAACCACGCAAAGGCTGGTCTCGGCTTCGTTTACGAGCTTGCCTTCACTGGCTTCTAGAGCTGGGGCAGCAAGCAACTTGACGAAACGAGTGGGAAGGGGAAAAAGGAAAAGAAATTAGAGGGGAACTAAAAGGCGACTCGGTTGGGACGGCTTTAGAAGCCGCCCGCCCATCATGTAAATAGTGTGAATGACCAAATAATCGACCTGTATCATTGTGTCTACCGTTTCATAAAGAAAATGACGTCGCACATTTCGGATCTTGGGCCCGATGCTTCTGTCACATTCGCCCTGACATGGCGCCTTTTTTTTTTTTTTTGGCGGCGCATGCTTTCGGCGCTGAATGCGTTGGGCCGAACTGACTGCGGCCTGTAGCGCAGGCTGCCGTGGAGCAGCGTGATGGAAAGCGGACGGGACTGCGGCCTACGGCGCTGCTGTCTCAGACGGGATGCAGTCACTGCCTTGACTTGCTGTGGGGAAAGGCGCTCAGGCATCATTGGCGCGGAGACGAGGATCCTCGCGCCACATCGACCCGCTTCTACGCGTTGATTCGCGAGCGCGTTGCTGGGGACCTGACGACCGTTGCCCTCGACCGTCGAGGCGTCGCCCTGTCACCTCCGTAACACAACCCTTCGATTGGCCGTGTGCCTGCCCCTTGGAGCCTTCGCCCTCTCGACCGCCGCGCAAGAATTTGCAGCGCCTTCGACCACCGCGCGCCCCGTCCTAATCTACTCGCGCTGCCACCGTCACAATTGCTTGCAGCCGTGGCCAACAACTCCCGCCCAGCGACGAAACATCCGCACCGAGCGCTCATGAACGTCTGAGCGTCCGCATTACTTTTTCGCCGCCTTATTCCGTGCCAACCACGCGTGCGCGCCGCGCCAAACTCGCACTCGCCGTGTCACCGCGCCACAGCTACAAGGCTGTGTACATTGTGGAGAGGAAGGCTGCGGTCGACGCGTGGAGCACGCCGCGCTCAGATCGAGCGTGCGCGCAACGTCCTATAGGTCGTCATTGCATAGCGACTCGATCGTCACCCCGCGATTTCGGTTTGCGCACCTGCAGGCGGCCGTCGCAAGCTGTTCGCAAGCTCCCCGCGGCAGCCTGCATCAAGCTCGAGTACCTGGGAAGAAATACAGAACCGCCAAGCTCCCACCCGTGCAACCCCACCACACCGCACCAGATATCGCAGTCCACCTCTGCTTTGCGACAAGTATTTGTCGTTCGCCGCTAGCACTCGGTTTCGCACACATTCTATACACCTGGGGCGGACAAGGGCTTGCATAAAAGGCAGGCATCGGAGAGCCGCACAGCTCTGGCGGACCATTTAGCGTTGCCGATAACCTCCCGATTCGGCCCTTCGCCTCCTGCTGCCTAGCTTTCGGCTGTCGTCACCCGTAAAGGTACGTCTTCCTGCTCTATTCTCAGTAGCGGCACCCTCTCCTGTGCTCTTTTCGCCGTTGCCGCCTTCCCTTACAGATTCTACCTGCCAGATCTTGTGGTTGCAAGATCTTGCGAGAGATTCCGATTCATGTCTCAACCTTCATATTGGTCTGGTTATCTGTAACCATGCCATTGCTGCGGCGCGCTAATCTATTGCAGCGAGTAGTATCCACCATGGACGAAGAACCGACCCAGCCCTCCACGCAACAGATAATTGACCCGCGTCGCCTCGGTGGAAACATCTCCGGACTGAACGAAGCAGATGTCGCGGATATCCTGTGCATTCTCACGCCAACCTCACCCGCCGCTTTTCAGATCGTCGAAAACACTGCCAGAGACACTCCTCAGCACGTTCTGCAATGCCAGCCCACCAATGGATATCAACCAAACACCCAGCCGTTCAGTCAGAGCTTGGAGGAAGAGGCCGAAACCTTCGTCATCGACCGCCCTGGTGTGGCGCATGACCTCGCGCTCAGGTTCTCGTCGTCGTGTAAACAGCCATGGTTTGGCTTTTGCTTCGGGCGCAACCCAACCATGTGTGACGTTCTTCTACCTGTCGGACCTGACTCTTCGAAGCGGATCAGCAATCTTCATTTTATGATTTATGTCAACAAGCATGGCGTCCTCATGTTGGAAGACGCGTCTACAAATGGAACCATGATCGACGACACGCACCTAAAGGCAAAAAGCAAGGAACCTGGGGCGCAGAAGACGAAGATGCTTCAACCGGGCTCCATGATCACGATACTTTCCCCGCTGCGTGAAGAGATTGTCAAATTCATCGTCCGAATTCCGGATCAGACTGGATACGAGGAGGAGTATGCGGAGAATCTCAGCAATTACATGACCAGAGTTGAGACAGAGAGGGTGGCACATGGAAAGCCAAAGCGTGCACAGAACGCAGGCGGAATGCCCCGCCGGCCTGTGGTCAAAGCTGTCAATACATTTGGTATGCACTGGAATGGCGGTCGAATCTACAATGTTATAGACGTCCTCGGTAAAGGTGCCTTCGCCACAGTCTACAAGATCGCAAAGGCGATGGATGGGCAGCTACTAGCAGCAAAAGAGCTAGAGAAGAAGCGCTTCATGAAGAACGGGCAGCTCGATCAAAAGCTCGACAACGAGATGAAGATCATGCAATCGCTCTTTCATCCACACATAGTCCAGTACATCGACACGCATGACATTGGAAACCACCTCTACATCATAATGGAATACGTACCGTACGGAAATCTCTCAGATCTCCTCGCCGGAGGCAAATGCCTACCAGAACCTTTCGTCCAAAGAATGGCCTGTCAAATCTTCAGCTGTCTGGCCTATCTTCACAGCAAGAGGATCACACACCGAGACATCAAACCCGACAATATCCTCATCGCCTCACAGGAGCCTTTCGACGTCAAGCTTTCTGACTTCGGCTTATCCAAAGTAGTGACGAACAACGAGACCTTCCTTAAGACGTTCTGTGGAACGTTGCTCTACTGCGCACCTGAGGTCTTCCCCCACTACGACGGCCGTGGCAGCAAGAAGCGCCGGAAACCGGGTGAGGCAAAGAAGAGGTTCCATTCCTACAGCCAGTCAGTCGACATCTGGTCTTTTGGCGCAGTACTTTGGAGTTCTCTCTGTGGAAGCCCGCCCTTTGAGGGTATCATGGATCAAACCGGCCGCGCCATGTTCGAAAGAATCATGGACACTCCTCTGGACCCTACGCCCATGCGTGAGATGGGAGTCTCAGAGCAGGCTATCGATCTACTGGTGACAATGCTCAAGACTGATCCTGCACAGAGACCTACAGAATTGGAGTGCCTTACCCATCCGTGGCTCGCCAGCCTCGCCAGAACTATCGTCCCAGAAGTCGTTCAGCCCGATCTCAACGCTATTCCCGAGGAGGATGAAGAAGATGATGACATCGCAGCTGAAGCAGCCGAAAACCAGTTTTCCCAACTTAGTCTCAATGATAGGAAGGCAGGCTATGGCATCCCTAGCCAATTCAGCGACGATGACGAAGAGGAAGATTATGGTGAAGGGCCTGAGCCTGAGCCAATCAACCCGCATCAGTCCAAGCGTCCGCGCGTCCGCCGAGATCCTCAGCACCCAAGGTATCAACCGCGCAACATGTCACAAGTTGAATCCAGCCCTGAAGAATTCCAGAACCCTGCTATAAGGACGACAGGCGACCTTGCCCCGCCCTCCCGGCTGGCTCGTGGCAAGCCCAGGCTCTTTGGTGAGATCGGCCAGTCTGCACTGGGAAGCCCCCGAGTTCTGGACAACAAGACGAACCAGGCGTTGTCCATGGACGAAGATTCGAGCGGTCCTGATATCCCTGAAAAGAGCCCCAAAGCCAACCAGTCCGTCAAGCGACGCAGTAAGACCCCTGTTGAGAGCCAGGGCACCCCACGCAAAGACCCTCGCGGCAACAAATCTGCTGCTAGTCTTGATGGTGCTGAGTCGATGGTCAGGGAGTTAACAATGCATTCACCAAATTCTCCGAACCGCCCTTACGACGAATTCGAACCGCAGTCCCCCCGAACACCCACTCGCAGTGTCCCAGAGACGCCGTCCCCGTCAGACGTTTCCAAGGACGGGCTTGATGACTCTACTACTCACGGCTCGCAAGAACAGACACCTAGACCAACGACCAACAGGAGGTTCAGCAGGCAGATAAATTTACCTCTGTTGGAATCATTATACTATGATCCACACGATCCTTCTACCCACAACGTGGAATATGCGACCAAGATCAGCGGTATCGACTTTGCCTCGGCCCGTAACCTAACCGCGACAGAGCACACTTCTCTCCCATCAACACATTATCCATCAGACGCAAGCGAGCAAGATGCGGATGAGGACGACGACGCCGAAAGCGCTATGGGTGGAGCTGTTCATTCACCGCCAGCCACTGACTCAACCTTTCGTGTCCCACCCCCTCGCCTCGGAAAGCTGACAAGTACGGACGATTCGATCCTAAAGCTGGTACTCAGGCTCGAAAGACAGGTCGAAAGCTGGGGCCGCAATGCTGAAAACACGATTACCTTTTCTAATGTCAACGACACGCGAGTCCCCAAGAACGCTTTCACCATTTGGTTCTACGCACCGAACATCGACGACTTGGTAAGGGAGGGCAAGGATTGGACGAAGGCGCCAGACCTACAAGTTTGCATTCATACGAACTCAAGCAGAGGAATCAGCGTCAACAACACTCGACTTCATCCTCCTAGACCGGATGGCAGCTATTCTTACGGGCACCTCTACACGGGCGACGTCATAACAGTCTTCGATACGGGCAAGAAAAAGCTCAAGTTCGTCTGCGAGTTCACCACTGGCGAGGCAGTCAACCATCGACCTGAGGGATTGAGCTTTCAGGTCTTTCACACTCAGCCCTCACAGTAGGGTTCGGCTACACTTTCGAGTGTTTCTTTTTCGTTTGTTATCTTTGCCCCCTGAGCTTTTTCCTATTCTTGAGATATCCGGCCTGCATTCAGGTGTATTTGAGGGTTTGGCGGAGATTTTTCCCTTTTTGTTTCCCCTTCTATCGACGTGGCAGAGATTGACGGTTCAATACTTTTGATCCCTTCTATTCCGGACGCTTGGTAGCGACTGGGATTTACACAGTGGTGGCAGCGTGCCATATCACAAGCGAGCATCTGCGTCACTGCTGGGTCTGCAGTGGCTTTCTTAGTCAGATTATCCACATTAGCGCCAGCAAATTGTGGGGTGCGCCAGACCCAGTCGGACATTACATTGAAGTTAGAAATCAACTCTTATTTGTTAATTGCTATTCAGCATTAAACGTGCATTAAGTAGTCGATGATCGGCGTCGTGCAGCTGTCAAATGCCGGCCGGGTCAGGGTCCAAGCTTCCGGGGAAAGGTGTGGCCACGCCGCATCGCACCGCACTCCGCACCGCCTGACTGGGGCTAACCTTCCAGCTTTCTCTCATTCCCTGCCTTCGAATCCTAACCCCAGGAACGACCCGACCCCCCAATTCCCCTACGCCGAAACGCTCAGGAACGAACTACAATGTCGGCAGCAAATAAATCTCTCGGTCACGTCGTAGTGACTGGCGGCTGCGGCTTCCTGGGTCACCACATCGTCAAGCTGCTAGTGGAGCGGTACCCGGCGTCGCGCGTGTCGGTGCTGGACCTGCGCACAACCAACAACCGCCTCTCGTCCTCGAGCGTCTCCTATCATGACGGCGACATCACCGATGCGGCGGCGATGAGCGAGCTGTTCAAGACGAAGCTGGCGGGCGCGGACGTCGTGATCCACACGGCTAGCCCGCATGCGGTGGGCGTGCCAGACGAGGTGATGCGCAAGGTGAACGTGGACGGAACGAGGAACCTGCTGGATGCGGCACGTGAGGCGGGCGTCAAGGCGTTCGTGTACACAAGCAGCGCCAGCGTGATCTTCGATGGGGTGATTGAGCTGGTGAATGCGGATGAGAGATACCCTATCGTGGCAGGGAAGGGGCAGCCGAGCTATTATACGACAACCAAGGTGGGTTCATTGGCATCATTTTCTCATTGGTCCTGCTCTGTTTATAGGAGCAATTGGTCGTGGAATCGAAGGCTGACATGAGAGCATCAAACTCACGACAGGCCTGGGCCGAAACCGCCGCTCTCGAAGCCAACCGCACGCCCAAGGACAGCAAAAAGCCCCTGCTCACCTGCGCCATCCGCCCGGCCGGCATCTTCGGCGAAGGCGACGTGCAGCTCATCCCGCCCATGCTGGGCGCCTACTTCCGCGGCCAGTCGCGCTTCCAGCTCGGCGACAACACGAACCTGTTCGACTTCACCTACGTCGGCAACGTCGCGCACGCGCACCTGCTCGCCGCGGCGGCGCTGCTCGCCACGTACAACCTCGCGCCCACGGTGCCCATCGACACGGAGCGCGTCGACGGCGAGGCCTTCTTCATCACGAACGACCAGCCCGTGCCGTTCTGGGATTTCGCGCGCAGCGTCTGGAGGGAGGCCGGCCCGCCGGTGCCCATCGAGAAGACGTGGGTGCTGCCCAAGGACATCATGATGCCCGTGGGCAGCGTGCTCGAGTGGATCTGCTGGGCCATCGGCCGCAAGCCGAACATTACGCGCGATCAGGTGAGGTACAGCACCGTGAGGAGGTACTACTCGATCGACAAGGCGAAGAGGAGGCTCGGGTACAGGCCGATCGTCGGGCTGGAGGAGGGCGTGAAGAGGGGCGTCAAGGAGGTGTTGAGCAGGGAGGGCCCCGAGTGGGCGTGGGTGAGGGGTGGTGGGAAGCCGCCGGCGAAGGCGTAAATGGGTCGAGAGGAATTTGGAGGGTGGAGGACAGGAAAAAGAGTAGACCCTGCCCTTTGCTCCTCTTCAAAACTTCGAGGCAAATGGATGAAGTCATGGGATGATTGGATTTTTGTGTATGAAATTATAATACCGGCTTGTCTGCATATAATCGAAGATTTGTGTTCTTGATTGTCTTTAATTTCGAACTAATCACCGTTCAGATCTGCTACGTTCATTCTCGTGTTGCACGCATTTAGAGAATGTAGTACTATTCTTAAATACTGAGAGTATTAGAGGTAGAAAAAAAATCTTTCGGAGTTCTCATGATCCAACTTTTAGTGATATTTGAAAACTCAAATACAGGCACTAACATATGCGACGAACAAAGTGCGTTTAAGATTCTTGACGTAGTAGATGTTATTAGCTTACTTTGAGTATTGTCTTACCTTAATCACTATATCAGTATTCACGAATTGTCGTTTTCAGAAAGGAAGACATTTGGCCTACCAGAGAGATCCGAAGCGGCTTGCCATCTCTTCGGTCTGTTCATTCATGCAAGCTGAATCACCCGAGTATCTACTGAAGATAAGCGGCAGGAAGACATGGTGGCTTGCATCCGATGACTCCGAGACTAAGGGCTAACCGCAGTCTTATTTGTGAGGGAAAGTTTCGGAGTAACCAATCAAGTTCAACTGTGAGCACTCTTGAAACATGTATGACGCGAAATTCAGTTGAATGATGGAAACACCGAGAAATCATACCATTCGGGCTTCGACGTTCACTCTAGACTCAAAGGTGGTAAGATCGTCCTCGGTATATGGGGGGAAATGTCGTGATGGCATAAGCATCTTTACCCTTGGTGAGGCCCTAAACAGGGTAAAGTTTTTAAGGCACTGCCAGGGATACTTTCCCCCCTCCCCTCCATTCATCTCCTTGCACTTTCCTTTCCATGTCTCCACCGAGAAGCACGGCTTTGTAGCATGCCGTCGCAGGTGCACGCGATCCTCAGGCGACAAGGTCAGGCAACGGCCGAGAGCGGGCCGAGAAGAATATGTAGGGTACGGGTCTTATTATGTCACGGGCCACAAGCTGCTCGGGATCAACTGTTGGGATTCGATGGTGTGGAGATTGCCGAAGGCCGAGATGTGTGGTGTTGCAGGAGCGGGTCGTGCACTGGTGCGACGCAGACGGCCTTGACGCTCGTGGTGGTGAGGTCGTATGCTCAGATGGAATGCACTGGCCAGTGTTGCAACCGCGGGAGAGCAGAAGGAATGAAGATGAGTTTCCATGTCTTGAAACCATCATTTGTTCCAAGGGCGATGGCAGTCATAAGATATTACGACATGGGCTTTAAGTCGCGGTCATAAAGCTCACGGAGCGACGAAAATCAGCGTATCAAGGCAGACCCCTTTTGCTTCTCGGCCCCGCCTTGGTACTACGCAACACGGCGGTTAAAAAGACGCGTAGCACCAAGGCACGGGCAACCCGTCACTCAGGAGACGGGCTGTATACGGGTGGGGCGTGTTGGTTGGAAGGAGCATGGAGAAGTGGAGAAAGTCGAGCCGGTTTCGCAGGCACAGTTGCTTTTCTGGTCGTCACGCCACGTCGATCAGGCCAGGATTAACTTATCACGGTGAAGGGTAGATCCGCGGTGCTTCCCCACAGGCGGCTTGGCGGGGCTGACGACGATAAGCCGGCGCGCAGCAGCAGCGCTCAGGAGAGGGTGATGTGACGGCAGTGCCAGGCGCGACACGATGACGTGCGGAGCTGCAGCAAGCAAGGAGGATGTTGAGGTGGACGCGGGGGCACGCGCTGGGGTGTGAATGGCAGGCAGCTCAGCCGGCATCGGTCCACGTGCGGAGCAAGCGGTAAGCGTGATGGCCCCGGCCAGGTGTGCATGCGCACAATAGAGGTAGATACAGATACGTAAAGACCCTGATCGCCCGCCCACGACGCCTCCGCTGTACCTGTTTGCTCTTCTCCTCGCCGGCGAGTGTTGTTGCGCGCGCAAACTCGGGAGCGTGCAGAAGTGTCGTGCAGTTTAGGCTTATCGAGAGCCCAAGCGTCATCGGCAGTAGCGCTACATCCGGCCCCCGCAACGCGAGCGTAGCCTGTCTCGCGCCATCCAAGCGTCAGTCACCTGCGAGACAGCCAGAGAACCGCCTGACACTGCCACGCTCTCCTATTACTCTGCCCGACCTCCCGCGCCTGGAGCTCTCTCCCCCTCCTCCCGCGACTGCCTGCGAACTCTGCGCGCGCAACCCGGACGCGCCGTTCGCTCAGCCGTGCCAGCGCAACAAAGGACCTGGCCCGCTTCGGCAGCTCCCGATCAACAACCCGTCCCGATAACATCTCCGCAGCTCCACCTTCAGCCTCCGCCAACCCAACCAACTTAGGAGACTTGTCTCTGCTCACCCGCGCTTCTCGAATCACTAGCCATGGAATCCCGAGGTCACGGCCGCCAAATCCCCCGCGACGGTCACCGCCGGTCCGCCGCCGGTCGTCTTGCGCCTGCCCAAGGTATGAGGTCACGGTCAGATGGTGAGTCCTAACTCCTTTCCTGTGACCTTTGCGAGCGCAGTCATCTTGAGCACCTTTCTGCCTCCTGTTTCCGCTGCACCATCTCCCAAACTTCTGCCTCATCATGCTCTCCGCCCATTTCGCAACCATGGACGACTTCCTGCAAGACTTCTGGACTTACCACATATATACAGACTCGTGGATAGAGGTTGCCTCCCAGCCCTCATCCTCCTCTCTCTCCTCTACCACCTCAGCCACCGACGAGATCATCACCGACGGTCTGCGTGTCCAGCACGACTCCAACTCCCGCCGCCGTCGACAGCAGCGCGCCTCTCGCCTGCATCTGGACTTGGGTTACCGCGGTTCAGGAAGTGCAGGCACAAGCAGTCAGGAGGAGTATGAAGAGAGTGAAAGCGAGTCGGACCGCGTGCTATCGTCGTCAAACGAGGCTCTTCCACGGGCCCCTGTCTACCAAGACCTTCGTCGGACGGGCCGGGTGCAGTATTCTTCTTCGGACAATCAGTCGGACGAAGAGGAAGACGATGAGGACGAAAACTCAACCGCTGTCGGGTACCTCAGGAGTGATAACCAGAGCTTCACTCCCCAGCCCAACGCCTTCACGCACCCGCCCTCAGCACCCCTCAACCGTCCTTCGAATGAACAGACCTCCTACTTTCAGTCGCGCCCCTCAGCAAGAAGCGCTGAGCAGCGCCACTCGTACACTTCGCAACCAGCCCACTCTCCTTACAACATGATTGCACCCTCTCACCAAGCCGACCATGACGCTGCCCTCCGTGCCAGTTTGTCCACACTTCTCTCCTGCGCCGCTGCCGCTCGCGGTCTGCCGAAGTCACAGTCGCAAACCACAACCACCCGCAACGCCCCCGCACCCTCTTCTAGCCGCGTTGATCCCAGCACCCTCCGCATGGTTCCCGAATCAGCCCTCCCATCTTCTTCCCCCTCTCCTCCGGTAACATCTGTCAGCAAACCTCCAACTACCCGCACCAACACTGCTTCACCGAAAAGCGGTAGTTCTGAGGAGAAGCACAAGCGACGCTCCAGCCGGGAGCGGCGGGGTTCGACCAAGAAAGCCAGGCGTGCCGCCGGCGCCGGCGCTGTTGCCGCCTCTTCGTCTACATCTCTCGATGACAACTCTGCCACCACGGCGCTTGGCCAAGTTAGTCCGACGCTGCTCACCTGGGTCGTCAGTGCTGGTGTGGTTGTGCTTGTGTCCGCGCTTAGCTTTTCGGCTGGCTACGTCGTCGGGCGTGATGCGGGCCGGGCAGAGGTCGAAATGCTGGGCGAGATGGGCGCGAATGCTAGCAATGTGGGTAGCTGTGCTAGCGAGGTGGTCGGACGAGGGGGTACAGGCCTTGGACTGAGGAGGCTGAGGTTTTCTGATGCTGTGAGAGTCTCGTGAGCGGCTGGTGAATCCTGCCGCCTTTCTGAAGAAACGAGGGCTGTTTGGAGGGATGGCAGCAGCTGGTGGACTTGTTCTACCTGCCGCTCGATACGGAACCGATCGTGGATCGAATAAGCAGCAGCACATGCAAAAAAGGTAACGAAAAGAGCACCTTTTCGACAGTGCAGATATATTTCCCTTTCAACAAAAACTCGGGGTGCTGATCATCATAGATCTTTTTTTCCGTCTTTTTTCTCACACATTCATCGTCATCTCTGATTGGCCTTGCCCAATCAAGCGTGCTTCTATGATAAGCACTTCGATGCTTTCATCATGGGTACACGCATGCATCCAGAAGCACGGGCACGAAGACGTAGGGTTGGCATCTGTGTCTGGCGTCAGATCATCATTGCGCATCTTGGGGTATTTGTTTCTTGCTTGCCCTTTCCTATTTGCTTTTGCTCTCTATCTTGGACCCCTCTTCTCTTAATATGCTATTTGGGATGGATATCCATTTCTTTTGTCCGTTTTCTGGGACTTTACATACTTGGCGTTCTTTGGTGCAATATGAGCAACGACGGAGACGGTGAATGGAGCTGGAGCGTCTTTTGATGGTGATATCCGTAGGAGTAGTGATAGTACGACGTATAGTCAGGGGGCGACTTCTGAGGAGAGAAGAAATGAAATGATTATTTTTTCCAATCCAAGCTGTGCGTTTTCTATTTTTAGGTTCTGATGTGGCTGGAGAATGGCGTTTGTTATGCAGTGGTTTGTTTATTTTTGTGGGCAGGGGTGGTAAGCGGAGGGGAACAGGGCTGAGACCGAGTATGGTTGGCGATGGCGGGTAGATACGTGAATGTGATTTGGTAAATGGAGGCGCCTGAAGGGAGTAAATCAAGGCAGCTAGCGTGATATATTTTATATTATTTTGATTCCTCTTTTCATTGGTATTATTTTCAACCCCATATCGTGAAACCATTACTCTGGGGATTTTTCTTTTGTGGTTTACTTATGTGGCATGCTAATGACAATGCTGCATTATGCTGAGTGTCTTAAAGGAGATCAACAACAGCGGCAATGTCCGCACATAGGCGAAAAGGACGCCCTCATAATTCCCAACAATAACAGCATCATGGGCTGCCAGAAGCAATCGAAGCACACAGTCTCACCTAGGTGGCCGTAGTGGGCGTTGTTGAGTACGAGTTGCGCCCGTATCACCCCCTGATACCGCGCCGCAAAGCATCCAGCCCCAGATAGACTGGAAAATCATTTAGAACTAGCGGCGCAAGTGCATAATAGTGTCCACTGAGTGTGAAAGGACGTATCAGCATCTGCTAGCCGTATTCCATGTCATTCATGTGCGAAGGTGGGAAGTGATATCGTCAAAGCGGTGGACAGATCATTGAGCTACATCTGGGGACGTGATCTCAACCCAACAGAATCCCGAATCACGCGGTTTATTCTGGGAGAGCTGGGAGGAAATGGTTTATTGCAAGCGGTAAAGCTGCGGCAGACGGTTTGCACTTACGATGCAGACTACAAAATATTCGTGCTCACAATCGCCTGGGGGCAAGAATATATTGAAATCCTTTGGCCATTCTCAGGTCTTGCGGACCGCTCATGTGTAGAACTTGCGTCGAGCCTGGAAGTATGATATCCTGACGAGCAGAAACCAGACGGAATCCGAAATCAGCCTTCACAACACTAAAAACACTTCTTCAGAAGACACCTTTTTTTAATCACCACCCTCTTAAGCACGTCAACACTGAGCCTTAGCCCCATCACCCGCCGTGATTGCCCACAAACAGCAGTCAATTTGGATCTCCACTCAGCTCCTTAATTTTGAAGATATCCGTGGAAAGGTAGTAATCATCTGTTGGGACTCCAAACCAGCGTCTACACATACTATCAGAACTAGTCGGCCAAATTTCATTTTGGAAAAGGAATTTTGCTAATGATTCGGCTTTTGCTACGATGACGTGGATGGAGAGCATACTATGTTTGAACTCATGGATTCTTCCCCTAATAGTCTGTTGTGAGACTATTCACACTGCACCGTTACACACTCTAAGCTCTATTTGTATGATATCACGCTTTTCTATTTACCGATGCTTTCGAGTTCAAGTATAGAGCACCTCATTTCGAACTGCTATGGAGAAGCGCCGCCTAGCTAAGCAAGGCGTTCAGCTACCTTAGCAAGTGATCAATATGTACTCAAGTTTTCTGACCTGACTGTCGTCTCCGTGTACATTAGATCTGTTAATTTCCTTCTATTTGGAGGTGACTCAAATCAAAACCTGACGTCCAGTTTGCTTAGGGGACGCCTGGATTATTCAACACTTATCTCATCAGATGCAGAGAAGCAATAAGCTAAGTTCACTGAGTCTTAATTTTTGCTAGAACTTAGTATGTGGAAGTACTTCACACCGAGGTCTTCTAAGCTGCAGCTACCGGAAGGACAACTCTGTTGACGGAGCTTGCGGTCAGTCATAACATTAGTGGGCACTTGGACCCGTTAATATCTCGGATTCCGCATTGAACTCAGGCGTCTGAAGGCTCTAGCTCTAAGTAGCTTATATTCGCATGAATATTGCGAAGTTCTACCTCAGTGATAGTCTTGAACCCGACGAAACGACCAAATCTCAATGTTGCCATCTCCCGAGAGATCATATACCTTCAAACGTCTAAAGATCTAGCATTGCCGGGAGACCCGCCACGAAAAACTCACATACGTAGAATTCAGTTGTAAAACAAGGCAATAGACGAGTTCATCAGCCGGTTTTCCGAATCACCACGCAACCTCCACGCAAACACATGTCCTTCTCGACCGAAAGCCAACACGTTCAGCAAGGATATCGGAAAGGCGGCAAGGTCAAATGAGGGCATGCAGCGAATGGAAAGAGCAGAATGATGGCGAGGCCCACAAAGAGGTCCAGAACCCTCGTTTCACGGCTTGACATACCCGAGCTTGAACGGGGACAAGCAATCTCAAGCTTCGGCAAGGGCCATGCGCTAGTCCTGGAAAAGAGGTGTTGTTGGATGAGGGGATTCACCTGCAACGCAAGCGGTAAGGCCACCAATGACTGGCTTTAGCATTGCTTCACGAAGTGTATTGATTATACGGTGAAAAGAAGGGAATAAGAGAAAAAGGTATGTGGGAGCCCACTGCAAGCTATCAGATTCTCATGTAGTGCACTGTCAAAAGGCATTTCTTGTTGGCAAAAGGAAATTTCGAGCGGAAAGCAGAGGCCGTGTTTATTGTAGAAAGAGGGCGTGCGCAGCATTCTGAAACGTTTCTTCGCGTTGCGAGATGGGGTTGCGGCGAGCATTCGGCATTGCAGATCCGGCCGTGTTTTCCGGGCGTGCGTTCGAACCTCCCACTCTTTCTGATGCTTCTCTCCCCTCTTTACTTCGATCGAAGCCAAGAAAGCCAAGAGAAGGTTGTTCTTGCTTTTGCAAAACACCACACTCAACACCACATTCACCGTTCGTATTTTTGCGGCTTGCGAAAGTACAGCAAAGGAGATTCTCAGAATGTTGCAAGGCTCGCGGTCTGGCTTGCAAAGATGGAAGACGAAAAAGAGCAGACTTTGAAGTGAGGCAGTCAAAAGTAAGTGTCTACCTAGGTTTGATCTTCTTCAGACCAACGGAACTCTGACAGAAACAGGACATTTGAAGACTTCCCCTTATCCTGGCCGATCAAATCCATGAAGAAGCCATAGCTTAGAGCGCACACCCTGACACTTTAGCTCTAGAGCAACACCGGGCTCTTCAAGATGTGATTCAGAGACGTCGAGACCAGAATCCGGATCGATTGCATTGCAAACTCGCAGATTACCTACAGTACTCCTCAAAGCAGGACATGTAAGCATCTAGACGCCCCGTCTGTTGAATTAGCATAAGCTGACCCGAAGCGAGTCACAGGTAACAGGCTGGAAGCTCTCCGTAATGCTCGCGCGGATTTTAGCGGGACAGGCAGTCCGTTAGAGGGCATAGGTGTCTGCTGCCATTGCCCCATTCGTAACGGGAACAACACTCCCTAATCGGGATTACAGCACTCTGGAGCATGTGGTCAATCGTCGCTACATGCTTGTTTCCGAAGAGCTTATATGACAGGATTTCTTGAGCCCCTTGGAAAAGAGATGGGACGTACTCGGATCAATCTGTGCTTACGCCTAGGATCTGAAAGAAATGGGTCGAGTGTGCACCCCTCCTTGCATCCAATGTCGTTTTGGCTTTGGAACCGGAACGCAGACTAGCGTCGATATCGAAGGCCGAGAGGGCCACCGTCGACCTTACAGGACAAGTCGAGACTCAGCCCAGTGCGCCATGGGACAGTCAGCCCTGCACTTTCCACGTCCTCATCGTTGGGTAAGACGTCGTGGTTCACAATCCACTGGACAACTGACGCGCTCGCACGTGCATGCGACCGGAAAAGGCAATCCGAGATATACCGCAGATACGCCGCTTATCTTTTTTTTTTCTTTGCCTCCCGCACACACGAGCTCCAGTCCCCGCTATTTCTAATATCTTATCTTCGGGGAGGGTCACCCTCTCCGGACGTCTGGGGCAGGAATATGTCAGCAAGCAGCATGTGAGAAGGGGTAAAATGATTTTTTTCTCACCGGCGCCCCACGGGGTGGGACAACGCATCACTTAAATATTGACGCCTCGATCAGCTTCCCCTCCTACAGGTCACTCCCCCGCTTGCCAGATCCAGTCGTTCCAAGGTCATCTGCCGAATTTTCATTCCGACTTTAGCGGCCCGGCAAGATGACAGCCTCTGTGCCTGAAACGATGCGGAAAGGCGTCCCGATGTACGTCAGGGTTTCGATGCTGATCGCCGTTGGCGGTATGCTGTTTGGGTAAGTACCTTGTACCATCAGTAACAACTACAAGTCTAACTAACGAGATATACAGGCTCGACACAGGGACAATCGGGCCGGTGACGGCCATGTCGTCGTTCGAGAAATCGTTCGGCTCGTTTTCTGCAACGGTGCACGGCGTGGTCGTGTCATCAATCCTCATCCCAGCAGCACTGTCGTCCCTGATCACGGGCAACGTGGCAGACCTCTACGGACGTCCTCGCACCATAATGTTTGGAGCTAGCATCTTCGGCATTGGTGCGGCGATCGAAGCGGCTGCTAACAATTTGGGTGCCTTTATTGCCGGGCGGATCATTACGGGCGTCGGGGAAGGATTCTTCCTAAGCATGCTAGTGGTGTATGTGTGCGAGATCTCGCCGGCGCGGCGGCGCGGCCCGCTGGCGTCGTTACCACAGTTTTGCACCACCATCGGCATTGCCGCCGGCTACTTTATCTCCTACGGCACTTCCCGCATCGATTCGTCGGCATCGTGGCGCGTGCCACTTGCCTTCCAGTCCTTCATGGCCCTGTCCTTTGCCGTCTTCTGTACCCTGGTGCCACCCTCACCACGCTGGCTTCTTCAGAAGGGCCGGGCGAAGGAGGCGGCGCAGGTGCTCGCCAGGCTGGGGGTGCCTGCGTCTGAAATGGAGGAGAGCCTGCAGAACAGTGGCGAAGTGAGCCCTGATGACCGGCAGCCTTCTCTTGGTGAAAACATCCGTGCTTCTTTCACAGAGATCTCCAAGGCCTTTGCACCCGGAGTCCGCAAGAGGACGTTCCTGGGCTGCTTCATGATGGGCATGCAACAGTTCAGCGGCATAGACGGTGTCCTCTACTATGCTCCATTGCTGTTTACCCAGGCCGGCCTCTCGTCCGAGCAAGCCAGTTTCCTCGCATCCGGCGTCTCTGCATTGGTTATCTTTGGAACAACCATCCCAGCTACCTTCTTCTCCGACCACTGGGGCAGGCGGCCGTCTACCATCTATGGTGGGCTGGGTCTGGCAGGCACCATGGTGTTGATTGGATCCCTATATGCGTCGAACAGCGTGCACGGCGACCACGGCGCGGCTCGATGGGTGGTGATGGTGTCAATCTACGTCTTCGCCATCATCTTCAGCGCGTCCTGGGCAATTGGCTTCAGGGTGTATGCCAGTGAAATCCAACCGCCGAAGACGAGGGCTAGCGCTTCCAGCCTCGCACAAAGTGCTAATTGGGTAAGCATCGCATCAACACCCCCTGAATAGTCGTCAGTCACTCACGCAATGCAGTTCGCGAATTTTGTCGTCGCCCTCACCACGCCCGTCTTCCTGGCGCACTCTTCGTATGGTGTGTACTTCTTCTTCGGAGCGTGCTCGCTCTTCACTTCAGCCGTATGCTTCGTGGCGATGCCCGAGACGCGTGGACGCACGCTGGAGACCATCGACGCATCCTTCGACCATCACTCGTGGCGCATGAAGAAGAAGAAGAGCAGCGATGCCGGCAGCCCGGCAGTCGGCAGCGAGACGAACTCAGTTGTGATGCAAAGCGTGTCTCCGAAACGGGACGACAGCACCCTGCCAAGCGCCAACACAGTAGTCGGCTAAGCGCCTCCAGGGAGCCCTCCGTGCGGTCAGACGTGCAAGAGAACCTTCCCGCGGGTGAGTCGGCACGACGGCGTGCGGGTGTTCGGCAGCCGTCGACCGCCAGCCAAGCAAAGGTAAATTAATGATGCGATGAAGGCTGCCGTCTTTGCCATGGAGCAAACGCGTCGCTCGAGAAAATAGAAACGGACGATCACCGGCATAACTTGGTCCAAATCTCGGACGCCAACACACCAGCCATGCAGCCCCCCTGCCCAGTTCCTGCAGCGAGGCACGCCAAAGCTTAGGAGAGCTTGACTCTGGATTGACTTTGGGTTTACAGGACGCCTGAGGGCGCGCAAGAGGCAGTGATGGTCGGCAGTTTGGCTGGCTGGGCGGCCATGGCGAGATCTCGCAACACTCGGGCCCTCGATTGCGTAGGCCTTGCACGGGAGGAAGAAAGCTTGACCGTCGCAGGAGGCGCGTCGACCTGGGAAACTGTTTCAAGAACTTGACGAGTGGGGCTGCCAAGCCGCGTGGTGGCTGCAAAGAGGTCCACCCCCGGCGCGCCAAGACGGGCCTGCCCCCAGCCCAATCCACCACCACCTCTTTCGGACTTGGGATTTCTCCACAACTCGCGGCACTGTTTCATGACGTTCCCGCTCACGCCCATGCACCTCGAGCCACTAATTTCGGTGCCTGTTTCGATCCAGCCGCCGTCCCACCTCGCACGAAACATCGAGACCATGGCCACGAACCCCCAGTTTTGGCCACCTCCACCAATCAGCCCCCAATCCACTCGTCTCGACTGGCCATGTGGGCTTGCCCCTGCAGCGCCTGCGAAGCCGGACGCCGAACATATGTTTTCCCCGTCGGCGGCGGTTCCCGCAATCCCGTATAAAGGGCCATAGATGCTCCGTCTGTACAGCTGTCAAGTCAATCTTCACCTTCAGTCTTTCTCTATTTAACGCGGTTGATTCGCATCGCTCTTTGACAGCCATCAGCCTGCTGCGCACGCCTGACCAGTCTTCTCTCTCTTCAAAGCTTCCCTAACCTCGACCAACCAACCACCACCGGTACCACCACCAGTACCACTGCCACCACTGCCAAGATGAAGGCCTCTACCGTCGCTACCATCGCCATCTCTGCCGTGAGCGCTCTGGCAGCGCCCACCAAGACCCTCGGCAAGCGTGCCGCCATCACCGACACCCCTGACGTCGGTTTCGCTACCCTCAACGGCGGCACTACCGGCGGCGCTGGTGGCTCCACTACCACCGTCTCTACCCTTGCTCAGTTCACTGCTGCTGCTGAGGCTGACGGTGCTGCTGTCATCGTTGTCTCTGGCGCCATCTCTGGCAGCGCCAAGGTCCGCGTTGCCTCGGACAAGACCATCATTGGCAAGGACTCCAGCGCCGTCCTTACCAATGTCGGCCTGTACATCAACAAGGTCAAGAACGTCATCGTTCGCAACCTGACCATCAAGAAGGTTGTTGCCGACAATGGTGATGCCATTGGTATCCAGGAGTCTGAGAACGTCTGGATCGACCACTGCGACCTTTCTTCCGACCAGGAGAACGGTAAAGATTACTATGACGGCCTTCTGGATGTCACGCATGCAGCGGACTACATTACTCTCTCCAACAACTACCTGCACGACCACTACAAGGCGTCCCTCGTCGGCCACTCTGACTCCAACGGCTCTGAGGACAAGGGCCACCTCACGGTTACGTACGTCGGTAACCACTTCGAAAACCTCAATTCCCGTGGTCCCTCGTACCGCTTTGGCACCGGCCACATTTTAAATAACTTATACACGGTTTGTTACCCCTCTGCTCTTGTAAAAGCTCAGAAATTCTAATTAAAAGTAGGACGTCAGCGACGGCATCAACACCCGCCAGGGCGCTCAACTCCTGGTTGAGGGCAACGTCTTCGTCAACCCCAAGAAGCCTCTCTACAGCACTGACGCCGGTTACGCTGTTTCCGTTGACAACGACTTCGGCAGTGGTGAGAACACTGCTGAGGAGGGCACCATCTCCTCGTCCGACCTCGGCTACGACTACACTGCCCTGGCCTCTTCCGCGGTCTCAGCTTCCGTCAAGGCCTCTGCTGGCGCTACCCTCTCTTTCTAAGCGAAGGTAGTTTGATGTGTCGATGATGATGCTCAGCCATGTGCTGTTCGATCTTGTTGACGAAAAGGGGGTGCACACGAGGTGCATGTGGTGATGAAGCTTTGGATTGAGCACAGCGTGCTACTTCTTTGTATATAGTTTTCGCCGGCCTTCTTACAAGCCGCGGAGGAAACATATTGATATAACTGCTTGGGAAAAAAATTGTTGTCCTATGGTGCACTCCCAACTTTACAACTGCCGAGCACAGATGCCAAAGACCCACTGCACTTTATTTTTGTTGCAATACGTCATGAAGATCATCAATAGATCAACGATACTGGATGCACCCAGAAGAGTGGTATGAGACTGAGTGGGTGGTCGACCGGGAGGCGGCCCTGCTTGGCTGACTAAGCTACAAATAAAGCCGCCACGGTACACAATGCAACAATTTTACTTATACGGGTAGTTGAAGCTAACGTCCGGATGTCTTTGTCTAATTTTAATATCGACATTGACGTCCGGACAAACGCTTCATGTCCCCCAACTTGTCCGAATTAACTCCTAACGGACTATCGGGTATGATAATCGCCTTTCTTACAGTTGCTGTTTATTGCATTACTCTAGCTTCTGTTTGCAAATAGTTAGCCACCCAGCAGCGCATAGATTCTTCGATTCTACGCTGCCTACAAGTACTCTATGGATTATCCCACGCACATTCTTCACTGCACACGTTTCTGACCCCTGATTTGTGATCCACCTTGATTTGTGAGCCTGCGGCCCTCTCTTTTTTTCAGCGTTCGGACCGTTTCCTCTTCAGAGAGCCGGCAGCAGAGCGCACTGACTGGATGACTGGTCGCTGGGGTGATCCTGACGCGGACTTAAGGTGACGCTGCAATGCGTCGAGAATGCTCCGTTTCATCAAGATGCGACCCGCCCACCACGCGGCAAGATGCATGCATGGGTTTCGGCTCTTGTGCGCCTTTCTTTGTGTGCCGCCCACGTGCCGTCAGCCACGCCAGGAACGAGAAAAGTGTTGGTTTTTTAGTGGCATTGCTTGGCCAGTGCTCTCCCGCCGCGGACCGACGACAAGCGGGTGCAGAACGCCGCTCTTCTCCGAGCCGTGGGCTATCGATATGCCGCAGTGGGACTTCAATTGACCGTGTGTAAGCGTGAGTCAACCGCGGAAACCATCGCCCTGTGTCCACGCTCCTCTGTGTCATCGAAACTCGAGCCACCACCCGTAGCATAATGCTAATAAAGGCCGGCCGCCGGCCATTGACGCAACTGGCGCCCGCATTCTTGTTCCCGCCCTCGCCGTCTCCGTCCACGCTCTTTTCCGTCCCACCAACACCGCCAATTACGGCTCGTCCGATATCAGCACCACCCGCAGCTTCCATTTCAACAATCTCCCCCGCTTCTCGCGCCTCCTTCTCTCCGCGACATCGTTGCGCATCTCCCAGACTTCCGCACACCGCACATTTCCACAGAATGTCGCCGCACAACTACTACCCTGTGACGGCGCCGTCGTCGTCCTCCCCGACGCCTGCCGGCGTCTCGCCCTCGCAGTCTCCGAGCATCAACCACTGGACCCATCCCGGCCCTGCCTCAGCCGATGTACGCAGATCCCTCACATTTTCTTGAAGAGAGAGAAAGACAGAACAAAGAACGCCCAGCACCATCTTTTCCGAAACCAGAGCGGATTCTTCAACAACACGAAATTAAGTTAAGAACTATGAAGACTAACAAGCACGTGCAGTTCCGTTCTGACACAATCACCACCCCTACCGCCAGCATGCTCGCAGCCATCGCCTCGACCACCCTCGGCGATGATGTCTTCCTCGAGGACCCGACAACCAACGCGCTGCAAGCCTGGATCGCCGACATGCTCGGCAAGCCGGCCGCACTTCTCGTCATGTCTGGTACCATGGGCAACCAAGTCGCCATTCGGACCCACCTGCAGGGACCCCCTCACTCGGTGCTCTGCGACCACCGCGCGCACATTCTGCGCGCCGAGGCCGGCGGTGTCGCCGCCCTCTGCGGCGCTCAGCTCGAGGGCGTCTTCCCCGCAAACGGCAGCTACCTGACGCTCGAGGACGTGCAGGCGCACGCGGTGCTCTCGGACGACATCCACGGCTGCCCGACGAAGCTGATCGAGCTGGAGAACACGCTCGGCGGCAACGTCATGCCGCTGGCCGAGATGCAGCGCATCGGCGCCTGGGCCCGCGAGCACGGCATCATCACCCACCTCGACGGCGCGCGCCTGTGGGAAGCCGTGGCGGCCGGCCACGGCACCCTGCGCGAGTACGCGGCCTGCGTCGACAGCATCCAGCTGTGCTTCAGCAAGGGCCTCGGCGCCCCCATGGGCTCCATCATCGTCGGTACCGACGCCTTCGTCACCCGCGCCCGCTGGATCCGCAAGAGCATCGGCGGCGGCATCCGCATGGCCGGTGTCGTGAGCAGCGCTGCTCGCAATGCCGTCGAGGAACAGTTCCTCGGCGGCCGTCTGCTGCGCACGCACGAGCAGGCGAGGCGGCTGGCTGACAAGTGGCAGGGGCTCGGTGGTGTGCTGAGCGTGCCGACCGAGACGAACATGGTCTGGTTGGACGTCAAGAAGAGTGGGGTTAAGGCCGAGGACATCGTCACGCTGGCGGCGGAGAAGGGCATCAAGACTTTCGGCACCAGGATCGTCGTGCATTACCAAATTTCCGAAATGGCCATGCAGGGGCTGGAAGAGGTCATGGAGGAGGTTATGAGAAATAAGAAGGCCGCCGCCCCGGCAACTAATGGCACTGCTGCAGCATAATTGGATGGATCATTGGTGGTGTCACCGATTGAAAATGTAAGTTGAATGTGCACGAGAGACAAAAAAAGGAAGAAGCCTTCTATACTCTTGGATAGAAAGATACGGAGGCCCTGTTTTCGTAGATTTTGTAGCGTTACACGTTTCTTGTTTTTCATTTCCCAGAAAGTCAAAAAGAAGAATGAACACTGTGATTGGTATCCTCAACCCTCTGGTATCCTTAAACCTTACACGCCCCCTTTGCTTCGCACACCTCTATGCCAGGTACTACTCCTTCAACGTGATCCCACCCCTCACATCATCCCCCACAACCCCACCATTCACCGCCCTAACCAGCGTCCCCAACCGCGCACTCGCACTCGCATCGATAAACTCTACACTCTCCATAATCAACACCTCCTCCTCCCCCTCCCCCTCCTCCTCGGTAAACTTCAGCGTCCAAATCAACTCATTCTCCACCACCTCTTCCCCACCCTTCTCATCCCCATCCCCTTCCCTCTTCGCCCGGAAATAATAGCTCATCCGCACCACCGCCCGCCGCGCCCACTCGTCGACCGTCACCTCGTGCACCTCGGCGCCCTTGGTGCCAGCGCTCGTGATGTACCGCCCCGTCGACGCGCAGTGCGCCGCCAACCCCGCGTTGTCCATGACGGGCGCTAACCCGGCGGCGTTGTGCCGCACCAGGTGCGCGTGGCCCCATGCGTGCGTCGCGCGCGGGTGGCGCAGGGAGAGGAGGTGCGCGGTTGATTGCGGGAGCGCGTGCGCGAGGGCGAGGGTGCGGAGGCGGTGGTAGAGCGGGGAGGGTCCGTTGGGGGCAGCGGTGGGGGTGGGGTTGGTGGTGGGGGTTGGCATTGTGGACCCTTGTCTCTCTCTCTTTTTTTTTTTTTAAACCGTGGTTTTCCTGAGGGGCACCCCTTGTTGAGGATTTAAGTTTGGAGGTGGTTGTTGGGCTGGGGGGCGTCGATGTCTCGCAATTGGGCGGGTAATGAGGGGGTGTTGTATGTGTCTTTCTTTGCCCCCGTTGCGATTGGTGTCCCACGGCGGCGGGAAGAGTCGTTACTTTAAAATCTTTGTTTCCTTCGAACGTAGGATGGAAGACAAAAAACAAGTTTGGAGAGTCTTGGTGCGAGGTTGGAAGTTTCGATGATTTGCCCTGTGTTGCTGTTGCAGCTATATATAGTTGTGTTACATGCTACGTCGGTCGTACATACAGTACTTAAGGCTGCATGAAGAATTGAGGATGCTACCTAACAGTACTGGGTCGCTTTTCGGCTGACGCTAGTAACGCCTCACTATGATTCATAGTGAGCGCGAGGGCATTGTAAAGTAAGCGAGAGCTTATCAAGGATTCCGCAATGGTAAGCGAAAATTGCGAGACAATCAAGCCTCGATACTCTTAGTGTAGCTAAAGAGTTCTTGTCCAACTTCACGTTATGTACTACTTTATGATAAAAGCTGACGCCGAAGGTGCTAGACCGACTGCACGAAAGATTCAAAGGAAAATAAGAACAGAGTAAATTTAGTATCTTTAAAATGATGAGGAAGGAAGAGTGGGGGTATAATACACATCATATGGTTGACGATATTGGCTCTCGCCATCTTCAGAAATGCGGAACTGGTTTAATTAGTTTTACTGTGTTTAGCTCTTCGAAGTCGTCGTAGAAATATTGACCACACTTCTGGGAAAGTCTCTAAGCGTACTGTTCAGCTTGTTCTTGAGATTTACTACACGTTCTTAGATCCACCGTTAGTAGCCAGCTACTGGCTCCTTGAACGAGTGCTCTCTATCCTAGTATAGTGGGTCTAGCTGAGTCACTGATATAAGTTACGTTCAAGGAGACGAATCTTCCCATTCAAAGACATCTCTTATTCACCAGGTGACTGTGTAAAAGCTCTCATAGAACAAGTCTCGCTCAAGGAAACAGAAGAATGAATTGACCCCAGTTCAAGAACGCCATGAACAACTCAGCTGAAGCCACTCTGTACAGACAAATACCGGCAGTACTACACCCTTAGAAATGACTTAAGACTACAACTCTTCATGATACACCTCCTCGCTTCCTTCTTGACGATCGGCTCCTTCATCCTCTTCGAACCGGCCGCCGTCCTCACCCATATCATCACCCCACTGGCCCTCCGGATCATCCAACCACTGCCACTCCCATATGTCTTCCCACTCGCCCTCATCATAACCGCCATTCTCACCACCACCATTCTCAGCTCCCTGCTGCTGATCCATCCCCTCCTCGCCACCATCTTTCCTCCCCTCATTGTCTTCCCTATCCTCACCCTCATCATTCTCAATAATCCCCCTGAATTCCTTCCCGCGCGGTGTATCCACCAGCTCCAACCGCCACGGCTTACGTCCGGCCAACTTAGAAAGTTGTTTCCTCAGTCTCTCTACTTCCTCCTTATCGTTGATCTTCAGCGCCTTCAGCTCCTCCGTGCTCATCATCTTGTGCGGGCGGCCCCCGCCCGGAGATTCGGCAACGATGCCCAATAGCGTCTCCTTGCCACCGCCCACCACGACTGACTTCTCGATCACGGAACCGGGCTTGCCGACGAGCTGCTGCGCGCCCACAACGATGCCGCCGATGGTCGGCAGCGGCTTGCTCGTCGGTTGTTGCTGGGTGGGATCGCCCCCTGCGGCGGCATCTGCGTACTTGAGAGCGTCGGGGAGGTCGATGTCGGTTTCGGCCGAGGCTTCGTCGGTGGGGATGATGTGCATGGGATTGGACTTGCGGCGAGGGGTGATGGATGGCACAGCGGCGGCGCCGGATGAGAGGATGGGTGCGCAAGAAACGGGGTGTGCGCGGTTCTCCTGCGGTGGGAGGAAGGCGACGTCATTGCACAGGCGCGGAGTGTAGATGACCATGAGGTAGGAACAGGTCGCAACCTCCTTGATCATGCCGATGCGATCCGGAGTATTGGGGTGACAGTGGAACTATTTCAACCGTTAGCTTTCAGAGTCTTTACCTTTTTGTCTGGGATGAAGCTTCATACCTGAACCTCAATCTTCCGCTGCTTCCCCGTCAGGTCGCATGTCGTACCACCCGTCAACTTCTGCACGAGGTACCTCGTCTCGCCCTTCGTCTCTAGCCTGGCCACACCCGTCTCCTCCCTCTCCTTCCCTCCTACCGGCATGCCCTCGTCGTCCACATCCTCACTACTAGCACCACCTTCGCTCTCCTTCGCGCCCTCCTCGCCCTTCTTTCCATTCTCGTTTTCCTTCGGGAAAGTCCCGAGAATGAAGCTACTCACGCTCTCATCCTCGACGGGCGGGTAAATGGGCACGCCGCGGCTAGGCGGCAGCTGGTGGAACTGCTTGACGCTATCGTTGTAGCAAAAGCTGTAGCTCCACCACCCGCTCAAGAAGTAAATGCAATTGCCCTGCATGCCCTTCAGCAGCTCCCAACCGCGGTCGCTTGCCCGCGCCAGCTCTTTCTCCTCGTCGGCTTCGGATGCCGTGCCATTGGCCGAAGAGGCGTTATTCGTCGCGCTCGTATCGACGAGAGGTATGCGGCAGAGGTACGGCTGCGAGTTCAGCATCATGCGCTCGTACACGGCGGCGAACTCGTCATCGTCGTCGTCATTGTCACCACCAAGGTGGCTGTTGGGGTCTTTCGCCGCGAAAGGGTTGGGCTGCGGCGGCGCATTGTCACCGCGGAAGAGCTTGTCCCCGTTGGTGTTGTCGTCGCCTTCTTGCCGGTGGTGAGAGAGCTCGACGGTGGCTTGCGCGGCGGCATCGGCGATGGGCTGCTGCTTGGACGGCGAGGCGGCGTGTAGTGACCGGGCGTGGTCTTCGGATATGGCTGCGTCGGTGAATACGACTTGGTACTATTCATTAAAAACCCCGGCGTCAGTGGTCGGTCGTGGTGTGCAACTGCGGTGGGAAAGTTGCGGTTGATGCCAGCTTGCGCACGGCAACAACGCGAACGAAGCCAAAACACACCTGCGGGAATGCGAGCAGGTCGTCCAGTACACTGAACGAACCCTGGCTCGCCAGCGCGAGCTGGACAATTGCGGGCAGGGCCCAAAAATGCCTGGTCATCGCGGCGGTGAAGACAGGCGGCGCATCGGTGGTGGTACTGCGGAGGAGAGGCGGAGGTGTCTTGCGGAGGGACAGCTCGCCTCTAGCTTCCGCCTTCCGCCCGCGCGTCCGCCCAAGAAATCCGCATCCAAGCTACTCACTGCACCTCTGCAAAGCAATCATTGGAGAATTTGATCATGATAGTTGAGAATCTTCGCTATGCTATTTTTCTACGGCTTCCCTGAGCCATGCATCCATATCTTCGTGGTACATTACAATGCCAAGTCTGGCAATCATCCAAATTCGTTTGCATTCGTCCCCTCATGGTATCCAACTTGGAATAAAACAATTAACCAATATTGATAAAGAAATTCAAGAAAAAAAGCAGTTGTGCAAAGTTCAACGCTCTAGGCGTTCTCCCAGTTCCTCCATTTACATCCACAACCGCCAGTGCCACCATCAATTCCACCCGGTCCACCCTCGGCCAGCGTGACGTTGACGTTACCAAAGGGGCCCGAGGCAGGGTTCACCAAAGTCCCGCTGAAGTCGCGGTTCTCCAGCTGCAGCTTGGCCGAATCGTCGATGATACGGCCCTCGTCGTCCATGCCGTAGCAGTAGATCATCTTCTCCGTGATGTTGCCGCCGTGTCTATCCAGCGTGATGGTAACGGGATACGGGAAGGATCCCGGTCGGTCGAAGTTGACGGCACTAGAAGCGGTCGATGAAGCGCCCGAGCTCGTTGAAGTGGGCAGAAGCGCCTTGCTGTCTTCCGAGTTCGTCCAAATCTGAACAAGGTACCGCGTCTGCCTCCACGTGCACCGCACCTTTGCTGCGTCCTTGGTAGATCCTCCATCCCGGTCCGCTTGAATCTCGCCCGTGTCGGTGCTGTTGACGGCGATGTTGTTCTTGAGGAAGATCGACCGGTCGAAGTAGTTGTAGAATCCGTAGTGCTCAGTTGGTGTACCACGATTGTACAGCTTCAAAGGCTGGTTCGCGGGGAAGAACAAAAGGTTCGCAGCCGCAGCAGTACCGTCTGATGCAATGTCGGGATCAGGAATGATATCCGCAATGGTTCCATTAGTCGAGCTCTGCCTCTTGGCCAAACGCTTCGATGAGACATGCTCGCCGTTCAAGAAAGAAATGAAGAACGGAGTATCTTCACCTGCAAAAGGTGATGAATTCCCGTCCGTCGTGTTTCCAAGAAACGCTTGATCTTCCCGGCTAGGAGCCGAAGGGGAAGGGGTGGGCTCGTCCCGAGTCCGGAGAAAGTTGAGCCACCTCCTCTGCTGAATCGATCGCTTGACCTTGGTCGGCTGCAGAGCCGTTGTGTTGGAGATGGTGCCGTTGACAAACTTGATTTGAAATTTGAAGTTTGGCTGGTTGGGTTCGTTCGGTTCCAGTTCCTGCTGCTGCTCTTTAGGCACCGCACAGCTCCACATCGTCTGCGGGGACACGCATCCGCTCTCCTCATAGTTGTTGTCAGGCTGAGCAATTGTTGCGACGCCTGTTGGGATGGGAGGGAATCCAGTCAAGTTCAGCCATACTGAAGGAGTGTCAGGGACATTGGTTGCTGAGGGACTACCATCCGGCGAGGTTGAAGAACCACCGGTGCTAGAAGTGCCACTGGTGCCACCATCGCTACTGTGTCTCCTAGGTAGCAGGGTTCCGAGGAGAGCGGCCATGATAATTAGGAGAATTAGGAAGAAGATGCAACAGCACCAGCAGCAGCATCTCCTCTTCTTCTTTTTCTTCGCGGCAGGGTCATTGGGGTCCTGTTTGGCGTGATTACGCTTAGGGAAAAGATGCCAATAACCGCCTGCACCCTTCCTGCGCGGTGCCTTGGGCGCTTTGGGTGCCTTCTGCACCTTCTCGGTGTAGTGAGGGCTTCCAGGAAACGGCCTCCGCGTTCCACCTCTTTCAAGTGGTTCGTTCGGGCTTCCATAGCTGGGCGGATCCTGCGTGAAGTAGTTATTTTGCTGGTGATGGTGGTGGTGGTGTACCTGCGTCGGCGGCGGCGGGAAGTAGGGAGCCTCTGCCGGAGCAGGTGGGTTGGAGTAAGGAACAGGCGCCTGTTCACGCTGATTCGAATAGGGGGCCTCAGCGGCTCGATGATTGGAGTAGAGAAATCCTGCTGCAGGCCGCTGATTTGACTGGGGGATCTCTGATGAAGTACGCCGGCTCGAAACAGGAACATCTGCCGAAGTACGCCGACTGGAAGGAATTGCACCTGCAGGCGCAGGCATTGAGATGTCATGCGGCCTAGAGGACCGGCGGGTCGAAGTCGACCGCCGAGGAGTAGCTGCAGCTGTAGCCGCCCGCGGCTCAGCTGGTGCATCTTCAACATAGGCGTTCATGCTGCGAGGCGTGCTGGTCGGATCGTGAGGTTCGTGCACGGCACGGGCTGACAGTACGGTGCCCAGCGACGCTACCGCGACAACAGGGGTCGTGTCTGTACTACGGAGGGTGTCGCTGCGTACAAAGTCCCGGTCCCGATAGAAAGGTACGCCGTTGAAATGGTAGTGGTTGGAAAGATGAAAGACATTGTTGCTGTTATTGTGGCTGGGTGGCGCGGGGTTGGTGGGAGAATCCGCTTTAGCCTCAAATCCTGGTCCGAGGGCGACCGGGATTTCCCTGTCGCTGGCGCTGATCGCGCTTTGGGCACCCTCGGGTTGATAAGACCTATCTAGAGATTCGCGTGATGGAATTGTCGAAATTCCCAAGTCATCGTGCGTCCTCACTGGCGACTCATCCGACGACGAACGCTCCCAAGTCGCCGGGCTAGTAAATGCCGTCGTAGATGACTGTGGAGTCTGAGCTGCCCTTGATCTCGCAGAAAAATTACGATGTAAATCTGGCGAACGAGAGAAACGCGATAGAATCATGGGGATCATTGGAGTACTCGCGTCGCTGGGCGTGCCAGGTGCGAACCGGAACCGAGAAGGGGTGAATTCGAATGGAGTAGTGATTATGTTCCACCATCCTTTAGAACGATGCGGGGTTGGCGGAATGTTCGTGTCAATGTACAGTCCCGTAGGGCCTCTCAGAGTCCCTGCTGATTGAGGCGTCTGGTCTTCTTCGAAAAGAGTGGCGTCAGAAGTTACTCGCGGTTTCTTGGTGTTCGCGATTTCTTGTGCCTTCGAAGAGGCGGCTGGTTGGGGCGGAGCGGGTTCAGATGGAGATGGACTCTCAGAGACCACAAACCCATTCGCGGTGCTGATCCCTCCGGGGCTGTTGTCATTCCTGGTTTCGAAGTTCGCCGGGATTGCTGGAACAGGAGGAATGTACTCTCGACTGGGATTGTACATCGTATATGCGTTCGTTGCCCGGGAGTAGACGCTTGATGCAGGACGAGGCCTGTTGTCAATGGGGAATAGCCAGCCAGCCTTCTCCCTTGCAGGAGTGACGATGATAGTCGGGGTTTCAGCCGAAGCAGGGCTGTTGGATCTTTGATGATTGGCGGGATGGACTCCTAAATTGTTGCCTGACTGTGCCGACTGAGGAGTATCGTAGTCAGAAACCTGCTCCGGTGATACCGTCAGACCAACGGTGATGGGACGATCGGATGGAGACACATCGAGCGGGCTCATGCGGGGCGGTTGGATATTTTCCGGTGTCTCAGGTACTGAAATCTGAGCGACTGGAGGATCAGGGGGAGGTCCCGGAACAAATGGAACCATCACCGGCTTTGTCTCTGGTTTGACTTCTGGAGCATTTCTGCGCATCGTTTTTGACTTGAATCGGAAACCGTCGTCCTCCGGGAAAGACCCCTTCTCTTGCAATTCGTACGTTGGAGCCAACTTGTCAAGGCTTTCTTTCCTGTCGTCGGATCTCAACTTACGTATCGAAGCCGACTTTGCCAGTCCTAGCCACTTGAACTTGCTCGGGACCTTCTCCTCTTCAGGTGGCACCATTCCAGGCTTCCCTGTGGCGAATAGCCCTCCTACAGCAGCGGGAAAAACTTGACGCGGCGCAGGCCCACGATGACGAGAGTAGCTGGTATCCACAGCGATAGCTGGCCTCATCGTTTGGCCAAACGGCTTGTTCCTTCTCTTGGATCTTGACTTGTTGAGATGCGACGACATCCTCTTCTGCTTGGCGAAGGCGTTCTGTGCAGCAACCCGCGAGGCATCGTATGCCCAGTTCTGGGAAGGCTGGTAGCCTCCCACAACGCCTTGAGTCTCCATCAAGTTGCCCGTCTGAGGAGTTTCGTATGGGGGAGGGGCCCTAAAGTTCCCGGATTGCACTTGCCAACTGTCCAGACCCGCTGGCGGCTGTACTGGCGATCGAAAGTCCGCGGCAGCAGGGAAACGCGTCACCCTTTGGATCTTGGAATCTTCGACAAGGTCCGGGCCTGTGTAAATTGTTCCCGGATTGAGCGTCGCCATACTGGCTGTCGATAATTCGAGGTCGTGCGCAACCGTCCGCCTTGGGGGCTTCGTCAGGAGGGTTTGAGTCGGGTGTCAGACAGAACGTCGAGTCTGCGACAAGGGAGGGTAACGGGATTATGAGTGGTCGAACGAAAACATGGTCGCAGAAAATGTGTTGCTTTTGTGAGCCCGAAACACTGTAGGCTTCTATTGTTGTCTAAAACGCAGGGGCGATGACAATAGCAAGGCAGCAACGCGGCGTACGCGGTGAATAACGCGAGAAACAGACAGAAAACTTTTGAGAGTGAATAGAAACAGAGGAAGCAGCGAAGAAGAAGAAACGGAAAAAGCACGCGATTCGAAGCCGTCGGGCGGACAAAAGTAAATGTACATTGGTGTAACGGCCTAATGCTCGAAAAAGCGCACATCCTGATTGCAGGCGCCGCAAAGCAGGTACTGTACAGCGCGAGCAGCGAGCGCTATTGGTGGAGCGGTACGAATGATCATCTCGCGAGCTTGGTGGGCAGGTCTGGCGGGAGGTTCGGTGTGGTTTTGCAGTTTGGTTGGCTCTCGAAGCGCCCTGGCGAGAATGCCGGCGTTGATCAGGCCGTCCAAAGCAGCGACCATACCCACTCCAGCCTAGCCCACCCCAGGCGCCAGCAAAGGCCGCTCTCTCCCGCCGTGCACGACGAGCCACTCGATGCAGCCCCAAGAGCCTCACCAGGCGCTAACCTGCTATCATTAGCAGCGAGCGATCCAACTTCATACACATGGGAGGCATCTTCCGCCGTCCGCGTCGTCCGCCTCGTCATCCTGCGCGAGGCATGCGGCCGTTGAACGGACAGCAGCACGCCAACGCGGGCTTCATTGTGGTCGCGCTGGCAAATGCGTCGTCGCCAGCTGTCGCGCGTCCTGGAGCGTCGTGCGTCGCGGGTTCACAGTCAGCGCCAGTAGAGAGTCTCGCTATGGTCTACCGTCGATCGCGCGAGACGAGCTCCAGTGCGCTCGTGTCGGCGCTGATTTGCGGGGAGGATCGAGGATTGCGGGCCGTCACCACGAGGCATCGTTGCGATCGTCTCTGACAGCTGCCGCTTGGGGCAGCGTAGACCAAAGAAGCGAAAAGAAGAGGTTGCTCGTCGAAAGGAGAAGCTGCGCGGGCGGTGTGCCGCTTCATCTCGCCTTATCTTCGGCGAGCCGAACCCTCTGCAGCGCGCCCGTGATGCTGACCGTGACCGCCATGCGCGACGTGTCTTCAATTTTTGCTCGTACTGCTGATATCACGCAAGGGCTTCGCGAGCCCAGCCGAGGTGCCATCGCGCGGTGGTGAGCGGTGATACGAGGGCGGCGAGGCATGCGGCCAGGCGATCCAATTCTGCCGTGAAGAATAATGAGCTCCGCCGTTGCTGGAGGGGAGCTGCCAAGCAGCTCCTAATCTCCGCCCACGGCCGTTTACCTTTAGACTCGAAGCCTCGAACCCGTCGAGAGATCGTCCTGCGCTGCTCCAAAACCACTGCACTGCACCTGCCCGCTCCCGCGAGACCTGCGCCGCCCTGGCATCTGACATCGCGCCCTCGCAGCCCGCGTGCCCGCCTCGCTCCTCCGCCAACATCCCTGTCCTTGCGACTGCGACCCTGAGCTACTGCGCGCACGACAGCAACAGCCGCAATCGTATTGCACATCTGTCCACCGCGAGCCCAGGTCGCATCCATCAAGCCCGGCCAATTGCACCCCTCTGCCTCAGCCATCTTTCGAGCCCGCCAGATAGCGCGCCGACCTTATTCTAGCCCCGCCGCCGAGCGAACCCTCCCTTCGTACATTTAGCCCTATATCTGTGGAATAAAACCGCCTGCGTGCGGCACCAGTCGCCAATCTGGCTTCCCCAACTTCCACCACCACCATCCCGTCCGGCCACCGGCGACGGCGCTCGTCTGCTGGCCCTCCGAATCTGCAAATAGACGCAACCCAGCAGCACCGTGACGCACGACAGGGCGCCACCTCCGGACTCCCCGCTCGCCCCGGCTTTGGCCAACCGCTCCCCGCCATTCCCGGCACCCCGGTCGAAAGCTCGCAGGGCCTGCTGCCGACGCCGACCACCCAGACTTCCATGTCGCTGTCGCGCTCGCCGTCGCCTCAGCCGGGCGGCGGCTGGGCGAGCCCAGGGCTGACCGCGCCCTCGCCCTACAGTCCTCACGGCAGCGGCAGCGTCAGTCCGCGCATCGGCGGCAGCTTCACAACAACCAACGGAAGCCACAATGTTACCTGGGGGTCGGCGCAAGCCCGGAGCGACCAGGTGCGCGGCTACAACTCGCGCTTCAATCCCCGCGGCGGTGGCTTCTTCTCGAGCCACCTGCGCAGGTTATCACAGGGTCTTCCGTTTGCGAATACCCCCAGCGGCGCGTACGCCGAGAAGGAGAAGCTTGAGCGCAACAAATGGGCGCCGCGGAGGACAGGCACATTGAGCGCCATTCCATCGTGGATCGCTGGGCGGCTGCGCTTCATGAAGTTTCGCTTCGCCTTGGTTTTGATCGTCGTGCTCTTATTTGCGCTCACCTACTTGCCTCGTAAGTATTCTCAGCTCTTCCAACCGAATCTACCAGGTTCTAACTCAGCCACAGCCTTCGACAAGATCTACAACCATGCGCTCGGCGGAGGAAACAAATACGTGATAATACTGGCTGCGAACGTGGGCGGTGGTGTCATGGAGTGGAAAGGGCCGCGCGAATGGGCTATTGAACGCGACAGCGTGAAGAATAAGAAGAGGTACGCGCGCAGGTGGGGATACGAGCTGGAGATCGTCGATATGAGCACCAAGAAGCGTTATGCGCATGAATGGCGCGAAAGCTGGGAGAAGGTTGACACCATCCGAAACGCTATGCGAAAGTATCCCAAGGCAGAATGGTAAGAGCTTAACCCGAGGAGAATTGGTTGACGGAGGAGAATTCTTATGTGCTGACTGTATATTACAGGTTCTGGTGGCTCGATCTCAACACCTTCATCATGGAGCCCTCGTATTCGCTGCAACAGCACATCTTCGCCGATCTGCAAGCAAGCACCTACCGCGACATCAACGAATACAATCCTCTTAACATTTCACACCCGTTGACACAGGAGTGGCTCGACCCTCTCTCGCTCTCCGCCGAGGGTGACGGTAAACCTGAATCCATCAACCTTCTTGTGCCGCAGGATTGCGGTGGCTTCAACCTCGGCTCCTTCTTCGTCCGCCGTAGCGCATGGACTGATCGACTCATGGATCTTTGGTGGGACCCGGTACACTACGAACAAAAACATATGCAGTGGGAGCATAAAGAGCAGGATGCGCTGGAATATCTGTACGAGAATCAGCCGTGGGTGCGGTCCAATATGGCTTTCATTCACCAGCGCAAGGTCAACGCCTTTCCACCAGGCGCTTGCTCCGATAACGGCATCGACCCTCGCATCCATTATAGCGAGCAAGATCGGGACTTTCTCGTCAACATGGCTGGTTGCGAGTGGGGCCGCGACTGCTGGGCAGAAATGTACTCTTACCGCGAACTGAGCAAGCGTCTCAATGCCGGTTGGTGGGATGGCGTCAAGGCTTGGATGACAGGAGAGGTTGGCCGATTCCGCCGTGGTAAAGACACCGATCCGGCGGATCAGATGGTGCTGCAGCAACAAGAAGAAGAAGAGGCGGAAAGAGCGAAGCAGCAGCAGCAGCAGCAGCAGCAGCAGCAGCAGCAGCAGAAACAAGATGACCGAAATGAGAAGAATGAGCAGGCGTAGATGGCTTGGCGCATTGTCTTGGGTTTCCTTCCTTGGGGTCATGTTGGATGAGGCCCCCTTTTTCTTCTCTCATTGGACACCTTTTCTGCCCCTTGGTGTTTTTTTTTTTTGGTTTCTTAGCGATTTTGCTCCCTTCATCTTGCATACTGCTCACGTTGGGTTCTTTAGTCATTTTACTCCAGCCACGCATCGTTTTGCTTATTCGCGCTTTTACACGATCGCAAATTCTTTGCTGGACGACACGTCGTTCATGCCAAGAATTGGACGTACTTCCCTTCTCTTCTCATGCCATGGAGTATATCAGGAATCAGCTGGGACGTACTGAGGGCGATACAGTTCTCACAAACCCCTGGGATCCTGTCCTGGCCCTTACCTTTGTACTACCTTTTTTTTTCTTTTCCTTTTTGATTTCCTAATTTTCTTGATTTCGCTTCTTTTCTTCTTTGACATCACGAGATACCTTGCTGCCTGCTTTTCATTCGACTGCTCTTTCCATTGTATGCAAGAGCATCAGGCTTTGGGTGAGGATTGGATTCGTTACAGGAGGAAGATATCCGGGAACAAGATTAGGTGGAAGTAAGGGTGAGAGGATGGCATGTAACTGGCCTACGGCAAACAACAACTCTGTATGAAAGCGACGATGAAGAACGCGATCACCGAGGAATATAGAAGATGGACTACATCAACATTTGTCACAAAGCAGTGGGACTTCCGAAATATGCGGAAAGTCCTCTTTTCTTTTGGTCATACTAAAAAGTGATTCGTGGTGACAACCATCGGATGGCAGTGGTCGAAGAAGTAAAGGACGCTACATTCTTCGTACAGGGGAAATTAAAATGTATGGTCCCAGACATGAGCGTCCGAATTGTACAAATGCATCTTGCTATTCAAGTCAAACACCTGCCTGCGTAAGCAAAATACTGTATTTCCGGTGAGAAGGTTTGACAAAGCTAAACTCTTTTTCCTCTACCATTTCTTCTCCATCCCGCTCCTCTATTTTCCTTGTTCTTACTTCCTACAGCGAGATAATGGTGTTTTCAGCCGACGATCTTTCTTGTGCGCCAAGAGGAACCAACGACGATGACGACACACGCTCCGATGCCAAGACTTAAGGATGGGCATTAACCGACGCTGGACACCAAAAATTGAATGACGTCGGCCCTTGCGGCCGGAACGGAGGTTTCAGTGCTCGACTATCTTATTGCCAAGAATATTTTGCTGCTGATCACTCTATGATTATCTCCGTGGCGAAGTGAAGATCATGAAGCTGGCGAGATTCTTGAATTTTGAAAAAAATTTCATGGTAGTAGTAACAACGGATACCAAATCATCCGCGACCGCCGGCGGCATCTATCAGAAACGAAGAAGCCGACAAGTGGTAGTGGTGATGGTGATAGGTGGTAGTAAGCAAAAAGGGAGTTCAGGGTGAAGGGGGGAACTGCGGGTCCGCGGAACACCAGTGTTTTCTTTTCGTTTGTATCATAGACAGCCAATAACACACTTTGCCAGGGGAGTGTAAAAGCGAGAAAAACGAGAATATACAGTAGAAGTTAAGGTATAAAGGAGCTTCCCTCTTCCCCTCTCTCCTTTTCTTTCTCCGCTGAGAGAATGAGAAGACCGAGAGTGTGGAAGGAAGCGGATGAACGAGACATAAGTTTCCAAACAAATACGATTTCCTCAGGCTTCACATTATACCCTCCACAGAAGGATACATATGGAATCGAGGGTGGCTGGTCGCCGGCCACCATTTCCCCTTTCGCTGTACAGGATCATTTATACACGCGCGCGTCTTTGGACATTCTTACAAGATGGCGAACATCCAGCCGGCAATAGCCAGGACAGCACCGCTGACGGCACCAGTGCTCACGACAGCGCCGGGCATGGCAGCACCGGTGCTGGAAGCGGCAGCGCTGCTCGAGGCAGTGCTGCTGCTGGAGGAAGAAGAAGAGTCGCTGGTCGACGACGAGGACGACGAGTCGCTCGTGGCAGAGGCGGACGAGGAGCTCTTGGTGCCAGTGGCCATGGTGGTGCTCTGGGCAGCACTGCTGTCCGAGCTGTTCGTCGCGGACGCGGCGCCGCTGGTGACGGCGCCAGTGCCGGCCGCGGCAGTGGAGTCGGCGGCAGAGGCGGCGGCGGTCGACGAGCCGGCCGGGGCGACGGTGTGGGAGTGCGCGGCGGCGGGGGTGCCGAGCGGGGCGCTGGTCGCCGGGGTGTTGCCCGAGTAGGTGTAGCTGTAGCCGTCGGGCATCGTGTCCGAAAGGAAGGCATCGGCGTCGTCGCTGTAGCTGGACGAGGAGCTGCTGCTGGACGAGGAGGAGTCGCTGGACGACGAGCCGTCGCTGGTCACGCCGGAGCCGAGCGAGGCGGTCGCGATGGCCGCGACAGAGGACGAGACGCGGTCGTAGCTGTAGGAGTAGCCCTCGGGCATGGTGTCGGCGGCGAAGTTGTCGGAGTTCTGGGCCACGACACCCGAGGCCAGGAGGGCCGCGGAGGCGGACAGGATGAAGGCGGTGGAACGCATGGTTATTTGCTGTGTAGAAAGGAGATAGTCTTCGGTGGTGTTTCGTTCAAATACGAGTCTCCCTTTTGTCGAACCTGGCGAGGTGGGGAGATTGGATTGCTTTCTTTTCGTATTGCGTTTCCAGGAATGGGTCGGCGGTCCAGACGAAAGGAGCGTTTCCAACGAAGGGCAAATGTGGGTTAGGTAGAGACCGTGGTGGAGACCAGCAGCACTGGATACTCAAAGGGACGAAAATTGGATAACCAGGGATCCAGGGGAGCGAGCGTAGAACAGAGGCAGGTGCAAAGAGGAGAAGTTCGGTGAGAAAGAGCGGGTAATGTTTTTAAAAGAGAAACATCGGAGAGTGGGTTGGGCTGCGTAATGAGGTCTGGGGATTAAGGCTGATGCCTCGGACCACGCAGCCACCCATGCTGAAACACGATGGTGGACGTCCGATTGGCTGCGCCCTCCGTTTACCGGCCGCTTGGCGGTTAGTCTTCCCGTTGTTTCAGCCCTCGCCGCATGGGGCAACGGGCGGGGCGGGGTGTGGCGATGCGAAATTGTGAGTAGGGGGATGGGCGCGCGCTGATGACCGTTGCAAAATGACGCCTCACGAGGGACGGGAGTGGCGGTAGAGGCGGTGTCTTGTTGTTGCCGGCGGCGCTGGTGTACGGCGTCCTTGTGGCTGCAACACCAGCTGGTGCTGTTGACTCGGGCCCGAAGGTTTCCAGGCAAGCTGCACGTAAGCCCTTCAATCTGCATTGCCATCCAATGCGCATCCTTGTTGCTCGCAATCGCCCTTTCCGAGACAGGAAGTTAAAGCCACACCTCCCTGGACCCTCTCCGTTGATTCGCCCGATGCTCCGCGCCACACACATAAGAGCTGATCACTAATTGGTCGTGTCTTTGGTATCATTCATTACTCTAAGATATACCCATGTAACCCGTTAGAAATGGCACTTTGCCCCCGCGCTGCTTTTTTGGTTTCAAAGTCATCACAACCCATCCCTGCTTAGATCTCCAGCTTCTCGTTCTCGCTCTCAGAGCTGTTTGCTTTTATCCTCGGGCTGGTCGCCTTCTGCTGCTTCTCCAGCGTCGAGATCTGCGGTGTCGGCATCGGTGTCGACCGTGCCGTTCGCGTAAAGTAGGAAGAGATGTCCTCGCCAAATTCATCATCGCCAAGGTCGTATCCGTTACCCTTGGCCTCCTCCTCAAACTTGCGCTGCTGCCATTCCTCCCAGTCGCCGCGCATCTCCTCGACGCGCTGCTTGTAGTCGGCATCGGCGTCGTAGTTCTTGCCGACGCCGCGGATGCGCTCCCACACAGACAGATGCTTGGGGTGGATGGCAATTCCGTGGTAATCTTGCTCGCGACCGGCGCGAATGAACGTCCACCGCCTTTCTTGCTCCTTGAGATCCAGACCGGTCGTGTCGGGCAGGAAAAGCCAGGTCATGAGCGCACCGGCCAAGCCGAACCACGGAACCACATAGAACTTGGTCTGAGTGTCGATATAGTTGTACAGCACCGCTGCGAGCAGTGCGCCCAGCTTACCCATTGCCGCAGAGAAGCCGTGTGCCGTGGCACGGATGGGTGTGGGGAACACTTCGGCCGCAACCAGGAACGTCACCGAGTTCGGCCCGAATTGGTTGAAAAAAGAAGACAAGAAGTACATGGCCTGGAACTCGTGGATGTGCTCCGGAGACGTGTAGTACTCATAGTTGAAAGCGGGGATCACGAACAAGATGAAGTCGAGCATGAAGCCAACGATCATCATCCACTTGCGGCCGTCTGTGTTTGAATTAGCGAGTCGTCAAGCAGTCGTTGAGAGTGTGTGCACTTACAAAGCTTGTTGTCAATCAGGAAAGAAGCTGCGTAATATCCGACAAGTGAGACGGCCACGTTGATCAGGTTGTACTCCCAGGTAACCATAACGTCCTTGCTCGTGGTGATGACCTTGATGAACTGGCTCTGGAACAGCTTGTTGCCGTAGAAGAAGACGTCGTTGGCGAACCACGCACCGGCGGTCGCAATCAGGCGAGGGCCGAAATAGGTGAAGGTGAGCTTGAGCGACTCGGTGTCGTAGCCGGTGATGTGTTGCTTCTTCTTCTGCATGGCGAGCTGCTTGCCTGCCGACTTCATCTTGTAGGCACGGTAGAAGACCAGCCACAGCGTGCCGACGGCCGGGATGAAGAAGGAAACACGGTAGGTCCACTGCGCATCGGATTTGGCGTATGGCGGGCCACTGTAGCCGTGCGTGATGCGGAGGAGCACCATGAGAATGACGACGTTGATGAACTGGCCCCAACCCTGCATCAGGAAGGCGCTGGTGACCTTGCGACCACGGTGCAGACGATCCTCCTTAGTGGAAACCTTGCCAGAGCCAACAGCATTCTCCATGCCGGACGTGGCAGTCATGGGGTACTCTCCGCCGACACCAATGCCGTAGAAGAAAAGCGCCCAGACGTAGCAGATGATCCAGCCATTCTGGGTGAGACCCCAGGCAGCGGTCAGCATGACAAGACCGACGAACATGATGACAGCGTCCTGGATCAGGCCCCAGCGGCGGCCAAGCCAGTCGCCAATGATACCGACAAGGATCTGACCGACGATGATACCGCAGATCTCCAGGTAGTCAATGGCTTGAGTCCAGGTCTTGTCGCAGATCTCATACGTCTTCCAGCACGTGCCGAAAGTATCTTCGAGTAGAGGCCTGACGTTGCCAATAGAGAAAAGCACATATCTGAAACAGGTTAGCTACAGCCAAGATGCTGGGCCAAGGAGGAATCCTACCCTTCCAAAAGGAGACCCATGCCAGGGATGATGCAATTCTTGAAGTAGTAGGACCAAAGGGTGAAGGCGCCCATGATCCATCCAATCGGAGCGAGGATGCCGCTGAACCGAGAGGCCGAAGTCTTGAACATGGACCAGAATTCGTTCGTCTCCTTCTTGGCCTCGGCCTTGTCGACGCTGGACACGAATCTTATGCGCTCCATGATGCCCATGTCGGCCCAGTACTTGCCTGAGGAGTCGAAGCTGTCGTCGGGCTTGAGGAGGAAGTCGAAGACGCCCTTCTCGTTGGGGTTCATCTCGTGGAAGTCGCGGGTGGCCACATGGTCGCCAGCCATGTTGGGGCCGTGGGGGGCAGCAATGCCATAGTCGCGCAGCGAACTCTCGGTGGCTGCCATTGTGATTGAGGGAGGAATGGAGGGCAGGTGTGGAAGGGAGGAGAGGCAGCGGGGTATTGATAAAATACCCTTCCCGGAGCGGTGTCGCGTGAGCTCCTACTCGTAACGGCAGCACGCCCTCGAGGCGGCTTGGCAGAGGAAAAGTTTACGCAGCCGTGGCGGCGCCCCAGTCAACGTGGACGGATGAGAGTGAGGCTAGCTGGGGGTTGCCGGGCCCGGGGCTGGGCACTTGGCTTTGCGGCGAAGGACGCGCGCTCGGGGTAGGTGATGGTGATTGGCTGCGCGCAAGCAGGCTCAGAGAAGATCCGGGGGAGCTTCTGGGAGCCTCAGGCGGGACGGGTATCAATTGGTGGCAAGAAAAGGTTGTCGGGCGGAGAGTTTGGAGCAGAGGGGCGAGTTTAAAGGGCATTTGCGTGGAAGCGTTCGCAGACCACTTGCCGGCCGGCTTGGAATTTTTTTGGCGGGAGCTTGTCAAGCGGCCGAGCCCAAGGGAAGGCGCGGTGGAGCTTGACATTTTTGGTGGATCTGATCGCCGTAGGCGATGCTGGGCTTCGCCTTGGGCGACGCCGGGTTGCAGCCAATCACAGGCCGTAGCCGAACACATGGGCAGTCGCTGAGGCTCGACTGGTTGCGGACTCGGCCGGGCCTCAGCAGGGGCCCGTTCGCCTCCGCGCCACGCTGCACACCACACGACATCACTCCTGCCCATCGGCATCACCCAGAGATCTCTGCAGCCCTGCCTCCAAATGAACCGCCTGCCACTCAGCGGTCCCCGACTCCCCACGCCCCGTGAGATGCGCTCCGTGCCCGCTTTGCACGACCCGCCCCCATGCTATCCACCGCGTCACAGCCAACCAACCCTTCCTCTGATGCTGCATCGGACGCGCACGCGCATAAGCTGGGGGCGCTCGACCCGTCTGTTCGTCCCCGCACGTGTCTCGGTTCCCGACTCTGCAGAGGGCGGAGGCAGTAGTGAGGCGAAATAAGGGTTCATTCCAGGACTCGCAATACAGAACGTGGTTGCACCAGCACAAGGCCACGCGCTGTCCCGGATCCCTGGCGTTGTTTCCCCGTCTGCCGCGTGCATTGTTATCGAATGTTGAAAGAGGCGTCGTAATTGCCGGAAGCCCGCCTTAACCGCCGCTGTTAGAGCTGGCCATTGCGGATGCGCGAGAAGCGCACGTGTTCGGTCGAGCTGCTCTCAACACTCCTGAACTGCCACCCACCAACGTCTCCAATGTACGAGTTGACGTTCGTTCTCTGTTCGCCAAGCCTGTCTGCAGCCGTGATGATCTGCTGCAGCTGAATCGGAGGCCCGCGGCATTGGGACTCCAAGACTGCGCCCAGCACGATTAAGCCGTTGGACCCATGACGCCGAAGTGCTTGCATGCAAGCCATCTGCTTGGCCTCGAAAGTGGCGCCGCTAAGATCACGCCCAGCGCGGGAAGCGTTTCTTGGGAACTTGTCGGACGTGTAGCATTGGCCTACGCGCCTCTCACGTCACTTGGTGATTCGGTGCACCCGTGTCGGCGCAAGGAAACGATTTCCAATGCAACGTTGAGTCACAAGAGCTTGCACGCTCAAGCCATGTGTTTCTTCTGCTGCTGACGTAGTGTGTCGCATTGTGCAGACCGACGATGTTGGTGTTATAGCCGCGGAGACCGGTTTGAGAGACACTGGATAGTGGGAGAGCCAATCTCCGCGCCATTATTAGTGAAATTTGAGTGCCCTCGTCACGCCGTTGAAATCCAGGCCTGGCTGTCGGGTCGGGCCTTGCAGCCTTAGGACGTTGAAGATCTTCGTGTGGTTAGGCTAATGAGATTGCCGCCCTTAGTACCGGTTACACTTCCTGGGGTTCACTTGGATGGCTGGACTCGCTCGTCGCGCTAAACAGTCCAGGTCTCTACAGCTTTCGCTTAGTATGGTCACACCACTGGAGACCCGCTGAAAGTACTTGGTCAATAGAGGAAACCACCATACGAGTCGATGGAGGGGACCTATTGAAAAGTTAAAATGCGGACATCACACCACATGAGCGGACTGGGGTACGGTTATGAAGCCATATACCATCGGAAAGTACAGCAGAAGGCTGGCTCAACCTCCTCAGTTCCGAGCAATGATGACTTTCTAGATGCTGTGTTACAATATGAGGAGTCTTGGCAGGGTCGCGGATGGCTCACGTGCCACGTGACAGCTGGAGATTGGGGACGACGTTATTGGAATAATTGGCAGCAATCAGGGTCTTTCCTCCAGACGTCCGTCGTTCATTGAGATGAGAACCGTTGCGCGTACAGTCAACCAAGCTTGTGCCGCTGATTCCGCGCGTGCCAGCTTGTGGCGGGAAACAAGATTCCATGTAAACGTAGTCTCGCACGAGAATCTTCCATGACGGTTTCATTCCTTTGAAAATGGCTCACAGAAGGCTTGCGACTCAATAAGCTGCGGCGAAATGAGGAAAGAGGTGAAGCAGGTGCGGAGGTTCTAAGTGTTAGTAATGACAAAAGCCCACGCGCGGCAAACGTGACCGCGCGCAACCCTCTGACGCGACTTGGTCCGTGCTTTAGCGCCCATAGGCTCTCCTCCATTCCGACTGCCTGCCGTTCCACATCTCGCACCGAAAGCCCGTCCTGCATTGCTCGCCACTGCGCGCACCCCTCCATATGTACTAGGGCCTGTGTAGCATGTTTCGAACCCCTCGCGAAAACGCATATCTCCCTCCTTCTCAACGAGTCGCTCCGTCGGTCGGCCGTCGGCCTTCGCCACCACTATCGCGCTCTACCTCAACCTTCGCTACAAAGCCGGCAACCGACTCTGCTGGGTCCGCCGTCATGGTTACGAAAGCAATTCCTTCTCGCTCCTCGCGCCCTTCTTCGGCCTCGAAGCCGAAGCAGACGAAGCTCGATTTTAGCAAAAGTACTGGGAAGTCAGCTACTTCGAAACCGAAAGCCCAACCGAATGCGAGTATCCTCAGTTTCTTCAAGAAGACGGATGCCCCCCAGCATATGGAGCCTGGTTTGTTCCTCGACAGTAAGGGCAAGAATGCAGGTAGAAAAACAGAGCAGAGCAAGGACGATGTGGTTGGGTGGGGTGACGAAGAGCCCTTTGGCGAGGATGCCGCGGAACCTTCACGATTCAATGAAGATGGTGGGAGCGTGAAAAAGAGGCGAATCAGCACGGATGTGGATGAGCTAAAGGACCAGCGATCATCCCCGCCTTCTGGCCTCAATGGATCGTCTCTTGCCGCTAAGCGCCCTTCTGGACCGTTTCTGGATGATTCTGACAGCGAAGGGGAGGAAGAAATCATACATAAGCAAGCATCTTCTCCATTGGAACATGGCCGTGGTGAAGGGGGAAAGGAGAGTCCTCCAGCAGGCGCGGATACTCCTCATCCCACCAATAAAGAGGTTGGTGAAGAACCTGACCATGAGCAACCAGGAGTCCCACCACTAAAAAGAGAACCTACCAGCTTTTTCGGAACCGAGGGATTTGATGAATTTGAAGGACTCGGTAATTTTGACGACTTTGAAGACGAGGAGGAGTTCGGGGACGAAGAGAGACGATGGATGCAGGAGCAAAGAAAGCTTGAACTGGACGAAGTCGACCTCGAAGCCGATTCTGGCAACCCGGAACCAAGCCTTGCAGGCGGTGTGAAGCTGGAGCTGGGTGATGAAACGAACGATACAGCGCTCATTTCAGATGCCCCGATTTGCCCGATTTGCAACCTGAGTCTTGAAGGCGCCTCAGACCAAGATGCTTCAATACACGTGAACAACTGTCTGGACGGCAAGCCAACTGCACTTCCACCTCCAAAAGAGCCGGCAGGCGGCGCAAGCTCGACCGCAGTTGGTGGCGCAAGCCGTTTTCAGCGACCTGCCAGACCGGCAAAGCCCGGCCAGGCAAATCCTTTCCAACTAGGGGCAACCGAAGGAAGTTCCTCTTCCGCGTTTACCAAGCTTATGTCGGGACATGCAGAAGATGCTGCTTGGGCGAGCGCTGCTGCTGCGGAAAACGCTTCTCGTGGCAAGCCGTCATACCAGCGTACCTGTCCCTTCTACAAAATACTTCCAGGTTTTTCCATATGTGTCGATGCATTTCATTATGGCGCCGTTCAAGGCTGCGAAGCCTACTTTCTTAGCCATTTTCACAGCGACCACTATATCGGCCTCACTGCGAATTGGCGCCATGGCCCAATCTATTGCAGTCGTGTCACAGCGAACCTCGTCCGACAGCAGCTGCGCGTAGATTCGAAGTTCGTTGTTGGGCTTGAATGGGAGACGGCTACGGAAGTTCCGGGAACAGGGGGTGTGACGGTCACCATGATACCAGCAAACCACTGTCCTGGCAGCTCGCTCTTCCTGTTCGAGAAACCAATCGGAAAAGGCAAGAATCCGAGAATGCAACGCGTGCTTCACTGTGGAGATTTTAGAGCGTGTCGGGTACACCTTGAGCACCCACTCCTTCGGCCTGATGTGTTGGATGCTGTCTCTGGCAAGACGAGGCAACAGAAGCTCGATGTATGCTACCTGGACACAACCTACCTCAACCCGAAATACGCGTTTCCGAGCCAAGGAGAGGTCATTCAGGCCTGCGCCGATATGTGTGTGAGTCTGAATAAGATTCGAGCGGATGAGACGGATGGCTGGGAGCAGATGAAGCGGGAACGAGCTGGGAAAGGTATGGTTAACTTTGTTCGGAAAGATTCGGACGTTGTCAAAGAGGAAGACAACGAGGAAGACATTGATGCAATGAAGCTTTCTAAAGGAACGAAGACTCGAGGGAAACTCCTAGTGGTCGTCGGAACGTATAGTATCGGCAAGGAGCGCATGTGTTTGGGCATCGCAAAGGCTATGGACAGCAAGATTTTCGCGCCACCAGCAAAGATGCGCATCTGCAAAGCACTTGAAGACCCGGAGCTGAACGAGCGTCTGACGCAAGACCCTCGCGAGGCCCAAGTGCACATGACCCCACTGTTCGAGATCCGCGCCGATACACTCGACGACTACCTTAAAGACTACCGAGGCACGTTTACGCGTGCAGTCGGCTTTCGTCCGACTGGTTGGAATTATCGCCCTCCGAACTCACGTTTCACCGAGTCACCTCTCGTGCAAACGGTGCTGCATTCGAACAACTGGAAGAGCAATTTCAGCATGCGCGAGCTTGTGCCCCAGCGCGGTAGCACGTCGCGTGCCAGCTGCTTCGGCGTGCCGTACAGCGAACACAGCAGCTTCAGGGAGTTGACCATGTTTTGCTGCGCGCTTAGGATCGACAAGATCATCCCGACGGTCAATGTGGGTAGTGCGAAGAGTCGAGAGCGGATGAAGGGTTGGTGCGAGAGATGGGCGCAGGAAAAGAAGAAGAACGGGCTGTTCAAGCCTGCAGATGGAGAATATTGGTGAGACTTGCGCAACCTATGTAGATAGAAGGCAAAGGTCTTATGAGAGCCCGCTTCCTTTTTCATTGGTTGGCCTTCGAGCCCAGCGGATTTCTTTGTTTGCAGTGTTGATTTTATGCTGAGGCATTGTACAGCACTATCTTGCAAAGTTATACTGTCGTGAAGATAGAAGAATACGGTGGATTGGTGACACGACAGGTCGAAATCGCACCAATCTAAACACAACTTCATGCTAACACTCGGCTGCGGAGCTCGTCACTGCCACTTGATCGTACAATGCCATCTTGTAGCGGTATGTCGAGGCGAAGATTGCGGACTATAACGAGGGCCGTTCGGTGGTAAATTGGTGATGTGATAGGTCGGAATAGCTTTACTTTACGTGGACACAACTTGATGGTAGCATCCTATAGTGGAACAACGGCTACCTACGAACATGAAAGACTTTGGGTACACCGTCGACATGATAGCTAAGTCGACTTCGTTGTAAGAGTGACTGCGAAAAGGCTGCACCACTATGTAATTATCGAAGATGAACTGGTTTCGACAAAGAAAACACGACATATTAATAGAGAGTTATAGCTCGCATTACAAAGCCGTGTTCGCGTTCGGATTCGCAATCGGATGCGTAGCCGGATCTGCAGTTGTATGTTCGTAGACTCTTTCGTATGGAAGTAGAAAAAACCGCTTTGCTTAGCTATATGGCGAACAGGGCTGTATACTATTGATTCTCGCTTTTCATGCGACTATTTAGCTTGTTTAAAACGCTTTGCTATAGCCCCTGGTGTAGATACTTCGTCCACGAGAACTGTGTTATCTGTTTTACTCTTTAGCAACTTTGCTGTAGTTACACACTAACTCGCTACTGTTTAGTACTGAGCTTGACTTTCGGCTCGGTAGGCTGGACTCGCTGCTTGCAAATCGACAGATGGATGACATGCAGTCCTTTCTGCTCGGTATTATCATAAGTTCGGACAAGTGAGTTGATGGTAGGTTTTCCTAGCGTCAGTCACGTCGAGACATTCGCAACATAGTTATACATTTATTGCTAACTGATAATGCCGTGGTCTGTAGATTTCGATGTTCTTCTAAGAGCCACTTGACTACTGTCGGAGGAGAATCTGACTTGGAGCACATACTCAGCCCGAGTTCGGCATGGTGGTGGTTCGATTGACAGGGAAAAACGCATTTCTCGGGGTCTAGTCCAAAGCTTGTGCTAGCTTCTCGACTACAAGCGTCGAAGATGTGATCAGTCAAGCAAATCATGTAGAAGCATCCCTGACCGGCAATGTGTTGGACTCGTCATCTCATGAAATGACGGTTGGCGGAAGACGATATGATTGGAAGTGGCCGTTCGCAAGTGAAGTTTTCCGAGAGAGCCGAACTTAAGCGGCAGGTACTTGCGTAGTGGTGGAGAAGTAGATGGTAGGTAAAATGGCTCATTCCAGGGTCAGTCTTGGACGCTCACGGCGATGCCGCGCGTTGAAAATGCCAAGCATGCCATGAGATTGATGGAGATGACGACACGGCAGGACCATCTCTTGGCTTCAAGCAGCCAAGAAATGACGACAGCGGCAGAGAACAGCGGTTCGTAGTGTTGTTGCTTTCTTTTTTCTTTTCGATGGAGTGAGATGATGGGGCTATAGCACATGGACCCGTAAGCCGATACCGGTTGTCGCAAAATTTGTCGAAATTTCTTGGCCCGCGATCACGGCCGATTGCATCCAACGCTGCATGTATTTGAACGCCAGCTGGCAGGCTTGCTCGACGTTTTGCCACAGCGGTCGAAGGCATTGCCAAACACGTCGGCACAGCCCATGCAACGGAGTAACTAGGGCCATGCCGGAGAAACATAGCTTGATGGCGGAGATAGCCGGGGTTAGTGATCTGCGGCTCGCTTGATGAGCGGCTTACCGTCGCGTAGCGTTGTACCTGACGTCCCAGCATGAATCGTCAACGAACGCACCACTGACAAGAGGCTCTCGGGGCACGCGACAAGGCCCCCTCGGCACGCAACGTTTCCCATAGCCGGAGGCTCCAGGCCCCGGCGGGTCGCACCGCCTCTTGACCAGGCTCACGGACCAGGCTGCAACAGGACATGTAGGTGCGAGGAATGCCGCTCGCCGCACGTGTCGGTGAATTGGACGACACAGCCGGAGCAACTATACCGCAAAGCGACCAATAATCGGCAATGTTTTGCAGCGGGATTCCTCTGCTCTTGGCTATTGGGCGGCTGCCTACTTTTTCCTCAAGTGCCGCAGGTGGGCTGCATACCAGCCAGCTCCTTCCGGATCCGTCGCCGAATACCTTAGCCCAGCTCTCAGGCATTCCACTCGACTGGCTCAGGAGAAGGCGCAATGCGAAGCTGATGCGACCTCGCTTCGTTCTTTTGCACTGCGACTTCTTCGCCTTAATTGGAGATACGACTGCCAAGCGGGTGCGGTTTGGATGCGCCAACCGAGACAACTGGGGCTTACGAAATTGAGCCCGCTCCAGCCATTCCGATAGGAGGTGATTTCTAAGAACGACGCGTCCGTTCGCAAACACTAGATTAAGGTGGCGAGAGTGGAGCGAGGGTGCTGAAGGAGGGTGCTGGGCCCAAGGGGGCTGGGAAAGGCGACTCGAGGCTCATCGTCAGGTACCTGGGGTGCTGACTCGGACGTGACGACCTTCGCACCAGGGGCAGTCGCGAGCGTCGGCCCGACTGCTGCGCAACCAACGACCTGCCGGGCTGACTCGACATGCAGGCATCAGAACGCAGAACCGGTGTCAGTCAAGCCGTGTGACGGCTGCGCTTGGGCGCCCGGAAAACCGGACCAGCTGCCGCTGTACACCGTCGGTCTTCGCCTCTGGTACAACGCCCGACGATCTCAGGCCCTCTCATGTTCTCTGCAGCCCGCGGCGCCCGTTGCGCCTGCCCTGTGTCATGTAGCTGAAAGATCTGCACAGGCACCCGGCCACCGTGGGCCGTACCGCTTGTTAATCATCCGTACTATACACCACACCAGTGCGCAAAGAACCATGCCTTCCCGCTCCGATCCCGCTGCCCTGCGCAATAGACCATGGCCAGGCCCGTCTGCTGCCCTGATCGTACCGCGGATCCATTACGCCGTCAATGGGCGCTGTATTGTAGACGACTCCGCCTCCCGTTATCTGTCAGACCCACACTTCGGCAAGTTTTGTTAGACCCTGGAGTCTCCATCCGCAGCAGCATGCCTTAGTCATGCCCTTCCGTTCCCGCCGCGATGCGCATCTCGCGCACAGCCTGTCACTCACCCGTCTTGTGTTTTATTTGGGGCACCAGTGCCGACCTCACCTCAACCCCATCGCTCCACTGCCCTTTTTCCCACCGTTGCCATGTTTACCACTTTTGTGGGCGTTTCCCCACGCCCATCCACCGACAAGGGCCCCAATTCCCCAGCACCGCGCCCAAAGCGAAGTCAGGTCCACCGTGCTTGTGACTGGTGCCGCCTGAACAGGGTCAAATGTGACAGCAGCCGGCCGTGCCACAACTGCAAGCAGATCGACCGCCGCTGTAGCAACGACGGCCTTAACGAATTCAGAAGTTTGGCCTCAGCTACCAAGTACGGCGCCGGACTTCTGCTTTGCCAAACAACTAGCTGACTGTTCTTCATACAGGGAAGTTGAGCGCCTACGCGCCCGCATCAGAGACCTTGAGCGACGCCTGAAGGCCTCCAACGCCGGCGACACACCCACTCCACCCTTGACGCCAAACAAGCCATGGCCCCGCGTGGACGATACTTTGGAATACTACGAAACAAGGATATCCGCCTCTGAAGGAGTAAATTTTTCAGATCATGTTAACTTGCACGATATTCATTATTACGGCCCATTCTCGTCGAGGTCATTCACAAACGAACTGGCCTCTTTCCTAGCCGCCGCTCTACACCACCCAGTTGGCGACATCCAGCAGCCCGACGATCCAGGCTCGGCTTTGGTCCCAGTTGGTGGACTGGCTTCACTGTCGCTTGAAGACCAGATCAGCTGTGACTGCCTAAACAAAACACAACAAGATTACTTCCTGGATCTGTTCTGCGCTCACCAACACACCCTGTTCCCTTTGATTGACGCCTCTGAATTCCGGCTACACTACGAATCCCTTTGGTCCAAACCGTCACTTGAAGTCTCGTTCAGGAGGTCGTCACCGCTCGTTGACATTGTTTTGGCCTTGAGCATACAGCTTGGCGCTGCTTTGATTCATAAGTCCAAGCAGGCCGGTCCATCCGACCTCAGAGACTCACGTTTGGCTGGTCGTATGTATTTTCAGCGTTCCCATGCTTTACTGGCCGAGGAAAATAAGACAGCATCTATCACAGCTGTGCAATGCTACACATACAGCGTATTGTATTTGGCCAATGCCGGTATGATGAATAGCGCGCAGCTTCATTTAACCACAGCCATTCAAATGGCTTACGCTATCGGTCTTCATCACGAGCCCCCTGAGCACTTGTCAAGCGCCCAGCAAGAGCTCCGCCGTCGGCTGTGGTGGACTCTGTACACGCTGGACAGCACGACAGGCATGGATTTGGGCCGCCCCTGGCTCACACACTTGGCTTCAACCTCTATCCGGCTACCAAACGACTCGCCAGAAATGGCTCAGGCGCTCGCAACGGATTATGTCTCGCCATCACCAGACACCACGTGGTTAAGCTTCCACTCGCATGTACTGCGCTTGGTCAACACCATTCGCACTATCGTTGCCGCTTTTCGGGACAAGAGTGGCGACATAATGAGCGAGACGAAAACAAAAAGTTTCTACAAAGAGGCTCAGGCACGAGAAAAGTGCGCTCGTTTCCTATCAGACTGCGCGAAAAGGCTTAGGGTATGGACGCAAGACGTGCCTAGCGGCTTGAAGATACGCAGATACGGAGGCGGGGACGCCTTCTCGACCGACACCTCCTCGTTGGAGCTGGACTTCAGCGCCCCGACCTGGCTACAGGTGCAGCGTATTTCCCTCGCGTTGCGCTATCACAAACACGCCATGGATCTCTATCGCCCTTTTATCTGCTTCACTTCGTCTGGCCCGTCGTCTTCCTTCACCCCGCTCTCGGACAACAACGCCATCGCCTGCCTCAATCACGCCGTTGCCATTACCAACATCATCCATCAAACATTCGCGGAGACCGACCTACTGAGCGGCTTCCACTGCATTTTCCAATACCAGCAAAGCGCTACTACCGTTGCCGCCGGCTTCGCCTGTGCCAGCCCCTTTAGCCCGCACATGGCCTCCGCGCGGCAGGCTCTCGCAACAGCAATCCAGTTCTTCGATCGTTTCGACGCCACAGCCTGCTCTCCTTCCCCATTCTCTGCCTCGGTAAACCTGGCCCGCGATCTCGGCGCCAGGGTCGACGCCATCATCGACGCCTTCCGAAACGGATTCTCCAGCCAGCCAGCCACCACCACCATTACCGTCACATCATCATCAGTATCATCATCGTCGTTATCGACCTCGCCTTTCGTTTCCGCCCCTCCAACAACAACGGCTCTCCTGGAGTCTTCGCCCTCGTCGACGATGCTCGACCACCACAACCTCCTCGCCTCGCCTGCCGCGACGGCCACCACATCCACCTCCAACCCGAGTTCGACGCTTGGATCACCCCACCCTCATTCGTCTTCGTCATTCGGCAACGATGGGCTCATGGTCAGTGCGGGTATCGACATGGCGCTCGGATCGGCGACGGCAGGAGCGGAAGGACTCGGCGAATCTGTTTCCTGGATGGCAGATATGGGCCAGGTGATGGGCTTGGAGCAGCACCAGCAACATCGGCACCAGCAGCAACAACAATCTCATCAACAGCAACAGCAACAAGAGCAGCAGCTGTGGCATGGGGTTGACGTGACTGCGGATGCTGATTTGTTGATGAGGGAATTTGGGTTCTCGCCGGCCCCGTCGGAGTTGCATGGCGACGTCCATCAGCAATACGGTCATGGATTCAACTAGCACGTAGGAGAGGGGGGTTCGTTAGTTCGTTTTCCCTTTGTGAAGCGAAGATATCATATAAGCCATTAAACAGTGAATGCACAATCTAAAAAGTCCAGAATTCCAACCCCCCCTTTTAGCAGTGTGAGAAATAATGTGCTCCATGTTGTAGCTGTGGAAGAGGGGCAGCGACTTCTATCTTCCGGATACACCGCACATCCTGGATCTTCGGTCTTGGTCGCTTGCCCCCCCTTTTTTCGGACACGAGTGACGCTAGAGTTGTCCAAAGGAGCACACTGATCGATCTCGGCGCGGATATGGATCATGCAACTGAAACGGCTTGGCTGTGCTCAACACGGTTAAGCATGGCCACGTTCCATGATCATAGCATGCACGTTCCCGCAAGGAGCTCAGGAAAACAAAACGGCTAATGCAGGCAACTGACGGCAGAAAAGAGGTGTGAGTCAAGTGAGTGCATTAAGAGCGATGGGCTTATAAATCGAAATCTTCTCCGACGCGGGGCTCACTAATGACGCTAGTTGCTTACTGTGTGATATCTTCGGGGATCATGTGGGGGACTCCCTAAGCACTCATATGAAATGAGTGAACGTGTTAAGCAAACACAGTTACAAGGTTTACACTCTTTCCGCGTAAGGATTTACCTCTGTTTTAATAGATCATCAAATATAATTAGCTGCCAAATTCATTTAATGTCTGCTGCCAGCTTAACATCAGGATCTCCAACGGCTCCAATATCCCCAACGGCTCCAATGGACCTGACAATCCCAAAGATTTACGGACGTACGTCACACCTGATTCATTCAAGCTAAATGTCTAGCGCCCGTTATAGCGACCCGTTAGCCGAAAGGGACTAACTTATAAAGGATGCTCGAAGAGGACCGAAGGCTAAAAGCCAAGCGTTTTGTCCTTCACCGCTAATTACGGGCGCGCTGCAACCTTTCCTCCAAATACATGCTGTCTCTCCGCAAATCAAAATTATCTCACATTGCGAGCTACGCCCCACCCATTCCAAAATTTTGCATCGTATCGTTGAACGTGCTTGAGGGGGCAGCCGACGCATGCCGGAGAGCAACGACCAGCACTATTGATTTCCTCAGAGTTCCGGATACACAATCATGTGACAGCAGGTACGACGAAGATACGGTTAAATACTAATCCGATGAAGCAAGGAGGTCGCTTTTGACCCCTTCCAAGCAGACTGTAACGAACTTCAAGTCAATCCTAAGAAAAACACGCTATCCCAACAGCCGCAACCTTGCGCCGAAAAAAAGCATCAGGAAATGGATGAAATACATCGTAAACACATCTATGAAAAAGATACGATGCCAAGAAACGCCTCGTCAACTTATCCATCATCTCCAAAGCGTGCTTCGCTCCTAACAAATGTACCGCTTAATCGCTACACGCTCCCAACATTTCAATTTTTTTTCCCTTTCCCGCACAACCCCACCTCTTCACACAACCCTCTTCCTCATCCCCACCTCCAGCGCCAACGGCTTCCGCAGGAAACCCTCCCGCGTCTCCATCTCGCCCTGGCGCAGCTCGAACTCGTAGCGGCGGAAGACGGTGCTGACGATGAGGGCGAGCTCCATCTCGGCGACGTTGCGGCCGACGCAGGCGCGGGGCCCGTAGCTGAAGGGGATGAAGGCCTGCTTCTGGCGGTCGGTGATGGAGGCCCAGCGCTCCGGGCGGAACTCGTCGGCGTCGGCGCCCCAGATCTCGGTCGAGTGGTGGATCGAATACGAAGGCACCGAGAGGACCGTGCCGGCCGGGAAGTAGTGGTCGCAGACGGTTACGCCGGTGCCGACGACCATGCGCGGTAGGCCGAGCGACGAGGTGCTGTGGATGCGCATGGTTTCCTTGATGACTGAGTCGAGGCTGCGCGGTGGGGGGTTTCGTTAGCACAGATTGTCAAAGAGCAAGGGGATAAAAATATGATTCAGATATGCGGGGATGGGGACGGCTTACTATGGCAGATCCTTAACCATGGAGAACTCCGGGACGGTGTCGATGTTGGGGATGGCGGCGTCCAGCTCCTTCTGGAGCTTGGTGATGACTTGCGGGTTACGCAGGCAGTGGTACAGCAGGGCGCAGGACGTGTTGCTGGTGGTGTCGCTTCCGGCGATGAGCTGGGTCAGCGCCTCAGCTGTCAGCTCCTGGCGGCCCAGCTTCTCGCCCTTCTCGTCCTTGCCTTCCATCAGACGTGCCAGCAGGTCCACACGGTCGATCTTGTCCGCGTTGTCCAGCCGCTGCTTGACGCGCGCCACGGCAATACCGGCCAGGTTTTCGACAGCCTCAACACCCTTGGAGAAGAAGGGATCCGGGAAGTACTTAGCCCACGGCTTGATCCAGGGCATGCAACCAATCGCACTGTTACGCCATGTTAGACCCACACACCGCACGCCTGAATTGCTCAAGTGATCACTTACGCAGAAACCTCTCCTCTCCGGTTCAGAACCTCAATGGCTGGGGCCGTCTTCGGGGGAGCATCAGGGCTCTCGCGCACCTCAGCAAAGTCCTTGCCCTTCTCCAGCATGCCGAAGGGGGCACCGAAGGCCAGGTCACCAATGATGTCAAAGGCAAGGTAGTTGAACCAGTGCAGAGCATCCATCTGGGCGTAACTGCCGGACGCGTCTGTTGCCATTTCGTCCCACTTCTTGACCAGCAGCTCGAGGTTGCCGTGCATGTATTGCTCAAATTGGCCGATCGACTTGGCCGAGAAGGTGTGGGCGACCGTCTTGCGCTTACGGGTGTGCTCGGCACGGTCACGCGTGTTGAAGAGACCGCGCTGGATGGAGACAAATGCGTCGTAGTACTCGCTAATTAAGGAAGAGGATGTTAGCACCGTCCGGCATATCAATTGGGCGAGCGGGGGCCTGTTCACCTCTTGAGGAAGCCATTGCCGTGGCCATAGATCAGCGGGATAGCATCGACGTCGGCGATAGAGACATGATGCGGCTGGATGCGCACAAGCTTGCCCATCTTCTTGTGGGCATCGTGGACGGCTAGGTAACGGCATCCCTTGCGAACCTGCCACAGCAGCCAGAGGTTGGAGAACTGAGCGGGGAAGGGCGCGGGAACGTCGCGGATGGACTTGTCGCGCAAGTACGGCAGCAGATAGTACAGTACAGGCAGGGCGAGCAGCGCCCATGGCGAGAAGAGGAGGTCGAGAATCATGGTTGCTGGCGGTGGTGGTGATGACGTCGCCGGGTGCGGCGGGCCGACGGAAAAAGAGCTTGGACGGCGGACTCGGCGGCAGCAGTCGTGGTGGTGAGAACTGGGTTGGCGGAGAGGGGGAAAAGCGTGCGAGAAGGGAGAGAGGAGGCAGAGATTTGTCGCTAGGCCACCCAACAATCTCAGGATTCCGCCGTGGGTTTTATGTTGTCGTCGAGAGGTAGTGATGTGTGGGAGGAGCTTCCGCCGAGTTTATTCGAGAAGCCAATCAGAACACGAGCGTCGAAGCCGATTCTTGGGCCCGACCAGCTGCTGGAAGTAACCGAGAGCCGCGAGAGGCCGGCAGTTTTAGTTGTGTGGCCCTGTGCGCTGCCGAATCGGGCGGGGGTCTGCAAGAACCTGGGGAAAAGCCACAGTAAAGTCGTGGCCGTTCCCTTCTCCCGCTACCGTCATTCGTGCCGTCCCGTTAGTTCCCCGAACGCGCGTCAAACGTGAGACTCAAAATAACGCGCAAGCAAACAATAAGCTCTCCGCTGCATCCGCCCAGTGCACTATCCGGTTTTTGCCTCTCACAAGGTTTTTGCAGCCCTCATGATTGCTGGGGCACGTCTTCATCCCCTGGCTGCATAAGCTCCGAAATGTGGGGTTGCATATTGCTTAGCCTTGGCTTTCGCAGGAGAAAGAAACTGCCTGTCTCTGACTGGCTGCAGTCGCGAGCTCTGGCCTTGCCCATCCAACCCCGATTCTGAAAGCCGGCCGGCTCGGGAGACCTTTGCTTGAGCCGAGCACTGCCGCTTTATTGCCGGCCTGTCGCACATCCCCAAGAGTACGGTACATATTTTCACCTGCCGCTGAAATGTCTTGGTGAGGGTCGCTTGCCTTTCACAACTGTCCCCCAATACTTTTGATCGATGATCGAAGGATTATGTCGACCTCGACTGTTTTTTTTTTTTTTTGGCTGCCAATCGCTGATCGGAATCACTCGTTGCAGAAGACATAGCATCTCCAAAACTACATAGTAAGCCATGTCGAGACCTAAATATGCTTGAATTAAATTAACATTCATCTATGTGTTCGTGTTTTCGTGTATCCCGTCTTTCCCAACTAAAAAGGAACCATGAGGTATCTCTTAGAAAAGAAAAATCCAACCTGCTCCAAACCAAGTATGCTGTAGAACGAAGAATGCGAATATTACCAACGAGTAGCACTCATTTCACGCAGTCGCCACCTTCCTATCTACCTCACCCGCAGATGAAACCTCCTCCCTTAACTCGCCTGCCGACGCGTCTATGCCCACATTCGCTGCCGGCTGCTTCTCAGCCTCCTCCGCGATATCGCGCCGTCCTGTGCGTCTCCCTTCGAACGGTCTCAGATCCTCACAGCCCTTGGGTACCCTGCACGCAGCCCTCACCTCCTCGGGTGCGGTGCGCCAGATGACATCACGCACCTCCTTCCCGACCTTGTCGAGCATATCCATCGCCCAGATGACATCGAGGTGTTCGTATCCCTCAATAATCTTGCTGTGCACCACGTCAACAAAGGGCTCGCGCCCACGCTCGAAACGGCGCAGCAGCCGCCGGCCGTCGACCAGGTCGTCGCTACCTGCAACCCAGAATGCCATGGGCGGAGCGTGCTCGTCATACCAAGCGAAGCGGCCGCGGTCGCCATGGTGGTGGTGGTGGTGGGAAGATGATGCAGTGCCGTTGGCGCCCTGTGCATTGTGCGAGTCGTCTGAGGATGAGGAGCCGGATGTTTCCACCGACTGGGAGCGCTCTGTTGTGTGCTCACCACGGTGAGTGTCCGTGTTGTAGTAATCGTGCATGCGCTGGTCCTGTTGAGCTCCCTTCTTCCTTTCCTCTTCGTCTTCGCGCTCTTCCATCTCCTTTTCCCGTCGCGTCTGCAGAATGCATTTCTGCGTCGCGAAGCACTCACGGCCCAGCCACCAACGCATACTCTCCGCCGACACGTACACAGGAGCGAATTGGAAGAGCCGGTTGCGCAGGTCCTTTTCCCATCGCTCGTCCGACCAGTTGAAGAGGAAGGAGAAGATTCGATAACCCATGGCCCCGTAGAACTTTCCGGGAAGAAACGCGTGCATGTGCATCATGAAGGGAATGAAGGCGTGGATACCAAACATGATGCGGAACATGCCTGGGCTGATGATGCGCATGAACTTGAAATACATTTTGCCAATCAGAGGCCCGGCATATGCGGCGGGAGCGAGGGCGCAAAATACGCTGAGCTTCTCACCGAGCTCGGGGCGCTGTTCCTTGGCCAAGGCGACGAGGGTTTCGGTGGTGCCCTGAGAATGGGCGATGAGGGCAAGCTTGGGGAAACCGGTCTCGTGGAGGACCCGGGACACCAGGGCAGGGAGGTCAATCACACCCATCTGACGGATATTCCAGGCCCACATGCGCGGGTCGCTGTATTCCAGGAGGTTATGGCGCGGAGTGAATCCGCAGCGGTTGTTACCCAACCAGACATCATACCCAGACTTGGCAAGGAAAAAGGCTAAGCTGTCATCATCGTTGGAGCAGAAAGCGCCGGATGACTGGAGGAGCCCGTGCATCATAAGAACCGGATACTTCCTTTTCTTATCGAAAGGAAATCCGTCAGCATTGTCTTTGGCCTCGTTGCCGTTGCGGAAGACATTTGGGGAATGCGGTGCCCTCACCGGCGTGGAAGCTGGTTTGTGGTCGCGGGGATTGTAAATATGCCAGAGTTCTATGATGAAACCGTCTTCAGTCTGAACACTGAATGTCTCACAGTCAAGGCCGACGCGGCGGGCGTAGTATCCAACATCGCAAACAAGCGGGTCTGGGCCGCCTTCTGTCGGGACAAATTCCTCGTTATCTCCAGGTGAGTTTTCATGATCAGCCGTTCTCGTGTCGATTGCTTCATCCTGATGCTTTTGTTTTTTCCAAGCCTTGGCAGCCTCTCTTCTGGCAGCTTTCCTCCTCTTCTCCTCTTCGTAGAATGGCCGGTACATGTGAGGGTCCCGGAAGGTGATTACCCTCCAAAGATACTGGAACAGGAGCGGAATGCTGGTGAAGATGGATCCTAACATGATGACATAAAGGAAAAGAAAGGAAAGAATGGCAGAGGAAACCCTGAAGGAGAAACACTGCAGATTTCGGAGCAGTCCTGGTGGTCCATATACAGGCAGAGGCGGAAACAGAGGGTTTGTCTTGGACATAGGGACAGCCTCCCTGAGTGGAGCATCTGGATTCTGTGTTCGATGCGATTCCAAGCTGGCGCGATTCGGGTGCGCACCATGAATGGTACCGTCTTTTGCCTCGCGCGTACGGGGCTCGAGGGGCTCGCTCTCTGTCGGGTCGCGGTCGTCAAGCACGTCCTTCAGCTTGTTCAGCTTGACAGCCTCCTCAACTGGCACGGCTGGCAAGCGCCCTCCGTTTGCAGTCACTATGACTGGATCCTGGGGAGTGATAAAGCGGGCCTCGACAGCCTGGGTGGAGCCGGTCTGGGCATCTTCCTGGTCGGCGGTGAACTGGCCTAGACGTTGGGCTTGGTGGGCGAATTCTATGGCGGGCTCTGCTTTTGACTTTATGGTTTCCTTTGCCTTGGCTTTGGCGGTCGATGTCTTGGAGGGCATCGTCGTTGTTCGCAGCGGGGCGGCGGGGGGAGCGAAAAGGTGCAGGGAGGCCTACACGGTGGGTATCATGGGTAAATGAGTGAAAGAGGCTGCAGAACATGGCAGCCGCAGCTGAAATTGTTTGGTAGAGGCGCAGGATCGACAAGCGGATCCGGCGCCTGATTGCGCGCAGATTGCGCGGTGGAAGGCTGGATGGGGTGCATGCTGCGCGCCATGCCAACAGACTCGACGGTGGATGACGTAGAGTGGTAGGGTGAGGAAGATCCCTGGTCTTAGCGCCGTCCCGAGCTCAAGCCGCAAGACGCCAATTGCCGGCGCCGGAGAGCCTCCTTGCATTCGATCACTTGTTTTCAAGCTCGTCGCTCTCTGTTCCCAGCCCGTTCGATTACCTGCGTCTTGATGTCCGGCAGCCCGCTGTGTGGCCTGAATCTAAGACTATCCTGCATGTATGCACGCCGCGCCGTGAAATATCTGCACGCTTTCCCAATCCGTCAGAGTGCAGCCCGAAATTCTTTCATCTGCTCTGAATCTATTGGGATAGCGGGCAGCGGCGCATCTCGCCAACCACGGAAATCGCACGGCGCAGATAAAAATGACGTGGAGCAAGCATCTGCCTCTCGGCGAGTGCTACAATACCTACTGCGCTCCCTGAAATGATAGGATTATGTCAGCCGTCAGGGTATACGTTTCTTGGCATTCCACTTGCTGCGCGTTCCATGGCATGGGACGCGGGTCGTCTTTCGCGCATGTGAAAGCCGCGCCGTGAAGGGACTGATCTTGGCAGGCTGCGTCTTGAAGGCAGGCGATGAGACGGTCGGCATTTGTTAAGTCGCTGCAGTACCACCCAGGGCTTGAAGCGGCTCTGCCTCTGCACAGAGCGGAGCCCCAGACTCGGCGCGTGTCCGTTTACCTCGGCAGCCCCAGCGCGTGCGACGCCGGCAGCAGTGCAACCAACGCCGAGCTTGTCCATCGCGACTCTCCGCGCACCAACCCCATCCACCATGGCCGTCGATGCCGCCTTCAACCAGCGCAGGCGGCGCCGCAGGAGAAGACGTCAAGACAAGCCTGCCATCTCCGCCCGCCTGCTCCCCGACGACCGCCTGAAGGGCGAGGTCGGCGTGCTGTCGGATGACCTCTTCCAGGACCTGTTCCCCAAAGCACCTCGCGCTTCTGGTACGCCCAATTGATCTTGCGATTCCTTGAATTCTGCTGAGAAGCTTCGTCCAGCCGAGTCCCCTACCGGCACTGTAAATCGCATTTACCATGTAGCAATCACGCCGTGGGTCCCCAGCTCCGTGAGCTCGCCTTCCGCCTGCTCGTGGACCATCTTGCCGGTCCGCCCGCACGACAAGTCTGACCAGACTGCATCGCTGCCACACTCGTCGCTCCAATTCCCCGCGAAGTCTCTTGCCCTGCAGTCCTTCGCCCACGCCCTCCAGTCCGCCGCCCCGAACCGGCCGCCGCGCCGCGACACCCCAATTGAGATTCGCATTTTGGACGCGGTGCCGCTGGGTCTAGAAACTATATACGTTAGCATCGATGCTGATGCGCTGCGGAAGTTGGAGGACGTGAAGGCCAAGTTTGGTGGAGGCTTTGGCACCCAGGTCAAACAGCTGCGGCCGAACGGCGTGCAGAAGAAAACGGACCTCGCCCAGGAGGAGCGCGCCTGGAGGGATGCTGTGCGGAAAGCTCTCCAGGTTCCGAGCATTGTCCACACCAACGACTTGCTGCCGCTGCCCATCGAAAGCCACCCCATCACCCACCAGCCTCCGCCGCCCGCCCGTGTCGTGTCCTGCGAGCCGGTTGCTCAAGGCCTGCTGTTACCGAGCACAAGAATTGTCGTCCTGCATTCGCGTAGCTCCAAGGGTTCGAAGCGTGCTCAACCTGCTGTTCCTAGCCCACGTCCGGCTGGCACTGAGGACGAAGATACATCCAATGAGACGTTCTACTCGGCCGCTGAGGACCGGACTTCTTCAGACGCACCGTCGCCTCCTACCGACGATGAAGCCTCGACCACCGATAACTTGGAATCAGAGCTCTCAGCCAGTGATGCAGGCGACCTTTCTGATGACTCTGACGATATGATATCCCTGAGCGCTCCAATGCTACCGCCGCAATCTTCCGGTGTGTTGTCTGCATGGACGTCGGCTACCCCACGTGCTGGAGGCTTTCAAACGGGTATGATGAGCCCCGGTGCTGGCTCGGTGTACTCTACCTTTACCTCAGCTACGGCACGCGGTGGCGCTAAGGGTAGACTTTTCAAAGCTGTCGGTCTTTTGGAGCAAATACCGGAAGAGATGGTGCATCCGAAGCCTGGTTCGGATGACGATGAGGAGGCCCGCATCTTCGTCGATACCAATACATTGGTCAAGGTTGGATGCTTCTCTGGCGACTGGGTGCGCATCAACGCATCTGAAGAACCCCAGGGTCACGGTCTGGGCACATGGGGTCTGGGGAGTGCCTTTGGAGAGGAAGAAGAGGAGCAAGCAGATTATCGGACGGTCAAGATTTTCGGTCTGCCAGAAAACATGGTGAAGAAAACTGCTCGCTATCCGGTCAACCGCGCACATCAGCGCATGTCCAGCGTTGCTATGCGATCTTCCAGTACCACCATAAGTTCAGCCTATCTTTCTCCAATTCTGCTCGCCAACCTTGGTAGCCCCTCTCACCTCCGCATCTCCGCATTACAACATCCTCAACCCTCCGGAATTCCCAAGTCCTCAATTCAACGGCCTAAGGTCACTTCCTCCTCATTACCTCCGTTTGCAAAAGAAGTCACTCTGCTCAAGCTCTCCACGCCCCTCTCAACAGATCGATTCTTGCAACCGAGCTTATTTGCTGGCCTCAAGGATTACTTTGAACAGAAGCGCCGTATCGTGAAAAGTGGCGACCTTGTCGGTATCGCGGTAGACGAGGCTTTGGGCAGAGCGATTTACCAGGGTGCCAGCCCTGAAGGAGAACTTGGATCAGAAGAACTGCTTTCAAAACCGAAACCTGACGGACCTACCGCTCCTAGCCAGGATGCGGCTTCATCCTTGAAGAGTGTGGCATGGTTCAGGGTAGGTGCAGTGACCTCGGCTGTCTCTGCCGAAGCGCGGGAGGATGGAGAACTATCTGACGATATCTGGGGAGGAAATGTGTCAATTGATGCAGCAAACACAAAAATGGTCCAAGCAGGCAGCGAGCAAAGTAAAATCCCCTCAACCACCAACAACTCCTGGCAATACTATCTTGGAGCCAAGAGAATCCCAGTCTCCCAAACTTCTTCCAGTACAAAGCCCGTTGGATTTGCAGATCTACCTGGGTCTTATATTTCACCTCTACGACGACGTCTACGAGAACTCATCATGGCTGCCACAAGCCCGCGTGCCATTCATCTAGGACTACCACCTTTGGCAGTTCTGATCACTTCCAACCAACGCCAGATTGGAAAGGCAACTGTAGCGGAGAACGCATGTGCGGATCTCGGTCTACACTCCTTTTCAATTGACTCCTTCGACATACTGACTGAAGGTGGCTCTGGTGGAGGCGATGTCAAGACTGAAGCATTCTTGAAGGCGCGCGCCGAACGGGCGCTCTCTTGCGGATCCCAATACACCGCATTGCTTCTGAAGCACGTTGAGGCTTTGAACGCTGACCGCATTGTTGCGGCTTTAAAAGAAGTCCTTGCCGATTCTAGAGTGCTAATTGCAACGACGACCGAAGTTGACAAAGTCCCTGACGGCATTCGGAGCCTTTTCACCCACGAACTTGATATGTCTGCACCAGACGAGGCCGAAAGAGAAGGAATTCTCCGAGGCATTGTGGAAGACCGCGGAATTCGACTGTCAGCAGACGTTGATCTCTCCAACATTGCAGTGAAGACTGCTGCGCTTGTCGCTGGCGACTTGGTTGACGTAATCGACCGCGCCCTCGTAGCCAAAAACAACCGATTAGAGGCCGTCGTAGCCGCTGCGAACAAGAACCTTCCGGAAGATGCACCTCAGCCAACCCTGCAAGACCTGCAATTGGCTGGTGGATCTGCAACTGTCTGTCTCTCAACAGCAGATCTCACCGCGGCCGTTGATGCCGCGCGAAAGAACTTTGCCGATGCCATCGGCGCGCCCAAGATCCCGAACGTGCAATGGTCCGACGTCGGTGGTCTGACCAATGTTAAGGAAGCCGTAACAGAAACAATTCAACTTCCACTCTCTCGTCCCGAGCTCTTTGCTCGCGGCATGAAGAAGCGAAGTGGTATCCTCTTCTACGGCCCACCAGGAACAGGAAAGACATTACTCGCAAAAGCCATTGCCACTTCCTTCTCCCTCAACTTCTTCTCCGTCAAAGGACCTGAGCTGCTCAACATGTACATTGGTGAATCCGAAGCCAACGTCCGCCGTGTCTTCCAGCGCGCAAGAGATGCTAGACCCTGCGTCGTCTTTTTCGACGAGCTGGATAGTGTTGCACCAAAGCGTGGCAACCAGGGTGACAGTGGCGGCGTCATGGATCGCATAGTCAGTCAGCTGCTGGCCGAGTTAGACGGCATGAGCGATGGTGATGGCGGCGGCGGCGGGGTCTTCGTCATTGGCGCCACCAACAGACCGGATCTACTCGACCAAGCCCTGCTTCGTCCAGGTCGCTTCGACAAGATGCTGTATCTGGGCGTGAGCGACACTCACGAGAAGCAGCAGACGATCTTAGAAGCGCTGACAAGAAAGTGAGTATCCTCTCATTCGTGATAGTAACTTTATTTTCACTATGATGCTAACAATGATTGAAAACAGATTCTCTCTCCACCCTTCCCTTTCCCTCGCCCGCATCGCTTCCCTCCTCCCCTTCACCTACACTGGCGCCGATCTATACGCCCTCTGCTCCGACGCCATGCTTAAAGCCATCACCCGCCAGGCCAACGCCGTCGACGCCAAAGTCAAACAGCTCAACGCCGAACGTACTGCTTCAAACGCTGCGGATTCGTCGCAAAAAGCTCAGCTACCGCCCATCACCACCGCGCACTTTTTCGACCACCTCGCGACCGAGGTGGACACGGCCGTCATGGTCACAGAGGAAGATTTCTTGAGCGCGAAGGCGGAGCTGGTGCCGTCGGTGAGCGTCGACGAACTGAGGCATTATGAGCGCGTCCGGCGGACTTTCGAGGGGCAGGCCAAGGAAAAGGAGAAGGAGAAGGCGGGTGCTGCTTCGGGGCAGATGACGATTGGTGACGCGGCTGCAGCCGCGGCTGCGGCTGGTCAGGATGGAATCAATGGGGTTGGCGGCGGTGGAGGCGGAAAGGGAAAGGGGAAGGGTAAAGCTGGTGGTGCACGGGGTAAGGGGAAGGGGAAAGCGATAGCATCTGGAGATGACGTGGGGGATGAAGAGGGAGAGGACGACGATGGGAACCAGGCAGATGGGGTCGCTGAAGTCGATGACGATGAGGATGAGTACGTTATCAGGACTGATCATTTGATGACGGCGAACGGGTCAGCGGGGAAAGGAAAGGGAAAAGCGGCCACTGCTGAGGTAGAGGGTGGTGATGGGAATGCAGCGGCGTTTGGGGAGGGTGCCGAGGGAGATGAGGATATGTATCAGTGATGGTGTCAGCGGGGATAATGTATTGGTGGTGTGTTTTCTTTGTTCTGCACATGATTGTGTTCCTGATGCTATGTTTGATGGGTGGATGAAGAGGCGCCCTGGACGCTGTTCTTGCTGCATGGAAATGACTGTACTATACCAGGAAGAATACAAACAACATTACCGCCTCTTGAGTCTTCGATACTGCTTCACCGAAGTCTAAAACAGGCATGTTACCGGCATTGAAACTGATGGTCTTATTTGCTTAAACACTATCAGCAAAATCAATGAATCGAGTTAAGCTCGTAATACGTGAAATAAGCCCATGTGCTTAAGTTTCCTTGTGATTAGCGAAGATCTACCGCACTTTCATTGCATCTGGCCATCTGACACATTTTGCTGCATTCCATTTGCTATAAAAGTCGCTGACCCTACTTGATCCATGAAAGAAATTGGGAAAAAGAAAAAGCTTGCATGAAACGGGGTATTCAAGAAGCGAAGAAAGACAGGAGGTTGAAAGCCAAAGTTTTTACAAGAGGCAAAAAATGGTGTTGAGATCAAAGAAAGAGCATTTACACGTTTAAGCGTAATGCGTTGGCAGAGGCCCCTGCTTACGGTCGTTACTCTGAACTGAAGTATTCCTTTTGAGCTTCTTTTCCCTCAGCCGTGCCGGCAGCTCACCAGGTTATCATCCGACTTGTTCCAATTACAGCGGGCGCTGTACATGATGTTCTCTGTGTAGTTCTTCCCACCGCTACCGACCTGTCCCTCATTCACGAGGCTGGACGGCAACCCTGCGGCAATGTGGTGGTGGAACATCTCCGGGTTGACGGTGAAGCAGCGCAGCTCACGGTTGCGGCAGCGGGTGTGGAGCCACAAGTCGAAAGCCTGCTCGTTGCCGTGCTCCATGGCGAGCATACGCTGCACGCTGGTACCCGTGACGGCGTAGGCAAAGGTGCAGATGGGCCCGGCCGCGTGCTGCACCCACCGCGTGTCCTCGCTGTCGCCCGACATACGGGGGTCGTACGAGCCGATGGTCGGCGGCAATGTCGGGTCATATAGGGTGATGTAGTCGTCCTCGCCGGGGAGCTCGCCCGGCGGCAGCCGTTTGACCTTCTTATCCACTAGTGGCATCTTCTCCTCCGTGCTGCTGGTCGGTGCCTTGACCTTGGCCTCAAGGTTCTCCTTTTCCTTCTGTTGCTGGGCCTCGGTGGCGGCAGGGGTCTGCTCGGCACCCTCGTCCGGTGCTGCCACTGTCACAACCTTCTCAGTCACCACCTCGACCTCTTCCGTCTCGATCAACTCGCCCGGCTCGTCGTCCTCGTCATACGGCAGCCTCTCTCCACAGTGCCCCAGCCACAGCACATCCCAATCCTCGCCCCACGGCCACTCGCGCGTCTCAGTTCGCGGCACCGTCAAATTGCGCACCGCCTCGGCCACCAGCGCCGCTTGCTCGTGGATACGGACGTCCCAGTCCGCATCGTCTTCCATGATTAGGGCGGACGAATAGTTGCGGGCGGCTTGCATGACCTGCAGATGGCCGAGCCAGGCCTTCGCGGAGCCGTCATTGAGTATGTGCGATGGATTACGCGCGACGAAGGCCGCAACCTCGGCATCGGTGGGTGGTCGCTGTGCCGGGATTGTGATGGATAGGTTCGTACGGCGCGCAGCGGCCTGCAGGCCGGCAGAGCGCCAGGTCTCGCGCGGGGAGACGGCAAGGATGGCGTCGAACTGCGCCGGAAGACTGTGTCAGCCATTCATGCTTTTTTTTTTTTTTTTCGTGATGTTTCGTGATGCATGGATGTTTATTTTTGGTGTTTGGAATTGAGTGCTAGCAGGGATGGAGGCGGCTGGGAGATGATCCCGGGCTGACTACTTACCCCAAGCGTGGCGTTGGCAGTACCGACAAGCGGGGCCACGTCGCCGGCAGACAGGTAGTCAGACCAAACGGTGGGGGTGAATTCGGAAATGGTCGCAGGCAAATGCGCTGCGGCCTCCTCATGGTTCCAGAGCAGGAACAGGATGGCGATGATGAAGAAGGCGAGCACGGAGCTCGAGCGGCGCGAGTGAGTGAATGGCAGCATGGCGGCTGGCGGCGGCGGTGGTGATTGTTTCGTGTCTTGGTGGCAAGATCTCTTTCAGAACGGTCTGCTTATCTTCTTATTGTTTCTTCAGATCGCGGTCATAAATCCATGGCGGCATGCGCAGAAAGAAGGGAGCCACGGAAAGAGAGAAAGGGCGACGGACGGGCGCGCGGGTCAGAGCGAGCGGCGGCGGCGGTGGAGGAGTCGAGACATGGACTGAGCTGGAAGGAAAAGTCGATTTGCTTCTGGCGGCGCAGGCGCAGAGGAGGACCCTGTTGAGATTTATTACTACGGGCATTGCTGCTCGGCGGCCATAGGGCTGCCGGGATCCCGCGGGCCTCGTGCTACTCCTCCTTCGCTCGCGCGGCGACTCTAGCCGGCTTTGCGTGATAGCGCGGCGAAGAAAAAGTCACGACAGGCGCCGCGATTGGAGGAGCGGCCGCATGGAAAGGAGTGTCTGGCGCTTGGCGACGCCGGTGGTGCGCGGCGGCGCGTGTTGTTCAATTGGTCCGAGGCTGTAGTGCCCCTGCGTGCCATGCCGTGCTCCCGCATACGGAAACATTCGAGGCCCTCAACACCGCAACGCTATACAAACATCACATGATCCCAGCATTCCGCCGCATCTTCGTCAGAGTGCCCTTGTCACCGCGGCTTGCCATCGTCCCACGCGTGCGACGAAGACACCGCCGGGAGATCGCACGACCTCAGGCGCAAACCGTTTCTCTAAATTATTTTCGCCGGCCGGCTGCGGCCCCTAATAACTAGCGCCGGCATCTACTCGCTCCCCACACTTTCGGCCTGATGGCCGGTTCTCCAACCTGCCCTGCTGCTCATTTCCGAGATTGCTTTCATCAAACACGCACCTTGCGTGTCGTGCGCATATCTAAAACACTCGTGACCCCGCTCTAGAGCTATAACGCCAGACTCATCATGCTCGTCGTTGCTTGTTTCACGACGGCTTGCATGCGCTGCACCAGCCCGTAACGAGCTAAATCGGACCAGGTCCTGGGCGCATTCCTCGCTGCCCAAGCCTCCTCATTTCCTCACGCATCCGCAAGGCTTCATTTCCCTGCTGGGCTCCGCTCATCGCCGTGTCGTCGGTGTGGCGCTGCGCTGCCGCTGGTCCATATCGCTGGTTGACGCAAGCAGGTATTTGCAGCAGATAAGCGTATCTTTGCATGCCCGCGTCCACGTCTCCTCCTGGTTGAAGCTGAGCTTGATACTCGCGTCGCGGATCTTGTCCTTCCGGATCGTGTACGGCAGCTTGAATCCAAACTCGTCCATCTGCCGCAGGCACTCCAGGAAAGCAACCATGGCGTTGTCAAACCTCCTGTGCAGGAAATTCAAGCCGAGTGGGAGGTCACCGCTGCAGTACAACTCCAGCACTGTGACCTTGGGCTTCGGCGGGTGCGCTGCGTCATCGGTAGATGCGGATGGAGGGAAGTCGAGTTTCTCGATCGTTGAAGTCGAGCCCATGGGACACAGGCGATAGCCCTTGAATGTGTAGCCCACCTTCTCCGCAACCGTTGCCAGAAGTAAACACGTCTGCCCCCACGCAGCGTTGATCTCCTCCCAGCCTACCATGACTGCCGACGTCCTGCCTAGGCGCAACCCGTTAATGGTCGCGAAGTTGCCATCGTGGCCGATGGTGAAGGTATCGTTGTACACGTTGGTGCGCTGCAGCCGCTGTGCCTGCTTTATGTCGTGATCGTACCGATTGTTGACACGATCACGCTCGCTCTGGAACGACGCCAACGTGACCGCAAAGGCGTTACGTTCCTTCCAGAACGCCTCCTCCTCTTTGTCTAGCTCTTGTGCTTCGGCGTCTAGCGCAAGCAGCTCCTCATCCATCGCCGCCTTCTCTTGCTCTAGCCGCTCTAGCTCTTTCATCGCTACTTCCTCAGCCGCGCGTGCATCTTCCAGCTGCTTGCGCGCCAGCGCCACTTCCTCCTCGCTGGGTATATCCGCGTTGGCCTGCCGCAGATACTCGACGTACGCGTCACGCTCTTTTGTGGCGGCCCCAAGCCGCTTCTGCAGCCCTTCGACTAGCATATCGGTGCATTCGACGCAGATGGGCTGATCGATATCCGAGCGGGCGGACAGAACTTCAAATAAACGTTGCACTGTCTCCATCTTATCCGACATGTTCTGATCCCCGTCGAGTCCTGCACTGTCCGGGCGGCCACCGTCAGGCACGATGTGCGGGGCTTGGGGCACAACTTGAGATTCGGTGAGCATGACGAAGGACATGGACGGGTGATGCCGGGACTCGCGGCCATGTCTGCTCGAGGGGATACTGCGGCGGAAGGTTGGCTGCGACGCTCGGCTGGAGACGCGGTCGTAGGCATCGCGGCGGTCTTGCGAGTAGGCGGGACGGGACTGGTGTACGGAGAGAGGTCGCTGCTGTGCGGAGGGGGTCGTAGAGTCTGCCCAGTTTTAGCAATAGAGGAGCAATACGAGTGCGACGTGGCTAGCACCTGTGAGGAGCTTGAAGGCGGCGGGATTTAGGTCCTCCAGTGAGCCGTCGAGCTTGATGGGTGTGCGGCACTTCTGGCAATACATCGTGGCAAATATAAGAGTATTAAGATAATGTCATCAAAGCTGCAGCTCTCAACGCACTGCAGAGTGGTGTGCAAGAAGTGGTTTGCTGAAAGAAGAGAAGCTGTTTGCTGGTGTTTGCAAGCCGGCAAGCGATGGGAAGCAGCTCCCACTCATGCATGACGCATACGCACGGGCCACCCGATTTTGGCCGTGACGCGCATCGACGCGGTGTCGCGCTCGACTGAAGCGGAAGTCTGAGTACCTGCGACTTCCCCCCCGCCTTGGATTTCAATCCCCGTCTACATGCGGCGCCTCACCCGCGCTTCATGCCGCCACACACATGGCTCATCGTTCCCGCCTGCTGCCGCCTGCAGATGCCGAGCACTATGACGACCTCTCCGAGCTCGAGCGTGAGCGCCACGAGAATGACATGCGCCTGAAGAACACGTTTGAGCACATCTTCGAGAAATACTCGCGCGACTTTACTGATATTGGCGACGAAATCGACCTCGAGACCGGCGAGATTGTCGTTAACAACGGTCACCTTGCCCGCTTAGAGGACGAGCGCGACACCGGCGAGGATTTTGAGGATTGGTCCGGAGAGGGAGAAGAGGACGAGGACGACGTGGTCGACGGATATCCCTACGAGCGCTACGGGGTTGCGGACAGTCTGGAGGAGGATGAGCTTCTCAGCTCCCCACCACGCAATCGTAGTCAACGCGTGAGTATGCCTGTAGAAGCTCTTGCGACTATGCCAATGCTCACTTGGCAGACATCCACGATTCGCCGCCCATCCACTGCTACGACACCACACCACCACACCCAGCCGCGCCCTGCTCGAATTTCAAGATTTCCTCCTGAGCCTCAGCACACACCACAAAGAATGGACTTGACCCAGGATCCCGCATTCTTTCAGGCTCTAGGCCAGAGCATTGCTCAGGGGATTGCTCAGTACATGTCAAATTACCACGACACCCCTAGAGCTGCAGATCCAGTCTGGGATGCTCCTCCATTACCCCGTTCCTCCCGTTCTGCACGCCGTCCTGCGCCTCCACCACCAGGTAGGCGGCAGATGATCCCCGAGTCACCACGGCATCCGCCATCTAGGTCGCTGTGGTCAACTGGGCGTTCAGCTGGCCGCCCAAGAGCGCAAGATCGTCCGTCCGAACGGGCCCCTGAGCCGTCACCCAGCATTCGCAGCAACGCATTGCCTCGACAAACACTGACAAATGCTCAACCCCAAAGATCACGATATAATGTCCCACAGTGGAACGAAGTTGGGTTTGAAGAAGAAGAGGGAGAGAGCTTTCAAGAACCTGAAGGCAATGGCCATCAAGAAGCAGATTCTGTGGACATTGTGTATGAGGATCAAGATCAAGTCAATACGTGGGCAGAAGAAGATGACGTTATGGATATCGAGGGAACCAGCGAAGTCGTCGAAGATCCTCTTAGGATCTCCGAGATGGACGACATAGGAAATCCAGATTCACTCCAAGTTTCCGATCATGCACCAAACCATACTCAACAGTCTCTTTTCACACGCCACGATCCTGATGCAACGTCCCTGACTCCGGGCGGACCTCTCACTGGTCCAATAGGCATTGGAAATTCCAACACAGGGTATACAATTCCTCCAGAGGCAGTACAGCAGAGCCCCAACAACCCCACCACGGAGAGAAGAGGAACCAATGGGCCTCTCTGGATGGACGGAGACAACGAGCTCTTCATTGAGCTTAGGGAGGCTCGTCAGCTGTCAATACCGCAAATATGTCGTTATTTTCCGGACAGGTCCCCCAAAAGTGTCTCCGCTCATTGGTACAAAGTTCTTTCCAATCGCCCAGATAAGACTCGAGGTCCGATGTCGGACTACGTCCGTCAAGCCCTAGAGCGTGGCCCGATACTGGCGAACAAGTTGAGATTGAAGCCATATGTCCCCAAGGACCCTAAAAAAGCAAAACCTCACCTTGCAAATCTTGCCGACCCCGACGAGTGGCTGGACCACTCCCCACACACGGTACCGGATTCTGGGTCGGATGCTTCTGTTCGCTCCAGTCAAGAACTTAGCACAACACCGGATCCTCAGATGCTGGCTGTCAATGAACCATCGAACAACATTTCGCAGACATTTGAGGGTACTGAAGAGGGAGGCATTGTTCCCACCGATGACCCGAAGAGACCATGGGGCTGTGGGAGATGTGGAGCCAAATGGACCTCAAAAAGGGGCGCGAGATATCACTTCGCAGTTCCGGAAAGATGCATGCCACAGCCAAGTGGGCGGCTGAACCGTGGACGGAAACCGAAGCACATTATCCCCCAAAGAGTGCAGCCTCCGAAGGTCGTGCCTTTTGGTGTGGATATCTCGACTGGAAGGCCTGCGACATTCAACCCCAACATCCTTGTGAGGGAGGACATGCAACGGCCGCACCTTTGTGTTCTGTGCGGCAAGTCATGGATCTCACATTCCAACGCCAGGGAACACACGAGACGGCCTGAAACATGCAAACCAGAAAACTGGCTGACCAACTACGACCCTGCTGCACATAGAAAGAGAATACCAACGCAAGAAGCCATTGATGACGGTGCTCAGGAAGCGCAACCGTCCAAACGGCAGAAAAGGGACGATACTGCCACACAGCAGTTATTGGAGGCCGCAGGAGGACGTACACCACAGGCGCCTCCGAAAGATGACCACGTCAGCGCCACCGCGCAGCGTCCCACAGATTATCTCCCACAAGACATGGCTCAGCCCATGAATGACGTGCAATTTGTGCAGTATGCAGCGCCAGAACCTGTCTCGGCTCCACGACGAGGCTTTCCGAAGCGCTTCACTGTCTCAGATCGACCGTCGGTAGTCGCTGGTTCAAGCAAACAAATACCAATCGATCCGAAGCTGATCGACGCTTCCAAGGTGATGGAGGCGGTGCAACAGCACACGAGTTTTGCTCAGCAGGTTCTTGGAATCTCTCCACCTGAGCTGCAACGGGATGAGAGTTTTGCGGCCAGAATGACTAACGGCAAGACCGCAGCGATAGGAGCAGCTGTAGTGGCGCGCGATCACGGCAGTTTTTCCAACAATGATGCCCAACCACCATCTCCTCAAGCGCAAAGCGCCGCTAAATCAACCGTACAGCAAGCTCATCCTTCGAAACGGCCTGGGCAATCTCATGAAGAGGATATCTCGCCTGCTTGTGTCAAGCAACGATTAACCCAGGCTGTTAGCGATGATTCCACACCCAGGAATGGAGCCTCTGCCGCATCGATCCAAGCTCCAACTATGCAGCTCTCCAATGCCGGTGAAAGGTCATCATTACCAAAGTCCAGTCCCAAGGCAGAGGCGGATACTCGAAAGAAAGCAACGCCGTTGAGGTCTACGCAGAAAAGTGTGGCATCAAATTCGGCATCACAATCAGCCAGACCAGCTAGCAAAGCTTCTTCAACTAAACAATTACCCAAAAAGCCTAGACCTAGTGCTACTCCCCGAACAAAATTGACTGGCGAAACAGCAAACAGCTCACCGCTCAGCCGTGCGGCCAGATCGGAGCCCCGTCCTAGCGCTAGCTTTATTGACTTGTTGGCGGACGTGTCTGAGGACGAATTAGCATTATGATGAATTTTCTTTCCCTTCTCTACTGCATATATAATGTAAGGGCGGTTGTTTTCTGATACGTGGGACACGGTGTTTGCACGATAAGCATACGTTTGCAAAAGTTTAGCTTCAGCGGCATTGCTACTGATGAATTGGGAGGAGGTTTGAACGGTGTTAGAACGGTGCATAGGCTCTAGCGCTGGTTTGAAAGGGACGTTTGATCCGTGTGTTAATGCATTTTTTCGACAAATCCCGACAATTACTCTATCTGACTTGAGAGTGCTATCTATCGACAATGGTCAGCATCGCGCAAAAGTTGCCCCAACAGGCAAGGGCTACGTTGCACGGGCCGACTGGAATCTGTTCCGAGACCCGCATGAAGCGGTGTGAGCATTTAGAATCCTGCGGCAACACGACCGACTCCGTTGCAACTTCGTCTGCGCTGTTGTTTTGACCAGCGACTCTACATTGCGCTAGCAGTGAAATTACCAGCAGTAACAGCAACTTGGGTCACCAGAGGCAAGATGGCGGGCAATGAGCAGCACTACGTGTCCTTGCGACCAGCCGGTATGTAGGCAAAGGAACGCCAGGCAACGAAACTCTGACCGCTCAGGAACCAGCGAGAGGCGGTGCATCATGCGTCACGCCTTGGGATACTATCGAGGCCTCATTGTAGCCGGCCGCTACACCATTCCGGACGGGTTTCCTCTCGCTGCCAAGGAGCCATTCTATCCCGCGCTGAAGCATTGCATTTCCACACACCCAATGCTTAGCGCCGCCATTAGAGGAGAGCTCACCGAGACACCGGAATTGATCAGGCCTGAAACCATCGATCTCTCAAACCACATTGAGATCACCCAGCCTATCAGCTCGGCAGCGGATACCCGTGGCGAGCTGGAAGCCATCAAACCGCTCCTCTGCCACACCCACGACCAGCAATTCCCCGACACCTCGCGAATTCCGCCTTGGAAAATCGTCGTCATCCCCATCAAAACTGCCAGCGCCCCATCGGCCCAAGCATTTTGGCTCCTCTTCTCCTACTCGCACTCGCACGGCGACGGACCGTCCGGTCTCTCCTTCCACCGCACCTTCCTCTCCGCGCTGCGCAACCCTAGCGCCGCCGCCGCCGCATCATCAACCTCTTCCCTCAGCGCATCGGACCCCATCTTCCATCCGCCGGCCAAGCCGCTGCTGCCGCCGGTCGAGCAAACCACCGAGCTGCCCATCACCTGGCCCTTCCTGCTGCGGCCTTTCGTGTCGTCGTACCTGCCGACCAGCGTGCGCAGCCGGCTGCCGTCGTTCGGCTCCAAGCACCTCTTCTTCCGCGCGTCGGTGACGCCGCACCGGCCCGACGCCTGGACGGCGCTGCCGACGCGGTACGACGCTGGCGACTTCCGCACCGGAGTGGCCTTCGCCGTCGCGGACGGCAAGACGGTCGACGGCATGCTGCGCCGCTGCCGCCGCCACCACGGCGTCAAGCTGACGGGCGCCCTACACGGCGTCGTCGTCCGCGCCCTCAGCGCCGCCCTGCCGCCCGGCCCGGACGCGGCCTCGTTCGTCGCGCAGACGGCCATCGACCTGCGCCGCCTGATGCCGCGCTTCGGCGCAGAGCTGGCGAGCGAGCGCAATTGGGATGGTGCCATAGGGCTGTGCGTGAGCGTGGCGTACCACGCTTTCCCGCGGGACGAGGGCGACGTCGAGGCGATAGGCGTGGACGGCACCGAGGACATCTTCTGGAACCGTGCGAGGGAGTCGACGAGGGTGCTGGCGGAGAGGTCGAGCACGTTGACGGACCAGCCCATCGGGTTGCTGAAGTATCTGACTAACTTTAGACAGTGGCTCGAGGGGCAGGTGGGCAAGCCGAGGGAGGGCAGCTATGAGATTAGCAATATCATGGCGTTCGATCCGGCTGAGGGCGGTGAGAAGGAAGCCAAGGAATCCAAGGGCTGGGAGGTCGAGAGGATGTTGTTCTCTCAGCCGGCGAACGCGACGGGGTCGGCCGTCAGCTTCAACATTGTTACGAGGAAGAATGGCGATATGGTGGTCACGCTGACCTGGCAGAAGGGCGTGCTGGGGGTCGAGGGGGATGAGGAGGTTTGGGCCAAGGGTGTTTGTGCTAGCTTGGAGAGGGGAATGAGGGCGCTCTCGGGTGTGCAGTAGAAGGACGTATCTGTGATTGGGTCCAGGTTTGGAGGTGGATGGAGTGGAAAGATGGATCTTGCCACTATCAGCGTGCGCAATGTCTATTTATGACTGACTGTACGAATTTTCACGGTATATATCCTGCATGTTACGCATGCTGATGTCTATGGAGTGTTACACACTAGGAAAACTCTAGTTCTCTTTCCTGCCTCTGTTCGTCTTTCGTCGTTACTACGCGCTCTCGGGCCGTCTTGCTCTGTCCCAAACTACTGTTCGAGATATTGGAATTGAGTAATCTGAATCCTTAGGAGATAATATGAGTGATGAAAAAAACAATAAAAAGACATCGAGACCGGGCTAAGGTAGGAAAAGAAGAAGAATCAATGCACCGAAAGATAAATTGACGGAAAAAAAATTCCTTTGGATGGATGCCAAGTGCGGAGGGAGTATAGGATGGGGGAGATATTGAGAATTTGAACAAAATAGAGAGCAGAGAAGGGGGAAGGGATGGCATTGGTATTGTTGCGCCTTCAGCCAAGGAGGGAAAAGAAGCAGTGTTCAAAGGCTCTGGGTTGCCAATGAAAACGGCTGAGCGACTGAAATATAATATCCCCTTTGATGGTGAAATGAATTAAGCTGTGGCCCAAAGAGTTGGGAGGGGGAGGGGGAGGGGATTGAAAAGTTTCGGAGGTACAACAAAGTCTTTCACCGCTTCGCCCACCGAACTGCCAATTGTCGTGATGGCAATAAAAAATGCTTTACATAAGTGATCACAAAGTAGAATCTCTTTTGCAACGCGACTAACTTCGCATGCACCCTGCTCAAGTGAGCCTCCATTCTGAAATCATTTCAGATGTAGTCATGACTTCGCAGAATTCGTTGTTGAGACTGGCCAGGTGGACTGAATGGACAAGCTCAGCGTCGTAGGATTTCCCGTCGATCGTCTTTTCATACGTTGCGGTAGCGTCCTTGATCAACAGAATGCGGCCGGGATTCAGCTCGTTGATGTCGGAAACAACGTGGAGATTTGCGGCCATGCGAACGGTAGTGCTGACGCAATGATCTGTTGTAAGACCTACGACAACAAGAGTTGTGATCTTCCGTTCGCGAATGGCATTTTCGAGGTTGGTGCCGATGAAGCCGGAGTTGACACTTTTGGAGAAAATTGGCTCGTCGGGTCGAGGGGCTGCGTAAGGCTGGAAGGCGACGTTTCCGCGGACAGGGTGTAAAGGAGACGCTGCAGAAGTAGAGTGGTGGCAAACATGGAAGATGTTTGCAGGCTCTACTTTTGCTCGAAATGTATCGAGAATGGAGGCGACGTTCGTCTCGAAGTCTGGTGTCGACCTCGATTTGCCCCAGTGTGTTGGATGGTCAAATCCTTGCTGAATGTCAATCAGAAGCAGGCCGTATCGAAAATGGGTAGCCATATTGGTGTCCTTAGATATGGTTGAGTGTAAAAATAAGAAGTAAGAACTGGCTTTTAAGATTGCTGAGAGCTTGTACTTAAATGCGCGGAGTTGACTCATGAGGCGCAAAGTTTTGTCAGCCTCCCCACATCTGTTAGCACGCCCTGTGACAAGCCCACGGAAAAAGAGCAACGTTCGCCCTGTGCTTTCACGTAAAAAGTACTAATCCATTTCTCATTTAAGGATATAGATGGATAAAGTGTCGTATATAGTAGTAAAATTCTGATGAAAACCTTGATCATGGGATAGGCAGTCCGTCAGGATTATCCACTCAAAAGGTGCCCGGCGAGATAAATCAAAGGTGTGAGTCTATCGGAGGATCTATCAGTCCATAAGCACGGATAAAGCATTCAAGCGCTCCAAGTATACAGGAGTAAATGTGGCTCCAGAATCATATCCAAATAACGTGTCCTTTCAGGCTACAGGTTCTTTACTCATCCGTTCATGGTACGAGATTTCGGGGCAAGAGTTCATACTGAGCAATGGAAACAAGACCGACTTCTCCAGCATTGCTCCAGACGAACACTAAGCAATATTGAAGAGGCATTTTGACAGTTACAGTTATCTATCGCGTCATTTAAGACAGCGGGTTGGATAGTTTTTAATTGATATCTACTAGCAGACGTAATAATTGCTGTTCTTTAAGAAAGCTTGGATATACCTATATTCAACCTCGTAAATTACCATCTGGAAAATGAATGTTAGCAAATGTGTAGCAAAATGGAGGTAGAAAGTCACTTACGAGAAATGCTCGCTGTGCAAGTACACCTCTCTCGCCCCCTTCCCACTCAACACACCAGCCTGCACCTCGGCGGCAGCGTTCCTCACATCATACAGCATCCCCGCCGGGCCGCACACAGCTATTGCGAGCGAGTCCCCTTCCGCCTCGGCTGCACACTCCTTGATGATGTTCCTCAACTGTGGTCTGCCTTGCCTCCAGGCTACCAATCCACCATCACCCACTCGCACCCTCTTCTCTCCCTCCACCGGCGCCGGCGCCGTCTCCACCCCCGCCTCCTCCTCGGCCGCCGTCTCGCCCGTGACATGCACGGCAACCTTCACGGCCAACTCATCACCCACACCACCAGCGCCGTAGCCGTACCGCTCCAGCAGCCCCCTGATCTCCTCTGAGTACCACCCGCGCGTCCGCACATCCCTCGTCGCCACCACGATCTTGACCTCCTTTGCCCCACCGGCGGCTCTCGCGCCTTTCTCGGCCGGGCGGCCATCGCTCGCTGCTCTCAGCACCTCCTCGACCACGGGCAGCGAGAAACCCGCGCCCGACCCGCCCACGATGACGAGCACCCGATCGAAGGCGGCCAAGCGGGACCGCGCAGGAGAAGAAGAAGAAGCATCCCCGTTGCCAGCACCACCGACACCGATCCCTCCATACGGCCCATCCAGCGTAACACCAACCTCAGCGCCCTGCGGCCGCTCGAGCGCGAGCGCGTGCAGCCGCGCCGTCAGCCCGCCGCTGGCGTGCATCGGCTTGACGACGAAGCGGAGGACAGCATCTTCCCTTCCCACCACTCCTCCCTTCTCCGCAGGGAACGACGACGCCTCGTCCGCAGGAGGAAGCGAGCAGATGGTGAAAGGGTGCGCGGACACGCTGTGCCGCCACCAGCTCAGGCCCTTGGGTGCAAAAAAGCGCAGGAAGACGTGCTGGCCGGGACGCCAGACGAGCTCGAGCGGCACGGCTTGGCGGGCGACGACGGAGGGCCGCAGGCGGATGGTGATGGAGAGGTGGTCGTTGGGGAGGGCGCGGAGGACGGCGGTGTGGGAGGAGCCGTAGGCGAGGAAGGTGCGCAGCTGGGAGAAGAGGAGGGAGGAGAGGTAGAGGGTGCCGGTTACGATGAAGTAGTCCCTGTTTTTTTTTGTGTTAGCTGGGGGTCTGGCGGGTGTTGAGGGTACGGGATTGGGAGAGGTGGGGGTGTATGTATACCAGGATGTTAGGCGGAAATCGCAGTGGAAGAAGAAGAATATGATGAATGTGAAGGCGGCGATGAAGTGCGTTGCTTTGAAGAATTCGTAGAACCGGTTCCTGTGTGTGTGTGTGTGGTTAGTCGGCGCCAGTGTGTGGATGGTTAAGGAACAAGATACCTGATTGGTCCGATTGACATGAAGGTAAGATAGGCTTGAAAGATGAGAGCAACGACGCCGGTCCAATACACCATATCAGTCTTCCACTTCTTGACCATATCGCCGTACCAAATGTGGTAAACAATGAATGGGAATGTGTGAACTAGTGCAAGAACGAACATGGCGTAGCTGGTCCAGCGGTGGAAGACCTGGTGAAGTTGGTGTAAGTTTGTCGTTTCTGACTACGAACTGCAGACTAACCTGAAGCTTCTCATGCGAGACGCCAGTCAAAGCCGTGACCCAATTGGCCTTTGCGGCCAGAACGCTACATCTATCATAAGTTTTGTGTTTTGAAGTAAAGAACAGCTTCTGCTTACACGACGAACGGGAGCAAGCCAACGGCCATCCAGCCAGTCCTGGTTGCGATTGGTGGTGACGACCCAAATGAGAGAGAGCCATCTTGCTTGTTGGGCCAGTAGTACGGCTTTGGACCGAGAGTCATTCCTGAACAGATATCAACACATAGCATCTCGAAATAGAGATTGTTACCGACCGAAGAAAAACACGGCGCCGGCAAGTCCGACCAGCAAGTAAGCCAGCGAAGGAGAGTACCAGCCGAAGATGCGAAGACGATAGCCGCGATAGCCCACATGGCGTAGTGAGGCTTGAGTATAACGCCAAAAGCCACTGCGTTGCACCGATTGAGGAGTGATCCTGCGGATTATGTTGCTGACGGTGAAGAGGCCAATCATAGCGAGGATGAAGTAAACGGTAGTGCGGGCATAACGATAGTCGGCCTTGTACCTTCGCAATCCATTTGCGTTAGCGTCGTGATCATCACGTCCGGATCTCTCGTTGACTTACCAGTATCTCCAGAATCCGCTTCTGTACGCGCACTGCTCGGGCGTCAGTTTGCAGGTGTCTGCTCGCGATGAGTGCAGCATGACGGGCGTGTCGAGCCACGGAGTTCCTCCGCCGCCCATGTCCATGTCCATGGCGAGACACGGAAGCACAATGGCCAGCAGCAGCAACGGGGACGGCGCCATTGTCAATCGAGTTGGCAAAGATACTAGTCAGCTCTGGTGTTGTCTCCTGGAAGTCCAGCGGAAGTGTCGACAGGTTAAAGGTGGACGTAGGCCTGACAGGCCCCACGAGAGCAAGTTTCCTAACTGTATGCGGGAAGCCAAGCGAATGCAAGTCTAATCGGGTCGTGACACAGCTGCCGGGGTAGATCACTTGGTGAGAAGGTTCCAATCATATCGGCTGCGGAAGTAATGCCAAATGCGAGCGGCCCGAGGGGACTGCAAGAGCCGAGCCTGCGGCATCTGACACGCGAACGAGCAGATTTGGGAGAACAGCGCACCTATGAGCAAGTTGGGCTGACCCGAGCTCCGGGGAGTTCACTTGCGCACGATTGAGCAGATTAACTGATTGGTCGGGCCGCAGCAATCCATCGCTCCGAGCAATGACGAGCACACGCATCACCAATAGGAGCCGGCGAATCCATCAGGGTATCCAGAAACACGGGGCATAAAATACGTACGTCAACTACAATATCCGGCACTTCGATTAAGCAGTCAGCACTCTCACCACCTCGACCGCCGCCTTGTCCTTTTCGAAACATCCCGCCGCCGCTGACGCCGCCGCCGCCTGTTGCTTCTGCACCTCCTTCGGCCACCACTCGGCAACCGCTGCCGCGCCGCCCTTGATGCTCTCGGCCTCGACGCCCTTGGCCCGGAGCACGCTGGTGGCCACGCGAGCCGTGTCGCCATTGTAGCACACGACAAGCGCCCGACGATCCCGCAGCGGCGTCTTTCCGTCCTCCTCGTCATCATCGGTCGCTTCCTGAGACGCAAACGAGCATCGCTCGACCTGCGCACTGAAGAAGGCCTCCAATTCCCTCCATTGCCGCTCCAGCGTCGCACTGTCGAAGAATGGGCTAGGTGCTCCGCGCGTCACCGTCGACAGCGGTGCGTTGACGGCGCCCGGCAGGTGCCACGCTGCGAAGTCGCTCGGCTCGCGCAGGTCGATGACGATGCTGGACGCCCGCGGCGAGACGGACGCTGGGAGGTTGTCGCTCTTTAGTAGCGAGTCGACGTCGTAGAAGCGCGTGAGCGCCTCGGAGACCTGCAGCTCCCACGCTTCGTCGTAGCGGTACGGGTCGACGGCGGTGAGCCTCTGCGGTATCCAATTAGCAGGGAGTTCGCAAATGATTCTGGGGGTGCTGGGTACCTGGTTGTTGATGGGGTGGAAGTTGCTTGCGTCCAGCTTGGTGAAGTATTCGTTGATGTACTGGTAAGGCAGGTCGCAGCAGAGGAAGACGCAGTGGATCTCTCCGCTCTCGTCTGCGAGCTCGGAAAGAGTGCCTGCGGCCTTGCGCTTCTCGATGAACTGATACAGGCCTGGGAGTCGTCAGCACCATCCTCGCGTTCGTTGTTGTATACTGAACTCACCCTGCAGATTGAACCCCGACGATGGTCCGCAAACCAAACCCTCACGCGAAAGAGCTAGGGACAAAGTATACGACTCCGTGGAGCCGACCTCTTCCATGGTATCGATTGCATCGCGCCAGGGAAACGTCACTGGCGACATCAGCGCATACGAGCGCGGTCCGGGAACTCTGTCTCCAGCTGCGGTGCAAACACTGTAAGCTGTTAGCTGATGGCTCCTAGAATAGGTTTGCGACTCCATACCCAACTCTGACCACGGAAGGTTTTGCATCTTTGAAGTAAGTGCCCATGCCTGTCATCGTGCCCGACGTTCCCATGCCGGCACAAAGGACACTGATCTGGGGCAGCTGCTTCAATATTTGCGGGCCGGTCCACTTGTAGTGTGCTTTCCAGTTCTGGTCACTCGTCAGCATCCGACCGTCTTCAAGTTCCCAGAGAGAGCGTACCGCATCGTTCTCATACTGGTTCGGATTGACCACGCTATCATCTTCCTCTGACTTCCGCCTGGCGGCTTGTATTCCTCCTCTCTCATCAAGAGGCTCTGGTTGCGATGGACCTCCGAAAAGTGTGCTAAATGAAAGAAATAAGTCAAAGGCTATCAGCTGAAGGCTCGTCCTCTTACAGGTTAAGACCGAAGAACTGCATGAGCTTAAGCTTCGCATCGCTCGTCTTGTTACTCAGATACGCCCTAGTGTCATCGATTCCGTAGAATACTCTGCCCACTAGGGACATGGAAATGACGGTGGAACCGGAGCTGTACTCGACGACAGTCTTCGTCTTGTCCTTCTCGACACTCTTCTCGAGGAGGTTCATAGCTGTGACAAGTCAGCACTCTTCACCTTGACCAAAGCCAGCCAAGGTACTTACCAGGCAGCGCTTTGACATTGTTTGCTGGCAGCACCGTCATCATCTTAGCGTAGATACGCACGCCATCTTTCCGGTATGGGTTGAGACACGCAGGTATCTCGACCAGCGGGAGCGGGGGCTGATAGTCGGGATCGTAGTACTTCTTGAGGGAATCCTCCCCAGAGTACACGTTGAGCTGGTTCATGCTGTTCCGTTTTCCTTTTTTTGTGGTCAACTGGAATAGAGAGTTCTACCGTCACTTATCTGTAGATAGCTGAGATGATTTATAGTCATCAAGTTTCAGGATGGAGTGGCAAGGAACATTAAGGTGCTCAGAAAGCATCCTCAAAGCCCCACGTACTAACTGTCAGGAGGATGACATTTGTGGATGAAGCGTTGCACGCCTAGCCAGATACTGCTGCTGATCGCTCGTCGACTACTTGAGATTGGGCAGCTGTCGGTGTGTGGGAGTGCGCTTCCTGCGGTGATCTGATTGGTTTCTTAATTCAGGGGTGTCTCGGAGCTATGCAGCTATGTACTCGGGAAATGGCCCATCTCGGGGTTTGAGGGAGAATGAGCAAATAAGAGAAGCAGTGAGGCTGCGAGCGTCAATCGCTTACTGCATTGGCACCCGCACAAGTGTGGGACGACATGGGCTGAGCCAAGGACAAAAAATTTGTTCCGACCAGGCTGAGAGTGAGCATGGTACCTATGCTGATTATTAGCGCGGATGGCGTCGGGCTAGAAGCTAGCACCTTGGTGGTTCGCAATTGATCATCACTCCCGCGCGTCTTGGCATTAGCTGGCGGTGTGGGGTGCCCCAGGCCGTTGTCGGTGAGTTTTTGCTACGTCGCTTGCGTAACAATGTACCTTGCTCACTCTTTTTCGTAGATTGAAAGAGGTCAGCGCTCGCTTCTCTGACTCCCGTCAGGAATTGACAACCGAGATCAATTACCCACAATGATTGAGCGAAACGAGGAGGCTGATGCTACAAGGACGCCATCTACTTCAATGACCGCCACAGGTGATCAGTCTGATGTAGAGAAAGCTCCGGTGTTCAATGAGCAGACGAAGTATCTGCCAAGAAGAAGGATCATCGCGGTTTGTTGACCACCGCCCACCCAAGCTGCACTTTCTAGCTGACACTTCCCAGGTGTTTCTGGCATGTGCCAGCATCGACTTTGCAGCACTCTTGGACCAGACCTCCCTTGCCGCCAGTTTGTCCATCATTGGAAGATCTCTTGATGCAAGCAACCAGACATCTTGGATATCGGGTGCCTACTTTGTGTATGTACTGCGTCTCGAACATACACTTTCTACAGTTACTTACTCAAGTGATGCAGCACATCAACATCCTTCCAACTCCTGTACGGGCGGCTCTCAGACATCTGGTCACGAAAGATCATCCTGCTTATCGGCATTGCAATATTCTTTATCGGATCCTTGGCATCCTCACTCGCTCAGGATGTTGTCCAACTCATCGTGTTCCGCGCATTCACCGGTGTCGGCGGTGGAGGGCTGATGACCGTGGCGCAGTTCATTGTCAGTGACGTTGTCCCACTTCGGGAACGGGGAAAATATCAAGGAATATTGGTACGCCGAGATGACCTGCACGTAATCATCTCATAAGCGACAGAGGCTGACCAGTCCCCTGCAGGGTGCATTCGTAGGTCTCGGAAACGGTGTCGGACCGGTTATTGGAGGTGCTCTTGCATCCCAGTCCGAGGAGTCCTGGCGCTGGATCTTCAGGTTGAATCTGCCACTCAGCGTTATCATGGTTGTGTGTGTGGTTTTCTTCATGCCGTTGAAGAAAGTTGAGGGAGATTGGAAAGTGTACGTCTTCCCGCACCATATTTCTTTTTTATCAAGGCTACCTTACTAAACCACTTCCAGCAAGCTCAAAGCTATTGACTTCACCGGTGCCGTCCTTGCCCTCGGCGGATCTGCAGTGCTCGTATTGGCCCTCACCTGGGCTGGTGGAGAATACCCGTGGCACTCAGCTCACGTCATCGCCTCATTCGTCGTGGGATTCTTCGTCTGCATCCTGTTCGTCCTTTGGCAATGGAAAGGGACGAGCGTCCCTCTAGTTCCGCGTACGTCTAGTCATCATCCCCTTCGCTTTTACGTGATCTCCTGTAGCTAACATAACGTCCTGAAACGGCAATTTAGTCCACATATTCCGCTCCCGCGTCGTCAACGGCGCCACCATCACCATGTTCATCAACGGCTGGAACTTCGTCACCCAAGTCTACTACATCCCGACCTTCTACCAGCTCGTCTACCGTTACAGCTCGACCAAATCCGGCGCGCTCCTCCTGCCCATCACCCTCACACAAACCCTCTCCAGCACGCTGTCTGGCCTGCTCGTCACCTGGACGGGCCGCTACCGCGAGGCGATCCTGTTCGGCTGGGCGCTGTGGGCCGTCGGGCTGGGGCTCTTCTCGACGCTGGACGAAGGGTCCGGGCTGGGCAAGCAGGTCGGGTTCGCGGTGCTGACGGGCTGGGGCGTCGGCAGCACGCTGCAGCCCAGCCTCGTCGCCATCCAGGCCGGCGTCGCCCGCCGCGACATGGCCATCGTCACGTCGTGGCGCAACTTCATCCGCAACCTCGGCGCCACCCTCGGCCTGGCCGTCGCGGGTACCATCGTGAACAACTCTCTCAGAGGCGCCGTGGCGCCACTGGGCCTGAGCAGCGCTGAGGTGCGGTCGTTGTTGAAGAATCCGGAGAACGTGTTGAGTCAGAAGAGCGATGCTGGTGCGGACGCGGAGAGGATTAGGACTGCGTTGATGGGCGCGTATAAGGATGGATTTAGGATCTTGTTCTATGTCAATGCTGCGTTGGCAGCTGTGGCTTTCTTCGTTGCGTTGGCGCTACTACCGCAGATCAGCTTGGTTAGAGATGATGATAAGAAGTTGCAGGAAGAGGCTCGAGCGAAGGAGGAAGCAAGAAGGAATGGAAAGGATGAGGCAAAGTCCGAGGCCAAGGAGAAGGCGGGCCCGTAGTGGACTCTTGATTGCGAATGATTTGTAAGTTTAACGCATTTACGGAAAGGATGAAACAGAAAAGGGGATTGGATGTATCGAGAAGATTCTCCCGCTTGGGTGTTGGTAGTTTCTCTCTCAAGGAGTCAAATTTGGCATTTGTGCTACAGGCGACGGATGGCAGTACAGGAATAGGAAGAATCCATCTCGTCATGAGTGCCGTGCTTGCCAACTCTTCTGCACCATACAAGATGCCGCGTCCTCCAGATCATTGCGACCGTCCAATTCTGCTCAACTCAAACTATCTCTATGTATCTTTGAACTTCCCTAAACACGCAGGTCAGCACTAATCACAATATGAGCACTCTTCCCGATCAACTCACCAATCAGTAACAGCCTGCCTATACAACCCAACCTCATGCTCCCTCGTCCTCGCATAAAACTCCACAAACCCGTCCCCAAAAATCTCCCTCGCCACACTCCCCTCCGCCTTAAACCTCCTCGTCGCCTCCTCCAAACTCCCCGGCAACGCCTTCCCTCCACCCTCCCCCTCATCCTCCTCCTTACCCAGCGGCGCCATCCCCACCTCCATCCGCCCTTCTACCCCGCGCCACCCCGCCCCCACACACGCCGCGATGGCGTAATGCGGATGCGCGTCCGCGCCCGGCACGCGCACCTCGAAGCGCGTGGCGGCGGGCTCGCAGTGCGGCGGCGCGACGACGCGCACCGCGGCGCGCCGGTCCTCGAGGCCGTACGACACGCGCGTCGGCGCCCAGTAGTTGGGCACGAGGCGTTTGTACGAGTTGACGGTCGGCGCGAGCAGCGGCATGATGTCGGGCAGGGCCGCGAGGAGGCCGGCGAGGAAGTGCTGGCCGAGCGGGGAGAGGGTGGCGAGGTCGGGGTAGGGGGAGGGAGAGGAGGAGGAAGAGGAGGAGGGGGGAGGATGAGAGGAGGTTGCTGCGAAGAGGTTGGTGCCGGTGCTGAGGGATGTGAGGGACAGGTGGATGTGGCCGGAGTTGCCGGGGAGGGAGGCGGAGGGCTTCGCCATGAAGGAGGGGGTGATGCCGTGGAGGGCGCCGAGGGATTTGGTGAGATACCTGTAGGGCGGAGGGGTTGAGTTAGCTGTGCTTCAAAGGAAGCTGCAGGAATGAAGATGGGGGAGACGTGCTTGAAGAGGGAGACTCTGTCGGCCATTTGGTCGGCTGGGCAGACTTGTAGAGCCTGAAGAATAATCAGCCAAATATTGAGTAGGGATCCACGTCGCTGAACTCACTGCTTCAAATACGCCCGGTCCACTCTCAGTGTGCCAGCCCTCCAGCTCGCAGTCGAAATCGTAACAGTGGTCATATATGGCATTGAAATAATCCTTGTTCATAACTGGGCGGGTGACGCTGTACCCAAACATGCCATCTGTCAAAGGTACAAGCTTGCTCGGAGGGTTATCTTTGAGGAAGGAAGCAATGCGACCGGGCTTTGCGAGCTTAGATTCTGGCGTCGCATCTGTAGGCGTGCAGTAATTGAAGAATTCCAGTTCCACTAATTTCCATTAGAGAAAACGGTTAGAATAAGATATGTATCTGGCATTGCAGTTTTCAACTTACCGCCGGCATGTGCCTGAGCATCTTCGTGCTGCAGACGGGCGAGAATAGTCTTCAGGAGGCCTCTCGGGCAAGCTGGAAATCTCATACCATCATTGTTGTAAAAATCCAGTAAAACTAGAGGAAGGCCATCATCCCATTTGGACCGGCGAAAACTCGTCAGATCGGGAACAGCTACAAAGTCACCGTAGCCCGGGGCCTCCGAAGGCTGGACGTCGCCAATGTTGTAAGTTTCATCATGCATGTCCCAGCAGAATATTGCGGAACTCATGCCAAAGCCTTTGGAAACTGCGGCAAGAAATTTTGTTTTGGACATGATCTTTCCGCGGAGTACGCCATCGGCATCGATTCCGGCCACTTTGACTTTGATGTCGTGCTGCAAGACATCCTCCAGATTTGCAATCGAAACTTTTGGATACACCATGGCAGGAAAAGAAAGAAAAGAAGATTATATAAAGAACAGAATATGTCGGATGAAAGAAGCAGAAGTTTGAAGATGAGTGAGAGTAATATAAAAAAGACTAGACTGTCTCCTGAAATGACTTTCATGTTCTGCATTGGGGAATTGGAAGCACATGCGTTCGGTACAGCGACCTTACAACCGAAGCGCGGTTCGTGCATCTACAGAGCGCGCGGCTATTTGCAGCTCTGTAGTAACATGCAGAAGTGTACGCCGAGATTCGTCCAGGTGTGGAGCACACCGCGGTCGGCGCGGTCAGCGCGGTCCGCGGCGTCAGATGACTCGGAATTCGTTACTACACTACGGAAAATATGTAACCTGGTTTGAAGACTCGCGAATTTCTCAGGATAGGTCACTGTGCTCATACACTGCAAATTCGTCTCCCAAAATTTATACCAATGGCCTCCGCGATGATTACAACAATCTCACCCTCTACCGGCGAACCCATCGTTGAACGGCCAGAGACTACTCTGGAAGAAGCACACAAGATTGTGAGGGACTCGTATGATGCGTTTGTTTCTTACAGAAAGATGCCTTTATTGGAGCGCAAATCCATCGTGGAAAAGGCTCTCAGTCTCATTGAAGACCGCAAAGAACAGCTCGGGCGTGAATTGACCATGCAAATGGGCCGCCCCATCTCATTCAGCACCAAGGAAATCGATACCATGCAGAAGCGCGCCAGATATCTCCTATCGATCTGCGAAGATTCCCTGGCAGAAATTCCGGGGCAGCCCGAAGCTGGCTTCAGAAGATACATAAAAAAAGAGCCTGTCGGCCCCACGCTCTTGGTCTTTGCGTGGAATGCAAGTATACACTACTCACTTACACGCATCCATCTTACTGATGTATATGTAACAGTTTCCTTACCTAATCGTGGTCAACTCGCTGATCCCCGCCCTCCTCGCCGGCAACACAGTCATCTTAAAGCCTTCGCCGCAGGTCCCACTCGTCGCAGAGCGTCTCGTCGAGATCTTCGCTGATGCCGGCCTCCCGCCCCGAGTCCTCCAGCTCATCTACTCGGGCTCGCCCGAAGCGCTGTCAGAGATGGTGCAGTTTCCGGAAATCAGCCTCATCACCTTCACTGGCTCCACGTCCGGCGGCATGAGTCTGCGCGAAGCCGTAGCGAAGCGCCTCGTCCCCATAGTCCTCGAGCTGGGCGGCAACGATCCGGCGTACGTGCGCGCCGACGCCGACCTGGCGTGGGTGGCCGCGCAGTTGGTTGACGGGGCCGTGTTCAATGCCGGCCAGAGCTGCTGTGCGGTCGAGCGGGTGTATGTGCACGCGGATGTGTACGAGCGCTTTGTTGAGGAAGTGAGGAAGGAGCTCGCCACTTACGTGCTCGGGGACCCGTTCGATGCGGCAACGAACGTTGGCCCCGTTATTTCGAAGGCAGCTGCGAAGAATATCGAGCTGCAAGTTGCTCAAGCGATTGAACGCGGTGCACGAGATGCTACTCCGACAAATCCATCGTTCGAGACGACGATGGAAAAGGGCAATTACATCCGACCAACCATCCTCGTCGACGTGGACCACACTATGCGTATCATGCAGGAAGAGACATTCGGCCCTATCATCCCAATAGCTAAGGTGGAATCGGACGAGGATGCCATTGCGCTCATGAATGATAGCGCTTACGGCTTGACGGCCAGTGTTTGGACTAAAGATGTCCAATCTGGAGAGAGCTTGATCGACAAGATCGAAGCTGGAACTGTCTTTATCAATCGTTGTGATTACCCTAGTCCGGTAAGTTGACCTTGATAAGTTCGAAGTAAATGTAATTGACTAAGTGTTGGTTTAGGATCTGGCTTGGGTTGGATGGAAAAATTCAGGGCTGGGTTGCACGCTGGGGCCACGAGGCTTCGACGCATTCTGTAAACTGAAGAGTTATCATATCAAAGTAGCGCAAGCGTGATAACCATGAGCTGGGCGAGCAGCTAGAGAATTTTGTATAGTGGATTTACACTGAACTTTGATATCAAGACTTTGCGTCAGAATATAAGGCTTTTTTGCTGGCAGTGACTTGCAGTGCGGCGTCGTACTTCTGCAGCTCGATACTTTAAGACCGCCAGATCGTATAAATGTGTTTCACTGGTGTGATTGACCACTTTGAGGACGAGGAGACATCTCGCTGATAGTGATCTTAGGGGTAGTGAATGTCAGTAGCCCCAATAAAACTAATTGAAGTGAGAAGACCAATTCTCTCGTTGGGTAGGAATGTGGCGAACGATCAAACAACGTCACACTGCAGCAGTACAGCACCTCACCGCGGTCCGCGCGGTCTCTGGGAGGCGATATTCACACGGAACGGCGCGGGTGCGGTGCGCACAGCAGCACCATCATGGCCTCGGTAAATAAAGCGGAGACATCCTGTTGGTATTCCTACAATATGCCGCAAGCAAATTCTTTTCTACGAAAGACTTAAAATTCATAGCACCTGATACCTCTCTATCCTAATCCTCGCGGCAGGCATCTCAGCCCAAATCAGCAAACACCATGTCCGGCCGCCTCTCCGGTAAAAACGTCATCATCACAGGCGCCGCCGGGTAAGTGCCACGCGTTTCGCCCCTCGTCCCCCCAAACCACAACCACCATTAACACTGCTCTCCGCCCTCTCCCACAGCGGCATCGGCCTCGAAACCGCAATCCTGATGCACCGCGAGGGTGCCTCAGTCCTGATGACCGACATCTCCGGCCCCGCGCTCTCCGCCGCCCACGCCAAAGCGGTCTCGCACTCACCATCCACCTCCAGCCGCCTCGAAACGCTCGTCGTCGACGTCAGCAGCGAGACCTCCGTCGCGGCGGCGGTCGACCACGTCTCTGCCTGGGGCGGGGTGGACGTCATGTTCAACAACGCGGGCATCATGCACCCGGCCGACGGCGACGCGTTCGAGTGCCCCGACGACGTGTGGGAGCGCACCATGGCGGTGAACGTGCGGGGTGTGTGGTACGGGTGCAAGCACGCGGTGCGTGGGTTCCGGGAGCAGGGCAAGGCGCGGGGCAGCGTGATCAATACGGCGAGCGTGGTGGCGCTGGTGGGGAGCGCGACGCCGCAGCTTGCGTATACCGCGAGTAAGGGAGCGGTGTTGGCGTTGACGAGGGAATTGGCGGTTGTGCATGCGAGGGAAGGTGAGAAGCATGCTGTTTCTGTTGTTTAGAAGGTCTATGGGAGAACTGACTGTCGGTAGGGTTCCGATTCAACTCGTTGTGTCCGGCTCCGCTTAAGTGAGTATACCCCCTTTCGCCTCCATATCTGCAGCTGGCCCCTTCGTTTTAGCTCTTTCCCTCTCATTGTTGACGTATTTCTTGTTTTTGCAGTACACCGATGCTCCAGGACTTTCTTGGCGACGATAAAGAAAAACGGTTCCGCCGCGAGGTTCACTTCCCCACGGGTAGGTTCGGAGAGGCTGTGGAGCAGGCACATGCTGCCGTCTTCCTCGCTAGCGACGAAAGCAGTTTCGTGAATGCCACGGACTTCGTCGTCGATGGCGGGCTGACCAAAGCCTATGTCACGCCAGAAGGGCAACCAACTGCCGCGCCTCGCAACATGGCTGCTTGAAGGTGGGGAACGTTTAAAAGGAAGAGGCTTCGTGTACAAGCTATGCAAACGAAATCCATATCTGATGCACCTGCATCACTTTACTGATGTTCCAAGGGCCTGCCACTTCTTCTGGTGTTGGTGAATCCCAGATGTGTCGGAGTATGAGCAGCGTCTTTTCCATGTTGCCGAGGCCGATGACAGCGGACATGGCTTCTAATCGAGCTTGTATGAGCGCCTGCTGTCCTTCGTCAAACAAGCAGGAACCGATTACTGCAAGCGGCCAGCACATGGCGGTATTGATGCGGTCTGACAGAGGAAGCAAAGAGAGCGCTTCAAGCGACTGGTCCACTGTGGTTTGGACAAGCACATTATGATCGTCAAACAGGCCTGGCCTGGGAAGTTCGACTGCCGTGTAGAGATAGAGGAGAGCGGCAAAGCGGTAGGCGCATGCAACTGCGCCTGCGTGTGAATCTAGCGGCACCGGAGGACACCACTCTAGAAGCTGTCTTTGAAGAGTAGCATATAGAGCCATCGTGGCAGTGGATGGCCCGTCCTGTCTCAACTGTCTTCCCAAATTGAAAATCCTGGGGAGGATGAGTAGTATCTCCAACCAGCAGCCGCAAAGATTACCCGCGTAATTGGCAGATACGAGCATCCGGGCTCTGTCTTCGAGCTGCTCGTTGATGATTCCGCTTGGACCGAGATCCGCATCGATGGATATCATGCTGACCGATGCTGTGTAAAAATAGTACTCAACTAAAAAGTCAGGTAGTGTTCCCAAGGCTCCGGCTGGCACTTTACTCAAGCAATGGATGAGGAGGGCAGGGCAAGCGAGAAGATGGTCGAAGATAATTCCATTTACATCTCCTCGTGCGGTCTGTGAGTGGTTTAATTAGCGTCAACTACTTCACTATCATTGGAAGACGCACCTACCTCGGTGTAACACATGATTAGCGTCCCAAGAGCTAAGGGCAGAACATCTGTTTCTGGGTCGGCGACGTATTTATCGATATAGTTCTGAAATCGCTTGATTGAACTGGAGTACAGAGGTATTGCCACCTCATTACCTGCATTTCCCGACTGAGCCGCACGGTGGGCAGCGCTCTGGGCTAGGACCAGGTGCAGGATTACATCGCTACAAAGGGCAGCTGGGATGACTTGAGTGATAAACGGATTGGTAGGCTGGAACCCGTTGGACATGCTTTCGGCTGTACGGCATAGATAGTATTCTAGAAGAGCTGCCTTGTGATGAACCAATTCACTGTCTGCTGCAGGCCTCCATGCTGGACTGGTAGGTATACCAACCGCGTCTGGCATGGCACTGGATTGCGGCACCAGTGTAGTGAGTGAATCATATCCGACCGTGATGTGCTCATCCTGTCCCAATCGCGCGTTGGTCTCGGACTCTTGCTGGGATGAAGGGGTGCGAGAACCATTCGCGCTCCTCATACAGCTGGAGCTGACGGGGATGCCGCTAGGTGGCAATGTCGGTTCGCGGCGAGGTGACTCAGCGGTGGTTGCATCTCGGTCATCACGCAGCGGCTGCGGAGTGGTCGAGGCGCGAGAAGGCCACGTGCAGACGAAGTTGTTACGTTCGCAGGCGCGGCAAGCAGGCCGTGTTTCGTCGCACTTTTTCTTCCTGACGCGGCACTTGAGGCACCCGGTTCTTACCCGCGAGATCCTCTGCACAGGCATACTGTGGTGAAAGCACTCCTCAGGCGAGCAGCCGGGGGCAAAGATGATGCCGGTGCTGAGAAACCGGAGGGGGGATGAACTCCAGAAGGCAGATTTTGGTCTGGCGCCTTGGCGTCGAACTTGTTGACTACTCCACCATCAACCCCGCAGGGACAGATGCCAATTCCAAGTAGGCTAGGATTATTGTGGTGTTTAATGACAATCCTTTCAGAATAGCCTGAAAGCCAAGGTTGCACTTAGTCTTTGCCTTATCGTCAGCATCCCTGCATCGCGGTCTCCGCGGACCGCGCGGACCGCGCTGCTCTTAGCTGCCGGCATCAGCACGTGACTGCTCCCCTAAACATATTCGTCATGGATCTCTTTGTAATAGCATCCCCTGCATGCACAATGCATCAAGCATTAGTTGGTTTAATATGAGTAATGCTCCACCCCCATCAGCTGCAGTAGATGTTACCGAAAACTGCCAGAAGTATGGATTTGAAGTCAGGGCTCATGTAAAAGTTCACGAGATATTGACTTTTTCGGCGTCATAAGCTTCCGAGAGGAGCTGATAAGCAGAACAATACGAGATGGCCCAACTCGCACGCCTCCAAGTCGACTCAACTGGTCCTGTGAATGTCGTCGTACCAACCTTGGCCAAAGCAGAGATGTTCATCCCGGTCATTGACTAGTATCGAAGCTGGTGAGAACATGATAAAAGATGTTTGGGTCAGTGTGATGGGCTAGTAATATAGATGGTGCGTGGCTTGGAAAACCGCCGACGACTTTTGCACAGTTTCGTTTCTCTCACAAGACTGATCTCGGAGAAGCAAAAAGAAAAAGATTGCTTGCTTCAAACCTCTGTCATCCCTCCGGACTTATTGCCACCTTCGTAGCAAATGGACCAATCTTCTCAAACTGGTATGCACTTGCGAACTGTGGCCGACATCTGGGCTGCATTGATTGCATAGCCAAGTCTTGGCCAAAAGAATTTCCTGTTCTGGCAGGTACATGCGGTCCCCCGCACGGTCCGCAACGGGTCTTGGGTCGGTTAGACAAACAATGACATGTGGGCCGTTGAGGATCTGAGAGAATTCCTGGCGCCATATATATCGCACTTGTTCACTGTAACACTTTGCGTGGCAGCCTGTTTCAGTCGCCTCGATCGTCATCCATTGCACCCAATGCTTTATTTCTTTCAATTCTCACACTTGCATTGTTGCCTGGTAATCTGGCTCTAAAGCCAAACATCAGGGTGGACACAAACCACGATGGCGTTGTCGATGGGACTGGAACTTCGGACTTGAACGGCAAGGATACGTGGACCGACCAGCGGGGCGCCATTTTTCTCCCAAACATAGGCGATTCTCTTGGCCGCTGCTATACCGTCGATCGGACTGGACAACCACTGAACGACGACGAGCTAGCGCTCTGCAACGACGCTTCAGGAAACACGGCGGTTTCACCCGAATACCTGGTACCCCTTCGAACGCTTCCACTGGAGAATGCTACGGACAAAGCTTTCGCACATGTTGGTGCTTACCCCACAAAGATTGCACAACACGTCCGCCTCTTTTGGAATCCAGGAGCGTTGACGAGTTCCTCTCCTTCCTGCCGGCGGAAAACGGGCTGGGTTCCACCATCTCGGTGGCTGACACGCGCCCCGCGCTCGATGTGCTGCGCAAGGCCAATGAGACAGGCCACGGCGACGTGCGCGCTTACAGAAAGACTGCATTGCCGGACCAGGGTGGAGACGGCGGTTTCAGTCCCAACCTCAATGTGACCATCGCCGAGGTGCTTGGTGATGAGCATTATATCGACGCCAATGTGGCTGTCCTGCTTCAGGAAATGGGCCTGAATGAAACGTATGTTGTCCGGATCCCGATGCTATTCTAGTCTTCTTCTTTCATCCAACCAAAACTTGCTTTTCCATGAAAACCTCTTCCCAAGTCGGACCATTGCCTTCGTCGCGTTGCTTCCATATTCTCTGAAGCAGGGCTTCGGCATTAAACAGGCTCCATGTCCCTATGCGCATGGCGACATGTTTTAATTTGGTGGCGACGAATTCTCTCATCTCGCGCATTTCCTCAGGTGGGGCGCAATCGTCGAGTTCATAGCCCGCAAGGAACAACGGCCAGCCGCAGCCACTCCAAGCGTAGCCGCCGTCAGACAATCCGACTTCTGAGACGTCATATTTTGCAGAAGTGTAGCCAAAGCGCCTCAGCAACGCTCGTAGATATTGGCGATGCAGGTCCTCCGGGTTGTCTGTGCCGAAGATTGACTCAGGGAGTGGCGAAGACAGCCACTGGCGGAATGGAGAAGTTAGTTCTAACAAGAGGGTGCGGATGGTATAGAGCATGACGGCATCTTTGAAACAGTGCACCAAGGTGAGATAGTCTCTCGAGTTGTGGAGTTGAAGGGGAGGGGTGATGTTGTTGAACCAGGCCTCTGGATCGAAAGCATGGATCTGTTGTAAAATATCTATTACACTCTGGCGGAAATCGGAGACTGTTCTTTCCTCTCCGGGATCGTGCGAGTCGCAGAAATTGAAGTTGAAATGGGCCATGGAGCCTCGGATGTCGTTGGTGCAGACCATGCTCCAGAAAAGCGGCCAGGGCAAGGGGGCGAAAGAATCATAAATGAACTTGTCCCAGCGGGGCTTCAAGTCTGCGAAGTCTGCCCAGGCTGGCGAAAATAAAGGCTTGTTCAGGTATTGTGAATTGCACGTCGTGCTGCTCATGACATCGTAGCTGTGCAACATTAGTTTGCGGTAGCAGAATGTGGTGTCGTACTCACAAAATCATCAGGAGTACCATTTCTGACTCCCATTGTCGAGTATCCAGGAGTTTCTTCCATCCTCCTCTAAGTTCAACTATGGTGGCAGCGCCGTGGAGATGGTGGTACCAGGTGCTCGAGGCATTTGACTGTACCTTTTTTCAAAGTTAAGCACTTCTGGCCGATGTACCGTAGAGGAGGCACTCACCTCTGCCATTAGAAGCATGATGATAGCATCCAGTGTTTCATCGCAGAGCTGAGTTTCGGGATTGGCGAGGAGACGATTGAGGCCGTTGATGGAGCGGTCTCTGTAGCGGCAGATCTCTTTGTCGCTGTCGGGAGTAATGTTTGCCTGGATGGCGCGGAACTGCTTGGTCAACAGCACCCAGATGTCCTGGATTGTTTGAGGGCATTCAACCCATTCTTGCAACGAGCTGTGGAACAGGGTTGCGAAAGCGGGGTCGGGGACTAGAGTTGGGGCGACGAATTCATTATCTAGAGAAGTTAGCAGGGCACGGCAAAGGCGACGGAGGCCATACGGTACATTGCGACGTCGAGAAGCTGCAACACCCTGGGGTCGGCACAGGGCCATGGTGGAGGAATGGAAGAGCGAGTGCGCTTGACAATGGCACCATGTTCGGGATGTTTTCGGACGTCGTCGGTGTCTTTTTTGGGGGATGACTTAATACGCTGGGCTTTGAAAATGAAGCTGGTGCAAGCTCGCGCCGGTGTGGGCGGTTGACTCTTCTCTGATGCGGTGCCGCGATTGATCCATACAAGAGGCTTGTGGAAGCCTGGGCAGTCGATGCCCTTCTTCTTACACGGGCCGCAGCTTGGCTGGACTGAGTCACAGCGCACCCGCCGCTTCTTGCAGGACAAGCATTGGGCGCCGAGCATGGTGTCGGCACGACCGTGTAGACGGGACTGAAAGAGCATGTAGGGAGTAACAGGGAGAACAGAAACAAGCTCTCCGAAGAGGTTTGTGGCTGAGCCTTGAGCAGGAGCCAGCACGCCGGCGCAGCTGCCTTATCGTTTTGGTGACTAAGCCGGCACCGGTGCTTGCTCTCATTGGCGCCGTTAGCGAAACCATCCGCAGTCCGCCCGCAAACTGCGTCATAGCGTGTTGTACTTGTGTTTGTAGTTTGGAAAATAGAAATGCCAAGAAATCTCTATACTGGTGTATAGGGAGGTGCGCTTCATTGAGCGGGGACAAACCGCAACGGTGGCGGCTTTCCTCCGCCCGAATTCGGACCATGCCCGGCATCCGCCCCACTCGGAATCCGGAGGCGGGATGCGGCATCTTCCCGACGCACCATGATCTGCCAGTAGATATAGTCCCAGAGCTCCCCATGAGTAAAGCAGACACTTCAAAATCATTCCCTCCACCATGCGCATTGGGATCCTCAAAGGAAACGGCATTGGTCCGGAAATCAGCGCTGCTACCCAGCGAGTCCTCGAGGCCACAGGCCTACAGATCGAGTGGGACGAGATTCCAATTGCCGAAGAAGCAATTGCCGCACATAGTCACCCATTGCCTCCACAAACAGTCCAACGACTGCGGGACGTAAAAGTCAGCATCAAAGCGCCGCTTATCGTCAACAAGCTGCAAGGCCGCATCACATGTACCCAGCCAGATGGAAGCCAGATCACATATCCTTCGCTCAACAACGCCATCCGCCGCGAACTCGGTCTCTTTGTCAACCCCAGGCCAATCCGAGGCTTCTCAGGCATATCAGGCCAATACGAAGTGCTTGATGTCGTTGTCATGCGAGAGATTACCGAGGATGTATACATCGGCCATGAGCACACCATCGGCGACGACATTGCCGCCGAAGCCATCAAGCTGACCACCCGTGCCGCAGCCACCAACGTCGCCCGCTTCAGCTTCGAATTCGCGAGGACCAACAACCGCAAGAGAGTCACTTGCCTGCACAAGGCCAACGTGCTGAACCTCACCGACGGCCTTTTTCTGCGCTGCTTCCGGGAAGTCGCCGCAGAGTATCCCGACATCGAGGCCGACGACATGATGATTGATGCCGCCTGCTACTCCATCGTGCGTAGTCCGCAGCGCTTCGATGTCGTTGTTGCCGCGAATCAATACGGTGACATCTTCTCCGATCTGGCCGCCGGCTTGGTGGGCTCGCTGGGGCTGGCACCAGGGGCAAACATCGGTGACCGCACCATGATCTTTGAAGCGAGCCATGGTGCCGCTCCTGATATTGCAGGAAAGGGCATCGCGAATCCCATTGCTCTGATCCTCAGTGGCGCCGAACTGCTTACCATGACCGGCCACCACAAGGAGGCGAAAGCGGTGCAGGATGCTGTGTCTGCTGTAATCAAGCTCCAAAAGGAACGTTTAACTCCTGATTTGGGTGGATTGGGCACCACAGATGGTCTCACAGATGCTCTCATCTCCGCCATGAAGCAGAATGTGATAGTTTAGTACTATTTACATATCTGAATTTGGGTTATTACTTTGTGTTTTGAGAAGGGAATTCTTCTCCTAAAGGTCCTTGCGCGGTACATAGCAATTTTAGACCTGCAATCCAGGTAGGTTTCCATAGTACTCAAATTACGCGTTTGCTCCGTTATCTGAATTGTGCCTCATCCTGACCGAACACCATGCAGCTTTCTTCGAACGCATGCCATTGGTCGGAGCAGGAGGAAATCTGTAGATTCTTGGCTTTTGGCTCCAGCTCTAATAAGTCTCTCCACTCAGGTGGGGCGCGAGTATGGTTTTTGCTTTTTCTATCCACGCTAACACGATATCCTCGCAGATTTGGATGGCAAAACTGCTCACGTCACACACTTTATGCCACTTACATGTCGCTGCGAGACTAAGACCCACCCAGGAATCGCCAAGATGGTCTGACGGATCTTGCTCTGCAAGTGTGGTTGTTACGAGCAGAGGGGCTGAGATTGCCAGAACCGGCAAAGACTTTTAAGCCACGCGGTCGAGATGCCGCCATGTTTCACGAAAGCACGTTCTTTCATCATAGACTTTTACTGCCCAGTCGGTCTAGATACCTTCTTTGTTACACTGCACTGAGGACCTTCTGTCTGACACCTGCCTAAAGTGCAAATGAATCCTTCAGACAGACGCTCGTTCGACGATGTGTTAGCAAAACACGAATATTGAAGGCGTTTAAGGCTTCCATTGACACTTTGTGGGACCAGTTTATGGCCTGATCTTCTGCACTACAGCAGTCAACACTCCTGGAAACTATAAATAATGATGGCCATCAAGTTGAGAAATCTTCAAGCAGATCACTTTACACTTTCAATCGAATCATCTCTCTACCTATCTTACAGTCATGCTATTCCTCTTCACCCTCGCCACCGCAGGACCAGCGGCGGCTGTTGCCCTAGCTGCCCCACAGATCACTGCTGCTCCCAGCGTTGCAGCTCTAGCCAGGCGTGCCGATGTCACCGATTCCTCCTATCTCTCTGCTGCCTCCTCAATGTGCGCCAAAAACAATTGGGACTGTTGCTCTCTCACCACCGGTCCGTTGGCTGTTCCGACGCCTGATACAGCCGCCTCATTCGTGGCCGATCCTTCTTTTTCGAGCCTCGCCATCAATGCACCCACCCCGACAGGCTATACGAGCGCTTTTACCAATGCGGATGGAAGCATACAACAATCATTTGGCTATCGTGGATACACCCAGTTGAGCAGCTACGATCCTAGCCAGTGTGCGACATTCTGCAATCAAGATGATCTCTGCCGCGGGTTCAACATATACGTCCAGCGCGATCCGATTCTTCGTCCGGCTTACAGCGTCTGCACCGATCCTCCATCAACAGGTACCATCGGCTGCACGCGCTGGGGTTACCCGATCAATCAAGCCAATGCAAGCAACGACGGCTCCTGGCAGGCGAGTTTTAGGGTTGCGATTGCAGGGTCCAACGGCTACAACAGAAACCATGAAACCATCCCCGAAAAGGCTATCCCTAACTTTGCAGCTCCGGTCAATATCTATGGCGCGGCGATTCAGGATGACAGTTACTACATGGTCGTAGACCACAAAGACCAGTCGGCCTTTGACCCTGCCATTTGCGCTACGGACTGCCAGGAGAACACTGCTTACAACCAACTTCACTCCAACGGTGAACCCTACATAACTTGCGTGAGTCACTATTGTACTATTTTCGGGGCCGCGACTGATATTTGACAGACCACTTTCAATGCGTACATTTCGCTGAAAAATGGAATTGCTGAGGGTACTCGTTGTGTTCTATTTAGCCAGACTGTAGGTCCTTCCTTCGTCTTTCAGTTACGTGTGGTAATCGATCTGACGTTTTTAGGTGAGCAATATCGCTCAGAAAGCAACAAACACAGGCGAAACACGAGGAATTGATGTCTACACGATTGGAGAATCCTATGCCTATGTGCTGAACTCGTCTTAAAGCGGAAGACAATAGATTATGGGTACAGAGTTGGTTGCAACTTACGGAAACTGACTTTATTGTCTTCATATATTAACTTATCGTCTTTTCTGTCGCTACGTTCTGTTTCTTTCTTGCTGTTTCAAGTCATTTTAACAGTGTACGTACAACGAACATAGCTCTCGATGAGAGTATATCTCTCCTTGATTGCTTTTCGATAGCCATAAAATTCAGCGCTGTTCAGTATGACTAGTGAAATTGAAGGGTTTTTGGTGCATATATGACTGGATGAATGGTCTTGAGAGAGGACTATGCAAGTCGGACTGAGGTATGGCCCGCTATTGAAGTATTAGTCTCCGCATCAGCATCGACTGTTGAATACAAAACGATGGTCCAATCTATCATAACTTGTTAAGTAAGGGATACCTGGACTGATGGGCTCCGATAGACGACAGAATTTTTTGCAGTTATGTTGATGAATAGCGGGAATATTGGCGTTGTTCCTGATGGTCTGTAGCACAGCTTCGCCGGTATCTCATCAGATATTCACTTTGAATGCAACGCCGTAGCATTTCTTACATTGAGGCCTTATACACGAACATACGGGTAAGTAAATAAATGAGGATAAATTTTCACATAGTAGCAGATATGTATTAATTTTAAGAGATTCGCCGTCTACGCTCTTGCGCCAAAAGTATTACTGGGTATCTTGTAGGTGATGCAGCTCATGCTATTTCTTCAGGAGTTGGCACTTTTTTCTCCTCAGACACTTGTCTTCGCTTCTCTTTCTCCATCTCGCTTTTGATCTCTGCGATATATGTTAGCACCATGAAGCAGCCAAATAGAAACCCAGTTTGAATGACTTACCGAAATACGATACGATCCCAGAAATCACAGGGACAGCCAGTAGAATCATGGGCAAAATCTGGCCAAACCCCCATTTTGTCCCCCCAGCAGAGAGATCACAGATCTCCGGGTTGTTGTTGGGTTTGTTGGACATTCTTTGCAAAAGAACATAGAAAAGGGAAACGGAGAAGAACACAACCTGCAGGCAAAATGCCTCACCAGAACTTCCGAGAGCCAAGAAAAGGAAGGTCATTTTCATCTTTCGCCGGAACGACTTCCAGAAAGTTCCGGGCCCGAGGTTGTCCAGACCCGCAAAGCTTTTTCTTATCCAGTGCATTGGAAGCCACTTGCTTTCGTTCTGCCAGAAACGTCTGAAATGGCGTCCAAGCTCTTCGTTCCAGCTCTCGAATGTATTGATGATGGCGATCCAATATGGGTAAAGTACGGCGATGACGGCGACAATATAGAAGAGCACGAGCCATAGCCTGTGCAGTTTGATGTCTTCGCAGCTGCCGTAGCTCTTCTTCCAGATGCCACACATTGACTCATCGGTCTGGAGCTTGGCTTCGATGGAAAGATAAAGGATAGTAGGCGGCCCAAAGGGAGCAGACAAGCAGATGGTGACTGTTAGCAACATTGCGAACAGCACGATCAGTGCCAGCCTGAGGAAGGCCAGAACTTTGTTATCTATCAGGTAGCGTTTCAATGTGACGATGGCGGCCAAGTGTGAGCTGCTTGACAGACAAGCTAGGTAGACAATCAGAAAGAAGTGATTTTCTACCAGCCTGTAGCGCCAGCGGGAGAAATCCTCGACCATTTGCGAGTGATTTTGCATCGCACGGCTGTAACCGCTGATAATGATTGCGATGCCTGTCAGGATTTGTTGGTCTCCAAGGGTGATCATGACGCGAGTGAGGACTTTTCGGTAGAAGTCGCTACGTTCCCGTCCTTTCTGGCTGAACTTGTGAAACAGCCACTCGTTTGTTCTCCGGGAGAAGACACCTTCGCAGCCTTCGAGGCCGTCCTTGAGACCGTAGCCTGCAATGCCGTCGAGGAATGGAGCACACATCGCCAGGAGAGTGGTCAGAATAGCGGTTGCTACGAGGGAAGCTACGACCTGTACTCTTATTAGATATATGTTTCTTTCGCGTTCACAAAGCGTTACTTACACCTCTTCCGGCAACATCACCGTCGAATGCATCCGCGCAGTCCGTTTCGTTGGCGTAGAACTTGAGAGGGGTATAGACGACGAAGTAGTCTTGCAACTGCATTTTGATTGGCCATCAAACCGGAGACGAGAGCGACCGCATTTAAGAACAGGCTTCTGTTTGCCTTTTAGTAGGCTGCTGGGTTTAGCCTCAGGCGGGCACCCTTGCTTGGCATGTTGGGGGCCGTTGGCTGTGCGTCATCTCCTACCCACCACAATGAACGGTGTGCAGGTGACAGTCTGAGACAATAGTAGAAGCGGGCAGATCACCACATTCCTAGCCAGTGAACAGATGGCTCACTAAGAAGCAGGCGATGCGGCTGTGTGGGTGTGCTTGGGGCTGAGTTGAGCTTATATTTAGGCAGCACTAACGGAATAGAGCGATCCTAACCAAAAGCGGGTGCTGGCCTAAGCAGATCGATGCAACCCGACCAGCGGGCTGGGCTTGACCGTGGTCGCACATGCTGGTCTGGCCAGGCAAGAATTCAGCCTTGCGGGCCACCGCCCTTCACGGCCGCACTTTATTAATGTAGCGCCGCGCAGGGGCGCGGCTGATCGCCCTAATCCATGCTCTTTCCCGTCGTTACGTCAGATCTTCAGCATGGAGGAAATTCCTCTGGAGAGTCCCTCATCCTCACCAAAAGGCTTCAAGCCGTCCCAAGAATCCACAAGAACGATGATCAAGAGAGTGGTTCCATCACTTGCTCCTACAGTTGCGCTTCTCTTGCTTTGCCTTGTTCTGGGTACTCCCATGATCTTGGTTATCCTTCCAAGCCTTCCTGGTGTTGGCAAAGTCGGAGAGTGCGTAGACGGGGATTTCAGAACCGCCAATATTGATCACCCCTTCGAAGTCCGGAGTGTTTTTGCAGTTTCGCTTGGATTTGGATCATTTGAGTTTGCCGTCGCCAGGGTCATCGATATCGTGTTTGATCTGGTCGTGGGCCGCGGAGGCCAAGCCTTTCTTGCTTACCTTACATACCCCGTTTTCACCAAAGTCCTTCTTTGTTCCATGGAGACCCGGTCCGCATCGTACGGCTACTTTTCTGCCATCGCATTCGATACTGTCTCGCTTTCGACTATGTCACACATGTCGAAGGACATGAGCCGCCGAAACAGAGGGAGAAGAGATGTCAAACACGTCTTCGTTTGCCTTGGCCTCTTGGTCGCATGCCTTTACGTGCTTGCATTTCCCACCCTCGCAAGCGCTGCCACGGGATACAGCGCCGCGCATGAGCCACGAGTGACTCTGAGAGGTAGCTCAAACTCTACAGCCGCTCTGGAAGGATTCGTAGAGTGCGAGTACGTTATTGAGGATGGAGACCGGCTGAAAGATGGCGTGAAGGAACAATGCATCACATCCGAAGACCCGTTGCTTGATGCGGTATGGAATTGTAAGCTCATGATGCTATTGCCTACGGTTGAAACTTTTCGTTGACGACTACGCAGATACTTACATGGTTGATACCGATGTCTTCAACCAGACAAACTCCAGTCAGTTCAACGGCACAGAACTTGGGGCACCCCCACTCAACATCTCGGCAACCCCAGTATACGCGTTTCAAGGACAGCTTTACAAAATTACTTATCTACAACAGAATGGTTACTGCAAACCAGTGGAGAACCACTACAAATGGGGATTCTCATATCTCTTGCTGTTCATCATGGCAGTCTTGACCTATACCTGGGCTGTTATCCTCGTTGCGTTGCAGCTTTACGTAGACAAAAAAGGCCGGCTCACCAGAGCTCGCCATGGACTGGGGCTGTATCGAGCTGTTCTCGACCTGTCCTGGGCGATCCGTGGAGAACTTGGCGAGGAGTCTCAGTTTCTTCCGAATGAAATGTTAGAGAAACGTCTGGCAGAAGCAAAGGAGGGGATTCGATATCGGGTCATAATGCCCACTGAAAGGGAAACGGGGCCAAATATGGTAGCAGGAAGCACATCGCGCTCTCCCTTGATGCGACCAGAACGACTGTCCATAGATTAGCATTCTGTTTAGCAACATTATGACTAGCAATTGTCTAGCCAGATCATTAGAGTAGATGAAAGAGAAAAAAAAAAAGCGAGTTCGAATTTCAATGACGGTTTAACCATGGACTGGTTAGATCTGCGTGACATTTTTTTTTGCGGCAAGGCGACCACGACTCCGACAATGCGGATCATCAGCAAGCGAATCGGCTCATGAGTCGACGCTGGGCGATCACCCGAGAATTGGGGCGTGGAGGAAACCGTGTTTGGTAGGTGTGAATGACGATTGCTCGACTTCACTGATGTTTGCCAACCTTTTGTGGCGTTGTAGCCACTCCTCGCAATCTGGAAACGAATGTAAATGAAACCTGGTTAATGGAAAGTTTTCAGTGAAGTTGAAGAGGCCCCTTTTTAACGATTAACCTTGTTGATCCTGGATCTGTTTGAACGACAGAGCTGCAGCGAATTGCGGGCCATGCATGTTCATTGAGAAGGCTGTGGAGCTCACCGCTCTGAATGCCGCGAGTCAGGAGCAACAGCCGCACCGAGCGTGGTGTATCGACCTGACGGCGGCCTCGGCGGCGAAAACTCACAACAACAAGCCTTGCAGGATCTGCGGCTTTTGTTTTTCCAGCTGGTACCCCTCGCGTTACTTGGGCGCGGAGTTTCCCGAGGGCCTGATGCTGTTGGAGGCGCGGAGCAACAAAGCCTCGCATGGTTGCCTGCAATTTGCCATGGGGCTGAGAGACTCGATTGGCGGGAGGCCCCGTTGGGGGCCAGCTCCACAGGCTGCATGAGGAGACCGCAACGCTTCGACCAATGCGCGCGTACCTGCTTGGCAACGGTAATGACGATCGCCCTTCTGTGCTGTTAAAACTGCGCCGCGTCCGCGCGCGCGGGTAACCCTGCTCCTCCGCACTCTTCGCCAAACGCCCATCATAAGGCGCCGGGTAGCTATGATCCGCATGCGGGGACTGACGTGCCTGCTAAGCCTTTCGGCCCCGGCATGGGCTTCGTCCAACTCCCCATGGGGCATGGCCTTCAACAACGATGGCAGTGAGTGCCTGCCTCTCCCTTCGCTGTAACACCGACGCTGACGTTCCTTGAGCCGGTCCTGATGGGCCATGGGCCTACATCATCGCCCCAGTCGACGCTCCGAGTCAGACGCTCGGCTTCTACCCGTCCATGATCGAGATGCCCATGATAGTCAACGCTTCGGCCTGCCAAGCCCAATCAGCTCAATGCGTCATGCCCACTATCACCGCATGGACTGGCTCCGCCGCTCATGATCTCTACCTCAACGAGACCAGTGATGAATGGGACCCGTCCGAGTGGGAAGACGTCCATGGCGGTTACGTAACCGAGCTAATGTCTCTGGAAGGCAGCCTGCGTTATACCACGCAGCGCCTCAGCCTCGGAACAGTTGATCTTGACGGTATTGCCATGGCTGTCGCCGACAATGTGACTGCCAGCTTCCCGAATGGAGACTGGTATACCGTTGGCATCGGATATGTATTTGCCCCCAGAGCTCGGTAGTCGGGGCATTTGCTGACCAATGCAGTTATCTTTATACGGCGGTTCAACTTTCACTTACGATATACCCTCTGGCACTCGGACCTTATCCCTCCAACTTGCCCTCGGCTGGTCGAAAGGTGCCTATGCTTCAATGAGTTTCGGACTGCACATGGGATCTGTCATGCACAAGATTAGCGGCAAACTGTTCTGGGGCGGTTACGACCGGGCCCGTTGCATCAGCGAGCCCATCACCGTCGAGTCCAACTCGACCTTCTCCCTCGCCGACATCTCCATCGGCGTGGCCTCAGGCGGCTCCGCTTTTCTGAACAACACGTCCAGCGCAACCGAAATCGACGGCCTGCTGCAGACCAACGGCTCCGACAGCAGCACCAGCCTCCCTCTGACCGCGCAGCCCGACCCGGGCGTGCCGTACATGTACCTCCCAGGCGCGACCTGCGCCGCCATCGCCGGCTACCTGCCCGTGACGTACGACGCCGGGCTCGCCCTGTACCGCTGGAACACGTCCGCGCCGGAATACGACGACATCATCAGCTCGCCGCACCACCTGTCCTTCCACTTCCACACGTCGGGCACCTCGGGCGCTACGCAGTCCATCGCCATCCCCTTCGCGCTGCTCAACCTGACCCTCGACTACCCCATTACCAGCGACCCGACACCGTATTTCCCCTGCCGGCCCTACAGCCCGTCCGACACGTCGAACCCGGCCGCCGTCGTGCTCGGCCGCGCCTTTCTGCAGGGCGCCCACTTCGCCCAGAACTGGCATACGGGGAGTGTGTGGTTAGCGCAAGCGCCCGGACCTGGATACGTCGACGAGGACCTCAAGACCATCCAGGAGACCGACACGGGCCTGACGCCGCTGCCCAACGCCCAGGCCTGGAACGAGACGTGGGCCGATGTGTTGACGCCGCTGAACGGGAGCACGACGGGCGACAGCACGAGCGGCGGGGGAACTGGGTCTGGCAGCGAGAACGATTCGGGATCGGGGAGCAGCGGAAGCAGCAGCGAGAGTAGCGGGAGCAGCGATTCGGGGCTGTCGACGGGGGCGAAGGCGGGCATCGGCGTCGGTGTGGCGGTGGGCGGGATTGCGCTGCTCGGCTTGGTAGGAGCGCTCCTGCTGCGGAGAAGAAGGAGGGAAGGCGCAGAGGGAGGGCCAGACCCGAGGACCGGCGCGACGGAACTGCCGGAGGAGCGGTCAATGGCATACGCGGCGGTGCCGCCGCAGGAGCTGGCAAGCGCGGAGATGCAGGAGTTGCCCGCGGATAATGCGATTAAGGAGTTGCAGAGCCACCCGAAACCGCACGAGTTGCCTGCAAGATATGTATAATGTGTACAGTGGCTGTGTATGATAAGCCTGTAATAGATGAGAAGATAGTACATACAATACCAGACAAGTGATAATAGATACCTTTTCCTCGTTTGAAGTCTGCCGTTTGCTGTTCGGCTCTCATACACTGGCAAAACACAGTGGCTTGGAACCGACGCCAGGGTGTTCAGTCATGGGAAATTGCCTTGGGAGAATGCATTGATGAGCGGTCACATTGACAACGCATCGCTTCCCATTTGCTGCAGAAGTCTTCGGCGTTGGGTCGGGGTTTCAACGTCAATGCACATGCCCCGTCCAAGGACAAACAAGACGAATCGTCTACAGGAAAGGAATCATCGTCCGTGAATCGAGGCTCCCAGGTGGTCAATCCGCCTCGGTCATCAGGAGAAGGGAAAGTGAACGGATGGTTTCCCGCCGGATCGCCGGCAGCTTTCGCCGGGCCATATGGGGCGGCCAAGAAACATTGTGAATAATTTGCGTGGCGGGAGTCTTCTCCAAGGAAGATTCTTACCTAGTGTGCCTTTTGTTTTGTTGCTGATCTTTTGGTGGAAAGTCGCATTGAAGAAGCGATCCAGAAAGAGGTATAAGCTCAAGTTTCAGGGGGATCAAGACCAATAAACCAGTAGAGAGTAAAGACAGGGAAAGTGAAGAGGCGTTTGATCCGAGAAGTGACTGACGGAATCCGAGCTCTGTATTAGGCAGCTGTCGGATTGAAAAACGCACTTGTTCAGAAAGCTGCTAAAGATCGTCGTTATAGCAAGTGGGGTCGTGCTAGCTCGGCGCAGTTGGTGTCGCGGCTTGGGGCAGTGCTCAAGCTATGCCACGTTAGCTTGAACCCGAGATACTCAACTGGGCATCTTTTGTTTGGTTACACCACAGATCCTAGTCTACAGCCAAGTGTGAGAACTATTTGAAACATTGTGCCAAGCAACGAAACCGACCTTCTGTCGGTCCGGCCGCCTCTGGTGGTCCATTAGGCCCTCCCAAGCTTATTAATATTCCATAGAACATAGGAGCGTCTTCATATCACGGACGAATTGCTCACCGACTCACCAACTGTACCTTGCGTCTCTGGAGTGCTTTTATCAAGGTGTTCATGTGGATAGAGAAGTGAAAGGGGTCAAGTTAAGCTGCGGGGTGTGCACTGGGATATTAACGTGTTCCGTGAGCCACATGCCGCCACCCGGCTTGGAACATTCTCCTTTCCCATGAGAGACATCCGTGTCACCTACCAAGCCAATGGGAAGGTTGAGGATATGTCTGACAGGAATTGCGGAGGGAAATGTGGGGAAGAATGACGTTTGCTGTTCTCGGTTTGGGCTGCGAGTGTTGAATGCGAGATACGAACCGCATATCCCTCAAATGCCTTCGTTCCTACTGGTCGGCGTTCCGACCCGACGTACTCGTGTCAGGCGTACTCGCACTTTCGTATACCCCTAGTGCAACAGTACTACAAACCAACATGGACCTTTTAGAATATATAAACGCTCATGGGCTGCATTCTATTCTAGAACAACAAGACAGTCCTTCTTTCAGTAACAATACATTCACAATCCTCTTTTGCCAAACATGAAGTTGTCACTCTTCACTAGCTCTCTGGCCTTTTCCCTGGCTTCTGCGCAGGGCTCAATCCATTCCTGGGCGCCCGGCGGGCCAAACGACTGTATGGCCACAGACGACCAACTTTCCCAAAGCATGATGCTGATATCGCACAGTTCGAGGCCCTTGCCCCATGATGAACACTTTGGCAAACCACGGCTTTCTTCCGCACGATGGTAGGAACATCACAAGGTCAAACGCCATTCATGCGCTGTCAACTGCGCTCCACTTCGACATAACTCTGGCCGGCATCATGTGGGACCAGGCCGTCATTGCCAACCCAGAGCCTAACGCTACGTTCTTCACTCTGTAAGGAACTTCGAGTCACTTGACTTGATCAAAGCTAACGGATATTTTTCAAGTGATAATCTCAACCGACACAACGTGTTGGAGCACGACGCAAGTCTGAGGTAAGACAGCCCCGGGATAACAGTACTTTCAAAGTCATTAACGCAAACTGCAGCCGTTCGGATGCGCGCTTCGGCAACAACCACGTCTTCAACCAGACTATTTTCGACACGTCGAAGGTGTACTGGACGGATCCCGTCCTCACCGCGCAGATGCTGGCCAACAGCAAGATTGCACGTCAGGTTGAGTCCAGGGCCTTCAACCCGGACTACACCTTCACTTCAACCACGGAAGCCTTCAGTCTGGGAGAGGTTGCTGCCCCCCTGATTGTTTTCGGTGACCACGAGCCTGCAACTGTGAACAGATCCTTTATTGAATATTTCTTCGGTAAGTCAAAGAGACCTGATGGAAGCCATCAATCAACACTAACGCGTATGTACCAGAGAACGAACGCCTTCCCAGCGAGCTCGGATGGGTCAGGCAGGCCGAAGTGGTGAAGCTTGAGGATGTTATGAGGCTTTCGGAAATTGTCGGAAACGCCACGAGCCTTATCACCGGTGGTTCCGAAGCGTCTCATGCTAAGAGGCGTCGGGACTTGCACGCCGGACTGCACTGAACGTGGAAAGCGTGTCGGCTCGCAGCTGAAAAGAGCAACAACGCTTGGATACAGTTCTGTTAACGAAACTTCAATTTTACGTACACCCCTTTTGTGACAATTTTGAACTTCATGTATGTAGCATCACGCCCAAAGTATAGTCTGTCTACAGACTATTCTAGAATTCACACCTTCACTTCATCATTTGCATTTATACCTCATTTGTGAGTGGGAGCGAGTTATTGAAATTGTGTCACCAGCAAAAGCCTCAGCTTAATCGGATTGAAAAGGAGAAAAGCGTATACCGGCTATCGGCGGAGGCCATACAAAGCTGCCAACTACTCGAACCTCTACGTTAGAGCCGAGAATCTCGGATTCTGGACGCCAAAGCCATGCTACTAGGCTTATTTTCTAGCGCAGCAACGCTAAAAAATAACTTTATATCAAATGATGTCTTATTCTTCAACACTTGTAGGTACAATAAGACTTCACAGATGCGGTTGACTCGTTACATACGTTTATTTGTGCTTTTTTTAAAGTCTATCGAAATTATCAACCTCAAGGAATCTTCCAACAATGAGGTTGCACGGTGTCCAACGTTTGGGAGACATGTATATGTTACGAATATTCACGTTTTGTATCTGCGATAAAATATCGTACTTGATTCATCTGGCATGGGAACTGCGAAGAAACTTTGCCAAGACACCAATAACATTGCCATTCAGGGCTGAAAATATTAGATCGTTCATAGACCGTGCTTACCGCGCTCGTTTTACGACTTAACCGAGTGCCTGAAGTCAATGACCATCTTTTTCTTAGCTTAGTTGGCTGGGAAATGATCCGCGTTGATCTTGACAGAGCCAGTCCATGTCTTTCCGTTGTCGGAGGTAGTCAGCTTTCCAGATGCACCGGTGAGGGACAAGGTGTTGCCGAAAGACTTGTCAGCAGCGCTGAGAGTGATGGAAATGTTGGACCAAGCTGTGAGGTGAGCAGATTTAGCAAGTGATTCCTTCATGGCAGGAAACATGGGTGAAATGCTTACTGTAACCGCCGACACTGCCGCAGGTGTTCTGGTAGCACTCGTTGCTGGAATAAAGGTAGGTCGGAAGCCAGCCGGCATCTGAAATTTGTTAGCCAGATGATATTATATGAATGGTAAAGAAGGTTATGCTCACTGTCTTCCTGCTGGCTGACGAGCTTGTCGCTGATCCAAACCTTCTGAGTGGTCTTCTTGGCAGACGTCGCGGTGACTGGTTGGCTGTCAGTAAAAGCCGGACATATGAAGACACAGGATAAGCTGTCATACTTTCAAAGTCAATCTTCGTGTTCTTCGGTACCTGGACATAGGGCTGGGCGACCTGGCCGGCTGCGAGGTACTTAGTCAGCAGTGCGCTTTCATTTGACCCGGAGACAACACATACAAGCAAAGTAAGTCGAAGCGTCAACGCACCACTCATCGGCCGCCGCCGGGCATCCTCTGTTTAATATGTCAGCGGGTGGTAGACATTACGCGGAATGGAATGGCTCACTGAGAGTCCTGGTCAGGAGACCAGTTCAGCAGGGGCTGAACAAGGGCAGTGTTCTCATCGGAGATGGAGTCCGAAACACCGATCCATAGCGACAGGAATGGAGGGTCGCTCTTGTCCTTCATCGTGGCATCGGAAGGGACTGCGGGAGGCAGGACCGACCAAGTAGCCTTGGTGATGTAGGCATTGCCGGTCGCGGGGCCAACAGTGAACATGTTACCGAATGCCCAAGCCGAGAAGTCGGCGGCCGAGGCACCTGCGGCCAGCGCAAGGACTGCTGCGGAAGTGGATTTATACATGTTGCAGGTATTTACTTTTTTCAAACGAGAGACAGGCAATGAGGGACTGGGTGGTGATGCTGAGGCTCAAGGGAAGCGTCTTCCCCTCCTTATACGTGAAGCCAAGGGCATGGTGGGGCGATGTTTGTCACCGATCAGCCGTTTCAGAGGCGCGCGGAAAAACTGGTGCGAACGGAAGGCTCCGAAGGACTGGAGGGCCTTTGGATGTTTCAAGATATTGTTTGGGTAAGTAATAGGAGATCGCCGGGATATCTCCCATGAGGCGAGGAGACGCAGGGGCCAAATTACAGGCTGTTCCCGTGGAGCCGAGCACGGAAATTTTTCGTATTGGTGGATGATGAAACAAGCCTTCGGAGACGCCTTTAATGTACCCGCCATCAGAAGCTTGAGTGTCGGCAACTCGTTCTGGTTGGCCGCTTCGCTACGTGGAAATGCCAAACTCGCCCAGTACACTGCTCTCCTGAAGTCGTGGTATCGGAATTAACCATTGCGCAAGCGAAGCGAGAACCACACCCCGCTGGCCGTGCTGAGCACGCCTGATTTGTCTCCTACATTTATATATTAAAATCGACCCCCTCCATGACACTGGGCTTGCTGGGATCATGATTCAGAGAGAAACTGTGCAGTGCATGGGGAGACCAATCTACATCATATGGCCATAACGTGATGTCGAGAATGTAGCGCTCCTGCATATTAAGTAGAATTCTCCAGATGGGTCACGGGTAACGGCGGGAATAAACGGATTCAATTGCGAGGGACAAAAACGAAAACAACGCAAGATTGAAACTAGCTGCATCCTCGTAGTATCTGTAGTATGTACATCTGTACTTCAGTTTCAAGGAGCAACAAAGAAAATATGACCGGTGTTATTATGTATGTACCGGCGCAACGGCAGAACTGTGTATATAATTAGTTGAGAATACATCACCTGAAGCCCGATCAATTGATTTCTCAGCACCATGCAGCTAAATTCTTGCGATAGTACATATTTCGAGACAACATCTGCTGCCAACTCGAAACTACTGATGTTACTCATGATGATTCTGTGCGTTGGTGAGAATCCGCTGTGGGGGCCGTTAGCGGTGTGTGTTGCGAAGGAAGAATAGTCGGCGCAAAGCGCAACGGCATGGCGCTAAAAGACAGTATAGGTTGCGGTGCCACATCCTAATTTAGGTATGCCGCGTTGTCAGGATGAGCCATTCTGCAGGTTAGGATGAGCCATTTTGATCTCCTGTGCTCATTGGCCAAGCTCCGATAAACTATGCGAAAGTCGGGTAGATGCGCCGATCTGTGGAGCGACAGCGGTGCGGAGGTTCCGCAAGCTCGACGGAAACACATTAGCGTCTTGGGGTTTGTACATACATAAGTGGGATGCACGGCCGCCCTCACACTTAGTATTCACGGCCATCTCTCTTCTCGACCCTACCGGATTAAAGTTTCCTGATTCCATCGTTTTCATCATGGCAAAGGTACAAGGAACGTGCGACAGCCGCTTCAAGGAAGTCGAGGAGTTGTTTCAATCATACCTGGACTCAGGAGAAGAGCTTGGAGCTTCATTCGTCGTGAACATTGACGGAGAAGATGTCGTCGATCTCTGGGGCGGATACGCAGACAAGGCCCGCACGCGCGCCTGGGAAAAGGACACCATCACCACCGTATGGTCGACAACCAAATGCATCACGGCGCTCGCCGTCTTGATCCTGATCGACCGCGGCCTCGTCTCGCCGAATGACAAGGTGTCCAAGCACTGGCCCGAGTTCGCGGCGAACGGCAAGGAGGACATCGAGGTCCGCCACTTCCTGTCGCACACATCCGGCGTTCCCGGCTGGGAAGAGCAGCTCTCGCTCGCCGAAATCAGCGACCTCCCCAAGGCGACGGCCCTGCTCGCCGCGCAGCCGCCCTGGTGGACGCCGGGCACGTGCTCCGGCTACCACTCCTTCACCTTCGGCCACCTGAACGGCGAGCTCGTGCGGCGCGTGACGGGCAAGTCGCTGCGTCAGTTCGTCGCCGAGGACATCGCCGCGCCGCTGGGCGGCGCCGACTTCCAGCTCGGCGCGAAAGAGCAGGACTGGCCGCGGGTCGCCGAGATCATCCCGCCGCCCGGCTTCGATGGCACGGTCAAGATGGCCTGGCTGGACGCCGACACGGTGGCCGGCAAGGCCATGCGCAGCCCGCCGCCCGACGGCAACAACGCCAACACGACGACGTGGAGGAACGCCGACCTGGGCGGCGCCAACGGTCACAGCAACGCGCGCGGCGTCGCCCGCATGCTCTCGCCCATCGCGCTGGCCGGCACCGACAAGCAGACTCCGCTGCTGTCCAAGAAGACGGTCGATGGCATCTTCGTGCAGCAGGCGAAAGGCGTGGATATCGTGACGGGCCAGGCGCTGCGCATCGGCACCGGGCTCGGACTATCCAGTAAGGACACCATCGCCGACTGGCTACCTGAGGATGATGGCTTGTGCTTCTGGGGCGGATGGGGCGGCTCGGCCGGAATTGTCGATGTGAACAGGAGAATGACCATTTCGTACGTGATGAACAAGATGGAGAATGTATCATTCGGCAATGATAGGACGAAAGGGCTGGTTGGCGCCGTTTACAAGGCCTTCGGCATCGCGTAATTGAGCTGGACGGAATGCGGAATTAGAGCCTTTAGGTCGGCACATTTGTAGAGCGAGATATGGACAGTAAGCAGGAGTGGAGGGGTAGATTGGTAAGCACTGCGCAGGAGCTGAGCTAAGCAATGAGCATCCTTTGTCCCACAGTACCCACTCACAGTGGTATAGCTTGGATTTTGCCCTGTTAATCAAGCTCCTTCTGCTGTATCAAGCACAAAGTAAAAGCGTGCCAAGAGTCTCCACCGCTAGTTTCTCAGCTTCCTGCTGCCTGGCTTGCTTACAATAGCGCTCCGTACCTTGCTTACTCAATGTATTCCCCAGGCTATAAAATGGACTTTGCTGTTGGTTCGGGTAGTATCGACGTGCATGATTTGCAGCCGATATTTCAGGGATGACTTTCGCAATGGAACGCTTGATGTTTAACGTGATTGGCATTTTGCTACTCTTACTCGCAGGGACCACTGCGCAGGACTTGCTTCCATGGGATGATTGGCCGCACCAACGCGTCAGGGTCAGCGAAGACGTCAGTCTCCATCTTCGATATGCAGGTTCAGGTCCGCCTGTCTTATTGGTTCATGGAAATCCGCAACACAGCGTAAGTATTCCAATGTCAATTAGCGAATAGGCTCAGACACTCACCTATTCAAGCTCTGTTGGTACGCCATTGCGCCTATACTGGCCCAGAACTACACAGTCATCGTCCCCGACAACCGCGGTGCCGGAGACTCTACTATACCGCCGGACGGCAATTACACAGCCGCCGCCCACGCTGACGACCTGAAGGCCGTCCTCGATTTCCTCGAAATCGACGCCGCCTACGTTTTCTCCCACGACAAGGGCGCAGGATTCGCAGCCGCCTTCGCCGCCAAGTACCCAGCATCCACGCGTCGGGTTGGCTTCTTTGAGTACCTGCTGCCGGGCTTCGGCTATGAGGATTTCTGGACGCCTAGCTCCGGCGGCGGCATCGGGTGGGACCTGTACAAGAATTGGCAGCTGGGCTTCTTCTCAGTGCCGGACGCGGCGACATATTTCATTGGTGGACGCGAGAAGGAGATGCTGGCGTGGTACTTTTTCCATGCGTCGTATTCGGGCAACGAGGCCATCTCCCAGGACCACCTCAATCGCTACGCTACCAGCATCAGCAAGCCCGGCTTCCTGCGGAGCATGCTTAACACCTTCTCCGTGTCGACGGTCACGCAGGACGCCCGCTTCTTCAACGAGACAATTCGACAGCAACCGCTGCAGATGCCGGTGCTGGCGCTGGGAGGAGAGGCAAGCTTGGCCATGCCGGCGGTAGAACAGGTCTGGGCGCCTGTGGGTGAGAATGTCGTGGCTGAGGTCGTGCCCAAAGCGGGTCATTGGATGTGTACGTCTTGGAATTGCGAGCTCTTGCTGGTTCTTTTGCTGACCCAGATCTCTTTAGTGGACGAAAATCCGAAGTGGGTTGCCAATCGCATTGCCCGTTTCATCGCCGATGACAACAACACCTTGCCCAGCGCTGATCTGAGCTGGCTAACAGATCGGGTGACCCTTTAACACATGCACTTTAACACATCCTAGCTCTTTGCAGCAAGACTCAGCATTGTTTTACAAGGACGGGGAACAATGCAAGGGCGAGGTGCTCTGACTTAAGCTGTCACATTGTTCAAGGCAGACACCGAGAAATTGTGAAAATATTACACTTGCCGGTATGGAAGGCCAGTATTCGATGATCCAATGTGACATTTGGAACATTAAAAGGGTATTATTATTCGTGAGTAGACAGATATTAAGACCATTTCTCGCGCGCTTGCACAGGCGTGTCACCCGGCAATTCTGCAATGAACTGGTTGCTCGCCGGCATCTCCGCAAAGTCCGTGACGTGGCCAGAAAGTTCGTGTCGTCTATCAGGTACCTCCATTTCTGTAGCTTCTCCGGTGGTCGTGGACGTGGCAGGGCGTGGAGTAAGGGGAGAAATGGCCGTCGAGCCTCCCCAGGTGCTCGAGTTCCAAGTGGTGCCCTCCGGCGATGCCAATTCGGCGGTTCTCGGTGCCGCATTGTTGTCCCCGCTGACTTGCGTATCCTGCAACTCGCTGAACCCGCCTTTCTTGCCGCCCCTTCCTGCTCCATCCCCACCCTCTTCGGACGTACTCACCAGCTGATGGGTTTTTGATTTCCTCCGCCACACCAAAAAGGCCAAAATCCCCAGAACCAGGGCTGCAACACCTATACCTACACCCAATCCAATTTTTGCACCCGCGGAAAGGCCTCCTCCGTCTCCTGACGCTGAATCTGCACTACTCGTGGTGCTTGCCGTTGCGGTGGCGGCTGCCGACGTCGCCGTCTGACCTGCCGACGCCGACGTCGATGTTGGAGTGATGGTCTCACCGGATTTAGTGGGATTCGTTTCCAATACATTCAAGTCGGAAGATTTCCATCGGACCTGAATGGCGAAGACGAGGGGCGTTGTGGTAATGGCGGAGACTGAAGGTAGAGCCAGGGTGTAGGTTGTTTCTGTGGTCGCGATGCATTTGCTCCAAACATATTCGTCCGTGCTCGGCGAGCCCATGCATGTGTATCCTCTGATACCGTGTTGAGCCAGTTGCATCCCTTTGCTGTCGAGGTGGACTTACTGTGGACAGCAGATAATTGCAGTTTCGCCGTCTTCGAGGGGCCCTCCAATGAAAGGCGTACCGTTGCTCTCTATTGCAGCTGATGTTGGGAAAGTACACCCTGCCGTGTAGCTTTCAGGGCAGATGCCTGGGCTATAGAATCTTTGGGAATGGTCAGCGGAGAGCATGGAACAGAGTTTGAAGCAGGAACGAACCCGAATTTATAATTCCAATAGCTCGTGAATCCGTTTGGCATGCATATCGAACTTGATAGCGCCGGTGTGTCGTAGTCGTTCCTTGGCGGACCAATTAGTATGATGAGTAGACGAGCGTGGGCGTAGCGAAACATACCATGCTTCCGAGGAACAAAACTCTGGGGTAGCTGACCGATTGTCAGTGCGCTCTCGGAGAAGACTGGGGAAATTCGGAGACGTTACTGAAGACGGTGGTGAGGGGCCCTGCGCCTCGCGGGAAGCTGCTCGTGGGAGCGGCTGTTGTGCTGGTCATGGACCTTGGATTTCGGCGACGGGAGGGGCGGAAGTGAAAGGAAGGCGGTCAGGACAGGGACAGCACAGGGTATGAAGGACAAAGATGGTGGGAGAGAGAACTGTTATTATCACGGCACGGGCTACGAGAAGCGCTTGACGTCAACGGCGAGGAATAAGCGAAAGACGGCGTGATTGTGATGGAGAAGGTTCAACACCTCGCTCAGGAAGAATCGTGTGACGGGCGTTGCAATCTTATCGCAGCTCAGAGGCACACGTGTTTTAGCCGTGCGCTAGCGACTCAGGACGATCATGTAACAGTGACCACACGCTGGTCCGTATGTAACAAGCCGGCCATGGATCTGCGAATTCCGACCAACAAGAGGCGCGAGTTTGCGGCTGTTCCGTCCTCAAAGGGGCAGCTGCGCCACAAATTCAACCACTGGCTTCGGAAATGCCATGGAAGAACGCGCTAAAGACGGGACGGTTCCAATACCCAACGGCGGCCTGACGCTCGCGTTCGATGGAGGTAATTCTTGCTTTCAATGGCCCAAAACACGGACTGTCTTTCCATTCTCGAAGCCTTCACGTCGCTCTGTTCAAAACCCAGCGCGAGTCATCAGCCACGGGATGGGCTCCGTGGGTGCCGGGTTCGGTTTCGAATTCGGCGCAGGGGATGAGCTCGTATTCTAGGGGAAGCCATGACGACACGGCGATGGGCGATCAGAAAATCAAGAGAGACCAGTCGGAGTGGGTCGAGGGCGCGACCCGCGGCAGTGGCTGTTGATCCATGAAGCATCGGCCATGATGCGCTTGATGCAGAAGGTGAGGTTGTCGCTGCGAAGTCGCGATGGCCGTTGGCGGGAACGGCAGAAAGTGCTTACGTCACGTGCACCCTGCGCCGGGCGGTGAGGCTGACTCGCAGCCCCGACTCGCCACTTGCCAACCTCCGTGCCTCCTTCGCCCACTCCTCCGCATCTCTCCACTTCACCCACAACACCCACCTCATCTACCCGCTATTCTTTCCATCCTTGCGAAAGTCGCCGCGCGTCGCAGCGATCGAGTGCGCCCTCGTCCGACACCGCCAGCGCCACCCGCCCTCGGTCGGGCGTCCTGCGTCACGCACATCCAGGCTCTGCACGGCGGCGGTCCTTCGGCTTACCACCTGGAACTGCTTCTGCCTAGTCTGCGATTGCACTGGCTCTTGGCGCCGCGCCTGGAACTGCCTCGCCTGGTCCTCTGCGGCGGTGGTCCTTCGGTCTGAGTACCTGGAACTGCTTCGCCAGCGCCCTCGGTAGCGGCTCTTCGGCACGTCCTGGAGCTGCTTCGATCGGTCTTGTGCGGTGGCGGTCCTTCGGTCTTAGTGCCTGGAACTACTTCGAGAGCTCCTTGCCGGCGGCGGTCCTTCGGCACGGCCTGGGCTGCTGAGCGGCTCTCCAGTCGACACCCTACGTTGCCTCGACTTGAAAAAGCCAAGGCTGCTTTGGATTACTATCCGCAAAGCCTGGGAGGGCGGGTAACCTGCAGATAGCAGGGGCTCAGGTTTGTTGGTTGCTTGCTGATTACTGATAGCTTCTAGGTCCTGCGTCCTTCGCAACCAAACATGCCGCCCCAGACACCGACGCCGATCCTGAAGGAGGTTGTTGTGGCAGCATGGCGAAACAATGCGGACGATCTATGCGGTCTTGGATGCGCGACTCCTTTCAACGAACAGGATCCCAATCTAATGTTCACGGTATTGCTTGATGAACGCAAGGAATGCATATTTGCAAGATTGGGGTTGTCTGTTATGGTCAAAGGAGGAGGCAGCCGCAAGCAGAGATGTTTTGACTTCGTGGTGCCCCTTCACGCGTGTAGTGCCGATGGCCCGTCAATCAACTATAACACCGTCAATGTTTCTGAAATCGAGGACGAGTCCATCAAAGCCGCCATCAGCGCTGCGCGATTGCCTAAATCTGGTCAACTCATTCGCGTCAACTTTATTCTTAGCCAGCACGGTGAGGTAGTTACACCTTGGAAAGAAGAAGCCCGTTTCTCAACCTGCTCCGACACTTCGCTCGACCTTCTGTGCGGTCTCTTCTCCCTCTCCGACTCGAGAGAGTTCGACCTCTACATGTGCCCGAGCGGGTATGCTCGAGCCGGCTTGACCACCATCAAGAATTTGCTGCAGGGAGAGCTTCAAGAGTGGTCCCCGAAAGCAACGGGTGTTTACGGAGGTCGGAACGTGATGACAGTCGATCGGGAACACGTCGAAAGTGGTCGGAAGCCTCGAAACCGTCAGAAAACCCGAACCACGACTAGTGCTGTCGAGCATAACTCCGTATTAATGGAGGAGCCTCCGCCATATGATCCAGCCAAGACTCATGTACCACGATCACCACCCCCAGACATCTTCCAACGCCTCGCATCTCCTACCAATTCTTTCTTGGCCGAAGATTCAGCCCTCTCCGACCCTGGATCCATTCCTGAAAAGGGCAATCGCAAGGGCAAACGTAAACGCTCAGACGAGGAGCGGGAAGCTGTTAGACAGGCTCTCACTTGCCGCCTTGAAAAGTGGCTTTGCCTTGCTTTTAGGGAAAACGACCGCGTATACGAACACGTCATCCTCAAGCCATTCTTCGATGAGACGGCTCCAACCTGCGTTGACGAGTGTGACACTGACAAATTCAACGTCGGCATCGCCTTTGCAACCGCAGTACTCGCCTGCGACCCGCATGGTAACTGCGATTTGTACTGGGACCATAAAGAAAGATTCTTCGAGATCGTGGACGACATGCGAGCCCTGATTCTGTGGTCTTTGCAACGAAATGAGAGTAGCGAAATTCTCCCATGGCGTAAACTCATGGACATGGGCGAAGCCGCCCGGACCCTGTTGCGAACCGGCGAGCGGGATGGATATGATACGATCAAGGCTCAGATCACCGCTAGATGCGTTCTGGAGGGGCCCGTACGATAGATTGGTAGATAGACCGATGGTAATGCGGAACTTATGATACCCAAACTTAGTCCCTTTTTTTTTCCGAAAAAGAACATGCTATGGGTAGTTAAAGCTATCGTCTAGGCGTGAATGTATAATGATTAATTCGACATTTACATCCAGATGATAGCCTCAAGTACCCATACCACTTAGGTGCCAAAAGAAATGATCCTCCGCAATCATCTTCGCAAGTAAGGCATCCAACTTACGAAGGTAGCTGAAGCTACCATCCGGACGTCAATTTAAAAATTTAAATGCACATCTACTACGTCTGGATAGTGGCTCCAGCTACCTACGTAACGAGCTTAGGTGCTGATAGAAATTAATGATTCAGATAGTTCAGATATTTTGGCACCCACTTTGCAAGTTACAAGCGAAAAATGAATTCACGCTAGCCGTTGGTTGTAATATTTCCCTGTATGCAGGTCCGCATTCTTATCACGCCGTGGGTAGATACTAGTCTTTATCTGATCTCAATATCGGAAGGGACGGGCTAGGGAAGTTTAATGATGCTGAATTCTCGGTAAGAATAGCTAGGGTTCACGTCTCTATTCCTAAAGAACAATAGCCACAGCTTCCTTTACGAACCCCTCATTGGGGAGGGGTGCAGGTACCGGCTGTAGCAGAGGCCTATTGAGAATATTAGGTAAGAATTATGCGACGCAAGGTAAGAAGTAGTATTTTTGGTTACTTGCCTTGGTGATTTCCTTCACGCAGTTACCCCAAGACTCAGGAGTGCCAAAGTACCTGCACTGTATTGATAATCAGAAAATGGCTATTGTTGGATCGCAGTAGCTCAGCTACTTACCTGGTAGCGAGCAGTGCCATAGCACTCGTTGCAGAAGCGCTGAAGAGTGCCGGCATCGCAATCGGTGGCACCCTCGGGGCACTGCCGAAATCCAAGTCAGAACGGGCACCCATCTAAAAAGTAGGTAGGAGTTTGGAAGTGGCGGGGCCGTACAAGTTCGTTGGCAGCGATGGGGCAGTTGGTGGTGGCGTCGCCCAAGTACTCAATGGAGGTCGACTGAACAAAAGCGGCGGAGGCCAAGAAGCCAAAAGCGATAGTGAAGCGCATTTCGAACGAGTGGAGAAGCTATTGAGAATAGAACTTGCTGAGAACTGGAGGGTTGGGTTGCTTGATTGTGATGATACACAACTCTTATATAGATGTGAAGTCCAAATAGTCCGAGGACTAAACGATGCAACTCCGGCCGAAACAACGAAGAGTATCGTATACGCACAGAGCGCCGGAGCTCTCGTCTCACCGACAACTCCACTCAAAAAATCCCGGTCCGCGCCCTTTCAAGGGTCGTAGAGGGAGCACGAGGTGACGCCGTCTGATCAGAAGGTTGGTATTATATCTAGATGTAGAGCCTAGAAGCAAGTGGCATTACATTGAAGCTCAAAGAATCATTTTGAAAGCCTATGTCAGACACCTCTCGGGGTATATAATAAGTGGATTGGGTTTTACCGCACTTGCGTAGTACCCGTAAGCATGCCATGATAGAGGTACGGTAAGTCAGCTCCTACCAGCTCATGAGAGGGTACATACCTTGTGATGGCATGAGGGGACACTATTCCCTAACCCATTATCGTACAGGTGGCACCAGGCCCATGGTGAGCGAGAACTCCACTCAGACGATGCCAGCTAAAAAAAGCATTCTTGGCATTACTTAACAAGCTTAAGACAAGGGGTGAAGCCAGAGCACCAAGAGCAAAGTTTCCTAATACGTTGATTTGGAAGTTTTCCACGAGATGGGCTAGACAAATGGCGTTAGGACCCCACAAAAATGACCGAGAATACGACTGGGGAATTGGACAGTGCGCCGACAGCGTACACGTATCGGAAGTACTTTATCCATCCATTCATAAGGCTTCCGGAGTCTGGAACATTTGCAAGGACCTTCGGTACACAGGTATGAAACAGCGGGGACGTCAAAACGGGCTGGTTCGTGGCCTAGAAAAGAATCCTGGAAATGAGGAGAGACCTTGACAGATTAGCATTGAAGATTGCAGCGCAGACAGCTTCTCAAGCAAGAACATGAGAGAAAATATTCAGAACTGCCACACGGACACCCAATGAGACAAGTGTTGACAATGAAAATCAATGGCTTCAGTGGAACGGGAAGGACTAATGCGCCTAATTATTTATTCCAGCCTCGCATTTGGATCCGTACAATACAATGTCTGTCTGTCGTAAAGTAATCCTCTACCCCCAAGCTGCCATCTTCACTCTGCACATATGCCGCTCCGTTGGGTGAGCTCCACCGCCTCCGCCATCAACCTGATACTCCCGTTCCCCCATCGCCGTCTTCACGGCCGACGCACCACAGCTCCAGTCCCTCCGCGGGTGCAAACGGTCCCACTCGTCGTGCACTGGCTCGAAGTCGAACTCCCTCAGCGTTATGGCAAACACAGTCTTGATCTCGGCCACCGCGAGCGTCTGGCCGATGCAGTTGCGCGGCTCGAACTCGAACGGCGCCGCCCGCCCTTTGGCGGATACAGCGGGTGCTCGGGCGCGACCAGCCAGCGCGCCGGCAAGAACTCGTCGGCACGCGCAAAGACGGCTGGGTTGCGTTACAGGCCGAGGTGCAGGGCCCAGATGTGGCAGCCCGCGGTGGGATAGGCGGTGCCGTCTTTGTCCGTCAGCACGATGTCGGGCATGCTTGCATCGCGGACGCCGGGGGGAAAGAAGCGGAGGGTTTCTTTCATGCAAGCGGTCATGTAGTAGTGCAGCTGATTGAGAGGTAGCTGGCGAAACCGTCACCTTCTATATACCCAACGGGTATCTTTTGACACTGGTGGGGTAGCGCAAATGTTTGGCGAATTTTTTCAAAAAAATTAAACCTCGCCACCTCCAGACTACCCGGGGAAGGTGAAGAAACCTCGCGCCTTTCGATGTCTGCAAATGCTGCTCATCAAGGACACGTTGTACACTTGTAGGTGTGTTTGGCGGATCCAGGTCAAACCTGAAAATTGTGGAAACTTCGGAGCTCTTCAAAATTCCGCTGAAAGCACTTTGGAATGAAACAAAGCATCGCATAGACGCCCTTTATCCTAGCTAGTAGGATCCTTGTGGCGAAGTTGGTAGCCCTGATATCACTGTCCTTTGGCTTACAAATAGGCAAAGGGCCCGCTTATTTCCAGCATCTCAGCACTAATCCTTAGCTTCACCTCACAATTTGTAAGACCACAACAGTAGTTCACTTAGCCATTCGTGGAGCTCAGTGGATCTTTTAGTAACTTCACGCCCCCAAGCATAGACCTGTGCAAGCCTAAGATCTCACTTGAGCTTATAAGCCCCTCCACGGCCACCCGCTGGAGCTTCCGATCATAACACTGATATCCACGACGGCACCAGTCCCCATTATAACCCCACCACAAGATGTCTTCCTCCACATTCTCAATCGATACGTACTCTCACACCGGAATTGTTGTCCGCTCGCTCGACAAGTCCCTCCACTTCTGGCACAACTGCCTGGGTCTACCCATCCAGCGTCGCGGTACCCTCACCGGCCCTAATGTCGGCATAATAGCTGGTGCACCTGCAGGCTCTACCATTCACGTCGCACACATCTTGCTTCCAATCCCTGGCGCCGCCGCCGATGCGTTGGTCCCGACACTCGAGTTGTTGGAGTACGAGATTCCGGCCGAGGCGGAAGGCAAGAAGGAACATACAAGGGTGCCGGAGGCGTGGAGTATTGGAGCGGTACATGTGGCGGTGGTGGTGAAGGGGTTGGATGGAGTCGTGGAGAAAGTGAGGGAGGAAGGGTGGGCGGTCGTGTCAGGAGTGGGGAAGACAGGGGAGGATGTGGATGAACGGGTGAGGGGATGGAGAATCTGCTATCTGAGGGGACCGGACGGGGAGATTGTGGAGCTTATGGAACCGCCTGGGGAGAGCGAGTAGGTGAGTGCGGTATGAATTGCCTTCTTTTGCACTTTTGCAGTATATATGGGAAGCATTTGGTCATAGCGTTGCCTAAGGCTTTGGGCAGAACGCGGAAATATGTACAGAAGGGATGCCATGCGGCAAATGAAATGTATCTGTACGAAAATAAAAATCCTAACATGCATTATGATCCATTGGTGTCGTAGGGGCAGGAACTAAAATAGTGTAGAGTTGATTCAGGGGAAGTAACCCACTTTTCTGAAAGCAATGAGACATGTTTGAGCCATAGGCCGCGAGCTCAGAAGCTGAGCCATCTAGTCCAATCGTCGCCACATTCCAGGAACATCAACTGCTCTTGAAGCGAGCTCTCACAAATATCAAACATTCCCATCCCAGCACCAGACCAGTTCTCATCACTATCGGCAAGTGGAATATGTTCTGTCGTGTAGTCAGGCATATTTTGATGCTCGCCATGGTTCGCAGGCAATGGGTCCTTATGGTTGGCGCGTGTGTTCTTTCGACGGCAGTCTTCCTCCACCTTTTCAAGCATCCTCCTGAGACAACATGCATACCGAGAAGCAGCGCATGCATCATCAGTACTCGCTTCCTCCAAAGCATGTAGTAACCGTAGTAGAAGTCCCATCGGATTTCCGAAGGCGCGCGAAGAGAGTTGTTGGATTCTGAGTAGAATCAAGGATGCAGAAATAGTGTGATAAAGGATATTTAAAGGCACGTATCGAAAGAGGCCGTCCCGGTGCATTTCAAGTGCAAGCTCGATTGTTTGCTGAGATTCTTGAAACATCTGGCTTATCCCTTCTCTGTCTTCCTGGGACTGCTCTGCTTGTGCAGCATTTGATGACATGGTGGCCCAGGTAGTGGCATTACATTTCGAAACAGGTCCGCTGGCAGTAGATCCGGCTTTGGTGGTATAAGCCAATAGAGAAATGCTGTGTAAGAAGGAGCGAATGGCGTGCCACATTATCTCCAGGTGCTTCGCAAGTGGCGGTGAAGATCCTTTGACGCCTTCGAAGTGTGTCTTCCACGTCGCCAATAGAGCAGAGAAGTCGTTGATCGTAGCCATGTAGTTTCCTTCAACGATGATATCATTCGTACGGCGAAAGGCTGGGTACAGTGTGCTTTCGATGAGGCGAGCAAGTCTGTAAAGCTCGATTCTGCATTGCAGAATGTCCTTCAAAGGATGGTCAGGAGAAGTACCCAGTATCAGTCCGGAATCACCGGGTGGGTGACTCAACAAACAAGTCCGGCCCAGACGAAAGCTCCTCTCCCAAACAAGAGAGACCAAAAAGTGCCTTACATGTGCACGACGGAGGCTTTCCGTCCCACTGCGGTTGCAATGGGCGGTGGTTATGACCTGTTGGAGGCCAATTTCATCGGCAATGTTGATTGCAATGCAGAGAAGCCGCCAGGATGTAGTGTTGACAGGCTTGAAGGTATCCCAAGCTCGGCGCACCTCGGACTCCAGAGTCTTATTCGACGCATCTGGCATAGGACTGTACCCGAGAGTTTCAAGAGCGTAATTGCCTCGAATGTCCTTCACAGGCATGGTTGCGTCAAGTGAACGAGGGTGCCATTCAACAATGAGCATTATACTCTCGATGAGACCCAAGGTCGTTGTCTCGTCACAGCCCCTGGGAGTCGATATCCAGATACAATTTTGGATTGTTGACTGGACCCATCTGTACAAAATCCCGTGGACTTCGATGGCTCGTGCAGAGAAGGCGCTTGCTTGATACCATGTGTACCTGGAAGTGATGGCGAGGATTGTAGCAAAGAGCAGAGGATCTTGGGTAACGAGCTCGCTCTTGCTGGAGCAATGGCTGTACTTGTGGTCCACAAGAGGATACAGTGGATGCATCCACCGAAAGAAATGGTCAACAAGGTGTTCGGCCTCCAGCGGGGTGAGATGGCCATCTCGGCAAAGAGCGGATTGTGTCCAGATGGCGGGACCGTAACTGGGCTCGGTCGACCGCATATCTTCGGTAGCGCAGGTCATGGCCGGCTGCGGCAGCTCGTACTGACCGTTGGGATTGGTTGTACTGAGTGGCTCAGTGGGATGTTCTTCGGCCCCGCTCACGGGGGATGCAGCGGTATTGACGCGCCGGTTCGTCCGTGATCTCAGCTTTCGTGCAGGGCCAAAGACGCATAGCAGCCGGGCCCTGCGACACCGAACGCATGGTGGTTTGGGGTGCTCGGGGTCTCCTAAGCGGCACTTGACTTTGTGCTTTTTACATTCAAGACACGCCTGATAATTACGACGACCGGTCATCTCGTGCGACACTGCGACATCCTCCGCCAAGGGTTCGGACATGTTGGGAAGGATTGGTTCCGACAGTTGACTGAAGATAGGAGTAGGGCGGTTGCATTGAAACTGATTTTCGCCAGACCACAGAGCCCAACTGGTGACGGTGAAGTAGCCGTGGCCCGAAGTTAGCCGATCTCATCACCGAAGTAAGCCGCACTCTAATTATCGCACCTTTCCGGAAGCGTCTTGTCGCACATAGCGGACAAATTATTGATGCAAGCCTATGAGCTAAATCCATCCCCTTTCTTTTTATCCTTTCAGGTAGCCAATGAATTTACTCCTCATCGAATTTAGTTGTTTCCCCCCGGCAAACTACCCACAAAAACGACCATGACGGCACAATACCTGTTTAATTTCAGCTTCACTGAATAAAAGACTGGAATAAGATTGCACTGACGCTGCTGTTGCCGAGAAGATTTCGTAGTGCCGTGATTGTGTCAGAGAAGACAGAGCCGAGGCAAACAACAAGGTGAAGAGAGCTATAATCCCTATTCTGGATCCAGTGTCCTGAAGGGCGTAGAGTATTGCAATAGGACCTATGAGCGTGATCGTCGCCATGAATGTTGTTAGAATGCGTGCAGCGCTAGCCGTTCCGATATGGGAAGTGAAGATGATATGATTATCACTAGACTGCTGCGGTCCTCTCTGGTAGATATGTCAGTTTTGCAATCATTCTGCCGTGCAATGTCGAACAAATACACCTTAAGGAGCCCATTTTTGATCATTTGAACGTTAAGCGTCTCCAGATATTCATGCAACCCACCGTGGTCATCGGGCATCTTCGGTGCAAGAAGATCATCCCAATCACTAAGGAATGTTGACTCGGGTTCTGAAAGCGGCTTGTTTCCGTTCAGCCAGTTGCTGACGCTTCGAATGCTCTGCTCCCGGGGCTTAGGTCTTTCGGCATGGCATAGATAGCTATCTAGAAGCTTATCTTCTTCAATAGTTAGCGATCTTTATCCTTTGCAACGCAGGACAGACGTTATACTGTAGTCCAGAAGCTTCTGTTCTGCATCGGCAACGAGCTTTCTTCGTTCTACACTTGTATCCATCCTTCTAGACCTGAGGGAAAATGCATTCGCCTCAATTTTGTCAAGCTCATTGAGCTGTTGCTCGATTTCAGTAATTTCGTCTTGCTTCTGCAGGAGCACTCGGGCATGGAGTTGCCCAAAGCCCCGAAAGAGCATGAAGTCGAGATCGCTGTTAATAAATGCTGAGAGCCGGGGATAGCCTTCGCGATAATCATCGACTATTCGAAGACACTGCATCAGCTGTTTGTAAAGACGTCTTTCCAAAGAATGACATACTGCTGCGAGTGTGGTGTACAAAAGGATCTGCTGGGTAGAATGGGGTGGCCGTTGGTTGCTCTGCTCTTATCAGCACCCAGAATTCTTCAATCGATGCATCCATTCATACGCATTGTGCGCGATGCAAATCTCGGTTGCGCTGCAGGACTCGCATCCGATGAACTTGTCTGCCCATTGTTGGTTGACATGATGTGACCTTGTAGAACAGTGTTTGGGCTGAAGATTTCAACTGTGAATGTTTGTAGCAGATTCAAAAACTTTCGTTAATATTTATGACTGCTGAGCGTAAGCCTCGACTCATGGATGTATGAAAGTGGCGCAGGGCGGCAACACAGCCTTGGAAAATGATACGACCTACTTACTTTTTATTCGCCGACGACTTTTTTAAGCCTGGAAGCAATAAGACGAGGGCTACAGTCTATCCTTTATTAAGATTTTCAGCCCTATGTATTTACACTTACGGCCATGCCGAAGTGACATGCATGCAGGTGCTCGACAATTGCTGTTCCATGTAGGCAGGGATTGCAATAAGCGGGACCAGTGGCCACAATTCATTGGTGGAGCGATCGCCATTCGCGCCCAATACCCACCCTGTTGCCTGCAGCTCTCGTGGCGCGCGCATAAATGAAGTGTGGATGCATCTGTGAGGGTAGCCATCAGTCTGCGCACTCATCAGGATTTCCAACACTCCCTCTTTCCTCTTTCCACGACCTTGTATCAGCATGTCTTGCTCAGAACTTGAGATTGTGCAAGATTTTTCAAATTCCGCGGCGACATACTTTTCCGGAAGGCTCGAGCACGAAAGCGTACATGTTCTTTTGACATTCTGGGAAGAAAATGATGTGAAGCCAGAGAAAGAAATAGACGCGCTGCATAAGTTATTTGAAGATGGATTCAACTTCTCCGTCACACGATTCCCCATCCCCAGCAAAAGCAGCCAGTTGCGGCTTAATCGAGACATTTCTGATTTTCTATCGCGGTTTGCTGATCGAGAAAATACACTCATCATCATGTACTATGCTGGCCATTGCTTCAAAGGCCCGAAAGGAGAAGCCCGCTGGGCAGCGTAAGTATAGCTTACTATTCAACTACGATTCGGAAAACATTCTTTTTCGTGTTCTCTTTTTCACCCTGAGACCGACGCTAATCGATAGCAGGTTTGAGAAGGGAGAGCCAACTTTATCATGGTCAGCATGTCAGCAAAACCTTTACGGGGCGATTGGTGATGTTATCCTGATACTTGACTGTTGTCATGCTGCGTTGCTAGCTAAAGGGACTAAAGACAAGGGTCGGTTTGAAGTCCTCGCTGCCTCTGCGAAAGGCGTTCTCACCCCTGAGCCTGGTAAACACTCTTTTACAGCATTCCTACTTCGCGAGCTCCGTGGGCGCATCGAGGAAGGCGTAACGGTCCGCGATCTTGCTGGTATACTTTCAGAGAATGACAAAATTACGGGTGTGTTTGCGAAAGAACTATTCAACTATGATATTTGACGCTAATACTCTATCAGCCACGCCATATTACGTAGATCTTGCACGCACAAAAGCTACGAGCACTCCAATCAAGAAGCTCAAGGTTACCCTGGACCCACGCTTTATGAGAAAACCTTCTGGATACCTCATGTTCCGTGTCTCCCTGACAGACGACTTGACGGGCCGTCAAATTGCAGATTGGCTCAAAACCGCACCTCCAGAATCTGTCACGGCAGTGAACATCGAAGCAGTTGTAACGAAAGCTCGCAGATTGCAGAAAAATCTCAGTAGTGAGGCATTCCCTCCGGGATCCTTACTCAGTAAACTGCCGTTGCATGAACAACAACTGATCCTGAGGGAATTGCAAAGCCTGAACACGACTATGTCCGCTACTGCAGGCCTTGAACAGGATCAGTTGATGCAAGCAGATAAGCAATCAATCAGCGATGACTTGCAGCCAATGAAATACCGCGTCTTAGCTCCCAGAGATGATGTGCAGGAACCTGTACCCTCGAACCTGGAAGGCAAGGATGTAGGAAAAATGGATCCATCAATCGCGGATTCCGCCGGAACAACTGAAGCCGCTTCTCTGCGGTCGCTTCTTATTCGTGAGAAAGCAATTACAAAAAGCTTGGAGCTGGACATCCATAGTATCCGGGATATCGACAGCTCAAAACGCTTTGGCACCGGCCTTCTCAACGATCGCCAGGTCCTCACAGAATTCTTTGATTTTGCTGAGGATCCAGAGACGGGCAACCCCTACGATGAAACAGTCCAGCAGTTAATAAATTTGACTGCCGTCCTCTGTCACTCCAAAGGGCCAAGATACCACATTCTGCCTTGCGTTGGCTACGTTCATGACAAATTGACCCACACGTTCGGCCTCGTGTTCGAGCCACCACTCCTTTCCAACTTAGAAAAAGGACCAACGACGCTCCACCAAATGTTCGATTTGGAGCCATTTGTACCACTCGGTCACCGGTTTCGGCTCGCTCACGCGCTTTCAGTAGCGCTTGAGAGCTTTCATCGCATTGAGTGGGTTCACAAAGAGATTCGAAGTGATAACCTCGCTTTCATGCCGCTAGCGACTGCTTCTGACTCAGGAATACCGGGGTCTCAAGCCTTAGCAGGAGATGTTGATCTTGCAGCACCCTGGCTATTCGGTTTCGAGTATGCCCGAGCTGAGGCGGCCGGAACACTAAGAGATGAGGATCACAACATTGACAACAATCTCTACCGCCATCCTGATCTCTGGGGTAAGCCGCAGGTTGATTTCACAAAGGCTCATGATATTTATTCTCTGGTAAGTCATTGGTAACCCACCGAAAGCTTAGCGCCCAATAGCGTCTAATATATTACAGGGTATCATTCTGTACGAGATCGCTGTTTGGGAGAATATCAAGGCCACATTGAAGTTCCAAGATCGTCAGCGCATTTCCTCGTATTTTGTAAGAAATCACGTAGAGAAGGCTTGCAAAAAGCGACTCCCGCATGAAGTGGGCGCTGTCTTTACAGATGCGATACTTGTGTGCATTGGGTTCGAGCAGAAAACACAGGGAATGAGTGCACTTCAAGCTCAAACTCTTTTTCAAACACAAGTTTCCCAGAAATTGGACAAGATTGCCAGTTCAATCTGAGTTTTTACGGGTCTCACCCTTATGCAGATACTTGGAGGTACAAATGGACACACAAGATAGGGGTGTTGCGATGGCTCATCAATGAAATTTCACCATAGACTTTTTCCTCGTTCAAAGGGGAAACAATGCAGACACTTTCTTCTTCTCTTTCCCGGGAGCCAACGTGAGACAATTTCCGGCTTCTGGGAACAGTGACACATATAATGCTTGGCAATATGAGTAATGACCCCGCATATTGCTGGCTGGCATCCAATCTTGAGCTTCCACGATCTGCGGGGTAGATGAAAAATTATATTCATCGCACAGTCGAGTCTCCAAGAATGCCGATGATGCCGGGGCCCACCACGATAAGGGGTTTGCCTATCTTACTGCCTTTTTCAGTCTAGACTGATAGTTGCTGTCGGCCCGGCTGTCGAGTGATTATGTTATCACGTGAGTATGTCTCCACAATCATAAGAGAGAATACTTCCTTTGAGAATCAGACTGCTTTCCCCCAGATCATTCCTTATCTAATACACATCGACTCTACACAGTTTGTTACATCATCAAGGTTCAAAAGCAACTTATCGCTAACACATCCGGCAGATCCGCGCCATGGAGATTATGCCAACTTTGGACAATATCAACATCCCTATGGTAGTCATGTTGACCACTTCCATACTATTTCTTGTTCTATTACAAGTATTCTCTCGCCATCGTGGTGAAGCCCTGGAGGTTACTCAGGTATACTTCGTTCGCACGGTTCTCTGACAAAGATATTGGCTAAGCTTACCCTAATTCTATAGCTCTTTGTCTATCCCGTCAAAGGTCTGCGTGGATGCTCTTTGCAAAACGCCCCGACTGGCCCGTATGGCTTACTCGGTGACCGAGTATTCTGCTTGCAAAGGGTATATCGCGACAAGAACGATCCATCCAAGAAACGGCACGAGACCATGTTTATCGGTTACAATTTGGAGCTGGCCCTCTTCTCAGTTACCCTTAATTTCGGTGGAAATGGCCACGATTTGGCGAAGAGCGAAGTCGTTGTGACTTGGAACGGCCTCAATACCGACATCGATTTAGCAAAGGATGTCCACGCTCAGGACATGGCTCGGTTTCCGCTGAAGCCCAGTATCGAAGGCCGAGATGAATTCGAAGTCAGCCTCCACAAAAGCCCAACCAAAGCATACGACATGGGAGATGATATCTCCAGCTGGTTCAGTGCCCGCCTAGGATGCGAAGTCAGATTGGTTTACATTGGCGACCGCTCTCGACCGGTTCTTGGTTCTTTGGCTCCCAATAGCAAGGGTGGCCTGAGAAAAGCCGGGGTGACAAGCCGACTCAGGTCGTGTTTACCATTCCTTTCATTTCCAGCAGAGCGGCTCGCTTTCAATGATATTGCGCATTACCTTGTCGTCACCGAAGAGTCGAATGACGATGTCACCACGCGATTGGAAGACGATTGTAAAATGGACATTAGAAAATTTCGACCGAACATTGTTGTGAAGGGAGCATCAGGTCCGTTCGTTGAAGATTTTTGGGGCGAGCTTACATTCGAGAGCGGCATTCTGATGCCCTTGACTGCCAACTGCTATCGTTGCCAGAGTATCACAGTCGACTACAACACAGGCAAGACTGCAGCAGATGACCGAGGTACTGTTTGGAAGAAACTGAACAAGTACCGAAGAGTGGACCAAGGCGCAAAGTACAGCCCCGTATTTGGACGCTACGGTTACTGCTTTGGTTCCTCAGTTGGTAAAACACTCTCTGTCGGTCAAAAAGCATTTGTGACTCGTGTCAATAGCCAAAGGACAACTTTCGGTACGACATCTACCTCTGAATATGTGTTTTTCCGGCATTGTTTGCTGACAGAGCCTTACCAGATTGGCCCAGCTTAGCAAGCTTCGGTGTTAGCAAGAATCAGAAATAGCCCCGCCGGTCCGGTGTCTGTAGAGAGATCAACAGTGTTCAAAAATTCAGCGGAGGGGGGAAAATTATCAATGTAAGCCATCAACTCTAGGCCATGGTATCAAGCAAAAATTGATTTTTTTTCTGGATTACATCATGATCACAAATTTCCTTTTCTTGTCCGCTGTAGCCTTGCTATACGCCTCGACTGCACCCTCCAAACTCGTTTTCTCCCAACCGCTCTCCGAGCTTTCTCCATTGAGCAAATCAAAGGATCCGCTCGCAACCATACTCCTCAGCCTGTCGCCCATACTCTCAACCGTCTCATTCAGCGAATTGCACCCCACAACACTCTTCCCCATCCTATAAAACTCCCTCATATCGACCCTCAACTCCCCCTTTCCCGCCACAAACACTAACCTCCCATCCTTCCCCAACTTCTTCACCGCCGCGCTCGTCAGCGCCTCGCTCCCCACCGCATCAACAACCACATCCACACCTCTTCCCCCGGTAATCTCCCCCACCCTCTCCAGCAACGCATCGCCCGTCGTCGTATCCACATCCCCACCACCCCTCACGCCCCTCAGCACCTCGCACCCCTTCGCCCTCGCTAGGCTCACCGCCGCCCTCCCCACCGCCCCGTTCGCACCCAGCACCAGCACCGTCTCCCCTTCCCGCACGCGCGCCCGCTCCAGCGCCAGCCCCGCCGTCGTCCACGGCACGCCTAGCGTCGCCGCCGCTGCCGCGTCAATACCCGCTGGCACTTGCGATACACCCGCGACAGGAACGACGGCGTATTCGGCGTGGAAGCCGTCGGCGGTGAAGGCGTGCGTGTTGCCCGAGGTGCCGAAGACGGTTGCGCCGAGGAGGGAGTTGGCGTCGTCGTGGTTCTCGTCGGCGTGGTCGGAGGAGGGGGGAGTAGAAGAATCCTCTGGATCGGTGGGACCGATGGCGACGACGGTGCCGGCGAAGTCGCGGCCGGGGATGCGGGGGTAGGAGGTGTAGGGGAAGTTGCCTTGGGCGTTGAGGATGTCGGATGGATGGATGGCCGAGGCGAGGATGCGGATGAGCAGGTAGCCGGCAGGGGGAACGGGGACGGGGTGGTCGCGGACGAGGGTGAGTGTTGGGGTGGAGGTCTCGTCCTTGCGGGTGAGCACGAGGGCCTTCATGGTGTGTGGGATCAAGGACATGTTGTTGAAAGTGCGGTTTTTGGTATATTAAGAGACGGGTCAACGAACGATGTGGACTTTGAAATTGTGTCGAAGAAGGAATATTTTAATGAGGTGGTAGTGTTCGTAGATCCTTATATAGTCTGATTGGAGTAAAGCTCTCTACGGTGGTACTGCTAAGGTATGTGCGGGTGATGCGGGAATTGCGGAATATGCGGAGCGGATGCGGATAATGCGGGTATTGCGGAGCTCTTGCATCAACCTACACGCACCATATTGTTAGCCTCTTTGAGATAGATATATATAGGTAAGCACAATCAGACCTTCGAACGGCTATGCTGATGCAATCTCGCCTGATGTTCACGCATCACTCTACACTGAAGTCTTTTACATCGGCCACCAAAATTTCCGTCTCTTAACCTGAATCCTACCGTCTTCCTTCCTCTCCACTTGCCACACTTCAAAATGGCCGCAGAAGCCATCACCGCAGCACACGAGACAACGTCAGGAACCCCAGACATCGAAGCCCTCTCCCCCCTCGAACGCAGCACAACCACACGCTCCACCTTCAAAAAGCCGACCTCTCTCCCACGCGAAATCCTCTTCGTCTCCCTCCTCTGCACCTCGCAGCTCCTCACCCAAGCCGGCCTCTCCCAATCTATCGCCGCCCTCCACATCATCTCTCGCACCTTCGGCAATCCGAGCGCCGGTCAGCAATCCTGGTTCACAGCCGCCTACTCGCTGACCGTCGGCATCTTCATCCTCATCGCCGGCCGCATCGGCGACGTCTTCGCGGCGCACAAGCGCGTCTTCGTCTGCGGCTACGCGTGGTTCGGCGCGTGGTCGCTGGTGTGCGGCTTCGCGGCGCTGGCGCGCAGCCAGGTCATGTTTGACGTGTGCCGCGCGCTGCAAGGGATCGGCCCGGCGTTCGTGCTGCCTAACGCCATCGCCATCCTCAGCCGCGCGTACGAGCCCGGCAGGCGGCAGGAGATGGTGTTCGGGCTGTTCGGCGCGACGGCGCCGGGCGGGTTCGTGATCGGGGCCGTGTTCAGCAGCTTGTTGGCCGAGAGGGCGTGGTGGCCGTGGGGGTTCTGGTGCATGGCGGTGGTGTGTGCGGCGTTGGCGGTTGCGGGGACGGTGGTGATTCCGAAGGAGGAGGTGGAAGAGAGTGCGGAGCCTGAGGGGACGATGGAGAAATTCGGTATCTTCGAGCGCCTCGATATGGCTGGAACCGTCATTGGGTTGACCGGACTCATTCTGTTCAACTTCGCCTGGAACCAGGGCCCGGTCGTTGGGTGGCAAACGCCTTACACCTACATTATTCTCATACTCGGAGTCCTCGTCTTGGCCGTCTTCGCTTTCATTGAATCCCGAGCAAGGTTTCCGCTTGTCCCAGTAAGAAAGCTCTCTCGGAACGTCTGGTTCGTCCTCGGGTGCATCAGTGCTGGCTGGGCAAGCTTCGGAATCTGGGTCTTCTACTCGTGGCAGTTCATGGAGCTTCTGAGAGGCAGCAGCCCCCTTCTTGCGAGCGCACAGTTTGTTCCAGTTGCCCTGAGCGGACTTTGTGCGGCTATTACCACCGGTGCCGTCCTCAGCCGCATCCCGCCCAGTGTGGTGATGATGATTGCCATGCTTGCATTTACAATCGGAAGCATTTTGATTGCGACAGCACCGGTTGGCCAAACTTACTGGGCGCAAACCTTTGTCGGCTTCATCATAATTCCATGGGGAATGGACATGTCCTTTCCAGCGGGTACCATCATTATGAGCAGGACGTTACCCAGAGAAGAGCAAGGACTGGCTGCCTCTCTTTTGAACACCATCATCAACTATTCCATTTCCATCGGCCTTGGATTTGCTGGAACCGTGGAACGTCAGGTGAACGATGGTGGACAGAATCTGCTAGCAGGTTACAGGGGCGCCTTCTACCTTGGGATTGGCCTGAGCTCACTCGGCCTCACTGTATCAGTTTGTTTTGCCTTTGTCCAGTTCTTCGAGTCTAGGAAACAACGCAGATAGCAGCCTATAAATTCTGCAAGCATTTACGGGAATTCCAAATCGTTCTGAGCAGTCAAGTCGGCATCGGTAAAGGTGAACGGAAAAGGGTCATTAAGAAAGACATCCCAGTCGATCCCGAGGTCCTTCATTTCCTGCGGCGTAAAGATATCGTTGCGTGGATCCGTTGCTGTATGTTCATTGTTATCGTTCATGGCCTGCTCAAGGAAAGCCAGTTCTCTCCTCTTCTTCGCCATAGCAGCCCTCACAAGCACTCGGGCAGTAGCCAACGCTTCCCTAGCCAAATGCGTGTCCAATGCTCTCACTATCGTCTCTAACACAGACATTGAGCCAGGAACATGGGAAAGGGCGGTCGGCGTATCTAGTGCCAACAGGACACAAGTGTACTGAAAGACTGCCCCGAGGATGTTCCACCACGGTTGAGCTCCTTGAATCAATTCAGTGGCAGCTTCGAGGGCTTGGGTGCCTACGTTGAGCAGAAGTTCTACAATATTGGTGGGGATGTTGAGCCCATGTTGTCGTAGCCGTCGAAAAAAGCAGAACGATACGTCAGCTTTCGTCATGCGGAGCATTGGATGACCAGGTGTAATTTCCGAAACCTGGCGCAGAGAGTCCATAAGAGATTCAGGCGAATCGTGGTTTGTTTGTGAAGTTGGTATAGTCTGAACGATCCGGATCCAGTCCGGCATGAAACTGCCCACAACTGGGGTGATGGATTTGCAAGTGATGTTGGGAATTGAGATAGCCGTCCTCGAGTACTCGTACGAAATAATTTTATTCAATGCCAAAGCACACCAAAAGATGCGACGCCGACGTTCGAATTCTCCTGTATCCTCTGATGTGTGCTGAACTGTCGCAGGATCATTGTGCAAACCGATTGCCTCTACGAGATGCATTGTCGTACTCGAAGCAAGCCAGGCATTATTGGGTCTGGTCGTGGCACGTAGATATATAGTCCGCAGGATCCAGCCAACAACCTGGTCAATGGATGGTCGTCGCGTACAGATCGGGTCTTCGAGAACCCGCTTGGCAAAACGAATGATCTCGAGCTCTTGAAGATATGGTCTGATGTTGAATAAGGAACCAAGAGCAATGACCCCGGCGATGATTGCACCAAAGGCATAATCGGCTTCACCCTCGTAGAACGCCAAACAGCGTGCAGAGAAGGATCTTTGGTCGACAACATCAAATATGGGACCAAGAATAGTGAAAAAGGCGCTTGAATAGATATCCAGGTCATCCCTTGAGATCAGTGTGACGAGTGCTTGAGTATCTTCAGATATCTCCTCAGGCCGGGTTCCGAGATTCCAGCCAAAGGAATGTAGTGCAAGAGGCTGTTGAGATCCGAAGCTCTGGCCGAGACTTCGCGGAAAAGCGACGACAGAACTCTGCCCGACGAAGCGTGATCTGGATGGATCAAGAATTCCTCGGTCAACAAGGGGCCGTTGTGCACTCTCGGATCCCTCTTGACCAGACTGTTCACCGTTTCGCACCTGTTGTGTTGATGATTTTGCCGTGGCTGGACGCGGCGAGAATGCTGCGGCCGGGCTATCATCCGTAGGAAATCGACAATCGTAGCCATACGCTACACACATGCCGCATGGGAAGCCAGCATCGCATTTCCGCTTGCGCAAGCGACATGCCATGCATGCTTTGCGGGCACGTTGACGACTTCGAGTCTGACGGGATGACGAAATGGGGGGCATGTTTCGGCGATGAAGGGAACGTCGTGCTAGAGAATAGAAGTAGAGGCATCTCATGAGTCAGACACGGGTGGAAGCCTCACCGTTTGAAGACTAGCGTCCTTGCTGAGAATGCTTACTGTAGAGTTTCCACGACAATATGACATGCCTGGAAAATCATGCCATGACATTTCCCTTATATTATGAGAAGTTCTCACCGTGAGCTTGCGAACGGTTTCAACAAATCCAAACATATCAGGAGAAATCTACAAGAGTTATTGACGATCTGATTGGCTCAAGTTCATGTAGCGGGAGCTAGCCGGTTTAGGCCAGTGTCATGCCCCATCAACACCGACGTTACCAGGCAATCAGACAAGCGACCGAGCATCAACAACGCAGATAGCGGCACGGGCGGCAACACGAACGGTGACATAGGCGACACAGGCAGCGACACGGGCGGCGATATGGACGGTCACGCGAGTAGCGAAGTAGCTAAGATTCTACTCCTGTCCCCCCGACGAGAGATAGGACAAATATTTTATGTGTGACGAGGCCGCTGCTCACCACCCTTCAGCCTTGTATGTCTGATCTTGGGTAATATAATGATAAACTGTCATTTCACTATACATCAATAAGAGCCGATGGTGTAATGGCTAGCATTAATGCTTCTACGATCACTTAGCCAAACATTCATTGTAAGCTAGTAGACACTCGTTAGCATTCGATGGTACGGGACTGGAAGATGACTCAAATATGCCCAGCTATGGTTAGCAGTTCACACTGGTGCTTGTGATAGCGTTGGGGAAGCTTACTAGCGCTACTCTTTTTTTCCTTTTAAACACTTCCCCACACCTCTTTCACAAAACCTTTGACAATCTCCCGAGTCTTCTCCTCCGCATCTGGCAGGATTTGTGTAGCAAACATGCCCGCAATTCCCTCTCCATCATTTGCTTCTCTGTTGATAAACCACAAAAGGTTCCCCTTGCCCCCCCATGTCATCGTATTCTTGACCTTTCCGATCTCGGTATTGTCACTGCACACCAGCAGTCCAGCAAGTCCAATGTTTATTTGGGACCCCTCATTGATGAGTCCCCCATTCATAGGCCCGGGGCCAACCTCCTCTTTGAAAGCTTTATGTGCTGCACTCCCTTCCTGCAGCTGAGGAGTAAAAATCATGTCGACTGTCTCCTTCTTGAGCAGTTGCGGTGATGGCTGAAGAAGATCTTGCAGGACAGCCGTATAGTCCAAAACGGTAGAATACAGGCCACGTCCCCCCATGCAGTCAACAGGGGGATCTGCGTGCCAAGTATCAGCGGGAATAAAGTTCTCGTCGGGGTTGGAGCTGCGTTGGACTGTTTGGACGAGACGAGCCCGTAGGTCCGGACGGCGTGCAAGGAGGAATGCGGATGAATGCATTCCCAGCGGCTCAAAAATGTTTTTGATGAAGTAATCCTCAAGGACGCCTTGATCCGTTGAGGGGGCTTCTTGTTTGTTTTGCAGCTGTTGCTTGAGCGTCAGTCGTTCGACCAACTTGCCAACCCAGTCGGTTCCTCCGCCATATGCCCACCCTTCGCCTGGCTCAAACAGCAGTGGCAGTGAGTAGCTCCTGACCACATCTGCAGTATAGTATTGTGGTTCTTCTCCGCGACTCTCGCGCCATCGAGCGTGTACCGGAAATGCGGTATCACTCCCCACGCCCGCTGAGTGGGTAAGAAGCTTGCGCAGCGTTATAGCCACTTTACGCTCGCGGTAGGAAAATTCGCCCTCTGGTCCCTCGGACAAGATAGGTTGAGAGCAGAGTTCTGGGAGATGTTGATCTAGGGGCTCATCAAGACTAATCAAGCCCCGTTCGACGTACTGCATGGCAGCAATGGAAGTGAGAAGCTTTGTGCAAGATGCAACGAGGAAAACACTGTCGAAAGAAACAGGGTCTGATCGTGGATCCAGTGAGGTCACGCCTGACATTTTGGAGAAGATTGTGGTCCCTGAGCTAAGTGTCAGTTTCGTGAGGCAACAAGCTGTAGATCTAATGCTGACCCTTGCCGGTAATGGCGCGCATTGCAGCTCCGTGCAGGACGCGTGTGTCTTTGCCTTCATCCTTCAAAGTCGTGGCACTGTCGAGAACGCTTGCAAAATCCCCCATGTTGATCTACAACGAGATGGCACTTTTCTGTATAGAATATTCTGTTGTAGTATTGTGGAAGAAATTCACAGTAGGAGTGGCGCTCTTATAAGACAGCTCATATACGGAGAACTCTTCTCACGGAAATTATGGAATCCTTCAACCATTTATTCCACCAACGGGGCCTTATTTCCATCACACAACCTGTGAGTCACCGAGTAATCGTCTCACGTGAGATTCCGCATAGCAACGGTTGAAAGTGGGTTTTGGGGAGTTCGCAGACCTGTTATTGATCGAGTTGTAAGCGAAGGATGCGATAACGCCAAGATCCCTGCCCCAGAGCCAGAAACCATGAGGTATGACATGTTTTCATGACAAGAGGTAAAACCCAGAAGGGATAGGCGGTGAGAACTCGAGACAAGATCATCATTCTTCATGTACTTGCATTCAACATACCTGCACCGGCCTTGAGCTATATGTGTCAAGATAGCAAGATATAAGGACACTATCATCTATTACACATCCAAAGCAGCTTTCAGAAGCTCTTGCTCTTCTTCCACATGCACCGCCTTAGATCCTGTAGCGACACCAGCATATGGAATTCTTCCGACATACTCCACACGTTTGTCGACATGATGCTTAGTCTCGGAAAGCACAGTATCGATCCTGGGTTGGACATGCTGCCATGCACCGCCGTTGCGTGGCTCCTCCTGGCACCATATCACACTTTGAGCATTAGGATATTGATCCAGATTCTCCTTCACCTGACTCCAAGGGAATGGATGAACCTGCTCCACTCGCGTAAGAGCCACGTTTTTTACGCCACTTGCTCTCCGATACTTATGCAGCGCAGCATAAACCTGGCCAGAGCAGAGGACTACACGCTTGATAGCGTCGGGCTCAATGATGTCATTCCCATGTTCAGCATCTGGTATGACATGACGAAAAGCGGTGTCCCCGGTGAAACCCTCGGCCTTGGATTTTGCCAATGGATGCCGCAGAAGAGACTTGGAGAAGAATATAACAAGAGCTAAGGCATTTAATCCGTCAGTCATCTTCAGTTTGAGATCCAAGACAGGAGGGGTAACTCACGCTTCCTGTAGGCCCTTTTCACTTGCCTGCGTAGCACATGAAACAGATTTGCGGGCTCCGTCGGACACACAATCTGCAAATTCGCTCTCTGTTCCGCCTCCATACCTTCCAAGAACTTATCAGGTTCCTCATCTCCCAACTGCAAAAACCTCTCCAGCCTCGCACTCGAATGCTCCGGTCCTTGCCCATCGAACCCATGCGGCAGGCTCAGCACAACGCCGCTCCGCTGCAACCACTTGGCCTCCCCGCTCGCGATGAAGTTGTCAATCAGTACCTGCGCGTTGTTCGCAAAGTCGCCGAACTGCGCTTCCCACATGACCAGTGCAGCCGGGTTGCCGAGGGAGTAGCCGTACTCGAAGCCCAGCACACCGAATTCACTGAGCGGGGAGTTGGCCGGCACGAAGGGAGCTTGCGCAGGGTCGAGATTAGCGAGCGGTGTCCAGGTCGAAAGGATCTCCTTGGGGGATTCGCCTGTTGTAGTCGGGATCGGGAGCTGCTGTTGGTTGTGCAGGACCGCGTGCCGCTGGGAGAAGGTGCCGCGCTCGACGTCCTGGCCGGAAATGCGGACTGGGTGCCCTTCGAGGACGAGAGAGCCGAACGCCAGTGCTTCAGCTGTAGACCAGTCGATGTTGATGCCTTCGTCGAGGGTTTTCTTGCGCGCAGCTAAGATGCGGTCGAGGTTGGGATGTAGAGCGAAGGAATCGTCGGGCAAGGAGGCAATCTTGGACGCGATTGTAGTAATGGTCTCATTTTCGATGGCAGTGCGGGATTGACCGTTCGCTACGCTTGCTGAAAGAGCCGTTGGCGAGGGAATTGAGAACCAGTAGAGATGGGGATAAAGGACGTTCTCTGGTGGCTCGTAGCTTTTGCTTGCCTCGAAGGCGGCGGAAAGAGTGTCCCAGGCATGTGTTTTGATATCCTCACATTCCCTTCGAGAGATGACGCCTTCAGAAAGAAGTTTATCTCCGTAGATATCAAGGATGGGACGCTGCTGGGAGATTCTATTGTAGAGAGATGGTTGGGTGAAGGCAGGTTGGTCCATCTCATTGTGGCCGTACTTCCGGTAACACACGAGATCGAGAAAGCAGTCAGATTTGAACTTGGCACGCCACTCCGCTGCCAATTTGAAGAAGAATGCTACTGCTTCGGGGTCATCTCCGTTGACGTGGAATATAGGGGCGTTGATTGCCTTTGCAACATCAGTGCAGTAAAGCGTAGATCTTGAGTCTTGGGGGTCCGTGGTGAAGCCGACTTGGTTATTGACGGTGACATGAATGACACCGCCGACAGAGAACTTCCGAAGTTGAGAGAGAGTAAGGGTCTCATAGACGACCCCTTGGCCAGCAATTGCAGCGTCGCCGTGAATGTTGATGCATACAGTGCTGTCTTGATCCCCAGCATTGCTGTCTTGCACAGCCCTCGCCTTTCCAATGGCAACCGGATCTTCAGCCTCCAGATGTGACGGATTCGGGAGAAAAGATACATTGAAGTCTTTTCCTGATGGGGTCGTCAGCCGGTTATCGATCCCCAAGTGATACTTGACGTCCCCAGTTTGGCCCGCGATGAGCGACATGTCACCGCCAAATCTTTGAAGGGCCAACTCATACGGAAGCCCAAAGACATTGCTCATCACGTTCAGTCGGCCTCGATGTTGTGAACCAATTACAAAATCTTTGGCTCCCAATTCGACACAGCGATGCACCAACGCTCTCATGCCAGGCACCAGAGTTTCTCCGCCGTCCAGACCGTAGCGCTTTTCGACAGGGTATTTGGTCGCAATAAATTTCTCAAAGGCTGCTGCCGCTGCAATGTCTTTGAGGAAGTCCTTTTTCTCTTCTGCGCATGGCTGGATCGGTTGGGGCACTTCAAGGCGGCTGCGGATCCATTCACGCTTCTCCTGTTCGGGAATGTGTGAGTATTCTACGCCGTATGAGCTGCAGTATGTCGTCTCGCAGGCGGCGATGATCTCCCGCAACGTCATATGATCGCGATTTTCAGTTGCAAAATGAGGGAGAATTGTCTCATCCAACATGAACTTGTCGTCCAGATCCGCCTCAGTGAGTTCATAATAGCCGAGATCCAACTCCGGAGGTGCAGCAAAAGGGATACCTGTTCCTTCAAGCCCCAACGGGTTGGTCTTGGCTTTGAGGTGGCCAAGGGACTGATACGCTTGCACGAGGCGCTGCACCTTTAGAAGCTTGGCCAAGTTGTCTGTTTCACTGGAACGGGGGCTCTGGTATTGCAATGATGCGCCACTTGTCGTGTACTCCGGCGGTATGTTGGTTTCCGAGACACCACGAATGAGGCCTATCCCGTGCTCCAAATGTTGGAAATATTCGCGCCATGACTCGTGTACTGACTCTGGTGAGGCTTTCCAAGCGGAGTATGCCTGCGCTACGTAGTTGTCCGGAGAAGTCTGAGAGAGATGTTAGAGATGTAACTAGCACATAAATCGAGCCTTGCTCAATACGCGTGGTATGATGGTGGCAACGGTTGCCTGGCGTCTCCATTGCTGTAGCACGAGAACATTTGCGGCCAAACGTCTTCTTGATGTGAGTTGACTAAAGTTCTGCAAAGAAGGCAGTTTCATGGAAGCTTTACGCCCCGTAAGGTCGCGGCCGAAGCGGTACATTGTGCAAAGAAGTAGAATATGGAAGTAAAGAAAATAGTACTCGGGTAGCTTGCATCAAAGCTTGCACGATGTCCAGAGCAAGCGATGGATGGGGTTGATACTTCTGAGCAACTACGCACAAGTTCATATATATTGGAAAACTGGCAATACGTGGAGAAAGCCAAGTGAATGCCCCGTAGCTGCGGGGTACCAACAGGTTACAGCGAGATGGTCTGCTCGGCGTTCGGCCAACGGCGCCGAAGGACTTAGTGCCGGCGCTGCAAACTGAACGCCGAATGTGAGACAAACTCTCCCTGAATTGACGCACATGCTTGGAACTAATTTTTCCACGATCTCCACATTCGCTAGCCAATAAGTGTGGCCTTGTTGTTACATTCGAGCGAGCGTTTTCCCACTCGGAAAGTGCGAATCCGCTGCCTCCGAGACTACCCTATGTAACAAATGGTATTCTGTTCCGAAGTTGGAAAAAATGACTCAATAATCAATAACCACGATACACTCTATGTTGATGTTTCAACACGCTGGTGGCTATCTTTGCTACTTTGATCGTCCGCACACCAAAGGTCAGACATTGTAGTTGCCATATGCACAGGAATAGGTGCCGTAATCAATGAGACTAAGAGAAAATAAATCACGCAACTGCCTTGTTTAATCTGATATTGCTATATGCCATCCCGCGTCTTGGAGGCAGCTGATGATCGCTACGCCATTATACGCTGCGCAACCTTTCATCACCACCCCTTTATTCAAGTAACATCGTCGTGGGATCCTCGATGTACTTCTTGACTAAGACCAGAAATGTGGTTGCTTCCTTCCCATCCACCAAACTATGGTCATAAGTCAAGGCGAGATACATCATCTGAAAAGCGTCAGCTTCCAAACGAACATCAATAGCCATCGTACTTACCGGCCTGATCTCTACTTTCCCTTCCACAGCTACCGGCCTCTCTTTAATCCCATGCAACCCCATCACTGCTGTCTGCGGCAAGTTAATAATCGGTGTGCCCATCAAACTCCCAAATACGCCTCCGTTGCTGATGGTAAAGTTTCCGCCTTGCAAATCCTGCATCGTGATTTTCCCCAAGCGAGCCTGCACTTCAAAGTCAGCACCTGTTCTGAGTCTAGACAGTATATCAAGTGACGCCCGACCTTCTCCGCCAATGCTGCGATCCCCTTCTCCATTCCCAATAAGCTCAAACTTTCGCAATTCCTCAATACCTGCCTCACAATATCAGTAATGCTACTACTTGCCAGCGGATCGTGTTGAGAGTAGGTTTTCAAGTCATACCGGCGTGACGAGCCCTTTCTCCGTGCTAACCGCGAAACTAATATCCACATAGTCCCTCCAAACCACGGTGCTCCCGACTCCATCACCCTCAATTGCTGCATTCACAGCCGGCACCTCGCGCAGGGCCAATGCACTTGCTTTTGCAAACGCACCCATAAAGCCCAAGCGGACGCCATGTGCATCAAGAACAGACGCGCGGTGGCGCTGGCGAAGGGCGATCAGAGCAGACATGTCGACCTCGTTGAAGGTTGTTAGCGCCGCGGCGCGGTTCTGCGACTCCTTCAGTCGTGCGGCGATGGTGGAGCGAATGCGTGTCATTTTGACCTGCGATCTGGTCAGCATTCTGTTATTTCGTGGTTAAATGGCGTTTTGTTTCTTTAATCTCCTTCTGGTTGGTTCTCCGTTTGAGAAAGTCTACAGAGCAGAAACAGCCACCTACCCTGGTTTCAGTTCTATTGGGCCTGTTCGAGGCAGGCGAGGGCGAGGAAGGCGACGAAACAAATGTAGGCACATCCGGAACCTTCAGATTCGACGTCGGCGGCGCAGACATCTGAGGCGTCAAAGAAGCCGTGGACGGTTGTGCCGCCGGTGTGGCCCCGACTGTGCTTTTGTCCGGTTGCTGTGACGCCTGATTTTTCCTCTCGACCTCCTCAACTGGCGCAGCCTTCTGCGCCGGCGCCAAATCCCGTTTATCCTCCCTGGAGCCACCACTCTCTGCTTCTCCAGTGCCCTTCTGCTCTATATCCATACCTGTGTCAATCCTACAAACCACTTGATCGACACTCACCACATCCCCCTCCCCAACGCACATCTCCACTATCACACCCGCCTCGGGCGTGTTCACTGCCACATCAATTTTGTCCGTTTCAATGCTCGCAATCTCGTCATCCACCTCCACGCGATCGCCGATCTTCTTCAGAAGAGAAGCAAGCGTGCCTTCGCTGATCGACTCAGCCATCTGCGGGACCTTGATTGAGATTATCGGGGCGGCAGCGCGTGTGCCAGTTGTAAAGAAACGGCAGCCGTGGTATTTGGAGCATTGTTCGAAACCGAGTGATTGACGGACGAGACATCGAGGTTGGGACGGTAGCGAATGCCGAGTTGACGCCCAAGTGCGAGAGATTGACGCGTTTGCGTTTGGAATTGGTAGGGCGAGGGAACGTGAACTGTATGGAGAAGCAGACACATGGTACCTCGCTGCAGTGGCAGCAAAAGGCGGTTTGGCGATGCAAAAGGTTCGTAGGCGCGCCATTGCAATGTGTGAAGTTTGGTTGTCTCTTGGGCTTACAAGGCAATGGTTGGAAGGCTTGGGGTGAACGGACAATTAATTGAGCATCTCGGCATACATAAAAAGCGGCCGTTTTCCAATTTAGCCTTTGAATATCGTTTTGACCGGGTACGCCGGTCTTTCTCGGGGGATCTTATGCGCTTCGGTTTTGCTCTTCGGCGCGTTGTTGAAGACGCCGACGGGGGTCCTAAGGCCGTCGGCAAGACAAAAACTGTCGCCACTCAGTGCATGCCTCATCCACCGCAATCAGCGCGTTCTAAAGTGTATAAGATCGTCCAAGAGGCTCGCATGATCTATCCGACCAATCAAGATGCTACTGCTTTACGAGTGCATATCATCACGGGATGAGCACTACGACCCTCGATTGTTCCGTATAAGTAGCGGCGCAATGATTTGAGAGGGAAAGTTCAGTCATAAACTTATTGTGTTTGCATCGTTGGCCAGGTAGAGCTTTCATTAAGCCCTGTGGGATGATAGTTGCGGGGCAGGACAATTATTGTCACCATTCAGCCTCTAGGGTTGTTGCAGGCTTGACTACTCCACGCTAAAGATATTTCGAGCGGTTTATCCGAGGTAGAAACACGAATACGATTGGTAGACCAATCATACCGAGCTAATCATGTCAGAGTCAAGATTGACTGCATTCCCGGAGCCAAAAGCCTTGGCTGTAAGCCGGGGCGGTTTGAGTGCTCGGCTGACAGTTAAGGTGGCTGTGAATGGCATCTTCCTTACAGCCTGGAGTTGTTGATTCACGAGGTTTGGCCATTCCAAGAGCAATGTTGATTGTGCAGGCAAGCCTTGGGGGCCAAGATGCTTATTTTCATAAGACAAGGTCCGCTCGCGAGCCTTGACAGACCGTTAAGTCTCCGATTTCCTCCAGGACCCTCTTTAAACCCAGATCGTTCAGTAATTTCCAGCCAAGTGATGAATTCCTCGTCGAAACCTTCCACCATGAGCCATTAGATTACAAAAGAGTATCTTGTTCTATAGGAGTAGCAGAATATTAAAGGATAAGCTGTAAAGACGCTCGTATTAGTCAAAGGTTCAGGCCTTTCCTTACCTACGTCTCAAAAGTTTTCCATCTTTCAAGTAGGTACTTCACTTGATTCAAATACTGGATGGCATTGGTCAAGACCGTTACGACCCATCCCCTCATTGCGAGTGATATTGCCATTATCTCTGAGGAGAGGTACCATCGTGTCCATGACTAATTTCCTGGACGTGGCTCCTGTGGTCACAGTCTACACTCTCCTATCAGAGTTCTGACTCAGCGGGTGCATTGAAGTCTATTTTTAACTCTCTTGTGTCCTACCAATGAAGTTTCTCTGTGTGATTTAGTTCATATACACCGCTGTCGCACTTCTCCCGTAAGGGATCTTAGTGCTTACGGCCCTTCTTCCTGTGCGGACTTTTTTCCGTTAAGCTCAGGCTAAGCTTTATCCAAGCTCATTGATCTGACCTCACAGCATCACGTCTCGAATACTAACTCTCAGAACCCATACTAACGTTACGGAAATTGTAAAGCAAGGAGTCATACAAATAAAAGGCTACTACACGAGATTCGAGAGAATTACAGACCACAAGTGAATTCCGTTTCCCACATAGGGTGTTTAACGAAAGGTCTGGCCGCAGGGAATTGCCCGTGCGTAGGATTTGGCGATATGTTTAGTGTATCGTGGCGTGCCCAAGTCTGGCGCTAAAGAACCATGAACTGTCAGCACGGCGGTGAGCTTCCGCTCGAGAATATTCTTTTCTCTAATTCTTTTGTACCATATTCCCCTGGATCATATATTTTCTACATAGCCCTTGCGTTTTGTTTCAAGTCAAGCATTCTGGGCATGAGGGAAAACATGGCGCAAGAATACAGCACCCTCGAGGTCTATAGGCCCGAAGCATCACCACTTCCGGAGGCTGTTCCTGGACAGTTCTACGACCCTAAATTCGCAGATGCAAAACAGCCACCGAGATACTCTTCACTTCCCCAGGTCATCGACAGCACCCCGCCGGAAGTGTACTATACACAAGGATCCACTCTTCCGCCGCCAGCTCCGAACGACCAGTCAGAACAAGACAGAACCGTGTGTGGTCTGAAACGGAAAACGTTCTGGATCGTCTTCGCAGTTCTACTCGTAATAATAATAGCAGCAGCCGTCGGCGGCGGCGTAGGCGGCGCACTGAGCAGCAAAAAGAAGTCCTCTCCGCCATCATCAACCAATTCCACCACCACCACAAGCGACCCCATCCTCCCAAACTCGCGCATAGCCGCCATCAACTACACGGACGCTTCCAACGTCGTGCACCACCGCGTCTACTTCCAGGGCGCATCGCTCGCCCTCTACCAGTCCGACTTCAGCGCCGCGACCAACAACTGGACCGTCTCGCGCGTCAACGTCACCGGCAACGTGACGGCGCTGCAGGGCACCGCTCTCTCGGCATACGCGTACTACCATTCAGCCGCGGACGTCGACTTCCACCTCTACTTCATGGACGCCAGCGATGGCACCTCGGTCCGCGAGTTCTATTCCACGCTGTCGAACAGCACGTGGGTCCTCGGCGACGGCGACGCCCGGCACGTCGCGCGGCAGAACTCGACGCTGGCCTCGTACGGCCGCGCATGCTCCGTGTGCTCGAGCAGCAACTTCTACATCTACGAGGGCCCGGACGGCGACGGCTCGGCGGACGCGGCCTTTCGCACCGGGGCCACGTCGTGGCCGAGCGCCGAGTTCCTGACCGGCGTGGTCGAAGGCAGCGCCGTTGCGACGGCGCCGGTGCCGCCGGTGGCGGGGAACGCGAACGCGCAGGTGGCGGTGTACTGGAACAATGGGGAGCTGAGGGAGATGTATTACAACGGGAGTGCGTGGGTGTATACGGGCGGGCCGAGCGGGACGGAGTTGGATGCGGGCAGCGGGATTGCGGCGTTGACACAGAATGTCGATGATGTGTTGTTCGTGCAGGTGCTGACGACGTCGAATGCGGTGACGATGGATATGTGGAATGGGAGTGCGGCGGAGTGGTCGTCGCGGAGTGCGGGGCTGGGGGCGTTTGACGATGTGGTGGTGCGGTCGCCGATTGCTGCGAATCAGCTGGGGATGATTTATATGTGGATGGATGCTGGGAATGGGTCAACGCTTGCGGAGTGGAAGATGACGAATGATGGCACTGATGTATCTTTTGAGAAGGTAGGACCTGTTGGACTAGAGATGTAAATAGTAATATCCATTCTGACACCCTTTTGCTCGCTTTGAAGTCATCCGGGGATAATATAAATGTGACCTGAATGTCCTTGGTAATCTTCATTCACCAGCTCACTTCTTGTTCGTTATTATGAATTCATGTAGGCTACGTGTACGTCATCCCCTCGGCATCTGTTCATGAACAAGCGGCGCACGGAGCACCTCCCAAGCATTTCTCTAGACATGGAATACCGCTGTTGGCAGGCGCGATCGACTAGGGGTGTATTTAGTGCTTTTCTCCGGGTAGTTGATACATCACCCGTTCACCATCCTCGCCTCAGTCAGCCGCACAGCGTGCCTTCTTCCCCCACTCGGGTACTGAGGGCGTTCAGTTGTACTTGTGTAATGTCCACACGACGTTCTCGGCTCATTACATACAATGAAATTGCGGAATCATCCTGGATTTATTTCTCGATGACCTTCTGACCACGAAGAACCCGGTCTCGTTGTGTATCACGTTTTGCATGTCGCCAATATCTGTGGATGGGGATGTGCCCGGATCGGGGTTGAGATGTTTAGGTTGTCTCACGTATCATTCACCCTGGAAGATACGTCTGACTCCCTTAGCTTGATTGGCTGGTCATGGGGCGTGCCACGACAGATGCCGGAGCCCGATTAAGCGGGAGAGGTATCCTTAAAAGCTTGGGAAAGAAAATTTTTTGAAAGACGTGCGCAAGAGGCCCAGGCTACACGACAGAGACTATCGAGTCAGAATACGAGGGAATGAATTGGCATAAAGGGTTTGCCGAGGACCCATATATACTGAGACAGAGCTACGAAGACTCAAGAAGCTAATGCAGCTATTCAATCTTGCAAAAGCAATCGGAGGCGATTCCGGGGCTTAGGAGCTATGATAATTGAACAGTGCGATTTCGTTATAGTTAAACCTCTCTCGGATCTCTCGAGTAAGTTAAATCACGGACGAAAGCAAGGACCCGTCTGCACGTAGATGCACAGATGCATGCGTGTGTCTTTTCAACAACATTGCCTGCATCGTCCTACGAGAAAGAAGTCGGTGAAACCAGCAGTTCAACCCCGCTTGCTTGCAGTCTGTAGGTATGCGTGTCCTGAACCAATTAGGGGAGCCGAGTCATGGTCACGCAAGGTTCCCAGCACGTCATGGCTGCATCTCGGGAAGCATGGGACGCACGGCAGATCAGACGACCGATCGGGAAACTCCAGAACAGGCATTCCAACATGAATTCAGCTCTACATGCATGGCGCAATGCGTGATCGTATGTGCGTGCTGCTAATTTGCTTTCTTCTAATAAATGCGACAAGCTCCACGCCTTTCTGTCTTCAGCCCGCCAGCAGATCTGCCTCTTTTCGCCATGGTTCGTCTTGCCTCTCTTTTGCAGCTTGCCCCGATCACTCTTTCTTGGGGAGCTGTCCTTCCTCGTCAAGTCCAAGAATACGATGCCATCGTCATAGGAGGCGGACCTTCTGGCCTGAGCGCTCTCAGCGGTCTCGCTCGCGTGCGGCGTAACGTGCTCCTAATCGACTCGGGCGAGTATCGCAACGCGAAGACCAGGCACCTCCACGATCTGATCGGCTTCGATGGTAATTTGAACTTCCTTGTATACCCCCGGGATCTAAACATGCTTAAACCCCGCAACAGGCGTCACACCTGCATACTACCGCTGGGCAGCCCGCGAGCAGCTCAAGCACTACGACACGGTCAGCTGGACCAACGGCACGGTGACGAGCGTCCGACCCACCGGCAACTCGACCTACACCTCCTTCACCATCTCCTCGACGGGCCCCGACGGCAACTCGCAGCAGACGTACCAAGCGCGCAAGGTTGTCCTCGCCACGGGCATCCGTGACCTCATCCCCTCCACACCCGGGCTGCAGGAGAACTGGGCCCAAGGCATCTTCTGGTGCCCGTGGTGCGACGGGCACGAGCACGCGGACCAGACGCTCGGCCTGCTCACGCCCTTCTCCGAGGTCGCGACGACGCTGCAGGAAATCCTCACGCTGAACCGCGACGTCGTCGCCTTCGTCAACGGCACCGACACGCCCGAGAACCGCGCCGCGGCCGCGAAGGCGTTTCCGGAGTGGGAAGCATACCTGCAGCTGCACGGCGTGCGCATCGAGAACCGCACCATCGCGAGCTTCACGCGCCTGGCCGACGGCGAGGACGCCTACGACGACGCCGACCCGAGCCTGCCGACTGTGCCCGAGTACGACAGCTTCCGCGTCGATTTCACTGAGGGTGAGTCCGTGGAGCGCGCGGCGTTCTTGGTGTCTTTCCCCAAGGAGCAGGCGTCGGACGTTGGGGCGGAGCTGGGCGTCACGCTCTACGGGGACCGCTTGTTTGCGAACCAGTCGGCCGGACTGATCACGAATGTGCCGGGCGTGTACGCTGTCGGCGATGCGAACACGGACAACTCGACCAACATTCCGCACGCGCTGTGGAGTGGTAAGCGGGCTGCGGTCAGTCTGCACGGTAAGTTTCGCCCCCTTCGATGAGCGAAATTTGGCGACAATGACTGATAGAAGCTAGTGAAACTCGAGCGTGAAGATGGACAGATAGCACTCGCAGGTGGAAACTTGACGAAGAGGGCAGATTTGGATGTGAGGTCGCTTTGGGAGCTCATGAACGACGAGCCTGGCCAGGCTCTTTATGCCGGAGAGCTTGACCAGTAGCTTGGTGGTGCAGAAAGGGGGTGAGGAAATGCTAAAAAGGTGTTAGCCGTAATGATTAAGTTCAGGTGTGCTGCAGTGCCCGGTATGGGCAAATTTTCGTTGCATCAATGCAATTCTCATGAAGATGCATATCTTGTGCCATCTTTGTGCACTCTTAATTCTGGTCCTTCTCATTGAGTGATATACTGGCTTGAAAACTTTATAAAATCGAGAAAGCGGCTACTCACAGTATGCTGCTAGCTTTGCTGATCAGTGAGCCCGATTCACTTCCTCTGCCTCAAGCCTTTTCGAATGGACTGATTTAGTTTTATCGTTTTTAGAGCTCGCCACATGCACAGCACTCATCTTGCCGACCGCAGGGAATAGATTCCCATTGTATTGTTCATCCAGGAAGGGGAATTCCGGGAGGTTGAAGACATCTTTGGAAAAGGTATCAGTGTAATTTGCCGCGTGGGATCCATTCTATCTCGCGGTCTTTAGCGGTCTTCTTTTTCTCTTTTTCGTTCCGTCTCTCTTTTACCGTGAGAGAGCGGTAATAGTTTCCTTCTCTTCCCCGCATTCTCCGTAGTCTTGCGGATCTTCGTAGATCGTGGCGCCAGCCCGTAACCTTATAGATGCTAACCCCACATTTACCCAAAACTCGGGAATATCTTTCTCTTCTTCAACACAGGCTTGAACGTCGTATCCTCTTCGTGTCTGCCTGTGACACACCCCTCGGCGTTCGCCGCGCCTTCACAACACTCCCACCGAAACTTCTCCGGGTATTCTTCGAGATTTTCTTGCGTCTCGACCGGCCCGTGGCAGTCCTCATCATGGTCGGGCCATTCATCTTCGATGGCCTCGAGCGCGCCTGCTGACAAGCGTCAACTTACCTTTCAGTGGAGGTCATGCGGCAAGGAATTGACACGCACCATCGTGGCTTTTACAAGACCCGTCGTCGTTCTTCGTCACGTCAAATTCTTGGTTGCAGGTCTTGCATGTTGCGTAACGTGACCTCTGTCTCTTCCTCTCCGTTAGTGCCGTGACATCGAGAGCTCTTCTGCTGTTGCTGTTTTTCTCCTCGCTCTCCGTCGCCTCTTCATCGACGAGGAGCTCGCGCTCTAGGACACGCTGGGCGATGGGTGAGGCGTTGCAGAGGGTCAATAGGACTGATTGGAGGCGTTCAAGATGTGCCTGGTGGATGGCGTGGCTGAGGGCTGGAGAGGCCATGTTCTTCCAGACAATATGGAATATGTGAGGGTTTGTACGGTTCGATTCGACGAGAAATCGAGGTGAAAACGCGTCGATAAAATTGAAAAAAAGAACCGTGCTTTCTAGAACTTGATGGGAAGGAAAACCCCGCGCGTGGCGCGATTTCTGACCCGAAACACCAACGCGTTGTTGGCCTGTGCACCGTGTCTTGGCATTTCACGTCTTTTAGTGTTCGCCTTCCTGGGGATAACAATTAGTTAAGACTCCTCTTCTCTCTTTTATTGGGCCTAGCGAACGTTAGTACTCTCAAAACTCTCCGACAAGCTCAGCGCCGGCAGCACATGCGACCCCCTATCCGGAAAACCCCGCTCGAGAACTGAAACTTCAAACGAAAAGTCTATTGCGGAATGCATTACATTATTATTACATGCTCGAGACAAGGATACGTGTCATTAATCCAAGTCTGGCTATTCGTAAGGTACTGCCATCTCCTGATCCAGGTCTCTCAAGTGAAGACTCTAGTCGATCTTGAGATGGAGTATCCAGTCATGATCCACGCCACCGCTGGTCGGAGGCACGAACGCCTTCCGTCCCGTCAGATCAAAGGCCGCATTGCCCGTCGTGTTGCGGTACTCGCCCTGACGCGGGTCGTACCAGCGGGCGCTGGCAGAAGCCTCGTCCTTGCCGAAGTGCCCCGCAAGCGCACCGAGGTCAAGATCGAACGCATCGCCGTAGCCGGCGTAGACCCAGTACTGCGAGTTGCTGGCAAGGCCAGCCACGTAGCGGTTTCCAGTGTAAGTGAGGACGTCGGCCTCATCGCTCGGGCTGAGGATGAAGCTGCGGTTGGGCTGCAGGCTTTCCAAAGTGTCCCTGTCCAGAGTGGAGAAGAGCTTCTGCACGTAGCCGGACTGCGTCGCACCGGGGTAGCGCAGGGCGTCGCGCCACGACTCGTTGGTCGGCTGGGCGATTTGCGGCTCGATCCAGAGGTCGGCGCGGGCGAGCTGCTGCACCGGCGCGTACATCTGCCAGATGGCGTTGGCGCCGTACGTGAAGCCGCACGATCCGCTCAGGTAGGCGTTGTAGAAGCCGTGGCGGACGTACGACGCGTTCCACAGCGGCCTCGATGTGTTGAATCCGACATATGCTCCCTCGTAGTGATTCTCCAGGTCGATGACGGGGCCGGCGAAGGCTTCGCGCATGTCGATGATGTTTTCGTAGTTCGCGGTGCTGTCCCAGCCGGTCATGACGTCGAAGTGGGTGTCGACGGTGTTGTTGTCGGGGATGTTGTGGCCGGATTGCACGGCATCCATCGACACTTCGCCGAAGCTACCGTTCATGTACTAATAATTGTTAGTCAAGAACAGGCTGGAGGCCCTGGATGTTGACTTACGTTGTGACCGTAAGGAAGGCCGGTGTCAGGAGTCGACACCCACATGTTGGTAGGGTGCCATGTGTAAAAGGGCGTGAAACCGGCCTTCGACTCAGCTACCTTGAAGCCCTCGACCATGCGTGTCCATACGGAACGGGTATCAGTGATGGGGCCGAGCAAAGTCGTGGGATCGATGGTCGGGTCCTCTCTGAAGGCATCCTGTGCAGCCGAGGCGTTGCAGGACCAAAATCCGTTTGAATCACCGCCGATGATCTTGGGCAGACCGGGGTACCGTTCACCAATATAGCTGCCGAAAGTCTCTGCCGAAGTCTCGTTGAAAATGATGGGACCGTTGTGCCATCCGCAGTTGACCCAGCGGCCCCAGGTGGGAACGAGAGCAATCAGGATGCCGTACTCGGCGGCCCGCTTGACTGCCCAATCGACATGAGCGAAATAAGCCTCATTGGGGCGTGTCGGGTCCGCGTCGTGCAACGCAAGCTCGCCGTAGAAGTTGGGGAAAGTAGTGCCGTTCAACTCGGAAAGGACGACAGCCTGAACGACATTGAAGCCTTTGCTCGCGCGATCCTGGAGGTAATAGTCGATGTCACTGCGGTTGAGGCGGTGGAACAGTTCCCATGCAGTGTCGGCCTGCCAGAAGAAGGGCTCTCCGCTGCTGGTCCGGTAGAGGTATCGGCCAGAGGCTGAAATGGAGAGGTGGCTCCACGGAACGGCCGTCGAGTTCTGTGCGGAGGCACACGCACCCCCAAGGGAAAGAAGAGCGAGGACCGAAGATGTTGGCCGCATCTTGGAAAACGACTCAGGAACAGTACCGATAGCGGTGCTAGCGGCGCTTCTCGCAATTTATACTCTGGCTTTGTGGGAGTTGCGCTTTGGCCAAAACCTGTCCCGGTGCCTGTCGAAAGACACGCGCGGGATACTGACCAGATGCCGTTTACCGGCTTGACCTGATTGCGGATTTAGTGGTGCGGAGAACGCCTTTTGTGGGGGCTCCATGCCGGAGAACCTAAGGCGGTCAGTCTTGCAGTGGGCCTCGGCCTTCAAAGGGTCTGAGCACTCGGAAGGGGCATTTGTGAGAGCACTATTTTTCTGCCGGTCCCGAAAGAGGCCCGATGGGGCTGCGGTTGGTCGTGAGTCTGGTGTACATGACGCGAGGAATTGAGGGGTACTGAGGCGGCTTTTCAGTTGCATCTGCAGAGTATCCTGGCGCAAATCCCAAACGTCCTGAAGATGTGCGATGCATGCATGAGAAGGAGTGTGGGTGCCCACGGAGCCCCATGGTGGGGCAGGGACGGCCGCCGGCGAAAGGCCGGTAGACGTCATCCCACCTAAACAGGAAAGTAGAGCCTCCGGCGTACAAAATCGGCATTCACTTCCGACCGTCGGCCGAATCGCCCTCTATGAAGGTCCGAATCCCCCGTGAGAGATCGGGATGCCACAAAAACCTTCAACCAGGTCGACCCCTGTCCACTGCTTGAGAACATACGATGTCACTCTTGGAATCTTCACCAGCACATTCGGCTTTCACCGCAGCTAAATTCTCAGTCGATTCCCATATATTCGCGGCCCGAGAACCTCTCATGGCCGCATTTCAGGAAGGACGTGACCTGAGAGGTAGCCTAGGAGAACGTCGCCGGAGGAGATAGTACGAAGCGGTCTTAGATTATGCGCTGTTTCTGCCAGGCTGCAATTCAATCGCACCAATCCACTACATAGCTCCCAGATGCAGGCCGAGACACTACGCAAGATGCCCAGAAAACCATTCGCCTTGTCCTTCAAGTTGTTTTTCTTCAGTGCTTCGCCTTTCCCTTTCGGGATGACCCCTTTTCTCATTGCGGGGACTCTTATAGCAGAGGACAAGAGGATGTGACGCAGGACGGCGAACACGCAGCGAGAATTATTGCTACATTAAAAGTGTTATAGAGCAAGCTAGCTTCAGCACGGCGCATTCAACTCTCAATTGTTTTCAAATGTCTTTTTTTTTTAAACAAAAAAAGTTAGTTACAAGCTGCTCCGAATAATTGGTCACAGCAGATGCCTTCTACCCCACATCAAATCCAAATCCAAAAGAGAAACCGTGGAAGATGGGACAACATAGGCCAATTTCTATTACTATCTAGGATGCGTCATGTTCAGCTGATTCTTGCTTTAAATAACATTCTGCCCCGTCAAACGAACTGCTCATCGCCAATGTACTGCCCTTGTCCCTGATACCTCCATCGACTCACAAAGGCCTTGCTTGTCCCGTTACCTACCACACCATTACTCGTCGCGTAAGCCCCAAGAATCGTTCCTGTATACCCACCGCTAAGGAGGCTCCCTTCAGCATATCCTACAACTGCCATCTGGACATCATCTTCCTGTGACTCTGATGCCACGCCCACCGAAAAGGTGAAGTGCGTCACATTCGCCGCTCTAACTTCCAAGCGCACCAGATCACCCGCCTTGTAGCCAGCCGGGAGCGGTGCCCACACGTCTGATGGGACGGTGACGTTCTCGTTGCTGCTAAAAGCCTGTAGCCGCAAGCGTGGTTCAAGCCCATTGCCGTACGTGATTCCCATATCCACATGCCTTTTCTCGTCCAGGTAGGCAGCCACACCGGCCTCTTCACCCAGTGCAGCAGGCTCAAACAGCAAATCAACGCTGAACGTAAACAACGTGTCCACCTGCCTGCGCCCCACAAACGTAATGTCCTTGGTAAGGTTGACGTGAGTGGACAAGGGCGACGACAAGTTCCTCGGCGAAAGAGCCAACTGCAGCGCATTCTCTCGTCCCGGCGGAGATACGACGTAAGCCCCGTCCTTAGGGAAGCGCACGTGAACGAAGTGCTCCGGCAACGTAGTCCCTGGCTCAAAGTCCACCACATCAGGCGCGTCGTGGAAAGAACCCTCGCCAGGAAGACTACGGTTGTCCCGCGGCAGAGGCAGCGGGCCCTCCATTCTGCCACTCACGCCCTGCACCAGCGCCGGCCATTCGCCCTCCGGCCACGACACCGGGTACAGGACGGTCTCGCGGCCCATGGGGTATGTCTCGAACTCGGGTCCGCAGCGCATCGCTAGCGCCACGCCCCACCAGTTCCCAGCCGCGTCGTGGAACAGATCCGCGTGGCCGACGCTCTGGATGTACGACGAGTTGCTGGCAGCGGCGACGAAGGGGTTGCCGGCGTAGTTCTCGTACGGGCCGGTGACGTTGCGGGAGCGGGCGATGGCGCCGCGGTGCTTCCTGGCAGTGCCACCCTCGGCGACGAGGATGTAGTACCAGCCGTCCTTCTTGTAGAGGTGCGGGCCTTCGGAGGTGCCGATGCCGGTGCCGTTGTACGGGTAGCTGATGGGTCCGAGGGCGCCGGTCGACGTGTCGATGGTGGCGAGGCCGATGGCGGTGCCGGTTGCTGTCGCTGCAGCGCCGACGTAGTATGCTGTGCCGTCATCGTCCCAGAAGAGGCTTGGGTCGTAGCCGGCGAAGTCGAACGAGGTAGGGATGCTCCACGATGAGCTGTTGTACGGGTCCGTGGTCGTGAAGATGATGTTGTCCATCGTGAAATCGAGGTACGATGAGATGGCAACATTGGTCGTTATGAGGTAGAAAGTTCCATCATGGTAGCGGAGAGTCGGGGCGAAGATGCCGTCTTGTCCCGTTGGTGCTGATGCAAAATCTGGAATCTGCTCGCGCCGATTCAAGACGTTGCTGGCGAGCTTCCAGTTGACAAGGTCTTTACTGGCATGGATCGGAACTCCCGGGAATGCCGTGAAAGTTGAAGTAGCGCAGAAAAATGTCTGGTCCAGTTCATCAACATAGATACAACTGGGGTCCGGATGGAAGCCAGGAAGAACAGGGTTTGTGTAGTATGATGTATTAGTAGCACTGCTCCCACCTGCCAGTAGGAGAAGCGCCACAGAAATGATATCCATTGTAAAACGAGCGCGAGGAGTCAGATAGCTTGGTCCATCCAAATGGCCTGGTTGCAAGCTTTCGTGCGATTAAATACTTGGTAGAAATCCTAAGGGGGCAAATTACCGTATTCGCGTCGAATTTCCGTATCGCTGTTGAAATACTGCTGCTTGTGATCGGCCCACCCTGAATAAATGGTGGACATGCGCTTCCTTCAATGATCCAATAGGGATTAAGCAATGTGGATAGGCTAAACAGATGGGTACCTTTTACGAAACGAGATCTCGGAAGAGTGGCCATTTACATGCACATGCATTATACTTGGCATTCAAACAATTACCACCTACCATAGCACCGGATAAATGCGGCTGTGTGCCAGCCGTATACGGCTTAAAGATTTTCAACAATTTTAATAATTGTCACGTAGTTCCAATTGTCTCCGCTTCCAAGGCAAAGTGCATTTCAGCTATCGTAGAAGTGTTAAGGAACAACATTCAATGTGCACGTTGTCTGCCTTTTGATTTAAACTTCTGGAGTAATGAAAAGAAACACCCTCGCACTTCTTCAAGCCTCAGGAGTGAAGATAATACGCCTATAGCTTGTCAAAGCCATATCCCTCTTATCCTCCACAGAGAGAATTAAATGGAATTTCTAAAGAGTTAGCGACATATCTAGTAATGTAGATATATACACACTTACAAGGTCGAGAAGGCCAAGATTAGGCGGAGAAACCCGCACTACACTTCCATGCTCATCCAAATTCGTGACCGTTATATTTGGGAAGATTTCGGGAAGATTGCCATCCATCGGCGTCGTTACGTCTCGATAGCTAAACCAGTTGAATGTAAGCTCGTCGTTGTCAGGGTCCCAGGACTGGGAGGCATCGAGCACGATGGATTCTCCGGACTTGTAGCTAACTTCGAATGCTGAGGGAGCACAGGTCTTGTTGACAACTACAACGGGGGGATGATTGCTGTTTGAGTAGTTCCCTGTGATCGTCCACTGCATACGTGTGGCGAAGTCATACTGGTATGCCTTCCTCCAGCGCCAGATCGAGGCGAAGCTGCTGTAGTAAGTGTCCCCGCTGATCCCATAGACATAGTCCGCAGTGTTGGCAAAGGTCTGTGTTCGACCGGATGAGTCCACAAGGGTGTAGCGGCCGCCCCAACTACCGTATTCCGGATGTTCGGGATCACCAAGACCATTTTGAATGAGGGGGAGGAAGGAAGGGGTATCGCCCTCCATGATATAAGAGAAGTTTGGATAATGAGCTCCCAGGTCACCGATGCGAATGTGTTTCTGCAACCAGTCGTTGGTGACCAAAGAGCTGTCAGGTCCGCCCTTGTCAAAATGTCTGTAGTCCTCGCCGCTGATGCCATTCCACGTTGCCTGGCTGAACTCGGTAAAACCGTGGAGAGAAACAATGTAGAACAAGGCTGGGAAATTCTGTCGAATCCAAGAACCCGCATCGTCTTGATCTGAGATAGAATAGACCCGGAGTTTCTTGACGAAAGTGGCTGTGTCGTTGGTGGTCCTGGTGTTCTCGACCCGGAAAAGCGCCTCGGCCAAAACTGCCGCCCCACCCCAGATCGTGATCCATAGGGGCTTCTCAGAGTCGTCAACCGCATCAATCAGGGCTAAGGCCGCCTCGCTGGTGTTGAGCTTCAGTGATTCAAGGCCATACACCGAGTGGCCTTTGTAGACTTTGGCCAGGAGTTCTTCTGCTCTCGGAAAGGGAGCGCCGCTTGACGCATGGCTGTCGAGGTTTCTCGTAACATTGCCGTAAGCACTGATGACTGTACGGATGGTGGCTTCATCGGTGGCGTTCTTGAGAAAGGTAGATGTGACAGCAGCAATGCCTTGGATGTCCAGTTCATTGGCGTACACCAACAAACGGACTAAGCTCATTTGGTCGTCTGGTTCATTGCTGATGTCCGTGAGGACGAAAACACGGTGCTTCGAAGTGTATCTTGCATTCTCGCACTGGTTCTCGTTCTGCGTTGCGAATGAGACGTGGATAAGGAGGGCCGTAGTGAAAATGCACAGAAGCATACGCCTGAGCGTCATGGTGTCTGTTGGTAGTCGCAGGTGTGGAAAATGTGTGTTTTTTCACCATCTGGAAAATGTCACCGATATTTGTATCTCGCGGTTAGCTTATTCCAGAGAACGCTCGATGCGTTCCGTAGTCAGGGAGCTAAGCTGAGAAGCCCTTCAGCCCGTATTCAATGTAGATGTCATCACCGGAAACGCACCGCCAGTTTCCGCTGGCACACCTCATTTCGGTGGTGGATCAGAAGGTTTAATACGTATATTTGCGTGTTCTATGCGAATACGTAAATATATACTAGAAAGAATTATCCGTATCCACCAAAACGCAAATTCAGCTATTGGCTAGAGCTTTCCGCACACCATCGGCGTACTACTGGAATGCCACCAAAGTACGCCTCCTTGGAGTCAGGGGAAACCCTCACCTCACTCTTACTTAAGAATCAAGGCGTTCTTATAGTTTGGCATACTCTCTAGGACAATCTGAAAGATTGGCTTGCAGGGGGACGCTGCAATATGAGATTCATTTTACTCTGTGCCCTCGTTGCGGCCTCCAGCAACCCTAGAGTTTGCGCTGCGCAGGAAAGCAATGCTTTTCACTCACCGGATATCAAATATCGCCCGAAGTTCCGCTACTGGTTCGTATTTCATATTTCAATTTTTACCTCCAGCTTTGGTGAATTGATGTATCTCTTTGACCAGGATTCCGGATGCCAGTGTATCCAGCAACATCGTCCAACAGGACATTGCCTCAATGGCCATGGTTGGGGCCGGAGGCTTCGAGCTCCTGCCCTACTACCAGTACGGATTTCCAGAAAGTGATCGTGGCATTCCCACACCCACCAATTGGTCCGAATATGGCTTTGGAACAGATGCCTTTCGCCAGGTATTTTTGACAGCGCTGCAAGCCACGGAAAAATACGGCCTGTCAATGGATTTTTCTCTGGGCGCGAATCAAGGCCAAGGCTGTCCGGCCGAACCTGAATCGCCAGGTCTTGCAGTAGAATTGGTAAGCCCAAGACGAGTCAATTGAAGGACATCTCTCAACTCATACCATCACAGGCTTATTCTAATGTCACCGTTGTCCCTGGACACACTTTCAATGGCACGCTGCCTTTATCGAGGCAACCTGATAATCTTCTCGGAAGCATCATGCACAAACTTGAAGAGTTTGGTCAGCAAAACCTTTCTACGGTAGTGGCTGTAGAGATCAATGACCGTAAGAGCTGCGTAAAATACATGTCACTGTCCGGTTGAACTGACCACCGTCAGGCGTCGAGTCCCCAACAACCTATCCTACGAATATCCTTGGCCGTGTGATTGACCTCACATCACTTGTCAAGAGTGATCGGTCTTTGACTTGGACAGCCCCGGCAGGTAACTCAACATGGCGGCTTATGGCTTGGTATGAGCGGTATGCCAATCAGAAAAATGTTGCACCGGGCCTGAATGCCACCAATTACATTCAAAATGGCTCTTGGGTCGTTGATCATTTCAGCGCCGCAGGGGCACGGAAAATGACGGACTTCTTTGACCAGCATGTGGTCTCCGATGACCAATCAAGAAAGCTGTTGGCTGCAGTCGGAGGAAACGGTACGTGTAACATTCTCGTCCTACTCAGTCATTCACTAAAGGAATATAGGCTGGGAAGATAGCCTGGAAATGCAGAGCTCACTTTGGTGGACGCCAGATTTCCAGCAAAAGTTTCAAGAAGGACGCGGTTACAGTGTTGCTCAATGCTTGCCGTTCCTCATTACCAACAAGAATTTTTGGATCCAGGCAATCGCACCTTACGGGGAGATTTTCACCTCATCGGACCAATCGGTTACAGAAAACTGCATCGAGGACTACAGGACCACGTTGAACGAAGGCTACCAACAGTATCTCTCACACTATGTTGAATGGGCTCATAGTCGAGGTATTAAATACTCGGCTCAACCCGGTTACAACTTACCTCTGAATATGGTGAGGAGTTCAAGCGCGATCGTGGTCACATCTTTACTGACGGTGAATCATCCGACAGCTTGATGACGTACCGATCCTTGATGTTCCCGAGGGGGAATCTCTCGGCTTCAACAATATCCCGGACAGCTACCGGCAACTCTCGGGACCTGCTCATCTTGCTGGAAACTCTTTGGTATCCTCGGAATGTGGCGCCTTAGATGGAGCTCCCTACACGCAAACGATGAACGATCTGCTCTGGTCTGTTCGTCGCGGCCTCGCGACTGGAATTTCAATGAACGTGCTCCACGGTTTTGCCTACTCTGGCCCGTACGCCAATACAACCTGGCCCTCGTATACCACGTTTACATACAGGTACACAGAGATGTGGAACCAAAACCAGCCGACTTGGCAGCACATGAACGACACTATCATGTACATTGCCAGGAATCAATACGTTGCACAAATCGGGACGCCAAAGGTTGACCTAGCGTTCTACCAATATAGCTCGCCGTGGGCCGCCAAGGAGAGCTATCAGAACACAAACCTCCAGAATTTGGGATATACTTACGAATACATAAGCGCCGGAAATCTGCAGAGTGAAGACGCCGTCATGGAAGACGGCGTGTTTGCACGTTCTGGTCCCGCATACAAGGCTCTGATCTTCTCGAATCAGACGTCCATTACCCCAGCAGCGGCTACGAAGATCAAGCAATTCGCATTGGCCGGCTTGCCTATTTTCTTTGTGGGCAGTGCAAACTTGACATCCATCGGAAAGAAGCCTGGAGATGCTCAGAGCGTGTCTTCTACGATGGATGAAATACTTTCAGCCGGTCCAAATGTCCACACGGTAAACTCGGCAGAAGAGCTTCCAGAAGCGCTCAAAGCGGCGTCGATTCTGCCAAAGACCTCATTTCCTGATCCCATGGTCGGATGGTTCACCTTCTGGCGCAAAACCGAGAATGCCGATTATGTCTTCTTGTACAACGACGGGAGCGAAACACAGACTTCAGAGGTTATGTTCAATACTTCCGGAACCCCCTACCTTTTCGATGCATGGACCGGCTCCGTATCTCCTGTCCTTCACTACTCCTCAACCGCATCGACAATCTCGATTCCGATCACCTTGACCGCAAACCAAACAAGTATCATCGGCTTCGCAACATCTGGTAGCAACGGTACCTCCACGTTTCCTTCTGCACCTGAGACTTTCATTAGCTCCATGACCGGAGGCGTCAAAGGCCTCCGCTACAACGGCAGTGCCATTTTGGCCCAGGTTTCAGGCCCAGGCTCAGTAGTCCTGTCCTCCGGCAAGACCGTCAATCTCACAGCTTCTCCTCCTGACGTCTCGAATCTGACATCGTGGGATATCGCAATCCAAGATTGGCACCGCACAAACAACACCTTCAGTATGGACACTGCCATTGATCTGCATGCCTACACCAATTCAACCCTCGCACCATGGACATCTCTTGATCCAGCACTTACCGGTGTTAGCGGCATCGGCACCTACTCGACACAATTTGCTTACCCCACATCAACTCACGGCGAACCTCGTCTCGGTGCTCTGCTTCATCTTGGACCTATCTTGAACACAGTGCGTGTGTGGCTGAACGGAGAGATTCTGCCACCTGCGGATGTTAGCAATGCGGTGATTGACATAACGGAGTATCTCCATGTCGGAGAAAATAAATTGAAGATAGAGGTGGCCTCCACGCTATTCAACCGAGTTAAGGCGGATGGAAACTCTACATGGACAGCTGGCGTTACGGCGAATGAGGAGAACAGCGGGTTTTATGAGGCCAATGAGTACAAGGAATTTGGCTTGGTGGGACCAGTGTGGGTGGAATGGGTAACGGAGGCGGTCGTGGCCTAAAGAACTGGAGAATGGCAGCATACGTGCTTGTATTGATGAAGCTATGGATGGGCATTTTTCTGCATTGGTGAATTTCTTAGTGTATTGTTGTCACAAAGTGAAGCTTTATATTTATATAAACATTAAGCTGACGCTGGGGGCCCCGAAAGACATTTCTTCTTCCTATTCCACAAACTGAAAAGTCGAATCCTCAGTACGGTTCTCGAAGACCAGCTCAACCGGGTTGCACCCCAAGACCCACTCGGAACCCAAATCCGGCTTAGGCATAATCTCAGGCCGCATGCCCTCGTGCCAGTCAGACAACCGCTTCTCCTTCAGCTCGCCATTCAGGTCACCCCAGCACCACCACGTCGTCCCCACAAATCCGTCGTTGAGCTCCAGGCTCCAGGTCTCGCCAACGACGTCTTCAGCCTTCAGCCGGCCCTCGTGCAGGAAGACACGGGACAGCGGTAGATCATGCGCGACCTCGACCTCGCCCTCAGCAGGAATCGTCAGCAAATGCGTCGACAGCCGTTCCTTGAGGTCCGCGGGTGGCGGCGGGTTCCTGCGCGCTCGGTGGATGAGGAAGTGGCCTAGGTTTATGTGGCGATTTTTGGGGTCAGCGGTTGAGGTGAGTGAGGCGGTGCCCCTGGCGAGCGTGTCGAACTCGCCGTCGTCTTCTGGGTCCGAGGGCGCGAAGACGGTGCCGTCGGTGCAGATGGTGATGGCTTGGCCCGGGCGCGTCGTCTCGGCTATGCGCAGCGAAATGCGGAGCTGGAATTGCTCCGGCTGTTGTTGGCTGCTGACGGATAAAGTGGGGGAAGATGGCTTTGCCGTGACGGCGATGGTGGCCTTGCGGCGCTCAGGCGGGCAGATGCGCTTGACGAGAACCATGGTGGGTGGGATGGAGCGATGCTGCCTGGAGGTTTCGATTCCTCCAGGGTACATATATGGAAGCGAATATGCTTCGGGGGCCAAAACAACGTCATTAGTGCGCAGATCTCACCGCAGGCGGCAGTACACCGCCCTGCGGCACAGTGCTCAGCCATTCTTAATTCATACACGAAAGCCCCAAACCCGACCCCGAGTACCTAAACCCAACCTACGAGGACCCAAACCTGACCTCTCCACCAAAGCCCGCCGTTTTTCAACGCGTCGCAAACTTGCAACAAAATCAAAGGTTAATTTTTTTCCTTCATTATAATAATAATAGCTAAGTCTAGAAATATCTATTGCAGTAGAAAAATATTTTGATAAGAGAATGTCGACCTGCACAGACAAAGGATCGGGTCGGGGGCTTTCGTATGTGAATGGGGTCGGGTTTGGTAACCAACCCGATATTCTTCCATTCTCCCCTGCTGAGTTCTATTGTTGTCTGTCGTCCCGGTAGCTGTTGGTAATCAGCTGAAGAAGTCCTTTCCTACACTTAGAATGAAATGAATATCTTTAGCTCTGATGCTCAGGTATAAGAGAAGTGAATCCGTTATGAGGGAAGATTCAATCAACAGCTCTCATCGCAACGACATCAACCTCTCTGCCCAAGCCCTGTCTTCCATCATTGCAAACATCACAAGATGATTTCTCCCTTCAGCATGACTGGCCTCTCATGGGCTTTGCTCGCCATGACGACCGCCGTTAATGCCAGCCCACATGGCCTTTTCCGCCGCCTTGCAGTTAACTTCGTCGACTGCAGCGACGAAAGGAAGGCGAAGCTGGAGACGGCTCTTGCTGATGCTGCAGCTCTGGCAAATATCGCAGTGCTCGATATTGATACCTCAAGCACCGCGTAAGTTGTTCAGCTTCGTCAATGCTATTCAAGCTAACAATGTCTTCCAACAGCTTTACCCACTACCTCCGTGAAGAGGACGCAGACATGGCCAAGGGTCTCTGGAGTATGGTTGCAGCGAATAACGATCCCACAAATGCTCCATACACCTTCTCCGTCCGATGCGGCAAGCGGTGCCCCTCGGGAAGGTAAGATTCAAGCGCTACTTCTGCTCATTGGCATTGACCTGACAACATTGAAGTCTTGCCATTACCGACTCGGTCCCGCAAGACGGGAACACGCCGCGCGAGATGTTGATCTGTCCTTACTTCTTCAAGGCCGCTGAAACGAAGAACAATCTCGACTCGAAGAAGTATACCGCCGACGGATGGTGTAAGTCGGGCCAGCATTTCAGCGACTTCGAAACAGCAGGCCACACCATTCTCCATGAAATGACCCATCTCGATGCTGTGGGAAAGTCAGCTGGCTTGCCAGAACGGTCAGTGGCCCCTTCTCTTAACTTTTTGTTCCTTTTTCTTTTTGACTCGCTGCTGATCTGTCGGATATTACAGGGATTACGGGAACTTTAAATCCCACGGAACGGATGACTTGGACTCCAAACTTGACTATGTCGCCGCTGCTCGCGATCTTCTGAAGGGGTGGGTTGAGGACCCGGACAGCTTTGGTGATGATGCTCTGAAGCCATACCAGAATGCTGAGAATATTGCTGCTGCCGCCACAGGTGAGTAACTGCTGTCAAACCCCCTCTTGAACACAGAGAAATTAACAAGCTGTTGCAGAATGGTGGTTCATCAAGAGCTGCAAGTTCACTGAAATTGACCTCTGAGCTTCTCAAGTCACACTACATTAAGTGCCTGTGGCTGGAGGCTGTCCAGGCTTTCCTGGCCTCGGACAGAAGTTTTGGGTAGTTCTTTGGAGTTTAGATAGAATCGTCTGCTTTAGATACTAGTAAAGATACCACTCACTGCGATCAATCAAATTGAACAATCATTCATCGATTATGGCTACTTATTGTCTATCTCGTGAACAACAATACTCTTAAGCAATGAGTGGCTAGTGAGATGAACAGTAATTGCTGTTTCAGCAACCCAAAGGTTGCTTAAGAGGCTCTTCATGTACTCTTAGGGATGAGTAGACAACAGGTCGAAAGCGAGTAATCTTTGCTGGTACCAAGAGATTTTCAATTTGATTTTCTAATTTTAAAAACGAATGAATCAACCGTAAACACAGCGCATGAATGCTTCATCCTCTAAATGCGTGGCACCCAAGCCCAGATGCGCGCTTCCCAGGCTCAAGAGCTCGCCTCCAACCCGTTTGAATCATCGAGTCCTCCAAATGCATGAATTTAGACAACGTTGCAGTCAATGGTCCTCCCGTCCAGGCAGGCTTTGAGGGCCTGGGTCATGTCGTACTCGGAGCAGGTGGTGGGGGTGTTGAAGTGGTAGTAGCCCTGGCCGTTGTCGTCGCGGTTGCAGCCCCAGTCGGTGACGGAGCTGCCGCAGCGGCCGCGGATGTTGTCGAGGCAGCCGCTGCCGCACTCGTCGTTGTGGTCGTCATCGTTGTCGACCCAGATGTTCCAGCGCTTGTAGAAGCCGGCGATGTTTTCCGACTCGCAGGTGTCGTCGCGCTTGTGGAGGTTGTTCACGGCCTCGGCGGGAGTCGGGCTGGCGAGGGCGCCGAGGGAGAGGATGGAGAGGAGGAGGGTGGAGGTAATGGTGGAGGCGTGCATTTTGGCGGTGGTTGTTTGGCTTGGAGAATTGATTGAGGGCTTGATTTAAGGGCTGTTTGAAGATGGTAAGTGTGGAATTGGATTGATGAGTGCTGTTGTGATGGATTGGAGAATGCTCGAGATTCCGTCTCTACTTATACTTCGATGCTTCCATCCCAGCTGAAGGAGCTAAGAGCAAAGACGGTGTGATTGATTGGCATAATCTCCGTTCTTGAGAAAGATTAGCGAAGGAATAATGATGGAGGAGACGTTTCTGGCTTACAAATGTTGCTTGGCAGTCTCCGTGAGGATACATCCACAACGTGTAGGTAGGCTGTGCTTGGGGGCGGGATGTCTCTGGAGGCAAAAGGGCATGGTAGAGCTGACCTCTGTACACGAATCAGAGGTGTAACTGATTCAAAGACGAAAAAGGAAGTACAGTCTCCACAGACAAATGGGGTAATAGGGCCAAAGTCGTTGGACGAAAAAGAAGACAGGTCTAATTAATAAGGTAAGCCGCGCGGAACCTCGCCCGGGTAGGGAAAAACCAAGGGCGATTTTTCTAGATCAAGGAAGAAATATTTTTTAGCCAGGTGACGGGCTCAGTGTCCATGGTGGATAACGTGAGCCGCGGGGTACCACGACAGAGGATCCACAGCGGGACAAAACTGAGACTCACTTGACAATAAATGCTGGTGCGATCAACACGGCACAAGGGTTTACCCGTTATGTTCAGATGGTGGATCTGCCCGGTCAAATGACCAAGCAAAGATCTCGTCGGGTATGGGAAAGGTTGCGTCTGAACCCAAATTTTTTGAGGCTTAGCGACCCTCAGCCACCCTCGCCATCTCGCCACGGCAGGAATGAGTGCTGATTGCAACAATTTTGCGGGTGAGGCTGTACTGATTACGGTGTAACGATAATGGTTGTTTGCCTAATAAAAAGCGGCGGGAAGGGGATTCGATCGATGTACCCAGCTGACCGTCATCGCCCTACTCAGCATTTACTGTATTGAGAGCCAAGCCGTAAGCGAACGCCACACCCCGCATCCTATCTTCGATAAGCGCCAATGATGTTAGAATAAAGAGAATTAGATACGCGATGTGATGTTAAGCGCGGGTGCCTGCAGCGGCAAAAGGACTCAGCCGCTCCAACACGACCTTGTGTCACTGTGTCACATTGCAGCGAAGAACACCAAAACGTGAGTAGCACAATAGCCATTATTCGGCACCACGAGTATCCTGGCTCGGAGATAAGTGAGTGGAGCAAAGAACCGCGGCTGAGGCTCGGCGTAGGCTCTGGTGTGCCTCTGAATCGAGCATTTACCGCTTCATGAGGATTCCAAATATCAGAAAAAGGCCACTACCCCATTCCCGTAGCCCCCAAAGCCCTCTTGCTGTGCTGTCTTGCGGTTGCTGAAAATTGACTCACTTACTCTTTTCACTTGCTTCGATTCAAGCTCGCCCGTCCTCTCATCGTCCGGCAAAAAGGGTACTGGAACCCTATCACCATCTACTAGAATGAAGCTATTGCAGCAGTAGCTTTTCTCTCAAAATGCAAAGTGGTGATTTTGTATACGTTCGACTAGAGGCGCCTTCCGTGCAGAGCCCTAATGTAAGGCTGATATTGGTCTTACAATAGTGGGCACCCCTGTCAGCCGCTATCTCCAAGGAGTTCAAGGGCCCCCTCCAGTCACACAGCATTCTCTTGGCTGTCAGCAGCCAGACATTCTGAGTAACTTGCCACTCCGTCATGAGCGTGCCTTGGTGGCTCGGCAAGAACCCGCTTCGGCCTATAGAACACTTTCCTCGCACCCACCGGCGTTATTCTCCTACTTTATAGTCCGGTTACTAAGATTAGAAATAGCCTCTGGAGATTCCCTGCGTTGCATGGGGTTGAAGTTGTCTGACCCTACTTGCTTGTTGGGACTCAAATATTGAAGCCTTTATTGGCCACTTGAGCGTTTTGGTCTCGAAAGTGGATTGACACGGACGCATATCACATACTGACAGTGCAAGCAATCTCGTCTTCAAAATTGGTATTGAGAAATACTAAACATGCATGAAGCATCAATCATACTGGGGTTCCGAGCACCTGGAAGCTATTTACCAAGGGCACGGCATCCGCCTGCGTCACACGGAGACGAATGCGGCTCGTCTGCACAGCCTCATCAAGAGCGTCGATGCGCTTGTATCCGAGCGAGGTGCCAGTAACAAGCGTCGTGAATGCACCGTCCACGAAGGCATCAATGGCATATCCGCCGATACGCTGGCCCAAGACAATATGCTCCTGTGCGACAAAAGCTTCAACGCTGTATGCGCCACCCAAGTCAATTTCCAACGAGCCAGTCGTCTCCCCGTCATCCATCGTCCAATAAGTGTCGCTGTTCCCGTCCAACACATTGGCCGGGCCGAAGAGCGTCGAGTTCCCCGCACGAACGCTGCTCGCATTTACCGAAAGGCCGGGTGTGAGCACATTGCGGTTGAGAAAAGCATCGCGCTGGGCTTTGAATTCCAAGAGGATGTCTGCGTCCCCCGCCACGACTTTCCCGCTGGTGTCGGGGGGCACATCAAGCAACAGATTCACGCTGCGAGCCACCGACTGCATATACATGTCCATCAGCGCGTCGGCCGTCTTGGGCTGCTCGTCAGCATGATAGAACCAGCCGTCGCGCAGGCGCGCGTCCGCCTCGGCCGGCGTCCAGTACGAACCGTTGCGCACGCCGGTCTGCAGCTCGTCGCCGGAGTAGCGGGCGTCGTCCTGGGTCCGGCTGATGGTGTGCCAGTTGGTCTGGGCCGTGACGCCGTCCTCGTTGCCGACCCAGCGCGCGTCGACGCCCTGGTGGCCCCACATGATAGCATTCGGCTGCTCCTCGCGGATGATCTCACGGAAGCGGGTCCAGTCGAACGTCTGCACCGTGTCGGAGCCGCTGGCGCCGTCGAGCCAGATCTCGAACAGGTCGACCTTGTCGCCGTCGGCTAGCTGCATGGTCACGAGCTCGGTCAGCTGCTGCGCGTACAGGTCGTTGTAGTCGCCCTCGGTACTCGCGTCGCCGAAGATCTGCGGCTCGTCGTAGATGGTGCCGGTCAGATTCGGTTTGGGCATGGCCGGGTCGCGGTGGATGTCCCACGGCGAGAGGTAGACGCCGAACTTGATGCCGTGCTTCTTCGCCGACGCCGCCGCCAGCCGCACCACATCGGCATCGAGACCTTGCGCCGTGCGGTTCTGCGCCCACTTTCCGTTTGCGATTTTGTACGTCGTCGTGTTCGTGTCCCACAGCGCCATGCCGTCGTGGTGCTTGGCCGTCAGGATCATGCCTGCCATGCCGGCGTCTGCGAATGCTGACGCCCATTGGTCCGTGTCCAGTGCTGTTGGTTGAAATACGTCTGGAGTGCTTTGGCTTTCTCCCCATTCTTCATCGGTGAAGGTGTTGGGGCCGAAGTGCACGAATGCATAGTATTCAAGCTGGTGCCATGCGAGCTGTCGCGCTGATGGCGTCTGCGAATAAGCAGTTGGCGGTGCCTGAGCAGATGTCGCAGCCGCTAGCCAGCACGCAGCACCGACGAGTAGCAATGCCATAATTTGCTATGGAGCAGCTTGTCGATTGTTGAGTTCTGCGGAAGTGATCAGTGTTGAAACAAACTTCTACCTTCCTGAACGCGTTGGAGTGACGTCGGAAGGGATAAACCAACAGGCGACACTGTGGCCTTTGTAGAAAACCGGAAATATTATGGGCTGGCCATTGTCGTATTCGATCGATTTTCATATGTGATGATCGGGGTGTGGGTGGGGTGACTTCTTGAAAAGGCAGGTCGATGGAAACAAATACAGGGATTAGTGGAAACGGGGCCTATACTTACCGCTTTTTGCTTTAGATTTATGCTTCAATAAGCTTTATCGCGGTAGTAGTTTCGGCTTCTCGACTACTTCTTTTTGCTATATAGCAACATCGAAGTTAATCACTATGAACCAGATGAATCGAGAATTTCTTCAAATAAGACTCCGATTTTATATACTATCCGCTCTTGATGCACCCCGTTCACCTCCAGATGCGCCAATATTTACATAGAATTTTGCTACCAAGGCACGACGCTTAGAGGCTGTACCTGGACTTGAGGTGCCTCCACCAGTCCCTGGCCATCCACTTGTCGAACTCGGTGATCTCCATGGCGCTGCCAGCCAGCATGATGAAGTTGGAGACGCCGGTGGGGGTCCAGTCGTAGAAGTCGTCGAGGGCGAAGGTGTGGCCGATCTCGTGCAGCAGGATGTGGACGTTCTCGTCGTTCATCGTCTGCAGGAAGTACTCGGAGCCGATGCGCTGGCCCCAGTCGCCACCGGCACCGCCCTGCATGCCCTCGGTGAGCCAGAGAGACATGTCTGCAACAAATTAGTAAATGATCCAGGAAACTTTATTAGAGGGGAAGTGACTTACCGTAGTGCTTGTCAGCACCGGCGGCGCACTGGCTGTAGTCGTTGTCCTGGTGGAAGAAGCGGCCGCAGCCCTCGTCGCACTGGGGAATGCCGTCGGCGTCGGTGGTGGTGTAGACCTCGACACCGGACGCGTCCTCAAGCAGGGACTTGTCCTTGACGGCCCAGCCGACGACCGACACTTCGACAGTGTCGTATGGCCAGCCGTCGAAGCCAGCAAGTGCGTCGATCCACTTCGAGAACGACTTCTTGGCCGCGGCTTCAATCTGCTGCCTCTGGGTCGCCGTCACCTTCTGCGACGAGTCCCAACGCACGCAGTAGTTGATCTTGCCCTTGCCATCGATGACCTGGTCGTAGCCTGCAGAGTGTGTGAGTAAGAAATGGAGATCTCGATATAAAAGTATATGGAGGGGAAGTGGAACTTACCATAGTTCTTGAAGCCCAGGGCATCGCTGTAGGTGCTGACCTCGTGTTCCCAGACCTCGTTCAGGGGAGTGACGAGCTCCGAGGGCGGGTTCCAGGTGGAATCGTTCTGGCGCTTCACCATGGGCTGGACGCTGCGAGAGAGCACGTTGCGCTGCTCGAACTTGCAGATGCCATTGTTGTTCTTGACGGGATGCGCCAGCGCGCCGTCAAGGAGGGGAAGGAGGGAAACGAGAGAAAGAGCGGCGGTGGTCTTCATTGTGATTGTATGAACAGGAGAAACGAATGAAATTGGTCAGAAGCAATGTTCAACAAAGTTCTGGTTCATCTTTAAACAGCAGCAGGCAGGCAGTCTATATAGGGGCACCGGAAACAACAGTTGCACCTCCAGCACCGGGCGACATTGCCGCGATGCAGTTGTGAACATGAAATGCCAACAGCATAAGCGACGGGGTCCTAGACGGATTGGGAAATGGCTGGCTGGGCGGCCGTCTCTAATGAGGCTTGGCCAATATAAGCGACATGACCAACGGATTCGTATTGGCGGGTAGGAGGCAAAGGTGGGCCGGCGGGGCGGAACGGGCGAAGTTTGAAACGCCAAGCTTTTGAGCACAAACGCTGGAGGCACAACAGGTGAGAAGGAGAAACGGGACGAGATGGTTCGCGACCGGCGGGCCGGCCGCAGAATGGTCAAGGGCGCCGGCGCGAAACAGCAAAACGGGAGAGAGTGGTGTCGCATCACGCCCTCATCGACCTTGGCGCGGGGAAATTCTGGCCTTCAATGAGCATCGGGCGCTTCGCGGTGTCACAAGAGGAGATTCCCGTCCGCTGGGCTGTGTCAGAAATATCCGAAGCTCCTATTTCTGGTGTAGGTAGCTATGGTAGCAGCGTTCTGGATGATTCCTGAGGGCTGCGAGATGCGGGGGGCTATGTCCGCTCATTGCTCAGATCTACTAAGCGAGAGCAGGTCTGCGGCGGCGGCGAGCGTATTTCCACATTTGACCGAAAATTGATAAGGCTTCGTATGGTGTGGATAGCTGCCTCTGTTCAGTCTCCTGCTGTTGAATTAGGAATGTCTCAAAACTCGCCATGTCAGATGGTGCATCACAGAGGTCAGTCTGGCCATCTCCTTCCCAGAAGGTCGAGATAGTGGATGGGTCAGGCACCTCCCCTTCTTGGACTCGTCATTAGATGTGTTGTGAGAAGCAAACGTGAGTGGTGGTGGAAACAAGATGCGTGCGCTGATTCAGTCGGAAAAGAAAGCGACCGTCGGCCCGCGGAGCCCGCGTAACTGACGTCATGCACCCAACCCTTGTCCATTGTGTTTGGACATCCCAATTCTTCTGCATCAGCTCTCAGGCACCCTGCACCATGAACGAGTACGAGGCCCGCCGCCTAGAAAACATCAAACGAAACCAGGCCCTCGTCCAAGAGCTTGGCCTGGAGCACTCGGCAGCTGCACCCGCGTCCAACAAACCCAGCAACAGCAGCAGACAGCGCCCCTCGAAACGGCGAAAGCTCGAGCCCGCAGCCCCTACACGCTCGTCCGCCCGTATCGCCCACGCAGGGGCCCGTCCACTTTACAACGAGGGGGATGCAACAGTAACAACCGACCAGCCACGGCACCGATCGAGCAGCCTCGCCGGCCGCCGCAACCGCACCACCTCATTTCGCTCCCCCTCCCCTTCCACGGATGTCCCTGCCTCCGGCGCCCGCAACGTCGACGCCATCCGCGCGGGTTGGACGTCCTGGACACCCACGGCGCCGCCGCCCGCGCGCGACGACGACGACACTCAGGGCACCTTCCACTTCGCCTCGCACCCGGACTTCACGCCGAACAAGTCTCCGGAGGAAATGCTGCGCGAGGGCTGCTTCGGCGGCAGCTACTTCCGGCCCTTGTACAGCAAGGCCCTCGGCACCACCATCGCCGACGACTGGCGCGAGTTGCCCGCCGAGTGGACCGCCGGCCTGGACGTCGGCCGTTACCTGACGAGCCCGACGTACGACCCTGAGGTCAACAAGTACGGCGTCTCGTGCGGGCAGAGCATTGAGGAGTGGGAGGCGGCCGGGTGGATCGCCCATGAGTATGATGTGCGCGGCTGGTTCCAGTGGTATTGCCGCTTTTGGATGGGGAGGAGGTGCGACGATGATGAAAGGCAGATTGGCCGCTGGAGAAGGTGCGTGGGCGAGACGGGCCGATGGCGGAGGGCGCTGCTGAAGAAGTACGTTGCTGTTGGCATTCGCAGCGTGTTTGATGACGGCGACGACGATGAGGCGAGGGGCGATGTGAGCCCCGTCGTCCATCAGACCTGCCATCACTGGGCCTACGAAGTACGCCAGGAGGCTCTCGATAGGTTCTGGGCCGAGGGGCGATGATGCGCATAGGTCTCCAAGGATTTGACCCTTCATGGTTTTCTCATGACAAAGGTGACTGACATCGTGGTTTTACGTATTCGGGATATCTACGAATTCCTGCTATTTCTGACCGACTCCATCGCGACTCAGCTTATAGAGCAACTAATAGATCAGCCAATAGCAAAGGCCACGGAGTAACCCCAGGGAATCGATCTGATGGACTATTCCGAAGCACCCGGAGTCGGGCCGGGACCCTCAGCATGGGAACTATCAGGCGTTCACCTGCTCGCCATGTTAAGGGTGAAAGACGATGATCGTGTCTGAGAACGTCAGTATTTAGGCACCCTGGCAATGAGGACAATCGTTTGGGGCACCCAACATCATGACTCGCTAATGGGCTTAGCGCCAAGATTATCGCAGTCATCGGGTCGCTAAGCTTTATGAAGACGACTAGGTACTCTTTAGAACGGGAGGAGTGTCGACTACAAGATCAACTATCAGCGGAGAAATTCAAGCCAATGATCGAAGCTACACGACTAGTGTGCCAATTTACCAGTGCCTTCTCCTTCACTATTTAGACTAGGTTTCTCAACTCTTCAAGAAATCAGAGTCGATTCACGGACTGGACCTCCAATACCACGAATAAAAATCTCGGATGGTCAGGCTTTGCATATGCTAACACGAGTATTGAGAAAAATAGTGTGCAGCTTCAGAGACTCCAGTCTTGTATGTTCCAAGATGTCCTTCTCCATTCTTGATCTCCACTAGTCTCCATCTCTCTATTTCTTCTCTCTTCTAGTCTACAATGCAACGAGACTGCTCAGTTGAGAGCACCAAACTCTTTCGTAAATTCAGTTGAGAAAGGATAGTCTGTGTATCCGACCTCCAACGGCGCCTCCCTGGTCCTGTAAAACGTTTTCCTGTCGTAGGGATTCGGGGGAATCCCTTTCTGGATTCGGTACACCAAGTCAGGCGTGGAGATGAAAAGACGACCAAACACAACGGCCATGTTGTACTCGGGATACTTGGTCGAGACAATCTCCTTGGCTGAGTCTGGCTTGAATCCGCCTGCAAGAAGCACAGGCTTTTGCTTTCCCCATGCTTCGAGAGCGAAGTCCAGGGTATCTGTGACCCCTTCTTTTTCAATGTATCCTGCGATGCGTGGCTCGATGAGATGCAGGTACGCAAGGTCCAGCTTCCGAAGAGTGGAGATCAGTAATCGGAACTGTGGTACGGGATCGCTCATGCGCATCGACTGGAACTCGCTGAAGGGACTCAAGCGAATGCCCACACGGTCTGGGCCCACGGCTTCGGAGACGGCCTGAGCCACTTCAAACGCAAAACGGGCGCGGTTGGCGATGTTGCCGCCCCATTGATCAGTCCTATGGTTAGAGACATCCTGAATGAATTGATCGATCAGGTAACTAATCACATCAGTCAATTCTGTATAAGTGCATGCAAGAGCAATGAACAGAGCGTACCCGTTGGCTGCGTGAATCTCCACGCCATCAAAGCCGGCGCGTACCACGGCCATTTTCGCCGCGGAGGCGTAGTCCTTGACGTATCCCCAGATTTCGCTCTCGTCCAGAGGACGCGGCTTCGGGAGACCATCCCACATGGGTACGTCGCTCGCGCTGACGACGTCGGTGAATCCCTCCTCGTAGAGGGCTCCACCAGATCCCTCGCCAATTTCAGGTTCAGCCGCACGCCCGAGGGCCCAAAGCTGGACGTAAATCTTGGACCCCTTGGCGTGTACAGCGTCCGTCACCTTTTTCCACCCGTCCAGTTGCTCGAGGGTCCATAGACCGGGGATGTTGGCGTACCCGCCGGAACGCTCACTGATGAAAGTTGCTTCCGTCAGGAGGAGAGTGCCGGGCACGGAGGCACGCTGGGAGTAGTATTCGACCATTGCGTCGGTTGGGACATGGTTTTCGTCGGCGCGGAATCGTGTCAAGGGCGCCATGACTACGCGGTGTGAAAGTTGGGAAGACCCAACTTCAATGCTTTCGAAAAGTCTCTCGGAGTTCACCATGTTGTCGGCTGTGAATTCAAAGATAAATGGTGATTGATTTGATGCTTCCTCTAAGGTTCGAGTTCTACTCGCATTATATACTTCACTCTTGACTGCTTCTGCTTTGAAATCATTCAGGTTTAAAGATCTGCCAAGAACGATGACATGGTGAGGTCCCAGCTAAGTTTTGTTTTGCCGAAGATGCCGAAAACGTGGTAGTCTCTCTCATTGATTTTCTTGAATTTAGTTCACGCCACTGACTATATCGATCGGTGCGCTAACCTCCAGAGTTCTTCGACACTAGAACTGTCGAAGACTAGACTTGAACATTAGATGTGACTCGAGGAAAGGAAACTTCCCCGATTGCCTCCAGAATGGAAACAACTGCGCCTTCCAAGAACCAATCGGTCCTCTTTACACGTCCCACCATACGTAGACTCCTCAATTTCTAAGCAGAAGGAAGAAATTTAGCGATTTTTGCAAGGTTACTTATCGGGCACGCCGATGTATAAGCATTGCGAGCTGTCGAGAGCTAGACGAATCAAGGAAGTCAAAGAACTTCTGCTGGCCCACGTCGTGGGCACTTGACGTACTATCAGGCCATGTCAGACACTTGCAACCGAAAACAACGGGATTTTCTTTCCCCTTGATTCTCTCTGCTTTATAATCTGATAGTGTGCACCCGATGAGGGTGGGGCTCATCGATGAGGCGGATCATTAGAAGCTAGCTAGCATGACTGACTAACAGTTGTGTGACTAAACTTCGACCTTTTGTGGCAACACCTTGTTCTTCTCCAACTCATCCAACACCTCCTCAAAGTTCTCCCACGTATCCTTGTATCCAGTCCACCCAATCTTCCTCGCCTTGCTCATACTGATGACCAGATCGAAGTCCCTCCCAAGCACAAACTTGGCAAACCCCCACGTCGCCATCCGCAACGCATCCTTCTCCAGCCCCTCCCTCACAGCCATCCTCTCCCACGCCGCCTTGACCTCCTCCTTCTGCGCCCACTTCACCAGGTCGATCCGCTGCTGCAGCCTTGACGCCGGCGTCCTCCCCTCCAACCCCAACTCCTTCGCGACCACAGCGACCGGCGGCGTCTGCTCCAGCGGCGCGTCCGTCGCATCCGTGCCCGGTGGGCGCGCGAACTGGTCGGCCGGCACCTTGAGGCCGTAGCGGCGGGCCAGGCGCGGCCACATGGCCTGCCAGCTCTGCACGTCGCCGTTGACGACGTTGAAGGCCTCGTCCGCGGCGCGCGGCTCGAGCGCCGCCCACACGCAGAACTGGGCGTGCAGCGCTGCGGACGTGTAGCTGTCGAACATGGTATAAAACGCCTCGGAACCCGGGAAGGGAAGTTCGGTGCCCGAGCCCAGCTCGCGGTGCAGCGCGGCGAAGATGCCGAGGCTGGTCGTCAGGTTCATGAAGTTGCCCTGCGCGAAGCCGATGACGTCGTTGGGGTAGGTCACGGTCCAGGAGATGTTCTTGTGGTGGAGGCAGAAGGCTTGCAGCACGCGCTGCTGGCGGTAGTAGAAGTTGGGTGGGAAGGGCGGCTCCGGCAGCCAGGGGTCGGACTCTTCCATGGGGTTTTTGGGCCGGCCGAGGTGCACGCCGTATTGCTTTGCGCCGCAGACGAGGACGATGCGCTTCACGGTCGAGGCTGTTCCGTTGATCTCGAGGGCGTGGAGAAAGTTTTCGAGCATGTCTCCTGTGCGGCGTTACGTTGGTTTGCGGGAAAAAACGGAGGTGAAAGGGCTTACCATTGACGCGGGTTTGCTCCTCCTGTGACTCTTTCTGAAGGTATGCAGCGAAGAAGATGTACTCGCCAGAGACGTTTTGCTCCTTGAGTTCCCTTGCCATGTCGCTCGCAGAACTCCCCAGGTCAATGTGGCTATCTACATGAGACGAGATCGTTAGAACATCTGACGTGCTACAGTCGCTTGTGGGAATAGCTTACGCTTCACATTCGATGGGCACTCATCCTTTTTCGACCGAGAAAGTGCATACACTGTAGGCCATTGCTGAGGGCTTTTCCCAAGTTCACGTACGATTTCCCGGCCAAGTATGCCTGTCAATCATCAGAAACGGCGAAAGAAGATGCGACACGGTAGGAGAAACATACCTGTAGCACCAGTCACGATAGCAGAAGGCATTTTGTAGGATCCTCAGATATTACCAAAGGAATTGAGAGGTGGAAATTCAAATCAATTCCGGAAGATGTTAGTCCCCCTCGGCGAAGAAAGCAAGGAAAGAAATAGTTGCTGCGCATTGAGAAATGACATCACGGTAACGCATGAAATCCAACAAAGGAGTCTATTTCTAAGCAATCTGCCGCAAGATGCCGACTTTTGCTAGATTGAATTGGGTTCGATGGGTCCAGTCACATGCCAAACCCAGCCAAACCTGCCCCGCTTCGACTTGATCCTTCCTGGCCCGTCCATGAGGAGACATTCTACCTCTAATAATCCGGCCCAGCAAAAGCGATATATACCGCCTGGTCTACATCGCACGCTTCAGGTAGAAGAACGAGGGCCCTGCGTCACGCCACTGCTTCGCATCCATCATTCCCATAATGACATCGTCTGAGACGCGGCGGAAATAGTCAACGATGGGGTAGTTGTCGTATACCATGGCAGCGGACACCACTCCACGATACTTTCCCTCGAGCAACTAAGGGTTGAGTCAGCTAATGGACAGGAAAGGGGGGCTGCATTCGTGGAACTCACCTGTGCCCCGCCCCATTTCTCGAGCCAAACTTTTTTCCCGTCGTCGTCAAGTGCTATGATGGGGTAGATGTCGTCCACACTCTTGAAAATCTTGCCCACCCATCTAATTTCCTTCAGCCATGGGTCTGATGGATGTCCTGTTTCGAAGCTTCCGCCGTTCCATTCTCCCATCAGCAACTCTGGAGAGGCAGGTTGCAGACTATCGAACAGACTTTCGAGCTCTGCCTTGTTTGGATGATTGGCATTGTCGATGAGTGCGATGACACGTTGTTCGGGACTAGGCTAGTAGTGAGTGGAAGCAAATGCGTTAAGGAAATGGAAGATGAATATACGTAGTCATTTTTACAGTGGTTTCAATCACTTATCTGTACGACGAAGGTCTTGAGAAATGCTGCCGGGAAGGTATTCGGAAAGCACGTTGGCATAAATAGACATGCGAGCACGAGTTCCACCATCATAGAGCAAAATTCGGGCTTTAAGTTACGTCACGCATGGACCCACCACCTCCTATGCTGATAAATGTGTCAAGTGCAAGGTGTGAGGTGTCCATGAGACATTTTTACGTGCGGCAACTTCGGCAGGCTCCCTAGCGTGCTTTCTAGTCCCACTCATTGCCACTTGCTCGAAAAAGTAGCAGTAGTGATGGAACTATTCAAGCGTTTGACACGGAAGTAAAAGAGCTTGCAATGCGAAGCAAGTGTCATTGATGCACCGTATATATGGCTAAGTCGTGCATCATTGTCAGTAGCCAGATCGCATTTAGATCACATAGTGAATGTGGTCTCATAAATTTTGTTCTCTCTACGTTCTTCGGGAGAAGTATGCAACTCGAATACAATTACGTAGTGATGGTTCTTTGCGCCCCTTATTTTTTTTTTTTTGGCTTCGGAGCGAGTTCACACCTATAGTACAACCCCAAACGGCATATCTACACAACTATAGGGTCACTGGTGAGTTATAGGTAGATAGCGATGTGGATTTACGACGTGCAAAATTATGATTCAGAAGAAATATCGATAGACAACAAACCATTTTTGTTGGTAACTTGTAAAACATACAATTGGTTTAAAGCAAAAAAGAATCTGAGGTAAATAGATCGATCTGTAGTTGATTTCAACGAGACAACTGAACTATCTACTCCGTTGGTTTAGAGCAAAGCTAATTAGTGAGGCTAGAGAGTGTTACAGCGTATGTTACTATTATCGGTCATTCCGTAGCTGAAACCATGATGCAAGCACAGCCGACATCAATGTTGACTACCCATTGGCGGGCTTTCGTCAAGAGCTGTCACTGCATAATTGGCGTGACCCCGCGTGTCGGCCTTGCCCTTTGCGGACTAGCGTGACAATTCAGAATGATTCATCGAGGGATGCATCATTTTGATTCGCGAATTGCCATTTCTATTTTCGGAAGGGCTTGAAGCCGCACCTGTATAAGAATCAGACTACTACTGAATAGTATTCGCATCAACGACCCAAAACTCGGCCCGCCATCAGTCGTGCTTGCTCTTCCTGCGACATCCTTTCCAACGTCACTCTTGCAAAGCGCATGCCTTCTGTACCAACATCATCAACAACATCAAAAACCATGACATCCAAATCGATACCACATCATGTCGCCATCACCACAACGCACACGGTTCAATGCGCAGACCCATCATCGCTGTCCAAGATTCCGTCGCCCATGAAGCTCGGAGCCCTGGACCAACAAGTTTTCCCCATCATCCCTGTGGCGGTTGTCTTCGTGTACGACGCGGATGAGAAGTCTCCGGGTGACACAATTGCCGTCGATAAGCTGCAGACGGCCCTTTCTCACCTCCTGGACTACTACCCGCACCTCACTGGCCGTCTGCACATCGACTCCACGACCGGTACCCGCAGCATCGACCGTCTCGGCAGCGGCGTCCACCTGCATGTCGCACAATGCTCCTCCCGCTTGGATGCTCTACCCTCCCACGGCGGCCGCCTCACCCTCCTGGATCTCCCCGACGGCGGCAACGCCCTCCTCGCACCCTACGAACCCACGCTCGAAGCCGTGTGCAGCGACCGCACGCCCATCCTGTCCGTCCAGCACACGCGCTTCGCCTGCGGCGGCGTCGCGCTCGGCCTGCGCGCGCTGCACACCGTCTTCGACTCTGATGCGTTTTTCCAGCTCGCCCGCGACCTCGCCGAGGTGTATCGCTCCGCCGACGGCACGCTCGCCAACCCACCACCGCTCGAGGGCTACCTGGCGGACAAGCTGGACGACGGCATGTCGCCCGAGGAGCGCGAGGAGGCCTTGAAGTTCAAACCGACGCTCTTCTTCGCCGAAGAACCTGGAAAGGAAGCCGCTGCTCCGGAAAAGACCGTGAAGAAGGACGAACCCACTGCTCCACCACCGCCGCCGCCGCCGCCCGTGACCGGCCGCACGATGCGCTTCACCAGCGCGCAGCTGGCCCGGCTCAAGGCGGCCGCGAAGGACACGGCGGACGCCGAGAACGGGTGGGTGTCGACGTACGACGCCCTCTCGGCGCTGGTCTGGACGCGGACGCACTACGCGCGGGTGCAGCTGAAGAAGAGGACGATGAAGAACGGAAAGGACAACGACGAGCAGCTCCCGTCCCGCGACTACCTGACATCAGTCAACTACCGCTCCCGCCTCAACCTCCCGCCGCGGTACCCGTTCAACGCCGTCTACGCGCCCCACACAACACTTTCGCACGACACTCTCATCGGATTCGACCCGGATGCCTCCCTACGCGCAGCCGCCCGCGCCGTGCACGCGCTGACGCGCAGCGTCGGGCCGGACGAAGCGGCGGCCACGGCGCGCTGGATGGCGGCGCAGCCGGACAAGCGGTGCATCCAGTGGGGCTTCAACGGCGGCTACGGGAGCACCATGATCAGCGCGTGGAACAAGTTCGACGTCTACGTCGGGACGGACTTTGAGGACGGCAGACCGCCGGTGCTGGTGGCGCCGCCGTTTACGCCGATATCGCTGGCGGATGGGTTGGGGTATTATTTGCCGACGGAAGAGCAGCAGGATGGGGGGATTGATTTTTATCTCGCGTTGAGCGAGCCGGTCTGGGGGGTGCTGGAGGAGGATGAGGTTTGGTTGAGGTATAGGAGTTGAGGGGCGCGGTGGAAGGAACGGTACTTCAGTGGCGATTGAGCGGGTGTGGTAGAGAGATTCATTAGTTTGGATGCGTTGGGGAAGGCAATAGATGAGAAAGTATGATTCTGTGAAGACGAGAGAAGAAATTCTTGAATAGAAATAAGTGAAAGCGGGACCATTTCCGCACTCTTCTTTATATCACCACATCTTTTGCAAAGGCTAGGATACGAAAAATTAAGAGCGAACATGAAGACAATGGCTGGTATGTCCTTCAACATTTCATGATTCGGGTATATACATACTTATCTATTCTTTTTGTTTTATTTCTTCCCCGCACCCAGCTTCTGAATCTCAGCCACGACTGCCGCAGTGACCTCCTTCGTTGTCGCCTTGCCGCCCAGATCGGCGGTGACGACACCGGCCTCGCAAACGTTCTCGACGGCGTCGAGCAAGGCCTTGCTCGCGTCCTTCTCGCCGAGCCAAGCCAGCATCTCGGCGGCGGTCCAGAAGGTGCCGACGGGGTTGGCGATGCCCTTGCCGGTGATGTCGAAGGCCGAGCCATGGATGGGCTCGAACATGGATGGGTTCTCGCGGGTGGGATCGAGGTTGGAGGTAGGCGCGATGCCGATGGAGCCGGCGAGCGCGGCGGCCAGGTCGCTGAGGATGTCGGCGTGCTGAAGTATTGCAAATCAGTACTCTAAAACCTCCTTACGAGCCCTCAGTGATGGAAAGACTTACGAGGTTCGTTGCGACGACGGTGTCGATGGTCTCAGGCTTCATGACCATGCGCGCCGTCATGGCATCGACGAGCATCTTGTCGACGGTGACATCGGGGAAGTCCTTGGCTACGTCCTTGGCGACCTCGTCCCAGAGCACCATGCCGTGGCGCTGGGCGTTGCTCTTGGTGACCACGGTCAGCAGCTTGCGCGGGCGGCTCTGGGCCGTCTGGAAGGCGAAGCGGATCAGGCGCTCGACGCCGTGGCGGGTGAAGATGGACGTCTCGGTGGCAATCTCCCACGGCTTGCCGCGGTGCGAGCGTCCGCCCTGGCCTGCGTACTCGCCCTCGCTGTTCTCGCGGATGATGACCCAGTCCAGATCGCCCACCTCGCACCGCCGCAGCGGCGATTGCGTGCCCCGGAACACCTTGGTCGGCCGCACGTTGGCGTATTGCTGGAAGGGTTGGCAGATGGCGAGGCGCAGGCCCCAGAGAGAGATGTGGTCAGGGACGTCTGGAATTTGTAGTGTTAGCGGCGAGCCTTTATTTCCATAGCTAAAAGATATCTTCTAGAGAAATGGCAACGGGGATAGAGGCAAGTGTATCCATCCAAAACAGTGAAAGGAAGAGAAAAAAAAAGGAATATAGAGTGATAAATGTAGATGGAAACCATGATATAGCACTCGGTAAGATGGGTACAAAATGACCCGGCTCGGCAGAATTCAAGGATCTACGTACCTGGTGCACCGACGGCGCCGAACAGGATGGCGTCATGCTTTTTCAACTCGTCGAGGCCGCCGTCAGGAATGTACTTTCCGGTCTTCTTGTACGTCTCGGAGCTCCAGTCGAAGTGGGTGAAGTCGAGCTTGAAGGTGCCCAGCGTGTTAGCCAAGGCGTTGAGAACCTCGATGCCGGCATCGACGACCTCCGGGCCGATGCCGTCGGCGGGGATCGAGGCGATCTTGTAGCTAGGCTGCGACGGCAATGCGGTGGGCGACATGGCTGAATGTGGAACTGACTGGAGTAATGGGGAAACCGATGATGGAATTGAGTCGTTATATAGCATCCAAGACGGTATATTGATTAAGCGGTGGTGGATTGACAGGCCACTACATGTCCGGGCCATCTTTTAGCCGTACAGCCGGCGTCGGCATCACGCAAACACTTTTCCCCACATTCTACCCACCGAGGTCGTCCGATGTGCTCTTGTCGGTCTTTGGTCAGGAAGAAAATCGGAGCGGCTCGGGTGGCTCCATCGAAGCTCTTCTTGCTCCAAGGCGTCCTGGAACGGGTACGCCTTCCGCGGGTGCACTACCCGGAGGTCGCTTCAACTCCATCCCGAGCACTTTTCAACCATGAAACAGTCAAAAGGACATGTGAAAGAGGACTAATTTTCCCAACCACTTTGTCGTTTTCTCATACTTACAATTTCTATGTCCCGCCAGTACGGGTAACTTGCCTCAATCCGCGGCCGCAGCGACGGCTTGTTGTTGGACCGCCTTCTTCACATTTTGAATGCCATAACTAGGCCAGCCCTGAGGTGGTCAAGTGTAGGTACGGACGGTTAAGAGGATAGACACGGAGGTGCTGATGAGCGCAAGACTGGGTCCCGTTGGCAAGGCGGTGAGTGCATTTTGCCTCGGTTTTGTGGAGCTGTCTTGGAAAAAGGCATCAATAGAGAGCTCACGATTATTCGTTTTTATTACCTGGTTAGTGTCGTTCGGAGAATGGTACTGAGCTTCTTCGGTCGTGTTGAGGCCTAATGAGCGATACAAGGCGAGAAACATTCGTCCTCGAGAGAACCCTTTTTTGAAGAAGAATCAGCAATAAGCACCTCTGCAAAAGGTCGCGGACGAGGCGCAGTTTGTAAAAGCGGCAGTTTGGTAATTATATAAGCATTTCCTGCGGAAGGGAAATGGATTGCATACTTCTTGTTGTAAAGAAAAAAAAAAGGTTCGCGACGCCAAAAGAGTGACAAATATTGTCACACAATTTCCACAAACCATCATTACTCAAGCTGCTTCAGGAGTCAAACGAGGTCAAAACTCTTTTGAACCAGCCTTACAATCGGAGAAGAGCAGATGAACAATCGTCTTGCTTCACGCGATAACTCTATCTTACAGCCAACCGAACGACATGCGCAGCGGAGTTGTCCGCCTTTTCGCAGCAACCCGACGCGGAAACCCGATGGTGGGGTTGCAGCATGCATGCCGCAGCAACCAAAAAGGTCAGACAAGAGCCATTGCTGCACAAGACAAAGTAAGCAGTGTGACTGAGCGAGTGATTTCAGAGTCACCGTTACTCAGATATTCCTTCGCACGGGGTCGTGTCCCATTGCATATACACCTCCATATCTACTTCAACACCACCACATCAGCGCTCTCCCACACTTGTCGACCACCAGGCTACCCCAGCCCAACATGTCTGACAGTCCCCCCGGCCCACTCGCTTTCGCACTCAATCTTCTTCCCACCCACCCCACCACCCTCGCAACCACTCTCATCACCCTCACCCTTCTCTACCTCATTTACCAGCACGCCTACGGCACCGACATCCCCTTCATCCGCGGCATCCCCGAAGCGCCGGGCGCCATCGCCTTCTACGGACACCTCAAAGCGCTAGGCTCGGACCACCCCAGCACGCTGCAGAGATGGTCGGTCGAGAACGCGTGGCCGGTGCTGCAAGCGCGGCTGGGACGGCGGCGGATCCTCGTGCTAAACACGTTCGAGGCGGCGCAGCACTTTATCCAGAAGAACGCGAGCGCGACGATTGACAGGCCGGTGTTCTGGACCTTTCACTCGATGGTGAGCGGGACGCAAGGTATGTGTGCTTTTTTGTTCATCTTCATTAAATTGGCGGCTGTGGCGAAGAGTACATGACAGAGATAAGAGGAAAATAAATTGATTAGAAGGACTGGAGAAACCCTGACTGACATACTTATAGGCGCAACCATCGGAACATCCCCCTGGGACGCATCCTGCAAGCGCAAGCGCACCGCCGTCGGAGCCTTCATGACGCGGCCCGCCATCCAGCGCAACGCCTCCCTCTACGACATCGAGATCCACGGCCTGGTCTCCGGCCTCCTCGCCGGCGCCCTCGACCCGTCAACAAACAAGCCGACGCGCGAGGTCGACCCGCGCATCTACTTCCTGCGCGCCACGCTCAACTTCACGACCTTACTCTGCTACGCCTCGCGCTTCGACGACGTCGCCGACCCGCTGCTGCACGACATCCTCGCCACGGCCCACACCGTCAGCACCTTCCGCAGCACCAACAACAACGTCCAAGACTACGTCCCCTTCTACCGCTACCTGCCCAACCCGCGGAGCAAGCTGGCAAAGGAGATCACTGCCAAGCGCGACGTCTGGCTCGACGCGCTGCTGGACCGCGTCCGCAAGGCTGTGGCCGCCGGAAAGCCTGTTGATTGCATTGCTGAGGGTCTGCTTAAGGGTGCTGCCGAGGTCAAGTTGACCGAGGCCGAGATCCGGTCTATCAACGTCGGTCTCGTGTCCGGCGGCTTCGAAACGCTGGCGACGACGGGCATCGCAGGGCTGGGCTTTTTGAGTACGGACGAAGGACAGGCGGTGCAGCAGAAGGCTTACGAATCCATCATGGATGCGTATGACGGCAATGTAGAGGAGGCATGGGAGAAGTGCTTGCTCGAGGAGCGGGCCGAGTACGTTGTTGCACTTGTACGGGAGATGCTGAGGTACTACTGCGCAATCCAGTTGCTGCCGCCAAGGCAGACATTTAAGGAGATGGAGTATCAGGGTGTGCGCATCCCCAAGGGTGTTACGGTGTATATGAACGCACAGGCTATTAACCATGGTAAGCATATTGGTCCGAGAAGGGGAGGCTCAATACTGACAGGTGAACAGATAAGACTGCTTACGGACCAGATGCTCATATATTCCGCCCAGAGCGTTGGTTGGACGCTGACAACAAGTTCAAAGTCCCAGCTCCATACCACTATTCATACGGCGCCGGGTCCAGAGCATGCACTGCGGTCGCTCTTTCGAACAGGATCTTATATGCGGCGTTCGTGAGACTCATCATCCACTTCAAGTTCACAGCCAGCAAGGAAGCACCTCCCACGACTGATTACATTGACTTCAACGAAAACCGAAAGGATGCATCGGTTCTGCCGAAGAGATTCAAGGTGAAGCTGGAGGAGAGGGAGCCAAGGGAAATTCTCGAGAGGAACCTGGAGCAGAGCAAGAAGGCAACGGCCCACTTGGTTCTTGCGTGAAAGCATAAGCCGGGATCTGCCTTTCAGATGATAGATAGTCCTTGTGGTGAGAAGAATCCAGGGGCTTTTTCAGAATTCTAAAGCAGTGCTTCGTTTTGGCTTTGGTAGCTAGGCAAAGCTTTTCTTTGTAGATCCAAATCAGCCCAAAGCATCTCCACAAATGCTTCCCAAGCTTGTAAATAGTTTCGACCAGGTTTCCATCTCTCAGCGAAAGATGCTAACAGAGAGGAGCATTGCAGAAGCGGCTCCATCAATGGTCCTGATGCTAAAGTACTGACAGGCTGAAGTGAGAGAAGGCTGGGTTCTCCCTGCTTGCTGAGAATTAAATATGCACCCCATACTGCGCCAGCCTGAAGAATTGATTCTGCCGTGGTCCAGATGCTAATAATGCGGTATTCTTTGTTGAGCTTTGACATGCATGCTATGAAGGCGGATGCGGCACCGGCAATGTTACTCAACAGCTCTGGAGAGCAGCTGTGGGGACCGGCCGAAGGTGAGGTGAATAGTGGATGGAGAGCAAGGTAGATCTGTGCCTGGGCCAATGACATTTCCGAGAGATGCGTGTTTGCCGAGATCCGAAAGGTTGGGGGTATCAATGACTCCATGGCAATAGAGGAAGGGTCGGGATCCACCGTAAAGTGCTGATTTATGGAGTAGACTGCGCGGAATACTTGGAGTGACGGCGAGAGAAACTCATACTCTGATGAGAAATGACCGAGGCGAGAAGGGGCAGAGTTGCAGAAGAGTGAGGGCCGGCGAAAGTGGCATGCCACGGTGCTGTGAATGGTCAGCAGACAGGAAGTGATGCATCAGAAAGAGGTTTTACCTCTCAAATGCAAACAAAGAGAAGCCTATACGCTGGAGGTCATCATCTAGCGAGTCTGTTTCCTCGCATAGGGCAGCAAAGTTGCGAGATGCAGAGCCGACGATTTCCCAGGGCGATCTTCTGGAAGCACCTGGAGAGACAAGTTCGAGCAAAGCAAGGAAGCACTGTGACACAATCATCTCTTTCCCATTGGTGGTGTCCACGTGGGGTTGCGAATTAGTTCGGTTGATGTGATCAAACAGCTTCTCAGTCCACAAGGATGCAGCTACGCTCTGGTCTCTGTCCAAATCACGGGCAACTAGCTGCGAAGATACAGCAAGCATGCCATGGATCAAGAGCCTTTCGAAATCGTTGGCAGATTGACGCAGAGGGTTTTCGTAACCAAGAAGCAACCTTAGCTGATCGGGAGACAAGAGTGGAAAGCTGGGTTGCACAGCCTTGGCGTAATACTCGATGAGGGCACGCTGGACTTGAGGATGCTGCAAAGATTGAGTATCCAGTTTTCCCGGGTTGATTTTCAAGTTCAGCGCAGGAAACGAAAGGTGCTGCCCGTCGTTGCCATCGCGAAACCTCGAGACGAACTTGGGTAAGCCGGTTGGCGAATGCTCGGCTGACAATTGGCGGCGTACTAGGGTAGTAAGGAGGTTGTTCAGAAGCTCGGCGGAGCTTCCGGGACCAAGATAGGATTCAGAGGAAACATAGCGCGGGTTGGGCAGTTCTCGGTCGCGTGATTGCAGATTATACTCGTCCGAGGTGGAGTGGAGTTTCGGCGGGTTGGGAAGTTGCGGAGTTGGAGCGGCTTGAGGCGATCTGAGAGATCGGATCTCGGCTTCAAGCTCCTCGACTTTGACGTTGAGTGCATGCAAGTAGCTGCAAGGAGGTCAATTGGTGTGACTGCGTGCAACTCCGGGGCGATCCCTACCTGCGGGGAACCTCATGGCCGAGGGAATCATCGAAGAAAAGGCATTCGGTGTCGGCGAGCCGGCACGAGCTGCACGAGGGCAGTTGCAAGTCGCACTAACAACGGTTCGAGTAAGCATTGATAGGCTCCGCGCGGGGAACTTGGGAGCGATGCACCTTGATGCGTCTCTTGCGACACCGCTTGCATGTCTGGAGCGCCATGCGGAGAGCAGCGAAGACGGGGGCGGCGATGGAGACGAATGCCGACGCCGAGAGGGAGATTGCGACGATAAGGAAAGTCGTTGCCTCTCGCCCACCCTCCTTCCGCTTCAACCTCACAACAATGGGAAATGCCTCCAGTCCGCACGTCCAACACCAATCACCGGATAACCAAGGCCTGCTACCGCTGCCGGCACCGCAAGACCAAATGTGACCTGCGCTTCCCCACCTGCGGCACCTGCCAGCGCGCCAACGTGCCCTGTGTCGGCTACGACGCCGTCGAGGGCCGCGAGCGCCCGCGCAGTGACGTCGCCTATCTCGAGGACAAAGTCGCCCAGCTGGAGATTGAGCTGCAACGTCTTCGCTCCGAGCAGTCCGTTGACTCTTCCAAGCTTATCGATACCGCCATTTCCACCCTGACCCGGTCGCTGGCCAAGACTATCGGCGATCCTCAGCACCAAGCTCACCGAAATCTCTCGCACTCCTCGCGAACTTCTTCTCTGGCTCGCCATCCCCTTATATCGCTCCATTCGCCCGTCTTCCTTTCGCAGTCTCCGGTACCCCCTTTGCAACTGGAAGATGATCCGGACCAGCCGCAGCCAGAGAACACGCGATGCAGCACCATTTCTCTCATCCCCCGCCATGTCATTGACATCATGCTGAAGAACTATACCGAGATCTACCTTCCGCAAGCTCCTTACATCGAGGAGTCTCAGCTACATGCTTCGTGCGAAAGAGTGTTCGCTCAGGATGGCGGAGCTGCTTCTCATTTTGACATCTTCCTCGTTGCCATTTGCCTGGCCGTCAGCGTGAGACCATCCTCTCTTGACTGATCTAGCACAATCGTTGACTTCTTCCAGGCCACAACGCTGATCAGGCATGATGAAGAGAGAGCCACGGCTGCTGCTGAGGAGTTTTGGAATACAGCCAAGAGCCAGCTAGTCTATCTCAATGATGAGCAACCTTGGCAGCGCCTCCGCGCTCTCCTGATGCTGACCCATTACGGCTTTGTGAACCCACGCGCTGTCAACTTAGTAAACACGATCGGTGCCGCCCTTCGCTTAGCTGTCCAACTAGGTCTCTACCAGGAGCTACCCGTCCGGGAACAGGCAAAGCTTGACTGGACAACTATCGACATCCGCCGCAAACTATTCTGGGCAACGTATAGCGTCGATGCGTGAGTAAGTCGGCTCTTTTCACAGCCGCATGTAATGCTGACGTGATATCAGTGCCTGCCATTTTGTCCTTCACCGAGCTTTCATCTTCCCGCGCAGCGCTATCACAGCAAAAGTAGGTGGTCCGTGCAAGCATTTGATTCTGTAGCTCACAGAAACTCAGTACCCAGAGTCAATATTCAGCCCTCAAGATCCATCTGGAGCAGAACAATTGCCTGTTACGCACATCTGGCCCCTACGTCAATATGAGGCTGAGGTATCGGCCATGTTATCCTGGAATCGCTCTTCTTCAATTTCTCCATGCCCACTTCCTCTTGAAGTTTGGCGGAAGCGAGCCGTTCAGCGCATTGAAGAGTGGTATGCCGCCACTCACACCAGCGGCAATGGCCGCCCTGGCGAAAAAATCGAATTCCGTGAGCTGATGTATCAGCACAATATTTTTCGTCTCAACTGTCCTTCCATCAGGTTTCCCGAGCCTACTTTAGAGATGCGAAAGAACTGCCTAAATGCAGTCATTGCCATAACCAGCATCTACTCACACAATACTCGGCTGGGGAAGTTGTTCTACATCTGGCATGCACTTTATCAACTCTTTGAGGCGGGCGTATGCCTCCTGGAAACTATCATCTCTGCAACCCGACAGGCAGCCAACGGAGAACCATGTTGCCTACATGGCTTTGATGCAGCGGTCCTCACGCGTGCTATACGGTCAGTTCCTTATCTCCTGCGTAAGATAGCCCAACGGTGGCCCAAGGTGTCGACGCATGTGAAATTCCTGGAAAAACACTCCCCGGTCGCTCTAGAATGTCTCTCGCATTGGACCAGTGGGAATCTCCAAGCCCTTGGGCAGATGGACCTCAGCGCTGAGGCCGTTCTTCGTCATACTATGGTGCCTACAGAGGAGATTCCGCAGCAACAGCCAGACGTGCCACCGGTGGACTCTATTACACAACTCCTTTCCGCTGCTACCACTCCGGCCCCTCAGCGCGTGACACTTGATTTATTTCAGGATGATCAGCTACCGCCGATATTGGATGGCATCAGCATGGCCGAGATGCCGAATATTCAAACCCCCAATGACACCTCGTGGAACTTGGAGCTGTTCTGGAATCAGTCACCCAACGGGCTCGCTCCAAGCCTGAAGAGTGACGAACTCAGTTGGGACTTCCCGGGTGTAGATCTGGACCAGATATTTGCTGCCTTCAAGGATGGCCAGAGCTTGTAGCTGATGCTTAGATCCTGTATTAGGGTCAACTGTAATTTCCATTTCTCGAGTCATTGCTCCCTAATGCTCTCTGCGCTGCTAGGATGCATACCAATATCTCTACGCTAGATTGCAGTTCTTCGACATGGATACCCGATCATATCATCCCGACAGCCTGACTATCTTTCTTCCAGACTTTTGCGTCCTTCATGACAAAACTCACTTTCCTCAGCACACTCACGTCCTCTCGCGGATCTCCGTCTAGAGCAATGACGTCCGCCCTACACCCAGGCTCGAACCAACCAAATCTCATGCCGCACCAGTCACCTCCGCACGCTTCCCAACCGCCAACCATGCAGGACTCGAGAGCATCTTCAAGTGGTATGCCAGCCTCAATCATCAGTTCAACCTCCCTGATATTCTCGCCATGCGGAAAAGTCCCGGTATCGCCACCGGCAGCAAACCTAACACCCATTCTGTAAGCCAGCCCTGCGTTCGCCAATATCTGTGCGAACCTCGGCTTGTGCAGCCTCTCACACACAGCCAGCGTGGGCACAAACACAACCTTTGCCTTCGCCATTTCCTCAAAGAGCTCCTCGCTCGCGAAATAGCTATGCTCGATTGTCGTCGCCCCAGCCCTCACAGCCGCCAGTCCACCTTCAACCGTCCCGCTATGCACCGCGACAGGACACTTGGCCAGTCGCGCCTCCCTAACGATCGCGTCCATCTCCTCTTGCTCGAATACCATGACGTCCGGGTTCGGCTGTGCAGGCGGATGCAGCACGCTGTGCACATACGGATGCTGCTGCGCCGGCGGCCACCGCATGATACGCCGCCGATAATCAGCGTAGAACTTGACGATATCAGCGCCCGCCGCTATCCGACGCCGCACCGCCTTTCTACACTCCAGCACGCCGTCAACGGCTTCTCCTCCAGCCGGAAGTACGCACCCTCCTCCTTCCCCTCCCGATCCACCACCACCACCACCACAGCACCCAGGCCCATTCTCCGTCCGCAGCTCGTACGCCCCCGTCGAGGCGAGCGCGCGCGTGGCGACGAACAGCCGCGGGCCCGGAATCAGGCCTCTCGCCACGGCGTCGCGCACGTTGGCGTCGGCGTCGCCCATGCTCTCGGAGCCGAGGTCGCGGTACGTCGTGTAGCCGGCCAGCAGGCCCGCGCGGCAGTGGTTGGCGGCGCGCAGCACGCGCTCGGCCGCCGACTCGTCGCGCTTCTGGTTCAGCGCCGGCCGCTCGTCATACGAGTGCAGGAAGATGTGCGTGTGCGCGTCGACGAAGCCTGGCAGCACCGTCTTGCCGCGGAGGTCGAGGTCGAGGGGGTCTTCTGGGATCGCGGACGAGGGGCGGTGCGTCACGGCTGTTATGAGGCCGGTGGTTGGGGAGACGGTGAGGGAGATGTTTGGGAGGAAGGTTTTGAGTTTGGGGTCGAAAAGGAGGGTGGTGTGGATGGTGATGGAGTCGGCGGCGGGGGTGGAGGTCATGATGGGCTAATGATTGTGTTTTCTCTTCAAAATGTAGTTTTTCGGTCTCTCGAGGCTCGATTGAATGGTAAAAACGAGGACAACAATAGAAGAATGGTGTGGGAGTACTTGGAAATCCGCGCTTGGATTTCTTCGGTGCTCTCTGCTGCGCGTCAGTTAGTTCACTCTTCACCAACGCTTGTGTGATATCGTATGCGTATACCCCACCTCTCGGTATCGCCTGCAGATATGCCGTTCGTCTGACAGATCCTCGTTTGCTGTGCGAGAATGACGCTGTTCTCCGCAGACCGGAGTTGTCCTATCGCTTGGAGCGCAGGAGCGGCGATCCCCGCCTCGAGCTTCTTCGTGAACTCGAGGCTGCGAAAACAAGGGCTACCGTGTTAGAACCCATGGATTATCCCTCTGATGGTCTGGTGGGAAGAAGACTATTTACACAAACCGACACACGCGCTAGCAAGCCCCATCTGTATGGGCAATATTCCACATTCGTCCATTGACCGAAAGCTTTCGACTTTAAACATACCGCAGTTTTCATTGGTTCTATTTTAGTTTTAAGAATGTACTATATTGCCATTTATCGCCTAGTACGATACTATACCGAGAAACGGATCAAATGTCAGCTCATTCCAGATGAAGTATCGGAGACTGTCAACACCTGTTGGAAAGAGGTGTTGTACTCTTTATTCGCCGCCGCAGTATTACACGGGGAACCTACAACAATCTATGTCGTTCCGGCTATGTTAGATCGGAGTACACCCTGTAACTGTATTCCACTGTGTTGAAGGACGAAGATCCGCGCCCGATTATTTCCCAGAACAGAAGGCCGAATTAAGCTCAATACAGTCCGAGTGTACATAATCTCTTATAGTTGCAATACCGCCTAAAGAGTCCATCGGTTATAGTTTCAACACACTGTCCTAGCTGCTTAATAACCTGAGCAATGAAATGACATACGAACAATGATCCCGGTCTACTAGCTAGGAAAACGGTTTATTTACAGTTCCTCGTGTCAGACCGAGCGCTGAACTTTGGAAAACGTTCCGGGGAAGTTGCTAATTTTATGATGTGAGAACTCACAATCAAATGTAGTATAGCCAAAGAACCATGTAGCGAGACTCTTTCCTTTAGCTGGCCCAGAATGGCGAAGTTCATCCCCTTTCAGATCATTGGACTTCCTGATCCCAGGCAGCAGGGGTCCCAGTGGTCTTCATGCAGTAAGATCGGAAGAAGCTTAACCTGGACATCAGTAAAGATCAACGAACCGCTCATCCTTCCTCCCAGGATCACATACGAACATGCTCGTTCGATACCAAGTGCAAAAGCTTCAAGTTTCTTAGCCCACGTGCAATCCGTCAACCGGGAAGAGATGTTCCGAGTACCACCAAATAAGCTATGGTGGTGGCGCAAGCCACTCGCTCATGCCACCGAAAAAGGAAAGGCGCAAACTTCATCGTTCCTCGTACCTGCGTATCTAGAGTCCTCGGACCCAGAATTACCCGAATTCCTCGCTACACCCTCTCACCTCCATCCCTTGGTTAGAGTTTTGATGATAATTAGCCAAAATATTCGCAAGATTATTGGCTAAACATAGCCGTGGGTCAGGAATATATTGGCAGACATGGAAGAGACACATGTTGGAAGGAACTAGATCTTTTACAGAAAAGTGTTATAACTACTGCTTCTCCATTCCTAGCATACCCCTTTAAAGAGGTCGAGTAGCGTCATAACCAACAACTCGACAGGAGGTTGGTTGACGTAACTTCAAACGCTCGGTCTAGACCCTTCCGACGGACACGTGGAACGGGCAGCGGCTCGGTTCCTACGCATTATGCACTAAATACGGTTCCGCCCGTCTGCTACTCGTCCGGTCCTGTCGATCAGCAGTACAGACCTGGGTGTTCGTAAAAGCCACTTCAGAAAAGATGATGATGACGTATCAATATCTAAAGATATGTTACTACAATCCATACTTTTCCAAGTAGATGGGGTATCTAGGAAGCAATATGAAATAGCAGAAGGCTGAGGAAGCCGCCGCAGACCAATGTGTGCCCCATCACCGAACTTTAGTGCCAATACCATGTCAAACGCCTCATGTCCCATATACAGTATCCTTTGTACACGTATCTGTCCCTCGTACATGGTGAAGAGAAAGATAGAAAAAAAAAAGCGGCCGTTCAATCCTAATCATGTCAAGCGCCAAAAATTACTTCCTCCACGACTCCCCTGCCGTCAGTAACGACTCCGACTTGTGCTGCAATATGCTTTTCTGGCTGTCCGCATCGTCGAGCACTGTCTGGATTTCGGCCGTGTCCTTGCCACTGCCGCTGCCGCTACTCGTCGTCGTGGTCGTCGTCTCCTCATCGATCGGATGGTAGCGATTCGTGCGGATAGCGTCGTCGCTGTGCCGCACGTCGACGGCGCCTCTGGCGTCGCTCGGCCTCCTCCGCCCGCTCTCCTCGTCGTGGACCCTAGTCCGATCGTCTCCATCATCATCCACTGACCTCTCCATTTCCGAGTATCCCAGCTCCAGCTCGTGCATCCTCAATCCATCCACCCCCTTCGCCCTCGCCCTCCTCCCCTTCGCGGCAACAGTGCTCGAATGCAGCCGACTCTTCCACGTAACAAACATGTTCGCCTGCCCTTCGCCGCTGTTTTCGCCGCTCCGATACGGGCGATCCAGGCCGACGCCGCCGACGCCGCCGCCGCGCGACGACGTCAGGCCCGGGACGAGGCGTAGTAGCGGGCGGAAGGTGGCGATGCAGGCGGCGCACATGCCGAGGCACTCTTCGATCCAGGACAGCAGGCCGATGGGGACGATGGCGAGGAGCGGGTCGCTCGAGTCGGCGAAGCCGACGAGGTACTTGAGGCGGACGATGGTCGCGATGGATGCGCTGTAGATCACAAGGGATTGTCAGTGCTTGTTGTGGGGGCAGGTGATAAAAAAGTGGGGGACGTGGGGGGAAGATCTGGAATTGTGGGGAAAAAGGGAAAGGGAGAGAGAGAGAAGTCTTACAATATGCCCATGCCGAGGATAATGATTGCGGAGATCTTGACGATGGTCTTCATGTTTTGCAGGCGCCAGATCAGTGGCACCATGGCGAGCGAGTAGTACCAGTCGAGCACGATGTTGACGCCCGAGTAGACGTAGACGCTGATGAGAATGGGGTTGCGATCGGTGCAGTCGGCATTCGTGATGATGACGGGCTGGTACTCGCCGGTGATCTGGTTCGGGTAGCATTGCAAGAGCAGCATGAAGAACTCATTCAGGCCAACGGCAATGTTGACAGCGATAGAACCGTAGTGCATGCGCCGTAGTGTCATGGTGGAGAGGCCCATGACGCGTAGCTGCAGGAGCCCGATGCTCAACTTGGCGAACATCAGGGCGAGCGTGTAGGTGCATTGCGTGAGGACCAACCACTGCGAGGATTAGATGACGGCTAGAGTCACGAGTAGAAAGTATGTACCTTCAAGCCCATGTTGTAGACGTCTTTAGACAGGTCTGACGTCTTTCGGCCAAAGCCGCCATAGTCCATCGCAAACAGACCGAAACATGTTTGTAAAATAAAGATTATCTGATGCTACGGTCAACAAAAGCAGCTCTTCAAACGCTGGCAGAAGAGAGGCGTACGAATGCAGTGACGAGCAGGTAGTCGTCGACACTGAACTGTATTTGTAATCGAGCGCGGATCCAGCAGCGTGTCGCGATGAAAGCACCGGTGATGCTGATGGAGGCGATGATGACGGAGCGAAGGGCCTTTTGTGTACTGTTCAACGTGTAGGGGTCATCGGAGGAAGACATGATACAGCTTGCAGAACATGACCGTGTCGAAGGTTGGGCAGTCGACGGCCAAAAAGCCTGCAAGTGGAAAGAGCCGCGACAGCGGTACGAAGGGGATCAAGTAGGTGTTATATTATGGATTAGCCGATGGACCTTCTAGTATCTCGCGTGCATGAAACGATCGACACGATCTCGGGGTAAGGCAGCCAGGGCGCGTTGCAGAGGGCTTGGTGGGCCTGGGCGTCTGCAGCGCGCGCACAGTGTGTTGATGAAAAGAAGCAAACAACAACAACAGCTGCTGAAGAACAGGGGCGCAGCAAAAGCACGACGGCGCCTGCTTATACCGGCACACCTGAAGCTTCGTCGCCCAACGGTTCCGCAGTAACTTTGATCATCGGCCACGCTCGCCTCCGCAAGGGATGGGACACGAGCACAGCTTCTCGATCTTAGCGCCGCGGAGCAGCAAGCTTACGAGGAAAAGCTGTCCGTGTTGATTTCCGCTTGCGTGCGGGAAGAGCGGGTGCACCAGGCTATCAAGGTTGGTGACAGCCGCATCAGACCCACCGGAGGTCCCTCCGGCTGCATAGTGACAGAGGCTAGCACGTCTTACTAGCCCACGGCAGCCGCCTGTGCCGGGGGCCAAATAAGAGGTGTGTGGCTGTTACGTTAACTGCTCGGTACCGAGGTCGACGCAACCTACTTCAAGAGTGTATCCTTCTTTGCAACTCGTCCAGCCAATAGCCGGTCCAGATCGGCAACGGGGTTCGAGTACCCAACTGATCAGCGCAATAAGGTTCGGGTGGAAGCGTGCAAAAGTGCCTCGCGAGGATCGGGCGCAATGTGACAAGTCGTTTGGGCATCATCAACAAGTTCCCGCTCAAAGTACTTTGTACCATCGCAAGGTTGTCTCGAACGTTGCATCCATCGAGCCATGACTCAAGATGTGCTTTGTTGCGTCGCCGCGAAGCCTCATTTAACTCCCCGCCGTTCCAGTCCGTCACCGGTCGTCGTAATAGCGCGAGCTTTGCTTAGTCGGATCTGGTCTGGATTGCCCCTAGTTCAGTGCCGGTCGTTAATTTTTTTTTTTTTTCTCCGCTCTTTAACTTACATCAAACCTGTGATCCGCACAGCCTTTAACCGTAGGCACCATTCTCGGAGCGCACTTATAAAGCATCCAGTCGCATTCGATGCACAAGTTAGTGATAGGATTCAGTTGAGAATCATCAATCCCCAAACCGATAAGGGGATCTCATGGTTCGGGTGTGGGCCCCCCACTCTCCCAGCGCCGCGGCGAATAGGCCAGGAAGTTACTCCGATCTCCCTATTCCGTGAGCTATTCCCACCTAGGCGAGAGGGGCGGCAATGTAGTGTAGATCCTGAATCATTGAGCGCACTCACAGGACCAACCTGCGACCTGATCAGCCCGAAGAAGCGGCTGAATCTGCGTCGGGATCACCGCGTCTGCGTTCCGATCGAGACCCTGACGATGCGCTTCGGGAATCGAGTGGTGGCCGCAGCTGCGGCCTTGTGGGGTGCGGCTGAACGATCGACTTTCGAGGAGACACCCTGCCAAGAATTGGATATCGTCGTAAATGGTGTTTATGAGCGAGATTGCAAGCTGTGACTGGACGGCAGCTGGAGCGAGCTCCGGCTACACATGGAGTTGCCGCCGTAGCCGACAGCCTGGTCGAGGAAGAAGCCACGAAAAAGAAAGGCGGCTCCCAATGTTATACAAACTCGGTATTCCGGAATACAGATGGAAATCTAAGTTGAGCTGACATACGAGTTGGGTGGGGACGATAGGAAGGGGCAAGCGGAAGGATCGACAAGACCCCACACTTGCTCCCCTTGAGATGTGCGAAGCGGGTCACTCCCACTGGAATCCTGGGAGCTGATTGAAGAAATCACTGATACCCCCGTCACCCCTATGGTTCATGTCAGCTGAAGTAGCTATTGGGCAGCAATCGTAGAAGAGGGGACGAACGGTATTGCCTCGTATCCAAACTGTGTTGAGTCAAGGGGCCACAGCAGCGAATTCAAATCGTTCAGTTGAGTCTGCGGACTTTCTTCTGTTGCGACAACCTCGTTGCCCAACAGAAATGGCCCACACAATCGCGCGATGGTACGCAGGCACCGCGCCGCTGTCGGATTGATCTGCACCATATCTTCCAGCGTCCGCACAGCTTGATGCACCAGCCGCCGCCATTCGTCCGCTCGTTCGGACTGCGGCTCATTCCGCAGAGACACGATGGGGATGATGACAGCCTGGAAAATAAAATATATCCCGTACCAACATGCCATAGGAGTATTGTGGTTGGCAGCGTTATTGAAATTCCCCTCTCCAAACCACAGCGCCGATGTTGTATTGATCGTCTCGGCAGCTGCTTGGAGACATCGCTGGATAGCCAGGCCGATGGGGGAGGCAGGGTCGCTTCGATGAGACTGTTCATCATCGAATCTTGCGGCGCGAGCTTTGTTTTGAAGGATTGCCGATCTGATGACGAACGGTCGATACATGATTATCCTAAAGTTTCGGCACCGCAGATGCAAGATGGCATGACAAAGGGCAAACTTGGGTGCTTGAGCTGCCTCCTCTTTGAAATATGGCGGGAGCTCTGCCATCCAACCTCCAATGCGAGAGTCATCAAGTCGGAGAAGCACATCTGGTGGGGGATACGTTCCGCTAATGAGAGCGGCGAAAATATCCTGGATAGCCAAATTGAAAAGAGCTTGACAGCGGAAATTGGTGTACACTGTCGTCTCAGCAGCTTCATCCGGAAACTGAGTGGAAGCTCTTGTGAGGTCCTGCACCATTGATGAGTTAATTACGTAGGACAAAATTCAGAATTCAAGTGCATACCGTATCTCGGAAATTCCTGGGGAGGCCAACATCCACACCTGCTGGCAGGTCGATTGGCCGTGAGAATGTTATGGATGCGCCAGTATCAAAAATAGCTAGGCCCCACCACACTCGACGGCGCATTTCAATCTGCCAAGGACTGACAGTCCAATCTGCATACTCCCTGTGGAGCCCAATGCCGACCGCTACGCGCTTGGCCAGGCCCAGGTAATTGTAGCCGGAATTCGGTTTGTTGGCCTTTTGTACATAGTTCGCAACAAGGGCGAGTACTTGCACGAGCATCATGCTTCCTGTCTCCAGAATATCGAAAGACAGTCTGCTTTTCGCCGCCTCAAACAGCGCGGCATCTGTGCCGGATGGATACTTCCCGGAAGTGCACGCACCAAGAGCCGAGACGACATGAAGAAGAACATACCACAGGTTGCCTGGTGGCCGTGGAATGACTTCCATGTATTCGGCTCGGAAGGTAGCCTCATGTATGATAGGATAAGAAGGGTGATAAATGCTGAAGTAGTCGTCGATGAAAGAATCGAGTTGAGAGGGCGGAGGAATTTGCTGGACAGGTGGTGCTGGAGCAACATTGGCTGGTCCTCTGTCTTCGGTATGTTCGCTCTCAAGCGGTTGTCCTACTTCGGTGAGATGTAAGAAAGACGCGCCCGATGCGACACCTTGTCATACAGCAATCAGTATAGATCAAGCAAATTTCGAATGGTCTGACATACCAAGATACCCTTCATTTCCACCGTCGATCAAGTTTCCCATGCCATCTGCTGGTGTCTGGTTTCTCGCCGCATCTCTTTCATCCCATTCGAGGTTGCCAGAGACTGAGGCGGGTGTTGGCTCAAGGGGGAAAGTAATTGCTTTCAGATTGGCAGGCTTTTGCGCATCTCTATTGAGCGAATTGAGACTGGAAGCACCCTCCAAGGAAGGGGCGCCATGAGTGTTGGCGTCATAATCCGGAGCGACTGCAACAGGATTAGGCGACGATACTGCAGAGGCTACTTGTGGGGTAAATCTGGGATCGACCAGAGGCGGGAGAGGTGAATCCGATAGCTCGGTATGCCCATGGCGCCCGACGGTATCTCCGTTACTAGGCCCTAAGTTGAAATTGGGTGCAGAGGCATATTGTTGTACGAGTGTGCGTGCCTCTGCCAGTTGACGCTCAACTTCAGTGAGGTATCTGGGACGTGTGAGAACTGAATTGGCGCCGAGCCGCACGAAGACTCACTTTCTTGTCAGCGGAGTCCGGTTCCGCTTTTCATAGACACATCTCTCTCGGGACTTTCGGCAAGGTAAGCACTGCGGCAGCTCTCTATTGCACTTTTTGCTGTTAGCCATGTCACGTGGTGCTGGGACTCTGAGCAAACCTTGATCTTCTTCCCATGGCACCGGCTGCAGGATCGCTTGGCAAACTCAGGCTGTTGCATCAAGACTTCATCAATGTCCTGCGGCTATCGGTGCTGATGACGATGACGGGTATGAAGGGTGCACGCGGTAGTCGCAAGAACCTGGCCAGCGCACACTGGAAAGGCGGGGAAATTCATTACGTAAGCTGCAGTTACCCTTCATACCCATCCCGCACTTGCTATTTATCGAGAAAGTGCGCAGAAGTCGCAAAGAAAAGCAAGAGTGTTCTGTTCTCGTACCGAACACCCATTGCCATGCGCATCCCACAATTTCGATGAGGCTGCATGCAAGGAGTCGCATTTTCTCGCCGAGAAATGGTATAGAAGTTCCTCCTAACTACTTACTGCTATTAAAGCATCTGGCAGAAAGTCTACGACTTCTTCAATCCACTTTTTCAACCCAGAATGGATATACTCACTCTTAAGCTATTTACCTTGTTAAAGAATTTCGCGCCTGCTATAAACACTCAGCGTCAGAGATACATTCATCTACAGTGGGGTACCAGAAACGCTAGTTGAAATGTTTCCAAGGTGGCTTCTTGGTCGAGATTTCTTTGACCCTCCCAACATGTTCCTGAAACCAGACTACTTGAAGTCGTGTGGGAAGAAGAAGAAGAAGAAAGAAAAGGAAATGACCGAAGATTCAAACATTTACGATCCATCGTTTCAAGCAGAAGCCGCTTCCGTAGAGGAAGAGATAACGTAAGAAGGTTCGATCAACTGGTCTACTAGCTAATAGTCAAGGGGGCGCGATAAACCCCCGCCTAGGTAACTGAAGCAGACATCATGTGCTTCGATGTGATTCATTCCCACTGATGTAATTCCTGCAGTCCGGAATTTTGACCTGACCTGGATCATCGTGGCTGGTCCAATCACCTGCCGTGTTGCAAATTTGGATGTGCGAAGTTCCATGGAACTTGTAATTGTTTCTCAGTCATCGGACTTTGATCTACAAAACTTTTCTTCGTAGTGACACGCCCATCACTTCCGAAGGCTTTTGGGGCTTGTCTCAACCATGAGTCCAGAAGGAGTGGCGTTTTAAGGCCTATCGTCGGGTGGTCGATAGGCGTAAGGCCAACCGGTCCCCCTGCATTGGCTGCGTGGCGTCGCTCCTGCCCTGCTTGTCCCCGGATTGTCATCCGAGAAGCCACACACATTCGATCGCCCCCTGAGCGTTGCGCATGAACAGCCTGCAGTGACATGCAGAACTTGGCAACGACGTTGTGAAGCAGTTGACGAGCGAGCCCGAAACCCAACATCCCTCAGTTTACTACTCGCCTTTCCCAAATACACGCGATGACTATGCAATGCCAACGTGCATAATAAGTTCGAGGGTAGCAGAGGCTTAAAATTAGACTTATTTAAGCTTAGACAGGACTTGACGTCTTCACACTCGCACAGTCTATCGTAATTAATCCAGCTCGTCACCCTCCGATTACATGTGCGCGCACATCAGCTGTCGATGGTTGGATCATACTACCCTACGGTGCTACAGAGACTGGGGGGCTGACTTGTAGGTCTGTAGATCAAAAGAGGGAGAGGTAAAGCGCAGCCGAGCCGGCCACTCGAAGGAAAGCGAGCGTTGCAGAACATCAAGTTCAAATGCGGCAGTCGATCTAGATGGTGCGCTTCTGGAGCGTGGCGCGACTCGTCACCACTGTTACAAAAGTGAAACGTTAGGTCATTGGTTGTTTTAGCTTGCCCACTAACAAATGTGAGACGAATAAGGACGAAGACGGTCCGGATCGGCATTGGAACCAGAAACGGCCTGCCTCTGTTGAATTTGTTGCAGCTTTCGGCATTCCCTGCGACATTTTAACCCCTTGGTTGCTGTGTCTCTTATGAATAAAACTGTTCCCACCCACTTCTGTGTGATGATCCGATTTCTGTCATTGTAGTCTTTATGAAATGAAATAGCTTCTAGCGTCACTTGGACCACTCACATGTCTCGCTGGCCAGGTCCAACAGTATGGATAACCTCTCGACACCCCATACTCGCTTCGATGCACTGACACACAAGGATGAAGGTCGCTACAAACTCAAGAACTGGGGAGATTCTTGCCGGCAACATCATCCCCCAAGTAATTGCTTCAACCTTCGTAGTCGCAAGGATAATATCTAAAGCTGTCATACGACGAAAATGGAGTGCGGATGATACCATGCTCTGCATAGCATGGGTGAGTCTCTCTCTACCAAACACATCCACATCGATTCCTTGCTCCACACTAACAAGGCTACATCACATCATAGACCTTCTCCATCGCACTCACCGTCCTCTCCTGTGTCCTTACCGATTACGGTGCTGGAATACATGCCGACGAGCTACCTTATTGGGCGCTCAAGACCAACCGCAAGCTGCAATATGCCTCTCTACTCCTCTACAACCTCACCCTCTCCCTCACCAAAATAACCATCTGCCTCTTCTACCTCGACATCTTTGCGGACCCGCTCAACCGGCGCCTTGCCCTCGCAGCCCTGACCTTCATCGTCCTATACACCATCCCGCTCGAAACCATGTCCATCTTCCAGTGCACGCCCATTGCCGGGTACTGGGATAAGGAGGTGGCGGCCACGGCAACTTGCGTGCCCATGCAGCCGCACTTCTATGTATCGGCCGTTTGCAACATGCTGGCCGATGCGTGGCTGGCAGTCCAGGTGGTGCCGAACATCCTCCCCCTGCAGATTCCGAGGCGGCAGAAAATCGTGTTGCTTTTCGTCGTATCTCTGGGCTGGCTGTAAGCTTTATTCCCTGTTCGCTTTTGTTTTCTTTTTTTTTTAAAAAAAAAGAAAAAAGGTGACCCACTATACATAGGCATTCACTGACGACAAGCTCGTTCATACAGAGTCATCGTCGCCAGCATCATCCGCCTCGTGCGCATCTCCGCCATCCCCGATGGCACCGACTTTACCTGGGCCAGCTACGACATCACCATCTGGTCCGCGGTCGAGGTCGACACCGGCCTCGTCTGCGTCGCCGCGCCCTCGACCAAGCCGCTGTTCAAGAAGATCGCGCCCGAATTTCTAAAGTCTCTAGGTTCTTCGTCGTCTTCCTCAGAAACTTTCAGCCCCGACGGTGTCGCGCCTGGTTCGTATCCGCTGCAGTCGATAGCAGGGACACAGGGGCCAGGGCGGTGGAGGCATGGCGGCTCAAAGGGGACGCTGAGGTTAAACAGCGTGACCGAGGAGAGGGAGGAAGAGGACACGGTGGCAGCGGCGATAGCGGCAAAGGAGATTGAGGTGGGAAGTGGTGATGCGCCGGGATGGGGTGTCGGAGGGCTGCTGAGGTCTTTGTCTGGGAAGAGGAACAAGAGGGGCTCGCTGGCGAGCACTGTCAGCACCGAGAGTACAGGGATGGGTGAGATTATGAAGCGCGTGGAGTTGACCGTGGAGACAACCGAGCGGGATGTGGAAATGGGTGACGGGCGGAGGAGTTTTGGTGGCTTCCGGAATGCGGGGTCGGGCTGGCGAAACAGTTGGAGACCACAATTTATGACGAAAATGTAGGCCTTTGAGTCAACAGTTGAGTTCAACGGTTATGTTTTGATGTTTTCCTAGTTCTATGAAGCCTTTCATACATACAAGGTATGCGATCATCAGTTGTTTTGCACCACGCCGCCGCTTCGCCCACGGCTCCAGACCTCTTTGATTTCCTGCTGAAAGACTTGAACAATTGCGAATCCCTGCTGTCCGATTTTGTCAAAAGCATCCGTGATTTGTTCCTGTTCCGCTGGCTCAATAGCTCGAGCAGCGGCAACCCGAAGAGGGTAGAGGAACAATAGGCCGCAGAGCTTTGTCTCGTTGATGGCAATATTAGTTCCCTTGATGATCGATGCGACATGGACCCCAATACGATCTCGAGATATCGTTGCCGTCGGTGTGGTGGAGAACAAGTTCAGGCGGTAGTCGAAAATCCCAGAGAGATAAATCGAGGTAGCGTGAAGGAAAACAAAAGCAACCAAATCGTCAGGAAACCTAGCGTCGGGTTCAGGAAGATCGTCCAGGAGCATTTCCACAATACCGCGGAGGCACATTCCTTCTTCCAAGAAAATATCAAAATTCGATGGGCAGTCAGGCGCACACCTTAGAAGGCTGAAGGATTGGTCAGTAAGTTACAGTAATGAGCTAATTCAAAGTGCTTACCGCGAACACAAATCAGAACAGCGCAGCATAACGTCCAAAATAGTTTCGTTGCGACGTGCATCGGCTTTTGACTCTTCACGAAGCACATTCAGTAGGGAGAACCACGCCGGCTCCATTAGAAACGATGAGTTATTGTAGATCAAACTCCTCGAAACTTCAAAGAAGCGCAGTGTGAGAAACAATGTCCTTCCAGAGCCTTGTCTGAACGCGTTCGGGCCGCAGGCGCACATTAAGCGGGACGTGCCGTACAAAAAATGGCGGTCCCAGTTGTTTGCATTGGTTCCCATCATCAACTGAAATATATCCACGTCAGAGATAGAAAGAGTCAAAGATGAGGCAGCTCACCTCAAAGAGTCCGAGGAAAAATGTCGCCCAGATTGTATCTTCAGACGCTCCTTTGGCATTGATAGCAGACTGCAAAGCTACGAGGGAGCTGGAGTAAGTCTTTAGAGCATTCTCTTGTGCTTTCAAAGGGCCTGTAGAATAGCGGGAGGTGGGCCTGCGGCTGGAGTCCAGAACCGCAACGGAGGTGATGGCATCCCTTAAGGTCGGCGAAGTGTGCAGCAGTTGGTAGATGTTTGGTGCAGCGCGGGTCCATAAGCCGGCTGCAAAATCATTCATCTTGAGAAAATCCTCAAAAAAGTAGGCGATGCCCCAATCACTCCTGGTAGTCGAAAGCGCTGCACAGATTTTAGGGCTGGCGGTTGGATTCTGCGGACTTCGTGATGTCTGCGCCTGAGGGCCGGAGGATACAAAGACAAGAGTTGCTTGCCTATTGGCTGCATCTCGATTGCATAACTGGCGAGTCTTTGCGCAGTATTCGCATGGTATGCCGCCAACGCACTAGTGTACGGTCAGCACAGCCGCAGAGTGGACCGCTAAGCATACCTTGATCTTTCGCCGTTGGCAAGCAGTACAGCGCCGGACCTGAGTCCGCTTGTCGAATGGACCTGCCCGGGGCATGAAGTGCGTTCAACTTTTTCCAAATGCGGGAAAAGGATGGTTGGAAGCGCGAGAGGGCTATACATACTGCACTGCCGCTGCGCTAATGCCCGGCGACTTGGCAGACTAAGCCAATTACGGTAGCATCTGAACGCACTTGCGTGGGGCATGTTGGAGTGCTGAAGGCCCGTGCAAAAGCGCCACTGCCTCTTCAGGTTAGCCCTTGTTTCTCTGGACAGTCTCTAGAAGTAGTCCTCCAGTCAATACTGGGCGATATTTGTCTATAAATACGCCTCCATGTTTGCTCTGGAGAGTATCAATCAATCCAACTTTCAGCCATGCCTTTCAAGCTCCAGCTCGTCACTTTGCTCTCTCTCCTTGCCCATGAGGCGAGGACCCTTTCCATTGGGCAATTCGGGGTCTCGATCACCACAGCATCCCTAACAGATCACTTACGCCTCGACCCCTTCGCCCCCTCATCTCAAACCCGGGAGATTATGATCTCAACTTTCAGTCCGGCTGCCGACACTTGCTCTTCCTTCAGAGAGACACCGTACATGCCGCCAAACACTGCTCGCTTCGAAGGCCTCAAGCTGTCTACCGCCTATGGCTTGCCTGCCAACTTCTTCACCAACCTGACAATGACGACGGCCTCGCCGTCCTGCAAAGTTTCGGCCAACCGCAACCAATCCACTATTCTTTTCTCACCTGCACTCGGCACATCCCGCCATTTCTACAACATCCTCGCCGCTACCCTCGCCAGTCACGGTCACGAAGTTGTCACGATTGACCACCCGTATGATGTTGACGTCGTCGAATTCCCGAACGGTACATTGGTCTACGGTCTTGACTTCAGCGATGCGCAAATTCCACTGCTTATCGAGACTCGTGCTCTGGATATACGCTTTGTACTGGATACGCTAAGGAATGGTGCCGGCTGCGGAAGAGCTAGGATGTCAGCACCAATCGCGCTGGCATATGGACATTCATTGGGCGGCGCGGCGGCACTCGTTGCTGCGGCGGAAGACAGTCGGCTGCGCGGAGGAGTAAACATGGACGGCTCGGTGATTGGAGGTCTCCCACAGAACAAGTCTGTAACGCAGCCGGTGCTGTTCTTTGGACATGAGGGGAAGAACTTGACTACAGATGAGACTTGGGCATCTGTATGGCCGAGTTTGAGCGGCTGGAGGGAGTTGATTACGTTGGAAGGATCGCAGCATTACACCTTTTCGGATTTGCCGGCCTTGGTTGCCAGCTTGGGGCTCAATGTGACGGGATCAGAAGGTATTCAAGGTATGCTGGGATCTATTGACGGCAAGGAAGCGCTAGAGACCGTGACCGGTGTTTTGGATAGCTTTTCTAAGCTGGCTGTTGGGACGATAGGAGCCGAGGACTTTACCGCTGTCGTTCAAGGGTACAGTAAGATAGATATTGTCGAGCCTTAGACTCTGCGAAAGATACTGAACTAGAATCCTATTTTCACCCCTCAGCACAGTTCTGCCCATTACAGCTGCTGTCACTTGACGACTATGATTTGTATAAGTAGTCTTCTGTCATTACCAAATCGAGGATACTTATCGAAACGTCTTCCACTATCCGCCAACCCTACGGCGGCGTAAGCGTTATCCTCCCCTTGGCGTCGTAGAATATCTCCCTCATCTTCACGCTCCTCAGATGATCCACGCCGCCCGACAACTCACAATCGTGGTAGAACAACCACCACCTGCCCTCAAACTCCACAATGGAGTGATGCGTCGTCCACCCCAGCACCGGCTCCAAAATCCTCCCCTGATACGTGAACGGGCCCAACGGGCTATCCCCCGTCGCATAGACCAGATAATGCGTATCGCCCGTGCTGTACGAGAAGTAGTACTTGCCAGCGTACTTGTGCATCCACGCCGCCTCGAAGAAGCGCCTGTCATGATCATCCGCCGCCAACAACTCCCCCTTCTCATCCAAAATCCGCAACTCCCTCGGCTCCCCCTCAAACTCCAGCATATCCTCCGTCAACTGCGCGACACGCGGGCACAGCGCCGGCACGCCCGGGCCGCTGGGCTCGTGGGGCCCGATCTGCGTCTCGTCGAAGCTGCCGTCAGGCCTGTAGCACTGCAGCTGGCCGCCCCAAATGCCACCAAAATACAGATACGCTTTACCATCTTCATCAACGAACGACGCCGGGTCGATGCTGTAGCTGCCCTTGATGGGCTCGGGCTGCGGTTTGAAGGGCCCCTCGGGCCGGTCGCCGACGGCCACGCCGATGCGGAAGATGCCCGCTTTGTCGCGCGCGGGAAAGTACAGGTAGTATTGCCCGTTCTTGGTCGCGGCGTCGGGCGCCCACAGCTGCTTCGACACCCACGGTACGTCGCCGGCGGACAGCGCGACGCCGTGGTCCGTGGCCGGGCCGCCGGGTTGGCTGAGGGAGAGGACGTGGTAGTCGGCCATGTCGTACTGGTCGCCGTTGTCGTTGAACTTGATGTCCGTCTCGCGGTCGTGCGAGGGGTAGATGTACAGTTTCCCCTCGAAGACGTGGGCGGATGGGTCCGCCGTGTAGATGTGTGTGACGAGCGGTTTGGATGCCATTTTGGGATGTCTCTATAATTTTTTTCTGAGGGATGGTTGTGAAGCGGAAACGCCGTAGTGGTTGCTCCCTTTTTGGGCTTTATGAGCGTGTTGATCAGTCTTTGTTTGTATATATAGCTTGCTGCAGATGTTCCATTGTGAACGTGGGGTTGCCGCGGGGGGACGCGCTCTTTACCCGAATTAGCCTACCACTGATTTACCCGGCGCCAGAAATGGACATCCTTCAGACGGTTCTGTGCGGGTAAACAGGCAGGAGGAAGCGAAGCCGCTCGTTTAGCCAAAGTCAGGCACATGAATTAGTAACTGGATAATTACAATTCACACCAGCAAACTTCTCCGCTTAGCCATACAAAAAGAAACATACGGCAGCTGGTGGTGATATTTTCGTGTGGATGGCGGAAGCTGATATATAGATGTGAATGTGAGCCTTTGAGAGTGTACGAATGCATCTCAATGTTGGAGTGGACTGCATGTTAGTAGACTGCTGAAATTTTAGACAGAATGCTTTGTTCAAATATGTCAACAACCTGAATCTTTTTTACACAAACCACCGCAATGCAGCAAAGACCCAAGCTACACCAGCATGTCCCCGCCCCAACTTTTTCTGAAAAGTCATAGCCATAACTCCGTATCCCATGCCATCACCACCTTAATCATACCCCATCACATTCTCACCGATGCTTCCCCTTCTTGCCCTTCTTCTCTTTCAACGCTTCCGCTTCCTTCAACACCTCTTCAACCGCCTCGCCCGCCTTCCGCTTCGAACCTCCACTCTTGGACTTCACACTGACCGTCGTGCTCTTCCGGCCATCGTGAGATGCCTTCGAGACTTGCTTCTCAGCCTCGGCCCAGTCGTGCGCATCACCTGAGGCGATAGCATATCTGCAAACGAAAAAGTGTTAGCAAATGCTACCAAGGAAAATGGTAGTAGAGTTCGCTTACTTGTCCAAAGGCAAAGCATCAATCATGCTCCTCATCCTTTCCTTCTCGGCCCGCCTTACCTCATCTGCCTCCTCCTCAAGCTCATCGTTCAAGCTCTGTGCGAGTGGCTGGAACCTCTTCGTAGTCTTCTCACCATCAACTCCCTCCTGATCATCATCCTCCGGCGCATCAGGCAGATCTTCTGCAACGGCACCCTCGACCAGCCCGCGGAAGTGTGCCGAGATCTTACGCATAGTCTTGATGAACATGGCCAGAATCTGCGAGCTGTTGAGGTCGAGCTCCTTGCCGACGTCCTCGAGCATCCGGCGCTGGAGACCAATGGCGAGCAGCAGCGCCGTCTGTAGGCCCGAGAGCTTAAGCTCACCTGTGGAAGACCTGAGGCGGCCGAGGAAGTAGAGGTGCGCGATGGTGGGGAGCATGTCGAGGATGACGTGGTAGTCGAGCATGTTGTTCGCGTAGCTGTCCAGGCGCTTGAGGTCGAAGGGAGAAAAGACGTCGTCCAGCTCCGCTTTGGTGAGTGGTTTGGTCGAGGCCGACGTGTCGTACTTGATGCCGGAGGCAGCGGCCTCGTTGATGCTGAGGGCGACCGGGGACTCAAAGGTACGGAACTGGTAGGAAAGCAGAGAAAGGAACCGACGCTGGAAGTCTCGCGAGAAAGCACCGAGCCAGCTAGGGTCCGCATTTGTTTGCGTCTCAAGAGTGCGCAGCATGACGCAGGTGTGTTCGCCGGTAAGGTCATTAGCAGTCTGGCGGAGGTAGACAGGTACAAATGAGGAGCGCTTCCAAAATCTTTGGAGCTCCTTAGTAAGACCGTAGCTCACACCCATCCAATCAAGTGCCGGGGGCTTCCTCTCCGAGAGACGAGCGAAAAGGGGCGGCATTGCAGTGATGTCGCGAACCTTCACGTTGTCCTGCAAAAGACTGGAGCTCTCCAGCTCTTCATCCGTCACACGAACCATCGTCTCCTCCTCGGTGGGGTCAACCTCGGACAAGCTGGTGAACTTGCCTTCGTAGAAATCGGTGAGGAGTTCAATAGCTTTACGACCGTAGCCCATGCCGATGTAGTCGGGGTTCGTAGCAATGCGGACAACACGAGCACCCGAAAGACCGGCAAACTCCTCATCCTGGAATTGCTGACTGACGAGCCAAGGAATAAGGTCACCACCGGCCCTCTGACCCCTGCTCAAGCTGTTGAGCACGCTCTCTCGGCTGATTTGACCCTCCATGGCAACTTGGATAACGCAAAGAGGCTCCGGAAGCTTGTTGCTGCCCTCGTCGACTGGAGGAACCAAAACGAACAGCTGGTGCGCCGGGGCATCAGACATGAGTTGGAGATCATTAGGAGAGTTCTTGTAGTGGCTTGCCACGTATAGGGCCATCATTTGCTGCAGGAACTTCTCAGAAACAGGGTGGAAAGAAAACAGGGTATCTCGGTTAACGTGCAAAAGCTGGCATTGGGATGGATCGGGGCATCCTTGGGTGTTCATCCTGGAACGTGGAAGGGTCGCATCAAGGCAAAGCAGCTTGTTCATCCACTTCTCCACAGCATCACCAGGTGCGTATCTGATAGATTCAGCCAGAGTGATCTCACGGAGTGTGCGACCGCCTGAGGCCACTTCTGATCCGCTCTTTGCCTCCTTACCGGTCGAGCGGTCGGCAATGACCTGGTCAGAGCCCTTCTTGGAGCCGCCCCGGGATTGCTCTCTCAGTTTCTGAATGAGCTTAAGAGAAAGCGATCTTCCCGTACCCTCGTAACCATTGATTGTGGATGCCATGAAGACCAGGTAGGGTCCCATCAGCTTCTGGACGAGAGGCAGGGGAATAGCAGCAGCCTCATCAATCACCAACAGCTCGGCCTGGCCCAAGACATGAGCATCCTGCGGCTGAATATACTGGATAGTCTGCCTGTGCTGGCGGTGCACGTTGACGCGGACGATGGCCTTGTTGAAGTCGGGATTCGTGGACTGGATGATCGAATAGTCGACGTGGTCCATGTACTCGAGCGCATCGAATCCCTTGAAGACAAACTCGAAGAAAGTTTTCAAGTTCTCGGGGCTCGGGGCGGTGATGAAAATATTGCTGTATCCGTGGGCGACGGCAGCGGCGACGGCGACACCGAGAGCAGCGGACTTACCACGACCTCTGGCAGCGGTCAGGGTGACGGTACTTTGGAGCGTCTTCTCGGCGATGGCATCGATGAAGGTCAAAAGGCCCTTGGCCTGGTCCACGGTACGAGCAAGAGACACCAAAGAACCAACGGGCTGGGAGTCGGCAAGGGACTCCTTGATCTCCTCCAACTCCTTTGCCTGGGGCGTCTTTCCTTCGAGCTCTGGATCGGGCGGGGGCAGCTGGCGCACGTTCTTACCACCGGAGATGGGGAGGACGTTCAGCTCGTCGTCGACAACCAGACAGGATTCGCAGCTTCCGAGGGAGAGGATGAAGCGCTCGTTGAAGCGGGCGACGACATCGCCGTGAGCCTCGGTGCGGTAGCGTGAATGTACGTCCATGGACATGGTGTAGAGCTGCTTCAGACTGGACATGCCCTTGAGTAGCAGGATGACCAGACCGCCACCCTCGACAGTCTCGATAGTGCGGGCGAGCAGGTTGGGGGTGATGGCCTCAAAGTCCTGCAGAATGCACATGCCGTAGGTGTTTCCGAGAATCTTTTCCGTCTCCTTGTAGTAGACATAGCGGATATTCTGGGTGGAGATGAACAGCTCGAAGGGGTCGTTCTCGTCGACGTCGCGGATTCCGCGCTTGATCTCCTTCTTGATCTTCTTTTCGCGCTTCTTGCGGTGGCTGGAGAAGCCCAGCAGCTTGTTCTTGTATGCCCACAGCACGCTCTTGTTCAGCTTAACGTCGACGTTAAGCAGGATGTGATACAGGTTGACGATGACATCCTTCTGGTGGTCTCCGACAACGACGAAAAAGCTGCGCTTGCGCTCCTGGGCTCCGTTGCGGATCAGGGCAGGGATGCGGGCGTCAATGGCCTTCTTGACCATGGTGGGCAGCTGCGGCGCCGTGTCCGCGGCGGGCGGTGGTTCGGACGGAGAGCGCAGGCGATGCGCAGGGTCGGGGCGGGTCGCGTCGCGATAGTCGTACGGCGCGGGGGTCCGGGAAGGTGCGCACGGCAGCGCAGGGTATCTCGGGGATTGGGGTGGGAGCTGTCGCGCGTCGCGGCGTGGGCGATGGTGTTCTGTGGGAGCGGGAGGAAAAAAGTGCGCCAAGATTCCGCGGCGATAAGATAAGCTGGACATGGACCCCTGCGCTGCCCTGAGCTCTCGCCCGCACGCGAGTACGCGGCCAGCCCAGACACCATGTCGCACAGCCTCACAATCGTCGCCGCTGCTTCTCCTGCCCTCACTGGCACTAATATGCTGCTTAGCGGCTAACAGCCACCAATGGAGCGGGTAGCCGCTCTCTGGATCGTGTATGCCTGTTCCCGCCCGTGTCTCCGCCTTCCGCAACCACAGCTCAACTCACACGCCGCAGAGGGCTACTCGCCTGCACCGCCCACCTCACCGCGTCTCTCGATAAATCCATCGCCCTCGAGCGCCCCGTCCACGCTTCCGTCGTAGTCCTGCTCATTGCTGGTGTCGCCCTGCTTCTTACCGATAAAGTCCGCCCCTTGCACATCAAATCCGCCGCGTCGGGACAGCAGTATGCGCCAATTCCTTTGTCAGACCTCGGCGACGCCCACGGCTCGCGCCCTGTGTCGCCTGCGCCTGCCGATCCGCCTGCCGCCCAGGAACACCGCCCAAAGCTTGGCCCGAAACTGCAATGCGCCCTTGTTGCATTCCTTCTCTGCGCGCGTATCGAGATCTTGCGTCAGGTTGTCTCGGGCAGTGAATGTTCAAGAGCGAGCCGCGAGACTCTGGTGCCAATCTTCATTGCTGTCGCCGATTGGTGGTTTGTCCGCCGCCGCCAATCTCGTCCGCATCAACAAGACGACGACAATGACATGGACAACACCGTGTATAGCGATGCCTTGAGTGGCCTTGTTACTAGTAGCTGGAGACCCCTTTTGGCCATTGTCCTTCTCTCTTGGTCTAGTACCGCCGCCATCGCCCGCGCCTTGCCCGCAAAGTCCTCCTACATTTGCTCTCCTACTTCTCGTGAATACACCATGATACCCAGGCTTCAGATTGCTGGCGTTTTATTGGATGGTTTCCTTGCTGTATTGTTGTATCAACTATTAGACTTATATTGGCCCAGACCTGGCAGCTCAATTTCCAAGGGAACATCTTGTTTGGGATTGGCATGTGTAGTAAGTCCGATCACCTGTCCACGAATCAAGGCTACGCAATACCGAAAAAAAAAGGGTTGTTCAAGCGCGGCTGTTATCTTTCGTTCCTCAACCCTTCGCTTTGGCTGTCTTTGGGCAAGATATTCTCGAAAATAATTCTGTATACTGACTTTGCCTGCCCAGGTCTCCGCCATCAGCTGGATTTTGATCGGTGCTGGCATATATCAATGGGGCCCCACATATGCCCGTAGCTTGATCAGCCCAACACCGATGGACTTCACTTCAAGCGTCATCAAGCTGGCAATTGAAGCATCTCTTGCCGCAACATGCGCCGTTCACTCTGTAAGAATACTGCTTGATCTCTGCTTTTTATTTTGGCCACTAACCATTGGGAAAGATGAAACAATTTGGGATGCTGTCCATTTCGGTCCTAATCCTCTTTGCTTCCGCCTTTACTTCTCTCTTCATAGCCACTTGGAATCACTCGCACCCTTTTCCTCCACTCCCTGGAGGCCTGGTGCTTGCTCTGGTCGGGATGACTTTCAGCTTGATCTTCTATTCCCTCCCCGAGCCATCAGACCATCAAGGATCTCTCTCCTCCAAGTTGAAGCCTCTCTCGCGCCTCTGGGGCTTCTATCCAATACTTGGTGCGCTTTTCCTGCTACAGCTGTTGCTGGTATTCAATGGGGATGACGAGATCCGATACCACCCGATCGACATGCTACTCTTCAATGCCAAGGAAAAGAATGATGCCTGGCTTCAGTGGGCCTCGTCCAGCCTCACCCTGCAATCAGCGGCTGTGAATTACACGACGCGGTACCAGCGACATCCACCTCCTCATTTCGACGAGTGGTTCTCGTATGCCACTAGCCGTTCATCAATCATCATAGATGACTTCGACTCGATCCACAACGATTTGCTTCCCTTCTGGTCCCTTAGTCCGGCTGAGATCAGGCAGCGCACGTGGGAGGCCATTGCCGACCCATCAAAAGGGATTGGAGGCATCTTCATCCGCAACGGCAAAGCACGCATTGCGCCTAACGTGCCGCGCAACCAACGGATGATGCTGGATACCATCGTCCAAATGATTGACAAGTTTGGTCAATGGCTCCCGGACATGGACTTGGCCTTCAACCTAAACAATGAATGCCGTGTAGCTGTACCTTTTGAGGAGATGGAGGCCATAGGTGCAGACGTAGCAGATTCAATCAGCAAAGAGAAGACTGAGAAGGATCTCGCGAATGATTTCTCTCCAGAGCGCGAAACTGGGTGGGCAAGAATTCCGGAGGCCCCCCACAGCACGGAGCATTTTATTACTCTCTCCCGACGCTCAATTTGGGATGAGTTTGGTTCAATGACATGCCCACCCAACTCGCCAGCCCGATCCCGACGGATTTGGAACCGTAGGAATTTCTGTGCCTCATGCGCGCTTCCCCATACCCTCGGGGCGTTCTTCGCCAACTGGACACTGGCGTCAGACATTTGCTACCAACCTGATCTTGCGAACCTCCACGGCTTTTACACTTCGCCCAACAACTTCATCGGCACACAGCGCCTCCTGCCTATCTTCAGCCAAAGCAAAGCGCCAGGATTCAACGACATCATCTACCCCTCAGCCTGGAACTACATGGATCGCGTCGCCTATGCACCCACCGATGAACAGCCCGACCCGATCTTCGAAAACAAGAAGCTCGACCTCTTCTGGCGTGGTGCCACGTCTGAAGGCTTCGCAACCGGCGACTCCGCCGCTTGGAAAGGCATGACGCGGCAGCGCATGGTGCATGTGCTCAGCCTGACCAACGACACGCAGGTTCTGCCGCTGCCACACCCTATCGCCAGCTACAAGCGCAAACTGCGCTACGTCCCAGTCGACCCGGCGATCCTGCGCGCCTCCATCCCCGTCGATGTTGCCTTTTCTGACATCGCACGCTGCGCCGAGCCGGCCTGCAGCGCGGAGCGAGACCTCTTTCTCGCCAACTCTCCTCCCTCCACAGACGGCGACAGCAGCAGCAGAAATCGCAGGAAGCGAGAAGAGCAGAAAAATAGGCTTCCTTTCCAATCCCACTGGCAACACCGCTATCTCCTCGACGCCGACGGCGCCGCCTTTTCTGGCCGCTTCCTCGCTTTCCTGCGCTCGCGCAGCCTGCCGTTGAAGGTCCAGCCGCTCTTCCACGAGTGGTGGCACGACCGCGTCACGCCGTGGCTGCACTTCGTCCCGCTCGACCCGCGCCTACAGGGGCTTTGGCCCACGCTGGCCTATTTCTCCGGCTTCAAGGGCGTTGTCGGAGGCACAGAGGTCGTCGTTGACGGCGATCAGACACAGGCGAAGAGGATTGCGGAGGAGGGGAGGAGGTGGGCAGAAAAGACCCTGCGGCGGGAGGATATGGAGGTGTATTTCTTTAGGTTGTTGCTTGAGTGGGGCAGGTTGACTGATGACAATAGGGATGGGTTGGGATATGTGCCAGTTGGCGGAGCGGCGGGAGCTAGGAAGGGGCATGGGAATGGAAATGACGCGGGCGGAAGTTGAGGAGTAGAGGTCGAAGTAGAATAGATATGTTCTTTTTTTTTTGGTACAGTTCTAGAACAGATACAACCTGCATCGATGTCTTCCTCTTTATTATTGTTTCTATGATTATCCCGTCACTTACCCACAACTAGCTAGGCTTATACTCTTCAGGATACTCGAAGAATACTCAGGCTGAAGCAAAGATCGGACCTCTGCTCGATCTATCCAGACAGGTAGTTGAAGCTATCGTCTGGACATAAATGTCTATTAATAGTTTGACAGAGTATCTGGTGGATTCTGCGCATTCTTCATAATTATATATTTGCCTCCTAACAATAACTTCAGACCCCATAACACGGACGTATAGTGAGATTACATTGTTCTGACACAATGACGCTGAAATTTCCCCCGAAAGTGTTAAGGCTATATCCGTAGTGTTAGTGCGGCCATGTGAATGTAGGTGACGTGATGGCACGGGCCATATATTTGACTACTTCTTCGGGACGCTGCCCTCCATCCTTCTTCACCCGACACCCTCATTCTTGAAAGCCGCCTCGACATATTCCCACACTGACTCCACATCACCACGCCTTGACATGGATCGCGCCGCAGACCCATCCTTTCAAAAGACGGTCAACCATAAGCGCCTTAGGTCCAGCAGCGACGGTACGGACCCCACGATCCATGAACCGCTAGCGAAGAGAGCCAAGGTCGACTCCGCGGAGGACCATTCCCTTGGATTGCACACGTCCTTGACGGCGAACCAAGAGCCAGGACACATGGTCAGTCATCCAGTATGCTCGTGTGAACAACCCTTTGCTAATTCAATTACTAGACTTTGGGCCTCGGAAAGCCCTCGTCCCAGCAGTCGGCTGACCGCACCATCTTCCGCTGGAACGATCTACCGGGCGAACTGAAGAATCAAATCTACGCGTACGCCCTCACAGACCCTGCGCCGATTTCCGGTACCTACCCGTGGAAGCGTGCCGAGCGCGATGACCTGCTTGTCAATCTTCTCCTGGTCAGCAAGGAAATATACGCCGAGGGTGCGCCCATCCTGTATGGCGCAAACACCTTCCGCTTCAGCGCTTGCCAGTCAGTCGAGAAGTGGCTGGACCAGATTGGCACGAACGCGGCGAAGTGGGTCAAGAACATCACGTTAGAACTGGACCACCCATGGGCGGTCAGACGCGCACATAGCATGCACATTCGACTACGTGCGGTCGAAGCGCTCGACAACTTCGTTGTCGTCAACAAGTGTTCGCACCCTTTGAATGCCTTGGAGGCTTCCGTGTGGATCAACCAGTTGGGCGAAGCTAGTCAGTGGCTTCTGGAGCTGGGCGATAACAAAGCCGACCGCGATGCTGCCATCGATCACATCTTCACGCATGCGGGCAGCTATGATACGCTCAAGCCCTGGATTCCAGGAGAGGTGTGGGGGAGGCACTTTGCCGTGGTCGTGTCAGCGGTGGAGGAGAGCCAGAAGATCAAGCTGCGTGATGGTCTTAAGCTTCAAGCCTCTCTTAACGCGCGTCGGTTGCATTAGCCAGCGTAGTGTGCCCGCCCTTATCGCCTTCGCTATGCTATAGTGCGGAACTTTCGGAGGAACTGGCATTGACTCTGGATGCGGTATCAGGAGAACGAAAGTTAGGCGACTCGAAAGCGTGTGCGGAAATCATCTGGAAATTCCAAGAGCAGAAGAGCATATAGACATCATGCATGGTTTTCATTAGCCTCGGTAATGGAGTAGTATTGGACACTTCGAATTACTGTAGTTCTATTTCTTACTTGTGTGCAGAGTGATATTGCATCCGAAGGTTAGCGCTTTTTTTCGCTCATGTCATGGGTAGTTGAAGCTATCATCCGGACGTGTTTGTACAATTTTTAATTCGACATCCTCGTCCGGACGATAGCTTCAACTACCCACATATGTTTTTTTTTTTTCGTAATGAGAACTAATGGGACATAATTACCCCATATCGTCCTACTGCTTGCAGCAGAAGGCACGGGCAGACGATGGCTTGTCTGGCCTCTCCTCTCCAAGGGAGTTGTCCGTTGCCGCTGTCAGAATTTCATATAATTTGTCTGCCAGTTTGAACAAGCTCAGATATTCCCACCTCCCTTGGCCTGGAACGCCATAACGCCGCGATTTTGCTGCCGTGTTGCCACCGCGCGGTGTAGGTTTTAGCCCAAAGAGGAGACGCGCCGAACGGGCAAAGGCCTACGCGAAGGTAGCGTAGTGGGTGCTCATGCTGGCAGCTTATTCACACGCTGTCCTGTTCTTGTATAAGCACCATCGGAGGAAGTGTTAATGCAGGTGGTGGGGTGTTATCTTTTGCGGCCATGTGAAAGGGGCGTTGGAAACAGGGTTACGTCATCCTGCTTGGTGAAAATGAGTGGCTGTGCATCATATGTCGGCTGTGGTCCTTTGCTGGCGTTGCTGCGCTCGATCACTGCCCACGCAGATCAACAAATTGCCATTTTTGGTTAGTCTACCCGCTACTTGCCCGCGACACCCCTTAAGTCGGCCCTCTCCTTACACTCGACAGCTATCCTACGATGCACCTTTGCCATCCCCAGCCATGAGTCAACCGAACGCCCCGTCCCAGCAATCGACCGGCAACAGCTTCTTCTGCTGGTCGAAGCTTTCTGGCGAAATCAAAAACTTGATATACAGCCACGCGCTCAAGGCCGACGTTACCCTACGCATCAACATGATTCCCCAGCGCGAAGGCGGCCCGAGGCTGTACATTGACAGCGACGAGCCCAATCGCCTGGTCCCCAACCTGCTCCTTCTCAACAAGCAGACATACAACGAGGCCGTGCCAATCCTATATGGGGAGAACCATTTCCGCTTCACCTGGGACCGAGCACTTCTGACGTGGCTGGCCCAACTCGAGCGGCAGCCGGATCTGGGATTCCTGGAAAGACTCGTGCTGAACCAGCAGCCCGCTAACCCTGCTGTACTCGACCACGCATACGGTCCGCTGACCTTGGTGAGGAAGATCACGTTTCAGCCGTGGTGCGCTGCCTGGCCTACGCAGTTTCGAACCCTGCATCGCGCCATGGCAAAGGCTACGAGGCTCGAAAGCTTCGAAGTTGTGCTCAAGAAGTATTTGGAGCCTGCAACTGCCGCCGAAAGGCTACACTCGGTCGACACTGCACAGAAGTGGTTGAGGGAGCTGGGAAGCACTGCTGAAGCAAGGAATGCCGCCATCGACTGCATCTTCACCCTCCCCTTCGATAAGCAAGCGCTTGGATCGGTCGTTCCGTGGGAGTCGTTGTGGGGTATGCACTTCGTCGACTTTGTGCAGCAGGTAGCCGAGAGAGACCGAGCCGAGTTTCGTGAGAGGCTGAAGGCTCTTGTTGCCTCTGATGTGGCGACACTGGGATTGGTGGACACCTAGTGTCTTGCTATGGTCGATGCGGATCAACAACATCGGGACTTTCTGGGAGATTGACAAAGTGTGTTCATTTGTTTTGGGTCGGTTGATTCATGCGGCTATAGCAGCTCTACAACCGGGTACTACAGCAAAAGGTCAGCGTGAAGAGGAGTAGTACTCTAGGCGCAATTATGCGCCGATCGGCCTTTTCCTTTCTTCATTTTTCCTAGAAAAACTACACATAACATGGAACAACACATTCACGCTAGCTTCGGCTGCAACGTGGATAAGGGAAGCTAGGTGTTGCACAGGCATGATTGAATCATAGCCGCTTCATTCATCAGTATCAATGAAAACGAACACTTCTATTGATCAAAGTCACTTGAGCGTGATCAAGCATTATTGTAAACCCACTTCATTTCTCATTCCTGCAGGCACTTTATGACGCACAGATGGTGCGTTGGAGGGCATGTTTAAACGCATTTCTTTGTATGCCTACATTGTTTCTCTCATTGTACAGTACAGAAGGCCTTCGTGTTTCTATCTACTCCTTAGCCTTTCCAAGAGCTCGCACTATCCACATGCTCTACGGAGACTCTTCGGAATCCGTGTCGGATAATTGCAAGTGTTCTTCGGGCTTCTCATTCAAGAAATTGCTTGCGTCTGTGGCGACTAGGGCTTTCAGCTCTTCTCGGAACTTTACGTGATTGACTTCCGGCTGATGCCACATGTTTTCAACTTTTACTCTTTTCGCACTGACTACATCTTGCGTGGCTACCTGGCAACTCCAGGTAGCGCGTGTAAAGATGCGATCGAGGGTTGACAGTCCTCCCTCGCTGACCAGCTTGGTCAGCCAGGTGTGTGCATCTAGCGACGAGCACAGGTACTGCGCAAGCTTCTGGCCATCAACCCTGTAGCACGAATCCTCAACGAGCACGAATTTCTCAAGCTCCGGCGCCTCCCCCAACAGGTTGTACATTCTGTTCGGGACGAAGCCCAGGTCAAGCAGGGGCCCGTCGCGGACATGCAGCTGAACTCGCTTCAGCCATTGTAGTGGCCATGAACGAATGTTGACCAGGAAGTTGTCGAGATCCCGGGGGCCTCTGAAACGAAAGTCGTTCTGTCCATATAGAATGGGGGCACCCTCGCGGTAGGTCGCCTTATTCGCAAGGAGAAGGTTAACCCCCAAAGAAGTGAAAGGGAGAAACGTCCTGTCCCGCTTCATGACACGCGTGCTTGTGTTGAACTCGAAGAGGTGTATCGGCTCCGGGACGGTAAGGACGTATGTGTAAATGTCGTTCTTCAGTTCGCCAGCTAGCTCCTTCCAGGGGAAAATATCGCGACTTGTCTTGCGATCGGTCGACAGCTGGGTCTGGTGCTGGCTAGGGCTTGGTGTCTAAAGTACGTTAGTTAAAAAATGGTAGAGAGAAACGTAATAGGAATTTGCGTACAATGCTTAGGTTCGGTCCGGTGGCTTTGCATTTGTGCGAAGGAAGGACTCGTCTGTTGGACGGATTGCAACGTCTGGTCCTTTTTCGTTTGCGTAGCGGCGGCTCTTGAGCAGCCGATAGCTGGGGTTTGATGTCTTCGTGGTTCATCTTAGGTGCGCTGAAGTTGACGGTGGGCAGGAAAGGTGTCAGGAAGGAACGTTGTTTGGTAGGAGTGAAGGCGAGAACAGCAGCCCAAGAAATGCCATCAGACTGGTGAGTGAGTAGACTAACCGAATTTAGCCGTGACATCATTACGGGTGCCAACTTGGGCGAATATCATGCGTTGTTCGTTGGCCAGGCAAGGTATCGGTTCACGCTCATTGGCTATAGCTGAATTAACACTCACATGCGTTTTCTCATAACACCTTTACTGCTCCACACTAGTAGACAGCTTATATGAAATGCTAATGGCGGCAGCGGACAACTCTCTTGGAGAGAAGAGGCTAGACAAGTTGCGTATATTAAAATTAGAGAAAGGTATATAGATAAGCCATCGTCTGCCCGCACCTTCTACCGCAAGCAGTAGGACCCGAGGATATGGGGTTGTTATGCCTTACTAGTTTTCATTACGAGAAACAACATATGTGGGTAGTTGAAGCTATCATCCGGACGTATTTGTACAATTTTTAATTCGCCATTCTCGTCCGGACGATAGCTTCAACTGCCGATGACATGAGCGAAATAAAAGCATAATCTTAGCTTCCAGCATGCATTGGGAATTCCCTCAATCTCCAATTCAGACAGCTATTAGTGGTGGGTCTCCAACGCCGTCCTGATATCCTCCCTCAGCCCCTTCATCCACTCTCCATGTCCTCTGGTTGGTTTCCAACCCAATCTCTTCGCAACGCTCGGGATCGTTTTCCCATTGCTCGCCAACCCCAGTTCCACCATCTCCTCGTCCGCATGCCCCAGATACGCCTCCGCGAAGATCCTCGTCCCCTCTGGTACTCCAACACTCTCCACCTGCGTATCCTTTATCCTCCCCTCCTCGCAGCACACCTCCGCGACCGCTTCAGCAACTTCCAGCCAGGAGTGTCGTCCGTTTGCACTGAAGATAATGCCATTCTTCCCCGTCGGCAGGTGTGCCCCACTCCTCTCCAACACCTCCACAACAAGCAACTCGTACAACTCTGCCAAATCCTCCACATGCACATGATCCCACGCCCCCTTACCCTCGCCCATCACCACGGGCCTGCCCCGCGCCAACGCTGCTTTAACATACGCCGGCACCTGCACGCTCTGCCTGTTGAACAGGCCCGTCCCGCGGCCGTAGATGGTGGGCGGCATGACGACCAGCGTCTTGACGCCGAGCTCCAGGCCGGCGTCGACGACGGCGAGCTCGGCGCCGCGCTGCACGTACGGGTGCGCCGCCTCGACGCGCTTCTCCCACGCGTACACGTCGTCGACGCCGTCGTCGAACTCGCGCTTGCTCTCCGTCCACGCGCCCGAGAGGGCGCGGTCCGCCACGTTCGACGTGCCCGACAGGTGCAAGAGCCAGACGTCGTCGTCGTTGCCGGTCCGAGCCTTGCGCTGCGCTAGCCCCTGCAGCAGCGCCAGCGCGGACGCGGCGTGGAACCCGAGCGCGGCGTTGATGACGAGGTCGGCTTGCGCCGCGGCGGCCGTCGTGGCTTCGAGGTCGTCGAGGTCGGCGTAGACGATTGCGCGGACTCGCGGGCTGTCCCCACCACTGTTGTTGTAGGTGTTGTTGAGGGTGGCGGCGCGGTCGGCTCCGCGGACGAGGCAGGTGATGGTGGCAGAGCGGAGGGTAGGGGAAGACGAATTGAGAAGATTCGTGAGAATCGTACCACCGACGTAACCAGTGGCGCCGGTGAGGAGGATTTGAGGAGTCGGCATGTTTGGGGGTCACTTCTTTTTGGTGGATGATCTGTATTTTACAAGTGTATGGATTAAAGGTCTCTTGTTTGCCGCAATCTTGAAAACCCACCACACGTACTAAATCATCCGCAGTTTTATCTTCAGAGGTGATTATGGTAATCATACGTCCCAAATGGACGATCTGGAATTAACTCCTCTTATCTCCTTCTGCGGCCGATTAACTCCGGCATCACCCCTGCCTTGAGTATCCCATGATGAGCCAATAGCTGTCCTCTTACGTCAGCATACAGTGAAACCTGAGTTCATAGAGAAATACCAAAGCTGAGCGTTAGGGTGATTTCCGCTCATGTCATAATTGAAACAGCATATGAGTAGTTGAAGCTATCGTCTGGACGTGTTTGTAGAATTTTTAATTCGACATTCTCGTCCGGACGATAGCTTCAACTACCCATGTATTGTTTCTTTTTTTTTTTTTGAAAAACAAAAGACTAATGAATTCATAGAATGATCCATAGGCTATCTATTTCTATGAAGATACGAAAGCTAGTTTTAATTTTTTTTCTCATGTCATGAGTAGTTAAAGCTATCGTCTAGACGCAAATGTCGAATTAAAAAATAAATACACTCCGATCCGGACGATAGCTTCTATTGCCCAGATATATTGTTCTTCATAAAGAAATTGCTAAAGCTATGATTGCCTTTATATTCTAAGGCCTTACTGTTCTTCGCGCTAACATTCGGCTGTAATACCCCGTAAGTGCTGGGACAGAAAGAATGTCGCATTCACTGCGGTATTGTCGAATGAACATTCAAAATAATGATGTGCTATAATTCTCCCAAGTCGATTGTCACATATCTGACACTATTTTCACCAGTGATATTCATAAGCCTAAAGTGGTGAGGTTGTGTAAATGGAAGGAGAGTCTGACTGAATGGCATTGCGTCATCACGTGTCAGCCCGACGCGCGACGACACGAAATCCGACGCGTCTGCCGTCTCGCCAAAACCACGAGCACAGCCCGCCATCTCTTCCGACAACCTCCCCTCAACCGCAAGTACCGCTCCTGCACCGGTTGCAATGGCCAACTTTTTCGATCTCAAGGCGCGGCAAGCTGCAGCCGCCGCCGCAAGCTCCTCCAAAGCTCCTACCGCCAAGCCTGAGACCAGCAGCCTACAGCCCTGGGTCGAGAAATAGTGCGTGACTCCAATTGCTCTCCGCCATTCTTCTAGCTATAGCTGAAGGGACCTCAACTAATCTCTATGCCTCTCTCACAGCCGTCCGAAGTCCCTCAACGATGTCAACGGTCAAGACCACACCGTAACCGTCCTTTCGCGCACCCTCCAATCATCCAACCTCCCGCACATGCTCTTCTACGGCCCCCCGGGCACCGGCAAAACCTCCACGATCCTCGCCCTCGCCAAACAACTCTACGGACCCGAGCTCATCAAAACGCGCGTCCTCGAACTCAACGCCTCCGACGAGCGCGGCATCGCCATCGTCCGCGAAAAGGTCAAAAACTTCGCGCGGCAGCAGCTGTCCAACCCGCCGGCAGGGCCCGCGGGCGTCGAGTATCGCAAGCGCTACCCGTGCCCGCCCTTCAAGATCATCGTCCTGGACGAGGCGGACAGCATGACACAGGACGCGCAGAGCGCGCTGCGCCGCACCATGGAGACGTACTCGCGCATCACGCGCTTCTGCCTCGTCTGCAACTACGTCACCCGCATCATCGACCCCCTCGCGAGCCGTTGCTCCAAGTTCCGCTTCAAGAGCCTCGACGAGGGCAGCGCCGCCAGGCGGCTCGAGGAGATTGCGGGCGCCGAGGGCGTCACGCTGGGCGAGGGCGCGGTCGATGCGCTGGTGCGCGTCAGCGAGGGCGATTTGCGGAAGGCCATTACGTTCCTACAGAGCGCGGCAAGGTTGGTGGGCGCCGTCAAAGTGGCGGAGCAGCAACATCCGAAGAAGAAGGGAGCGAAGGTCGTAGACGAGGATGACGATGCGATGGATGTGGATGAGCAGGGCGGTGGGAAGAAGAAGCCCGTTTCGGTGCCCGTGATCGAAGAGATCGCAGGCGTGATACCGGGCCCAACAATGGAGCGGCTGTATGAGGCCATGCAGCCCCGCGCGAAGAGCAAAGTCTACACCGACGTCGCGCAGGCGGTTGAGGACATGGTGGCAGATGGCTGGAGCGCGACGCAACTGGTCGCACAGCTGTACGAGATGGTCCTGTTCGACGAAAAGGTCGAGGATCTCAAGAAGAATAAGATCACCCTGGTCTTCTCCGAGACGGACAAGAGGCTGGTTGATGGTGCAGACGAGCACTTGGAGATCCTGGATTTGTGCTTGAGGATCGCAGGCATTCTGGCTGATGGTTGAATGCGCGATGCATGTATGCGAGCAAACAACGGGAGAGAGAAAGCATTTTCGGACCGGGCAAAAGGAATCGGCGTTAGGTACATACCATAAACATGTTAGCAGATGGGCGGGCTTCTGAACTGGACGATGTTATCGAAAACAAATTATCAATTCCTCTACCATGCGTGGGCCTGTCACATCCGCTCGGCGACTTCTGGAATATCAACGAGCAGAAAATAGATTGAGATTAGAGCTAAAGGCTCCGACGAAGAATATCAGGGTTAAGAACAGGGGCCGGCTGTGTCCTCGTCCTATGATAGCAGGTGCCAGGAGAAAGGAACCTTCGCAACCTTCTTTGCAAGGAAGAATAGCCAACTTACGTGGGCAGTAGGGACCATGGTCCGGACATAAACGTGAAACTACGAATTATACATTCATGTCCGCATGATGGCTTCAACTACCCATAAAATGCGGAACCCAACAGTAGCATTCGGCTGCAACACCCTTCTGTATCTAATATTTATTCGCTAATGAATGCGGACTTAGCAACCACAGAATCAACCGAGAGAGCAAATCTGAAGAAGTAAAGAAAAGAGGCACTTCGGGGTCAGCGAAGTCCGCGCAAGCATCCTGTCACAAATGTAACGCCCTGCTAAAATGCAACTCGGTCCATGTTCAAGCATCGCGCCCCTTTCCTGGTTATCACGCCGTAGCAATGCAAAGCACTCAGTCCTCCCAAGCGTCAATCCCTCCATTCCTATCACCATTCTTTTTCGTCCTTCAACGGCCTCCCCTTGGTCTCTGCTGCTTATCTTGTATGAGCCTGCTGCCTACTCTCAAAGCAACGTATTTATCAATCAGTGGATCGTATGCAGCGGTCACGTCCAATACCGTCCTGGCCCTGTCACCACGGATCTCAATCAATCCCGTCACGAGGATTGTACCACGCGGAGGCTCGAGCTGTGGGCGCTTCCAGTTCTTCAGCAGTACCGTAGAAAAGATCGTTAAAGCAATTGATTGGGGAGGAACAGGCTCGAACTCGGGAAGATTGGTGTGCTTTTCCGCAGCCGCCGTCTTGCCCGCTGTGTTCGCATTCGCGTTCGGATCAGCATTGGCCACGGTCCGCTCGGAGGTGTTCGGGGGTGCGAGCGGGCGGTTAGAACCTTCTTGATTCGCTCGCTGCATGGCCGCCAGATGTCGTTCTAGGAAATCGATGGTGGGGTTGACCTTTGGGCGCAGGCCAACCCACTCTCGAAACTTGTTCATCTGTACGTGGAAGAGGTACTGGGTGCTAGCCAGTGCTCCAGAGGCGACGGCTACCGGCCAGAGTGCACGTTTCAACCTCTGGTAGTTGATTTGATCTACAGGACGTCGTGTCCAGGCAATGTAGTCGTCGGCGATCTCAATTCTGCAGACCGTTAGTAGCCAGATCTACACTTAACAATAACAAAGTATTCCGACAGCAGGACCTCATAGTATCTTTAGAATTCGAGGCGCCTGGACAGCAGACGTTTGTTTGGTGAATGGGCCGCATTCCGCAGTAATGCCAACAGTGGTCCAGGCGATACAACTATGCTGGTGAATTCACACTTCTGGGGTAACTCACCCTGCACGTTCATATTCCTGAGGAGGTCCGTCTGGGAAGACAATATCGAGCCAATACCGACCCCTTGTAACGTCCACATGGCCAAGACGCTTCGCAGCCGGATCGCGTGCAATGTGATTGCGTACTAGACTTACGAGCTTATCTGCGATACGTCAGTTATAAACATTAGCCATCAGGGTAGCTATACATACGGCGTATCTGCTCGTGCCGCTTCTGGTCGGCGGCCACTTTCTTGAACTCCTGCCATTCTGGATCAGAGCCCCTGTAAAATCTACGCGGTACCGGCTTCGCCCAGCCTAGGGGAATGAACAGAGCATCGTCTTCCCATTCTTCATCTTCTTCCCAATCGCCCTCCTCGTCGTCCTCTCCTTCCTCTTCGTCCACAATCTCGATTGTAGGTCCCAAGACGAAGTGTATCCAGGTGAAGGCAGCGCCCGTGTAAATGGTTCCAGCAAGTAGGCGCCTAAAAGAACATGTATTAGCAGTGTTCTATCGGACGGACAGACAGGCAATTCAGCTGAGCGACGCACTTCCACGTGAAGAAGCGGCGCTTGAAGCGCACAGGCTGTACGTTTACGGTCGAAGCATGGCGCGCAAACGGTTGCCGACGGACGACGGGGGCGACGTGGCGGAATGCGCAAAGCGGTCGTACGGCAGATGGCTTAAACATGGGAAAGGAATGACTCGGAGAGCTAGATGGCGGCGGACATGAACGGAGCGCGCGGAGTGTGACGCGCGACGAGGATGGGCGAGGAAGCACGACGATGTCTGTAGCAGCGATAGATTCGGCGCCCGGGCGTGGGGTGGTGGACGAGGCAAGTGTTGGATCGAGGAGAGATAACTATGGCGGCGAAAGCGGCGCAAGGCGTTCACAAGATGCCGGGCGGATGATGAACATGGCCCGGTCGCGCTGCTTCGAATGAGCTCCCGCCGGGCTGCGACCCGGCGTCGGCGCCTTGTTTCGCCGCTCCATCCATGCTGCGACGGCAGCAGCAGTCCAGCATCATCGCGCGGCCCAGCTTGCAGCTGCTCCAAGTCCCGCATCCATCTCCACATCCGCCAACCACCCATCATGAGGCTGTCAGGCAGCTTCATCGCCCCCTCTCTGCTCGGCTTGGCCGCTGCAGCAGCTCCGCAGGCCCGTGTCTTCGTCCAGGACCTCGACGCGCCAGCGCACCTCGGCACCCAAACAGCTCCTACTCTGAGCCCCGACACCGCCCGTCTGATATTCGCGCAGAGGCTGGGCCTCTCACAGTACCACAGCCTGAAGCATACCGACGACGACACCATCCAGTACATCAACGACTTTGGCGGCTCGCGGCACCAGCTGTTTGATGATGATCAGCTCGGCGATGAGGCCAAGCACGTTATGCTCGTCGTTGAGGGCGTGAAGGACACTGCTGGTGGGACGCATCCATCTGGACATTATCTATAACTGCTGACGTTGCATCCGTGTAGTCCTGGACTCTGCGTCCTTCTCTCTCTCTGAGACCCCCGGTGCCGATGCCACCTCTCGTTTGCTCGAGGACTTTAGCATCCAGTCTGAGCATCTTTTTTCAACTGCCGGAGCTTCTAACAAGGACACTATTCCCAAGGCGATCAAAAATGTTCTGGATAAGGTTTCTGAGGATGTCGAGACCAGGCTCAGCAATGGCATCCTGCTCGCCCACATCCGCAATAGCGATAACACCGACTACTCTTCGACCATTCGCGAGCTGGCCGATCTGTGCTCCTCCAAGTGGCCCCTCACCGTCGCTGTGATGCCGCCTTCCTCCGGCAGCGTTTCGAAGCGCTCGGCGAACGCCTGGGGAGAGTACGAAGTTCCCAAGCGTTCTGCCATGGCCGATCGCAAGCGTCCCGAGGCCATCCTCGCCGAAGTCCCCGACAACGACTTCACCCAGCGTGTCAACAGGACGGACGCTCTGAAGGCACCGAAGAGCCCAAACAACGCCACCATCAAGGGCATCCTGCCCGCCTGCTTCTCGTCGAAGGACGCGTGCGAGTCGGCGACCAACGACTGCAGTGGCCGCGGCTCGTGCGTTAAGAAGTACACGGACAAGGACAACAATAACAAGGCTTGCTACACTTGCAAGTGCAAGGCCCAGGTCCGGACCAACAAGGACGGCAGCAAGAAGACGACCTACTACGGCGGCCCCGCTTGCCAGAAGAAGGATGTCGTCATGCCCTTCTGGCTGTTCACCGGCTTTGCAGTTGCGATGGCTTTCTTGCTCAGTTACGGTATCGGATTGCTCTACACCATGGGTAATGAGGAGCTTCCTAGCGTCATTGGCGCTGGTGTCTCTGGCGCTTCGTCGAGGCGCTAAAGGCTCTAGAATACCTCTTAGAAGGTTCTTGAGAGAACGTCACGTTTGAACGAAGGATATGGATGTCCATGTCAGAAGGTCGGGCAAGCTGCATGAGAAGTTGGAACGTTTGTCGGGGCAACCGGTCAGCCTCGTGGTCGACTTTGCCGCCCGGACGAACTTCAGCTACACACACGGTGGTCATGTGGAAAGCAAGCCTTTGAGGGCTGCTTTTGCGGAGAGGGAGAAGTCATTATGTGGATCAAATTCCATGTACAAACACTGGTTGTCTGGGTTGGCGTCTTGCGAAATTCCACGGTTGGTTCAGAACTACAGTTTTTTTCTACAATAAATGATGCAATGCACCAAGGGTACTGCCTAAGAAACGTGACATCTTTTAACATGTCTGATATCGCAAATGCGAAGGCCCACCCCTCAAGTCACCAAACGCCTCGCGCCTGCAATGCAATTCCCTCGAAGACACGCCGACACGCATGGATGAACCCGTCTATTTCTTGCCTTTGCCCCTCTTCTTAGAGCTTGCTCCGGAGATTGCAGAGCCCGCGGTGCTCGGTCTGGACATAGAGGCGGTGGAGGCGGTGTCGACAAGCACGGTATCGTCGTCGCTGCTCTTTGTCTGAACGCCGGACCCCTCATCGGCGCCCAGCTCCTTCATGAACTCGGAGCGGATGGTACCACGCTTCTTCTCCCACCAAGCCTTCTCATCGGCTGTCTGGGCCTGCAGCTCGTCGACGCGGGCCTTGAGGATCTGGTTCTGAGCGACTTCGGAGGCGTTCTGGAAGATGGTCTGGCCCCAGCCGGGGGTGAATGCGTTGGCCTGCAAATGAGTAACACCCCGTTTGTCAGCCAAGCTGGGAAAAAGGAAACGCAAACTCAAAGGGGGACAAAAAACAAACGCACCTCTTGCACAACGTCGCGCAGCTCGGCCTCGATCTCTTTCTCGGCGCGCTGGAAACGCTGCCACAAGTCGTCACCAACGCTGCCACGCTGCAGCAAGGACTGCAGGGCCTGCTTGGCGTTGCGGATCTCGACGATGCGGTGGATGTCCTCGACTGCACGGCGCAGAAGAGCGGCCTTGAGGACCGAGTCAGGGACCTTGGGCTGCTCGATGTGCAGCAACGAGAGGTAGATGTTGCGGGTCGTATGCGCGCCGAACCAAGGCGCCAGGGACGCGGCGCGCGAGGCTTTGCGGGTGCGGTATAGGTACGAGAAGGTAGCCATAGACCCGATGAGCAGGCCCACGTAGGCGAAGGGGACCGCCAGCGAGATCCAGTCGACCATGGCGGGCAGGCGGCGGTTGTGGTTGGACGCGACGTGCGGTTTGTGTGCGGGATTGACGTAGGTGGAATTAGATCGAATTGGCGGCGACGGGTTTTGGGAATTATCTAGGCAGCTGTAGACGGGTCGCGGTCTCACAGGCGCATTGCAGGCGGGCGTGGTCAGAACGAGCGGCAGACGGCAGGCGCAGCGGGAAAGCCAGCGAAGCTCGTTTGGAGAAAGTGACTTGAGAAGCAACGTGTCGCTCGGGCGCCCGGGGAAATGCCGACGGAGCAGGGCGGCAGGCGGACTTGACGTAGCACGCGAGTCGCTAGCTCAAGAGCTCGCCCGCCGCACGACTACGTGCCTGCTTCCAAGAGCTTCCCGTTGACTCTGCGCCCAAGCTCTCACTTTTGACCGCGATCCGCTCCGGATATATTTGACGCGCAGCTTTGCTCGCCCCCTTCCTCCCCATCACCACCGCGGAGGACAACTTTGAAGGCGAACGCCGCTCGTCCAGCACCCGCAGCCGCCCCGCTGCGCGCGCCACCACGATGATACTCCGCTTCCAAAGCCGCAACGGCCAGTTTCGCCTCACCGTCGAGCCGAAGGATGATTTCACCACGGTAGCTTCCCAGATTATCGAAAAGCTTCCCTCCAACATCGACATATCTTCCGTCACCATCTCGCCGAAACCGCAGGACAAGGCGTCCGCACGGAAGCTCGATGGCTTGAAGGGCGTGACCTTTGAGCGCGTCGGACTCACGTATGGATCTTCTCCTACTATACGGGTTTCTCTTAAGCATTTCTAACGTGTGTCCTTGCAGTCACGGCTCCCAGGTGTACATCGATTACGAAGAACAGAAGACCGAAACAAATGGGCATGCCAACGTTCCCGCAGCCACGACTGCCGCTCGCCTCAGCGGGAAACCTATCGCCGCCACAGACATCCCGAGCGTCCCCATTGGGGGCGCCTCAAAACTGATCAAGCGCCCGTGGGAAGTGATCAAGCAGTCGCCGCTTGACGATAGGTTAGATAAGCTCGACGGCAAGATCACAAGGCCGAAGGACCAGAAAATGTGCAGGCACGGCCCCAAGGGTATGTGCGACTACTGCATGCCCCTCGAGCCTTACGATGCCGCGTACCTGGCCGAGAAGAAAATCAAGCACCTGTCGTTCCACTCGTATCTCCGCAAGGTCAACGCCGGCAAAAACAAGCCCGAGTCCGGCAGCTCCTACATGCCCCCGCTTAGCGAACCCTTCTACCGAGTGCGCCCGGATTGCCCCTCAGGCCATGCCCCGTGGCCCGAAGGCATCTGCAGCAAGTGTCAGCCCAGCGCCATTTCACTACAGCCTCAGGAGTACCGCATGGTAGACCACGTCGAATTCGCGTCTCCCGATCTCATCAACACGCTTCTGGACTTCTGGCGGACTTCTGGGTGCCAAAGGTTAGGCTTCTTGTACGGGAAATACGAGGAATACACCGAGGTGCCTCTGGGCACCAAGGCTGTCATAGAAGCGATATACGAGCCGCCGCAGGTGGGCGAAACGGATGGCATTTCACTCAATGACTGGGACAACGAGAAGGAGGTCGACGAAGTCGCACGTTTGTGCGGCTTGGAAAGAGTGGGCGTGATTTTCACGGATTTGCTGGATGCGGGCGCAGGTGATGGATCCGTCATTTGCAAGCGGCACGCAGATTCCTACTACCTCTCTTCGTTGGAAACGTGCTTTGCCGCGAGGTATCAGGCAAAGTTTCCCAGACCATCGAAGTGGAGCGAGACGGGTCGGTTTGGCTCCAACTTTGTCACCTGCATCGTGAGCGGTGATGAAGAGGGCCAGATTGCTATTTCGGCCTACCAGGCATCGAATGCGGCGGTGGAGATGGTCAGGGCAGATGTCATTGAGCCCTCGGCAGACCCTGCTGTGATGTTGGTGCAAAACGAGGAAGAGGAGAACAGTCTTGGTCGCTCCCGCTACATTCCCGAAGTCTTCTACCGCCGGGTGAATGAGTACGGCGCCAATGTACAGGAGAGCGCAAAGCCTGCCTTCCCAGTGGAGTATCTCTTCGTCACTCTCACTCACGGTTTCCCGACCAACCCCAACCCTAAGTTCGCAGCAACAGGATTCCCTGTCGAAAACAGACAGGTCTTGGGCGTCAGCCAGGAAGTTACGGCGCTTTCGAAGCAGTTGAATGCCAAGGCGGGCGGCCCCAAGCTCTCCGACCCCACGAGCATCGCCACGTTTGCCGACTTCCACCTCCTGACTTTCGTCCATGGTCTGGGCATCCTGAGCAAGGTAACCTGCTTCTTGAATGTTTTGGGTGGCAGCAGAGCTAATGAAATTCCAGGACGAGGAGGCATTGCTGTGTCGGGTTGCAGCAGAGCACGACGTATCAGAGGGATCGCAGCTTCAGCACACGCCAGGCTGGGCTACACTGATGACAATCCTTCAAGAGACTGGTGAGCAACCATCCAAGCGCACGCATTCTCAATCCTTTGCCCCTTCTTTATCGACTCCGTCTGGGCCGCCCGCCAGCCGCAAGCGCAAGGTGAATACTGCGAACGGCGCCGGCAGTGGTGGCAACGACGGTCAGTCATCTTCAACAAACAACTCGGCATCCGACAGCGAACGACTTGCTAAGCGCATTAAGGGCGTTAGCTTGAACAACACCAAGTGATTCGCGCGCGACACGTCGCTGGATCTTCGGATCTTGCAGCTACGATTGGGCTTCCATGAGCTTTGCTTTTCCGCACCCACACCTTCTCCACGAAAATCCAATACCATCCTGGCGTGCTTATTAGGCTTCTCCGCGCAGTTGGGGTTCAAGTCTAGATATGCTTTGTTCATCTAATCCTTGCCTTCACCACCTCGACCGATTACCCCGATCGTCATGCTACATGGTTCTCTTGGGGGGGCCTATGGATCTTTGCTTCATGGAGGGAATAAGATTGAAAAAGAGGGCGGTCACATTGCATCTCATTTGGGCGGGGGAGTTAACTCCAAAAGACATGGATGGCAGAGCTCACGCGCCAACGGGAACCTTGCTAGCAGCAGCGATAGAAAGTACAGCTAAGGACTCAGGTCTTGGGAACAGGTTCATCTCTTATTGAGAGCTGATGCGGTGGGATTTTTCTGTCTAGATGCCGGTACATGGATACATGTTATGGCAGATGCGAGGTCAGCAATGGACATGGCTAATGGGTTTGCTCAAGTGCCGTGTGTTGTGATCGTATCTCACCTGAAATTTGCTAACATTTTCCCCGATCCTCATCTACCAACAGGTGGCGTCACTGGAGTTGACCCTTCTCCATGCCTTTTCCATGAGATTTAGCATGATTCATGTAGTAAAAGACTTTAGGCCCCGTGTGATCTGCAGCCTATATCTTACAATAAACCCGAGAGCTTTCAATTCTTGAGGATGTACAATCTCGCCAACAACTGTAGCACTAACAACTATACATTCTCGTCCGGACGATAGCTTCAACTACCCTCTTATGTTGTTCTTCAAAATTAACATTATTGAGGCATAATTACCCCGTGTTCTAGGGCCCAGCTATTCTTCGCGCTAGCCTTCAGCCGCAATATTCCTCTATACGTAAGGAGGAGCTATAATTTTAGTGAGAACTTGGTAAAAGTTTATTTTCAACGCTTCGTAATTGTGCAACAAGAATTTAAGGCGGCAGAAGTGCAACATCTCGTTTCCTCGAAAAATAAGAACAATACTAGGGCCTTGCCAATGACTCAAAGGGCAACGCCCGGTCCCACAAGAAGGTAGTCTTCTCCTCGCCCTCAGGCACCGTCGTATCGGTGACATTGCAAACCTCCCTGAAGCCGCCCGCTGCCTCCAGCTTGTCGCCCAGCAGCTTTTCGTACGCGTCTAGCCCGCAGCTCCTGCCCGGACCGTCCTCGCAGCCCCGAATCGGGTACACGACATCGTTCAGCTTCACGCGCATGTACAGACCCTCATCCGCGCAGTTCAGGCGCTCGAAGCCCACCGTTCCCTTCATCGTCACGTACCTGCTCGCGCGGAAGGTCCTGTTCGCCAGCAAGTGATCGCCGGGCAAGTCGGGCAGGTTGTCAAACACGCCGACGGCCGCGGCCAACTGGCTCACCTGGCCGTCATTCGTGAAAGCCGCGGTCAGCGGCGGCGGGGTCCAGCTGTCACCGTTGCTGTCGACGTAGGTCGCGTTAGGGCCGTCCTGGAAGCGCTGCACGAGGCCGAGCAGGAAGGGCAGCATGGTAGCCTTGGCGACGGCGTTGCCGGGCCCGCTGCCGTACCAGTAGCGCAGGTCCTGGGCGTACTCGTACTGCAGGAACTCGGCCTCGGTGAGGGTGCCGCACCAGGGCGAGCGGCGGCCGACGATCTGCGTCTCGAAGCCGCACAGGTAGGCGAAGATGCCGACGTCGGTCGTGGCGAAGGCCAGGTCGCCGCTGAGCAGGCTGTTGATGCGCGCCGTCGCCGGCGGCAGGTACGTCGCGTCCCACGCGTCCTTGGGCGCGCCGCCGCCGTTGTCGTCGTACGCCGGGCACAGGTTCGACGTCGCCAGGCTGTTGGCCAGCGAGCGCGGGTCGCTGCCGTTCACGACGTAGATGGAGCCGAGCGCCGTGGCGTTGGGGCCCAGGTAGCCGCGCGCGAAGAGCTGCGCCGAGTTGAGCACGCGCGGTGACGAGTAGGCGTTGGCCCAGAGGGAGAAGGGCGTGTTGTAGGCCTGGAACGAGGGGTACGCGAGCCGGAAGGCTGCGCCCATATCGTAGAGCTCTTTCCAGCCGGTGGTCGAGAGTTGGGCGATTTGCTGCGAGGGTTCGCTGAGCACTGGCGTCCAATTGTGGAGGAACTGGAGCTCAGTAGCGTTTGTGGTGAAGGTGGCGTTTTTGATCTATGTTTTTGTGCTGTTAATACCCACTCTAGGTTGAATATATCATATTGCACAATACGCCAGGTCCCCGTTTTTTTCATCAACCATGCACGTTGTTGGAGAAAGAACGGAAGGGAAAATGAAGGTAGGGAGATATGTTACCTTAGCCTCCAGAGCAGTCCATTCAGCATACGCTCCCGGGTCAGGATAGCGGCTACCATGACGGGAGACAAAGGCGGCCTGGTCAACGGTGCAGCCCTCAGGGGCTGCCGGGTCTATACCAAGGACATTGGGTCCTAGACAAAGGATTAGCCAGATACTTTGACTGCCCTCTCAATGGTTGTTCTAACCAGAAAACCATTGACCATTTCCACCGAGATGCTTGAGGGGATCGAAACTCTCTTCACCGCTCACTAGATTCGTGAGGGCAAGAACGGTCGTCACCGCACCGAGCGACGAGGACTTCATAGCGAACGGAATTCGGGGCAACAAGAAAACGAGTGAAGGCAGCGCGCAATTGGACCGACGAAACACGTCGAATACATCGCAAGACCATCTTTATATTTATCCATGAGCCTTAGCGCCAAGCCGCCTACCTGTAGGGGAAATGAAGAATACGCTGATTTCGGAGATTCGGCCGGCGAACGTTGTCCCTGACGTCGAGCGGTCTGCGATAAGTGGAACGGCTTTCGCGAGTGGCGCGGCGAAGCGTAACCGGGGAAAGCGACGGGTCGGTGATGCGCGGCAGGGATCATGGTCGGCACGTGTTTACCGCGATTGGACGGCATTGAAGAGTGACCACACGTCGGCAACATCCGCGAACTATTGGGTGGACTCCGAACGACGTCGGCTCCATTAGTATGACACAAAATTTGGAGTAGTTGGAGCTCTTGTCCGATGCATTATTCCACATTCATGTCCGAAGGATCACTTCAGCTACCCCAATTTGTTGCAATACTGGAACCAGCCTCGCATTGGCATGTCATCTTACAATGTTAATGTGCCCTCTAAGCATAAGCATAAATGCTTACAACTTTACATGCCCGTGAGATAGCATTTTCTGGCAAGACGCTTTCGGAAAGATCAAGTCCTTTTGCGCTTCGCTTTTTTATCGCCATCTAACAAGATGCGCCAGCAGTCAGCTACAGCTTCGCCGCCTCCCTGAGAACCTCCCTAGTGAGTACATCACCTTTCTTCCGCTCCGGGCTGAGCCTTCCCATTCGTAATAGCCGCGAAATCATGTCTTCATCACCAAAATGCGAGTTGTGCTCGAACCGCGGCTCCTCATCGTACGCGACGCGCGCAGCGTCAACCAAGATCCTAGCTGTCATGCCGAACACCCTGAACCGCTCATCCGCGTCCGCGGCCTTCAATGCGTCTTTGGGCGGATCGGACAAAGCATCGTCTTCCGTCCTGCTGCCACCTCCCCCTGAACCTGTTGCTGTACTCCTTCTCGTCCTCTTCCTCGGTCTCTCTTCCGTAGTCCCTTGATCACCCTCCTTTTCGTCCCCCTTCTCTTTCCCCTTCCCCTTCGCCCTCACAACCGCCCTGCTATCTCCAACCGGCACGTAGAAATTGTGCATTCGCCACCTGCTCTCGTGCCAGTCCGTCCACGCGCCCTGGTACCATTTGGCCGGGAAGCCCGCGGCCTCGACGCCCGCCTCGGCCTCTCCCGCGCTCGCCGACTCCTCAGCCTCGGCCATGAGGAAGTTGCGGAAAGGGGCGGTGAAGACGGCGGCGACCTCGTGGGGGGAGAGACGGGGGATGAGGAGGTCTTCGGCGGTCTGGGTGGTGGTAATTGGTTTGGTGGGTTCCGAGGGGGAAGAGGCAGTGGTGGTTGAAGAAGAAGTAGAAGAAGTGCGGTCTGCGGCCAGGAAGGCGACGCATGGCCTGACTGCGAGCTCGGTGCGGGCGAGGTTGGCGGGCATTTGACAGAGGTGCTCGACGCGGAAAGGCGGCGGCAGCTTGGCGTCCTGTAGCGGCAGGCCGATCTCTTCCCACGCCTCGCGGCGAGCGGTTTGGAAAGGCGTTTCGGTGAGAGCATCGGCACGTCCTACGTTCAGCACTGTTTAGCGGCTGTGGATTCGGCAAGGTGATTTTTGATCTGACTTACCTCCAGGAAGTGCGGCATGGCCGGCGTAGGTGTTCATACCAGCAGCGCGCATGGTCAGCACGACGCGCAAATCGCCACGCCTGTCGGCAAAAAGAAGGATCAGCACGGCGGCACGCCGTGCGAGCGGGACATTAGTGTACTGGGTTGGCGGGGGCTTGTAGGCGCGGAGGCGCGCGAGGGCCGCCTGCAAATAATCAGTTTCACTCGGAGCGGCGGGCGAGGGGGTTGCGTACCGCGGAGGCGGGAGTGAGGGCTGCCATGGCAGACGAGTGTTGTTGCCATAATGTTGTGCGGACGACTTGACGTTGATGTCACCTGTGGGACGTGCGGTAATCCGGGGGGTGTTGCGGGGACCTCGGCTCAGCGCGGCTCGGCCTGCCGTTTGAGGAAATTCGGGTCCATATGACATCTTCGTGGCTCTGCACTCGGATTCGGCCTTTCGCAAACCATCTGGGGGAACCGGTAGTACGCGCTTGATGGGTGGTGAAGTCAGATCTTTAGATATAGACGTGTTTCGATGTGTATTTGCATAATTTAGTAATGTCTTCGACAAGGAAGTTTGCCAGCCAGCGACGGAAGTCTACAACGACACTCGTACATTTCCTTTAGGCTTCAACAAAAGGTATCAAAGCTTGATATGACTCCCATTTTTTGCCGTTGCACTTCCCCGTCGAAAATTTTGCCCTGAATCCTTTCGAGCGTGGTGTTTCTGGAGTGGGAACAACAATAGGCTGAAGCAAAAGCGCTGTGGATTGCTTTTCTGTGAATTAGATGCCTGTTATGGGAAACACACAACATTTATGTCTAGAAAATAGCTTCAACTACCCATGGAATTTGTGACCCACCCGACCAACAACGTCCGGCGGAAGCGGAAGCGGACCTCCGTCGGAGCGTCATGAGCACCCACCACCCATCCCCCACGACCAAAACCCTCCCCCGCTCACCGAAAACTTCTTTTTCTACGTTATCTGATTCCAAAATCGTCACTACTATACAGCCTTTATCACTTATCGACTGTGCTACCGCCTGTGTATTGATCCCGTACTGACAATATCCACCATCGCTTCCGAGATAGCGTCACACCACTGCCCCTTGAGACTCTCAAGTTGCTTCATCGTCCAGCCTTGAGCAGCAGATAGGATTTGCTTCACGGACATAACTGCGGCGAAAAAAAGGTATGCCCGGAACGAAGACGACGGCTGCCGTGTCGCGCGGCCCGACGCGCTTGCAGCTCAGCCTGCAGCACGCCGCAGCCGATCGCGAGGGTGGCTCGCCATCAGTGGGACAGTGGATCCAGTTCCGGAATTCGGAGTTGGCCGAGAGCGTGGCGGGGTCGGGCAGTGACGTATGTTGTGCTTTTCTCTTTTCCCCCTCTCTGTTCTTTCCTCTTCTGGCTTGAGCTCTGCCGGAAAGGGGCCGTTGGTGCTTGGTATTCTCTAATGCTCGTTGACATCGGTCTTGTCGCTCTGCCATAATTCTTCACATACAGCCGCCTTCATGCAAGTTGTGCATATATATAATTGGAAGTGATACTTACTTTCGCGTTCAATAGTTTGTTATCATCGATTGCGAGCGGAGCCACATCAACACCCCCGCCGATCTCTCGCTCGTTGTGGAAGCCGTGGTAGCTGCAGGATCATCCCCGATAGTGCGAGTGCTGGCAAGCCAGCCGAAGCGGATACGATGGGCGCAGGATAGCGGCGCGCATGGCGTTATGGTCGCCATGTGCGAGACGAAGGTGAGTAAAGTCTCTCTCTTATTTCTTCATGATACTGATACGGTGTAGGCGCAAGCGGAAAGGATTGTGGTCGCTACCGGCTGCCCTTCACCCCGTTTTGTCGTCATCGTTGAAATCGACTCACAGAAGGCGGTCGAGAACGTCGATGGTATCGCTTCGATTGCCGGCATTGATGCAGTATGTTCACCTTTCTAGGAGCTTACTCCTCTCTTCTCTATCCCACCCTCAAGCATCATTATCACTGACGTTCACTTTTCCTTTGATGCAAACAGCTATTCGTCGGAGCGCATCTCTCCAGCTCCCCCGACTCTGACGCAGTGCTCGCTGCCGCACACAGGCACGCTAAGTTTCCGGGCCACTTTGCGGCAGATGCAGACACTGCAGTGGCGCTGGTCAGACGCGGCTGGCAGTTTGTGAACTGCGGTGGGGCGGATCTGCAGGCTATTGAAGAGTTGGAACGGATGAGACGGACGCTGGTGGGGATGAGGGCGTCGCCACCGCCGATTGAGGGGGATGAGTACGAGTGGGATGGGAAGGATTGGGGTTGATGAGTTTCATGCAAAGTTTCGGAAGAAAGGACATTGTGAGGAGAAAAAAATGGACTTATGGGGGATTTGAAGCTATCGTCCGGACGTATATGTTGAATTAATACCACACATGTAAGTTGATTCTTGCTCTTCGTAAGAACTGTAAAAGACCCTCTCTCTTTAAAATTACTCTATACGGGAGCATAGCTACCGCTGACTTAAAGGCCCTGCTATTCTTCGAGGGATGAGTAACGTGAATGCTGATGCACAGCTGCACACGTAGAACAATACTTGCTAGTGATTAATCTGGTGGCTGCCGTTTACCAAGATGCCGCTTAATAAATAGTAGATTGAAGTCTATCGGTCACTTTACCTATGCGTCGACTTCGCGGATACCGTAGCTGAACATCTCGTTTGACTGCACCGAGTTTTCATCAACAAGTTTTCTCGCAGTCTCCACTCCAGCAACAGGGACACGATACTCAAACTTCTTCCCCGGTGCAGGATCTTTCCCGTCAACTTGGTACGGAAAAGGCAAATACTGCAAATATCCATGTCAGCAAAAGTCCTTCACAGAATATAATGAGTAGATCACAAACCTCTGGAAGCAGACCCAGCTGCCTAAGAAGCGTTGCCTGGTCCCACGCAATATGCTCATGATAGAGCCTATCGCCGCGAATGTTTACAACGGAAGTGAAAGGCACTTCAAGTGGCTTGTTTGTGGGCGGGACGCCCGGCACCCTATCCCAAACGTCAGTACTGCAGCACTCTCACCGCAGTCCCCTTAGAAACTTACAGCCAATCCACCGTCCGATCATGCGTGCACTTGAACACAAACTCGTCGATTACTCGATCAATGCCCACAGTCCGACTGACGAGCTCGAGGCTTGTGTCTGGAGGGTTGCTGTGCACGAAATGGTTACGGTAGAAAGTGGTCAGGCGCTCGCGGCCAATTCCACCAGTGATGGTGGGTATGTGGTTTACGTAGGGCTCCTGCACCATGGTGCCCATGGTCTTGGCCACTGCGCGCTCGCCGAACTCGTACAGGCAGTGCTCGTTCCAGATAGCCTCGAGGTCGAAGAAGGGACCACCCACTAGCGGTTTGAGGAAAGTCAGCGTGCGCGTGTGGGCGACAGCGGCGGCAGCGCTGCGGTAATTGGGGTGCGCCGGGAGCACAAAGTTGGGTGCCGCCTCGGAATAGACGTGTGTGGTGGTGCGGGCCAACTTGGAAGGCTCAGAGTCTCCTGTAGCATGCCAAAGAAGCTGTGCATACGCGTGGGTGGCTTCTTCTGAGAAGGGCGTGGTAGAGTAGTTGACAAAGGCAGCGATGCTTCGATTGACGTCGTCCTTCTCATACGACGCTTTAGGCAAAGGGACATAGGCTAGTATATGATCAGCCTCCCTCTCCGCTTCTACGCATCGAACAAGACCTACTTATCACGCCATATTTATTTCCCTCGCACTCGTCCAAGGCCTCCAGCGCAGCGAACGCCCGTCGCAAATCCGCGTTGAACTCATGGTCGTGGTTAAGCGTGATCTGCGCCACGGCGTAGCCTTCCTCAGCCCATTTGAGTAGCGGCGGCGGATCCAACGTCTTGTCGCTATGGCCTAGCGGCAAGGCGGCATCGACAAGGAGCACAAGGCCGGGCCCTCTGCCACGGCGCGACAACGGCGGCTGTAGCACGATGTTCGGGGCGATGGTCTGCAGGGGCGCCGACGGGAGCGGGACGGGCGGTTCCTCGGGCGCCATTCTCGCTGTGCGTTGATGTTGTCGTTCGAAGTTTTTGTATCCACGCTTCGCTGGCTGGTGAGGGGTACAGCTTATCGCGGCATCCCGCCCGCCTGGCATCGCTAACAGCCTGAATTTCTCAGCATGCCGACTCCCAGCAACCGCTTGGCCGATGAGGCGATGGCGTTCGTCTCGGGTGCGCAACCGCCCACTACAGACCCGACGGTCTGCCCTGCACATGACAAATGTTTAAAAATACAGCCTCTACCTACACATTAGCGGTAGCATCTAAGGGAGGGCCCAGAGATGCATCGACATGCAACCTTCAGCCTCGCACAACTTCGGCACACTGAACACAACAGGGTTACTTGCATTCTTGAGCGATGCATAGAACTGCAAGGTCCCTTGGATTGCATCCACGATCAACCAAAAAGTTAGAAATCGCAATCGTATCGTTCGATGATAAGCTTTTTGCACCAACACCGCCCTATCTTCCCGCCCCATAAGTATGCCACGCAAGCTCCCCCCTTGCCCGTCGCACCACCGCAAGAATCACATCGAACCATTTGCTGCACGCTGCGCCCCTTCTCGTGCAACAAGGGCGACGAAAATCAAGGCCTTGCTCATTCATCAACGACGCGTGCCGCGCTCTGCCAAGCGCCGCCGTCCAACACGCCGCCGAAACCGGCAGCCCCGGATGCATACGGTCCCGAACCCAAACCCTGGCTGCATTCCAACAAGAAAGCGGGGTGGCATAAGCGTGGCTTGAGCTTAATAGATAGCCGGATTTTTTTTTTCGTTCTAAAAAAAAGAATGCCACAAGGAGTAAGTTAGTTCCAACGTCTGTCTGTTCGGGTGTGTGAAAACAGCTGTGGGGGGAGTCAAAAATCTCTCTGGCAGATGCTATTGCTAATTGTCTAATACGCGTTGCTCTCAAGTCCATTATTGACTACTAAAGTAATATTGCTTTGACTATTCCTGCCAAGCCCCGCGCTGCTGGATACTTGGTAGTCCCCGCGCGGGCCAACTCGAAAAAAGTAAAATCGAAGGCTGATAGCCAACAGATCCTAATCAGCAGCCCCCCTACGTACATACATACATATCGCCTTCCGTCATCAACTTCCCCTTTACCACTGTTGATTTCTTGCATTGATCTGGTTCGACGAATAGGCAATCATGCAGAGACTGCCGCTTAATCGAGCCGCCCCGCTCGAAGAGCAGGAACGCGCCAACAGCCGCGTGTGGAGAGCCTGCGTCGAGTGCCGAAGGAAAAAGGTCAGTCCAAAACGTCCTTTTTTTTGGTTCGGAATTGCTGCAGAGGGTCATTACAGCCGAAGAATAGCAGCCCTAGAACATGGCGTAAATACCTCGGCTTTGAAAAAAAAAAAAAAAAAAACAATGCGTGGGCAGCTGAAGCTATCATACGGACGTGAATGTATGATTGTTAATTTGACATTTACGTCCGGACGATAGCTTCAACTACCCACGACATGATCGAAAAACTAAATGCACGGTAGCCTTCGGCTGCAGATTCTTCATCAGCCCGCCTGCGTTGCTGATCAATCATTGCTTCGACTAAAACACCCAACAGACAAAGTGCGACGGTAGAGACCCCTGTCACTATTGCAACGCACGAGGCCGGACGTGCGAGTACCCAAATACCAACGATAATGCGCAAGCCAGTCGACAGTGAGTGCTCTATTTGATATGGCTCGAGCACGTGATATGCGATGAGGCGCAAATGCTAAATTGTCTTTCCAATCTTCGTTTAGCCAAATGACGAGCTTTGAGGCTCGGTGCCAGCAAATAGACATTTTGTGCCAAAAAATGGACTCCATGCTGGAAAAGTTCGACAGACTAATGGGGACCTTTGAAGCACGCACCTCCCAGATTTCCCAGAAACTCCATGACCCAGCAATCGACGCGTTACAGAATGAATTAAATCGGATGCAAGACCTGCAGTCTCAGCACAGAACCCAGGAAGAGGAGCCAGAGAGCGACGCAGAAGACGTTGAAAGTCTACCGGATCGCAGGGACGAACCAGCCGGCCATTTGGTTGCGGATGCCCAAGGAAAGCTCCGGTAAGTTTATTTTCACGAGAGATATTGAATCCTGCCTCTACCGGACATTTTGCTTCGGCTACCTACGACGTGAACCGAGCTTACCAGCTGCCCAACAAGGTACGTCGGCGGCACCACGAACCTGATCCTGATCGAAGCGGTACAGAGCCTGGGGGATCAGCAACAAACGTCCCCGCTCTTTGCCACGCCAGGACCAAGTGACTCACGACGCGGCACATCCACCAGCATTATCGGCCTTCCCTTCTTTTCCGGTGGCAGCAGCACATCCCTCCGCCTACCTTGCGCGGTAAGCCCCGAGCAAATCAGCTTCCCACCGCAGTACATATCCGACTTGCTGGTGAACCTGTACTTCGACCATTTCCATTACACGTTTCCTATCCTGTTCAAACCCTATTTCATGCGTCAGTATGCAAAACAGCTCGCATGTAGTCCTGGAGACGGTCCGGATCCAGGCTTCCCATGTGTCTTTTTCGCCGTCTGTGCCTGCGCGTCGGCGCTCTTGCCGCGCAGTTCCGGGATGCCAGGGGGAGAGCGACCAGGGCAGGAGTTCTACGAAAAAGCGTGGCTACTCTACTACGGCGCAGCTGGACAAGGGACCATCGAGCAGGTTCAGTGCCTGGCGCTGCTTTCCGTGTGCTCCGCGGGCTGGAACACGCTGACTCAGGCCTGGAAGTTCGCGGGTCAGGCGGTGCGGTCGGCGCAGGATTTGGGTCTGCACACCGGGCTTCGGCGGCCGGCCCAGGACGCGCCGAACGAATTGTTGCTAGAGCAGGTGGGTCGGCGCGTGTGGTGGAGCGTCTACGGGCTTGATAGGCTGCTGTCCATGTGCCTGGGCCGGCCAATGGCTGCTGACGACGATGATTGCGACTGCGAGCTGCCACTCGACATGACTGATGAGCACCTTGAGATTTACTGCCGTGATCCTGCCGGTGAGCGCAGTACATCGTCAGCTTTAGCAGGCTTTTTGGCTTTTTCGGAGCTATGCAAGATTGCGAGCAAGATCGTCAAGTCCACGCGGCGGCTGCAAAGATCCCAGCCCTCCAGGATCCAGAAGGAGCTGCAATCACAAACAGAGGCGCTGAATAGCCAGTTACAACAATGGCTGCAGAACCTGCCAGACGTGGTCAAATTCTCCGCTAATAGGTCAGACGAGGATGGGCGATTGCATCTGACCATGTGTATCATCACATTCATCTTGCACGCTGCGTCGATAATCAACCTGCAAAGGTAAGTGCTCCTTCTCTTGAAAGAAAACAAGAACCGAGGGTTGCAAGGATAGGGGTGGATGGCTGACGTGAAACGTATATGTGGCTGTGGAACAGGCCACGGACAGCCGATAAACATGGCCTGACCGAGCCTCCGAAGGCGGCTCGAAATCACGATGCAGATGGCATGTCGTCGGCCGAGCAGTGCATCCAAGCGGCCCGGAGCTGTATCCACACGGCGGAACTCATCTTGTTCCGGGTCCCGCCGTCACACTATCTCGCTTTCAGCATCCACGAGCTGGCTGTGGCAGGCGTGCTTCTGTGAGTAAAGGCCATATGTCGATTGTGATGATCTGCGCCGGGGTCACGACATGACGGCAGAGCTGATCGTATACAGACTTCGAACGTCACCCACCATCCCGCCGCCGGTAAGCGTGCAAGAGGACGTGCAGCGATGCATCCGGCACCTCGGCGATCTGCAAAGGGTATGGGCGGGTGCGGAGAGGAGCAAAGCGATTCTCCAGGATCTGCTGCAGAGGGCGACGGAAGCGGCGGAAAGCAGCTTTGAGCTGTTCGGCGGGGCGGCAGAGCAACGAGAAATACTGGACCCTGACTTCTTTGTGAATTTTGAGGTGAGCGAGACGGCAGGTGTGCGTGGTGCTTGCTGACGGGCATCAATCCAATAGGCAGTCCACAGCCTCCAGCTCTGAAGCAGTGCGTGTGGCCGCCAAGGAGCGGCCCGGGATTCCCTGCCAGCTTGGCCGCAAACAGGCTTGGGGCAAGAACAGGACGATAACTGGGGGGAAATGAAGACTTGCATGCACTCCGGTCGCAGACCCTGACGGCCTGAACACGCACACGGTGTGCAACCCTCGTAACTGCAGCGCGAGGAATGCACAGTCGCATGCGGCCGAGGCTGTTGCCACTGCGCGTGCGAACGCGAATACGCTCCTTATCTAATCTCGTCAGCATGGGAGCGGAGCCAGGTAGCAATGCGATCGGCAGTCCATCGAGAAGACGGGAGGGAGGGCGTTGGCGGCCGTGGCGGCGTCGACTCCCCGCAACATGACATCTTCGTTAGGCCTGCCGAGGCCACGGGCCCGGCCGCGCACCAATAGCAGCGTGCAATTGCGCGTCCACTGCTCGGAGTGGTTGCCGGCGTGCTTCAGGCTGCGGCATCTGATCAGATCGGACGGAAGGCAGGAAGGAGAGTGTGGCAGCAAGGAGCGGCCACGCCAGCAGTCGCCAGGTCTCGTCACCGACTTTCGCGCGTCTTGCCCTCTCTGTCGCAGCCTGGAGCAGCGGGCGTCGTGGCGTGAGGCTGAGGCCGTCTGTGCTGGCGGGTTGCCAAAGCTTCTTCTGCGGCCTTCCAAGAACTGCGGAAACGATAGGATCAGGAGGCAGCGAGTCGCTGCCACACCGCGTTAGAAGGCATACGCAGTCGTCGCCCGCTATTTTTATCGTGACCGTCGCCGCGCGCTTGCCCCGACGTCTCCAGCGGCACGTCGCGCGCGCAACAGGGAGCCCAGCTGGCAAACTGCAACACGCGCTCGCCGCGGCGCGCTGGACGCGGCGGCGGCGGCCTGGTGGGCAGCTCCCGTGCTTCCGAGCGGGCGTGCCGTCAGCAGAGGGTGTGTCGCAGGGCGGCGTGCTTGGGGCCCGTAGATCGCGGTGCCACGGTGCATGCTTTCGTACGCTCCAGGGCTGTGCCGGCTCGATCCAGCGCCAGCCAGCAAAAGCACGCGAGCCGTCGACCAACCGGCCGCCGCCATATTTGTCCCCAACCACCTCGCCCACACGTCGCTTCCTCGCTCTCTCTCTCTCCATCTTAATCCAACTGTTGTCGCTCCGCTCGTTGCCTACACCTGCACTCACCACCGCACGGCTCACCCAACGCCTGGCCCGCGCCCTCGCATCCATCGTCTCCGTCGCATCTATCGCACCGCCCCGGCGCCAGCTGCACTGTCCAGGTGCTTAGCCCGGCCGCTATCTCTCGCTTGGTCGCTGATAGCTGCTCGCATTACCGCTTCTCGCGAAGCTAGCAGCTGCACTGCGCGGAGCTTTGGCCGTTATTTTCATTAAATCAACACCGCTTTGCCTGCAAGGCCCAGTTTTCCCCGTCCTTCGGGCCTTCCATTGCAGCTGGAATTGCCCGATCCGCGCAAACGCCCGCCATGGACTACCGCCCGAACCAGCGCCCGCGCTCGAAGAGTGGCTTTAGCTTCAAGAGTGAGAAAAGCGATAAGAGCCATGGCTCCGACAAAATTCACCGGCCCAAGATCAAGGACCTTCACGAATCCTCTGTCGAGAAGCACAAGAGACAACTAAGCGGCACCTCCAAGGCGAACCCCAACGCTGCAATGGAAGAAGCTCAGCCGAGTGCGTTGCGCGCCCGTCCCAGTCCCCGCAGGAATGTACCGCTGATTGCTTCTCAACAGTCGCTGCCGCCCTTGAGGCCCCTACTCTTGGATCGCTGCGGGCCATGACCCACAAAGACATTGACGGCTCGCCAATCCGTGAGTCTTTCTTCTGGATACTGCACCAGCGCTCTGATCTGGCTAACCTTGCATCTGCACAGCGGAACCTGATCTCTCCAACCCCACTCGCTCCCGCTGGGAACGCCCTCTTGACACGATTCGCAAGTTCGAAGCGCAGATTGACGGCGAATACAAGCGGAGGGGAGGCGCGCGAACTGGTGAGCTCACCTGAGCCCTGCTACGAGTTTCATTCCCGCTGACATCACGCAGACGTCGAATCGAACGCCGATTTCAGCGGTTACACGAGTCGCCGGAGCAGCTACTATGGAGGTACGTGAAACCGCACTGTCTCAGCCCTGACGGCCCTTTAATTATGCCCGCAATTATCATGGAGCAACACGTTGCTTGCAATGCAGCATCTGAGGCCCTCCGCGGCACAGTCGTGCTCAAGGATGATCGCTGCCATTTGCGTCGCTACACTGCCGCCTCCCGCGTGGCCCGTCTTGGCATGACGATCGGCATCCCAACCACATAATACTGACGCATCTGCCCGCTGATCATACGCTAATTTTGGCTTCATCGTATGCAGGAAACGGCAACAATCGTTACTCTAGTAGCACCGCTACCGGTGGCTATGGTGGCGGTGGTGGTTACTACGCTGGTCGCAACCCAACCTCGCCACGTCCAGCCGAGGATCCTTACATGCCCACTCCCGTTGCAGGCCCCGGTCGCAACCGTTTTGGCCAACGCCTTCAGCAGGAGATGATGCCTCCGCGTCCGCCAGCGCATAACCAGGGCCTGTACCCGACTCATTCCTATCAGCAATCCCGCGACACGGTGAACACGGGCTTTTCGAACAGTTCCGGCGAAGCCTGGGGCAATTCCACCGATCCGAGCAGCGAGAACAGCTCAATTGAGAGGATGCCTCCCACTCAGAAGCCCGACCCGGGCGAGCAGTACGGATTCAACGGTTTCGGAGGAAGCCCGGTCGCGGATGGATACGACTACAACGCCAACGGCTATTATGACCAGCAAGGTTACGGTGGGGCCCCGGCCGTCGGCACTGAACCATACTACAGCAAGAACCAAGGGCCGCCGGTACCTCCACACGACAGCGTTAATGGAGTATCGAAAATGGGTGACGGTCCGCCACAGCAACCCATCAGCGGGTCCACGGCCGCTCCTGCTAGCCGCCCGGTTGCCAACGGTGACGGTGACAAGAGAAAGAGTTGGTTTAAGCGGCGGTTCAGCAAGGATTAGATGATCGTTGTGGGTTTGCCGATCGCCATGGTTTTACGCTTCTCCATGTCGTGGCTTGTCGGAGGATATAATGACTCTCTGCTGTGCGGGGGATAGTAATGGCTTGACGAACAACAAATTCCCGGGGTTTTTGCATTACCTGTTGGCGTTTTGGGCATACAACATGAAGAACCCCTTCCGAACGGCGGATGATGGAGGGCGTACAGGAATTTGGAACCTTGGTTCGCCAAAGACTGAGGAACGTAGGCTCGCTTTGAGTCTCGCTCTTCCGTATGGATCTTTGAGCTTGGTTCTGGTTCATAATACCGAAACTTGGCTAGAAAGGCACTTCTTTGCCTTCAGCTGACCTGAGAATTCATTATTTCATAGATATATAATCTTGATGCAACCTCTGCTCTGCATCACTTTTTTCACTTTGGATCCATTCCTAGCTTGGAGGTCAAAATTGTCAAGGAAGAGGGGTACTGTCAAAAGACGAAGCAAGACTTGCCCGGAATGAAATATTTTTTCTCCTCTAAAAAATAACGCGAATGATGCTACATTTCTCATATACGGGCAGTCAAAATTGTTTGGACGCGGATCTAAATCTAAGGACTCTACATGTTGAGGCTATAATGAAGTGACCCTCTAAGAAGCACACGACTACCAGAGACTACCCATGTACACTCAAGAGATGTGACTGGGCCCAAACCAGGCGTTCTCAGGCAAATATTATGTTCAGCTCTTCGTACTCCAATAGGGTAGGCTCTCTGATATTCGCCTCTCTTCCGTTTGTTGTTGTTTGCTACACCGTTTGCTATTCGCTAGTGGTTGGTCACCGGGCATCATTAGACTTATGCGGGCAGTTTAAGCTGTCGTCAGGACGTAAATGCATAACTTTTAGTTCGATATTTACGTCCGGACATTAGCTTCAACGACCCATATTATAAGCGAAAAATCAATCCACGCTACAGTCCCCTCTTGCAGCCGGTAGCTAGCGTGGTTTTTGTTTTTTGCTCACATCATGGGTAGTTAAAGCAATCGTCC